ATTCACGGCCTTCTTGTTAAGCAACTCCAGTGTCCCGTGTAGCTCAGTTGATAGAGCATGGCGTTTGCAACGCCATAGTTGTGGGTTTGTTTCCCACGGGGGACCAGTATGAAAAAAAAACAAATGTATGCACTCACTGTAAGTTGCTCTGGATAAGAGCGTCTGCTAAATGACTAAAATGTCAAATGTAAATTTGGCCTTGTGTTTTAGGTTATTGTCTAGCTGAAAGGTGAATTCATCTCCCAGTGTCTGGTGGAAAGCTGACTGAACCAGGTTTTCCTCTAGGATTTTTTCCTTTTTCTTTTTACCAATTTTACCAATAGGTGCCCTTCTTTGCGAGGCATTGGAAAACCTCCCTGGTCTTTGAGGTTGAATCTGTGTTTGAAATTCACTGCTCGACTGAGGGATCTTACAGATAATTGTATGTATGGGGTACAGAGATGAGGTAGTCATTCAAAAATCATGTTAAACACTATTATTGCAGACAGTGAGGCCATACAACTTATTGTGAAGGCACTGTAAAGCCGGGTGTACACTACACGACTTTCAAAATCCTAACATCGCTGAACCTCACATTAAAAGTCTGTCTTTCCTGTCGTTTTTTTTTGTCTTGTGGTGAATTATTATTAATGAACTGTAGAGTTTAATGGACTATGAGGTAGAACTGGGTTAATCAAGAGCATAAAGTTAGAATTCTTTGTTACTGGGCCAGGAATTGTATTGGGTCATTTAATTTCACTGTGTGGGTGAGTAGAGAGGGAATCTGCCCTAGGGTCAGATTGCTTGCTCTTACTTAGATCCATGGTTGTCTTATCATATCAAAGACTGAAACTGGCTTGGGCCGTTTGTTTTTGTCTTCAAACACAGTGAAAGAGCCAGGGTTGAACAGAGTTTATAATAAACATGAGTGTTTTTGCAAGATAAGGCTTGATTAATTGTAGTACTCTGAACTTAATGAAAGTTGAGTTTAGCCGCTCTCAGAGACAAAGGAAGTGGGCGGAGCAATAAAAGAGCGGGAAAACTTAAGAGGACTATATAAGATGGAGGGAGACCGTAAGGGGGTGTGCCACTCTGCAGACTGGTATCGGCTTTGTTGAAAACTTTAATAAAGTCATTTCTTGATGCAACAAAAACTCTGTAAGACCTCATTTGTAATAAAGTATAGTGGTTATTTTCCACAACAGTCTTGGCAACGTAGTGGTGCACACACTAAATGGGGGGTCACACACTACAAGATTCTTCACTTGGTCTTGAGGATTCTCGATACCACGTTGTCTCGCGAAAACAATGATGTGAATAGAGGAGGTCAAAGACCTGGCCGTGTGGTGCCAGGATAACAACCTCTACCTCAATGTGATCAAGACAAAGGAGACGATTGTGGACTACAGGGAAAAAAGAGGACTGAGCATGCCCCCATTCTCATCGACGGGGCTGTAGTGTATCAGGTTCAGAGCTTCAAGTTCCTTGGTGTCCACATCACCAACAAACTCTAAGGCCTGAGAGGGTGGTACGGCTTGTGACAATACTCCATCCAACTCCTCTGCTGAGAAGTCTTTCAGTCCCAGGAACCGCTCCACCGCATCCATAATGATATTTATTTTCCTGGACTTCCTCTCCACCTTGGCAGTGCCATTAATCACTATAGCTATAAAGGCCACAAAGTCCACATCTGATTGCGTCTCTGAACTGCTCACATTAAGCGATCGTCAGGTGATGGCCGGGCGCCCCGAGTAGGCAAGGACATGGGGATTTTGTCTCCGATCTCATATAAAAGAACCCAGAACTTTTCCATACACACAAAAAGCTTATTTCTCTAAAATGTTGTGCATACATTTGTTTTTAATTCCCTGTTAGTGAGCATTTCTCCTTTGACAAGATAATCCATCCACCTGACAGGTGTGGTATATCAAGAAGCTGATTAAACAGCATGATCATTACACAGGTGCACCTTGTGCTGGGGACAATAAAAGGCCACTCTAAAATGTGCAGTTTTGTCACACAACACAATACCACAGATGTCTCAAGTTTTGAGGGAGTGTGCAATTAGCATTCTGACTACAGGAATGTCCACCAGAGCTGTTGCTAGATAATTAAATCCTAGTTTCGATACCATAACGTCGTTTTAGAGAATTTGTCAGTATGTCCAACTGGCCTCACAACCGCAGACCACAGACCACACAATAACCACGTTTCCATCCAGTCATACCTTATTTTAAAAAATCTCGACAGCTATGATGGAAACAGGAAGTTTTGGTACAATTTTATAAATGCTGACAGATAATTTGTTCGTTCGACATGGTGGGATCTTTTTTGTGTCTGTAAAATTATTTATGCGATAAATGGCGGTGGAAATGCCTTTATGTGCAAATATTGATATAATAACCATAATATCAAATTAAACTTGGAGTCAGGCGATGATATGGTGTGTCCTCCTCCCACTACATTTGAGGAAACCATGCAGTTTATTAGGCTACAGATTAAATAATTTATGATGAACTTCACAGGGTGGTGAAAGTGCAAGGTGATGAGCTTGATGCTACTTTCTAATAAATATTGAGCGTCTTATTCGGGTGACATAATAATCGATGCTTAACTACTGTTTGACAAGTAAAAATATTATCGCTCTTATCCATAATAATCTCATGTAGACTATCTGTTGTTGGCTAGAGCGCATGTGCCAAGACCAGAGTAGGCACATTTGCTATTTAACGCAACGTTTTTGTGACAAAACTATCGATAGAGTGGAAAATGTGATGGAAACATATTGATCTTTAGATTTTTATTCGGTACATAAAAAACGTACGCGAAAAATTACTTTTTGTCATCACACACTGATTTTTATCAGCACCAACTCCATTTGGTGGAAACAACTACCAACAACAACCACTGGTGGGAAAATGCCCATTTTCTTTATGCGGATTTTAGAATATTTGCATGAAAATCTGTCGCCAATTGGATGGAAACCTAGCTATTGAGGGCACATTTTCAGTCAATGCTGTAAGCAGGATAAGATGCTGAATTATGTTAAAGCTGCAACATGTACATTTTTGGCCGACCAGACCATATTAACATAGACATAACATAACATTCTATGTGCCTATTTCTATGCATCCCGTTCTTAAGTTTCGTTTTTGTGTCTTTTACTTTGGGTTTTCTGCTTCAAACAGCAGAAAATAGAATATTTGTGGTTATGTAAAATATATTTCACATCGGTTTAGATTATACAATGATTCTCTGCACTATTCTTGCTTATTTTGTCACATAAACTCGGTTTCCATCCAATTTTCCACAGATTTTCATGCGAATATTTTGAAATTTGCATAAAAGAATATGTGCATTTTCCCACCAGAGATGTTTGCATCAAACTGACTTTTTGTGGATATAAAACTGTGCGCGATGACATTGTGCACGTAAAAATAACTTGTACTGATAAATTCCCATGTACCTAATGAAAAATACAAGTTAAATGGGTTTCCATCGCATTTTCAACTTTACTGATGGTTTTGTCACAAAAGCTGTTGGGGTATATAGAAAATGTGCCGTCTGGTCTTGGCACATATGTTCTAGCCAAGCCAACAGCTCGCAGATACAGTGCTGGTAGGCTACCTACATGATGAGATTATTATGGATAAGAGCGATATTATTTGTATTTGTCAAACGGCAGCCAAGCATCGAGCATCATGTCACCAGAATAAGACCCTCGATATTTATTGGAAAGGAGCATCAAAGTCATCATCACCTTGCACATTCACCACCATGTCAAGTGCATAACTTATTTCATCTGTAGCCTAACAAACTGCATCCTTTCCCGAGTCCTAGTGGTAGGACCACACAACATATCATCGCGTGACTCCCAAGTTTACTTCGATATGATGGTTATTATATCAATATTTGAACATAAAGGTGTTTCCACTGCCATTTTTCGCATTATTAATTTTACCAACACAAAAAGATCCCACCATGTCAAACTAACAAATTGTCTGTTGGCATTTATAAAATTGTACAGGCATTCCATGTTTCCATCAGCCCGGTCGTGACTTTTTTTCATGCGTCAGGTAATTCAACCGCTAGAAATGATTGGATGGAAACATGGTAAGTACCTGAAATTAAGCGAACTATTAGAATTTTTGCAACCAGGAAATGGCGGACCGATTTCTGCATAGTGCATCTTAAAACCACCATCTAAACCATGGCTTAAAGATGCACAATGCACGCACAGCAAGTATGTTATAGTCCCTTATTCTGTTTTTATACAGCTTCCCATGCTTCATCACACCATAGCCTGCGGGAAGAAGGGGTGCTGAGGGTACTGCAGCGCCCCCTGAAAAATCAGACAATATATATATATTAATTAAAAAAATTAAAACTTTCTCACAGAAGTAGTGCACTGGCATTTACTAGTCCTGTATTAACGGACCAATACAGTTTTCATTGGGAAGGCAGATAAAGCGTTTTTTTAATATATTTTTTTAACCAATCTCTTTTGCATGTGAAACCCCAACATTGTACTCATTACTCCACGTGCTTCACGTCACTTTTGTTTTCGCTGTGGGCTTTAAATGGGGCAAAACGAATGCGATCACTTTGCACCCGGTATAAACTCCTCACACACATAACCCGGTCCAGATAATCGAATCCCTTCACTGTGCCAGGTTTGAGAAAGGGGTGTTAACAAATGCAGCGATTCCCCAACACCTTATTGGTCACATGTGGCATCGCTCAGGGGGTATTCGGTAGTTATTGGTCACTCAACTCTTGCTTCTCTATTTCAACATTTTGGTGAAGGGGCTAGGCGTAGTAAGCGACGCACGCGAGCTATTTGGTTGTTCGGTGGCAGTGGTCGAGTCGCACTTTTCTAAGGGTAGTTTATTCGGACCCAAACAAAGCCTGAGGGGATTTTGTTTGTTGGAGTTTTTGTGTGTGGATTTTTTGAGTGTTGGGAGTTATTTTGTTAACTTGCTCCCAAGGACTAACTTTATCCGCAGACAACCGGCAGTTAGATGGAAGACTGTGAGCAAGTCGTATCATCCACAACCGAAGACGAAATGAGTAGATACAGTCAATACGGGAATCATTATGACAACGAGGCCACAGCTACATTTGACGACGATGATATTGTAGACTTAGTTGGCGGAGCACATGATGCTATTGAGAGGCACAAGGCTTCGTACCCTGAGGATATAATCGAATTTACGAAGGACGAGGAAGCGCCACGGACCACTACAGATGATGCCACGACACAACTGACACACGAGGTGATTCCAGATTCAACTCTATCAGAGGAAGCGGTGGCTGAAATAATTCCAGCACCAGTGATTCTGAATTGTTTGGATGCAGACTCTTTGCCAGAACTCATCAGACCATATCCCCCGGCAAAAACAGCTCCAGAAGAAGCAGGTCCAGTACTAGTAGAAGCGGCCCCAGTATTGGAAGCAGCTCCATTGGAAGTGCTCCCCGAAGAGGCTCCAGAGAAAGAAGCGATTGCGGCTCCTCCAGCACCATTCCGTGAGTAGTCAATAATTTAGGTATTTTAAAGATCATCATCTGGTTTTAAAATCTGTCTCTTGGTAAAGCATTATTAAAATAGATGTTTCAGTGTTTGCTTGCTAACTTCATCGCCGTTGACTGGCTAGCCAGCGAACTAATGTGTGGTAACGTTAGTTAGCGTATGTGGGATTGATGCGGCAACCTTCATGAACCATTTTAGGAAAACATGACATTGTTGCGCACGGCTCGGCACTGCATTGGTAGCTAGATTTAACCAGATACTCCACACAGGCAGGTAGAGGTGGCAGGCTAGCTAACCTTTCTGAAGCGCCCCCCCCCTAATTAAAAAAATGTATGGATAACTAGATAGCTGGCTTTGTAAAGATGATGCAGCCCACCAGTTTTGACACAAGTCATCAGCAGGAAGCTAGCTAACGTTAGTTAGCTGATACAATGAACTGGCAGAATTGCACCACCTATTTCAACGACTCCATTTAAAAGGATACATCAGTGCTGTTTGAATACATAACATGCAATGGTTAATCATACTAGATTAATTCTGACTGTCATGCTCCGACCTGGTTTGTGGTTGCGCAAACCAAGCTAGCACGCTCTGTTCTGACTCAGTCAAAATGGCTTGGATTAGTCACAACAAAGGAATCTAATCTAAAATCGTCCACTTCCCTGTTTTAGTTGTTTATCCCAAAATAACTTAGTTATTTCCATGAACGGTAACGTTAGCTACCTAATGGAAGCAAACTATTTTTATGATAGCTAACATTTTTTATCCCACGAGGAATTGGTTTCTCACCCCTCAAATCTCCCGTTCTGTCAACCATTCACCTTTTTGGATAATGACGTGTTTTTATTATCTCAATTTCGGGTGAAGTCAGACATTATTTGGGAGCAATGTTATTTTGTAACTTGGTTAACGCACGCGAATTTAATCTCAAATGTTCTTTTCTGTTAGAATAGCTAAGCGCTTTCCCAGACATGCGAGGCCAGATGGGCAGGGCGGGGTTGGGAGACTATTACAAAGACCTGGTTGAGTGACATTACATTTAATCTCTTTAGGACCGACTATTGCCTTCGGACTAATATAGACATGCTTCTCATTTTGGAAGGGCAGACATGCTTTATATTCTACTTCGGTTTCCTGCAATAATTTGGGTTACCACCTTACTGCAGGAGAGATGCTAAAAACGTCCAGGAAATGGGCGTACTAGCTCTGACGGGCCTTGTGGGTTTGCTCCCTCTGTATTTGCTGTGATGTGTATTTTCGCTATCCTAGGAAGGGCTAGATGAGCATGCTTAAGTGTGTATCAATACCATCACAGCTGGATTTAGCTGCTACTAGGGCACTGAATCACTTCTGACTTTGTAGTGGTCTACTTTTTAAATTGGAACACTAACACGCAGTGCTGTAGTTGGCTATGGTGTCCGGTTAACTAGACCTCAGTTTCTCAATCATGTGCCACACTGACTATCATTAATGTTAGGCCTACAATACTGTACCCCACTAGTTAATAACTGCACAACTATAATGTCCTATAATGCCCCCTTCTCATGTCTCATATTGACTTGTGACTAGAGTTAACATGGCTTCCTTGCAGTCTGTGTCCGCCATTAGCTTTCTTTGCCTCCTCTCAGACATATGACATTTAATGTGGCAGCTCTTTCATGGTCAGAGTGGAGCAGGTGTTGGCCTACATTTTTAGGTTCCACAAAACAACAGTATTCAAGTCATTGACTATTAGCCTATGCAGAACAGGTGGATAGAAAATTCAAGCAACTTGGATTTCATTATAGCTAATAATGTTAAATATCTATTGGTTCAATTTTAGATGTACTTCAACGCTGGAACCTAGTTTAGAGGTAACCGGTCTTAAACTGGTCTAATCTGAATAATCATTAGATTGGAGTAATCAATGCAAAACAAATTAATTTTGTAATGTGATATTTCTGGCTTTTGGTGAATGGATGCGTGATCTCTTTTTTTAATTTTTATGATTGGACAATTGGTATTCAGAGCCATTGTAAATTGATGGCAACTTGTGATTTTCAATTGTTGCATTCATAATCATTGAAAACACATGTTTTGCTTCTGTCCTATTGAAATATTCCAAGACATCTTAATCTACAGGTTATTGAGAAAATTGTAACATTTTGGTGATTTGGCTAAAATGGAGCTCATAGCATTCAAATTACAAAAATATTTTTGCTATTAAACATTTCACATTTTGATTAAATGGTCTTCATTTGAATTTGTGCTCTTGCTGTGATTTCGACAACCCTCTCCTAATGCTCTGCTTAGGTGTGTCTGTCAAGGATGTTAGGCATATGTCTCAACCAGTTAGGCCCAAAAGATGGACTCAAGGATTGATAGGGGGAAATACTGTTTTCAAATACAGTGGGGAGAACAAGTATTTGATACACTGCCGATTTTGCAGGTTTTCCTACTTACAAAGCATGTAGAGGTCTGTAATTTTTATCATAGGTACACTTCAACTGTGAGAGACTGAATCTAAAACAAAAATCCAGAAAATCACATTGTATGATTTTTAAGTAGTTCATTTGCATTTTATTGCATGACATAAGTATTTGATCACCTACCAACCAGTAAGAATTCCGGCTCTCACAGACCTGTTAGTTTTTCTTTAAGAAGCCCTCCTGTTCTCCACTCATTACCTGTATTAACTGCACCTGTTTGAACTCGTTACCTGTATAAAAGACACCTGTCCACACACTCAATCAAACAGACTCCAACCTCTCTACAATGGCCAAGACCAGAGAGCTGTGTAAGGACATCAGGGATAAAATTGTAGACCTGCACAAGGCTGGGATGGGCTACAGGACAATAGGCAAGCAGCTTGGTGAGAAGGCAACAACTGTTGGCGCAATTATTAGAAAATGGAAGAAGTTCAAGATGACGGTCAATCACCCTCGGTCTGGGGCTCCATGCAAGATCTCACCTCGTGGGGCATCAATGATCATGAGGAAGGTGAGGGATCAGCCCAGAACTACATGGCAGGACCTGGTCAATGACCTGAAGAGAGCTGGGACCACAGTCTCAAAGAAAACCATTAGTAACACACTACGCCGTCATGGATTAAAATCCTGCAGTGCACGCAAGGTCCCCCTGCTCAAGCCAGCGCATGTCCAGGCCCGTCTGAAGTTTGCCAATGACCATCTGGAAGATCCAGAGGAGGAATGGGAGAAGGTCATGTGGTCTGATGAGACAAAAATAGAGCTTTTTGGTCTAAACTCCACTCGCCATGTTTGGAGGAAGAAGAAGGATGAGTACAACCCCAAGAACACCATCCCAACCGTGAAGCATGGAGGTGGAAACATCAATTCTTTGGGGATGCTTTTCTGCAAAGGGGACAGGACGACTGCACCGTATTGAGGGGAGGATGGATGGGGCCATGTATCGTGAGATCTTGGCCAACAACCTCCTTCCCTCAGTAAGAGCATTGAAGATGGGTCGTGGCTGGGTCTTCCAGCATGACAACGACCCGAAACACACAGCCAGGGCAACTAAGGCTCTAATCAGTCCCTACACCCAAACGAGGGCATTGCGTTCATCCCCCTCTGGCCTGCTGGCTCCCCTTCCTCTGCGGAAGCATAGTTCCCGCTCAGCCCAGTCAAAACTGTTCGCTGCTCTGGCACCCCAATGGTGGAACAAGCTCCCTCACGACGCCAGGACAGCGGAGTCACTCACCACCTTCCGGAGACATTTGAAACCCCACCTCTTTAAGGAATACCTGGGATAGGATGAAGTAATCCTTCTACCCCCCCCGCCCCCCCAAAAAAAAAAAAAAAAAATATATATATATTTTTTTATTGTAAAGTGGTTAACCCACTGGCTATAGGGTGAATGCACCAATTTGTAAGTCGCTCTGGATAAGAGCGTCTGCTAAATGACTTAAATGTAAATGTAAAAACTAAGGAGTGGCTCCGTAAGAAGCATCTCAAGGTCCTGGAGTGGCCTAGCCAGTCTCCAGACCTGAACCCAATAGAAAATCTTTGGAGGGAGCTGAAAGTCCGTATTGCCCAGCGACAGCCCAGAAACCTGCAGGATCTGGAGAAGGTCTGTATGGAGGAGTGGGCCAAAATCCCTGCTGCAGTGTGTGCAAACCTGGTCAAGACCTACAGGAAACGTATGATCTCTGTAATTGCAAACAAAAGTTTCTGTACCAAATATTAAGTTCTGCTTTTCTGATGTATCAAATACTTATGTCATGCAATAAAATGCACATTAATTACTTTTAAAATCATACAATGTGATTTTCTGGATTTTTGTTTTAGATTCCGTCTCTCACAGTTGAAGTGTACCTATGATAAAAATTACAGACCTCTATATGCTTTGTAAGTAGGAAAACCTGCAAAATCGGCAGTGTATCAAATACTTGTTCTCCCCACTGTAGGTTGTCTAAGATATAATAGCCTAGACAAAAGCCTGAACCAAATTTTTGCTGCTTAATTTAGAAATGCAATAAGATTACTAACCACGTTTTTATGTGAGTAAAGTCATATCGTATAAAAGAAAAAAGATCACGGCAGTTGTGATGGAAACAGGAAGTTTGCGTAATAAAAAAAATGGGCACAGATCATTTGTTCGTTAGACAATTTTCAATTATGTGGGAAATGGCGGTGGAAACTAATAATATTGGTTATTAAATATTGATTTAAAAACCATCATAGCGGAATTACATTTGGAGTGATGTGATAGTGTGTGTGTGTGGTCCTCCCACTACGACTCGGGAAACCATGCAGCTTATTAGGCTACAGATGAAATAAGTTATAATGAACTTCACAGGGTGGCGAAAATGCACAGTGGTGCGCTTGATGCTGGTTTCCAATAAATAACAAGGGTCTTAATCTGGTGACGTGCTTGAATGCAGTTTGAAAAAAAATCAAAATAGCCAACCTGCACAGCCTACCCGCACTGTATCTGCAAGCTGTTGGCTAAAGCGCAGGTGCCAAGACCACAGTAGGCACATTTTCTATTTAACACAAGTGTTGTTTTTTTTTGACAAGACTATCGGTAGAGTTGAAAATGCGATGGAAACATATTGAACTTTAGATTTTTATTGGGTACATGAACACTGAAGCAAAAATTTTTATTTTGTGTGCACTACGTCTTCACACACTGATTTTTATCTGCAACAATAATTTTGGTGGGAAAATTCTGATATTTATTTTTAACGATTCTAGAATATTTGCATGAGAACCCGTCGCCAATCGGAATTATGAGTTTATTTTGGGGGTTTTGTAAAAAAAAAAATTGTACTTGGATCAGGAAATGACTGCTAGGTCTAATTTGTATCTGTTATTTTGCCTAGTTCCTTTTTTAAGGCTGATCTTCATGCTGCTACATTAAAAAGGAAATTCTTCATTCTGACACTAATGACCTTCTTCCCTGAGTTCTTTGTTGCATGCCTGAAAGTTATTCCCATCTTGAATGCTCTAAGCTGTCAGTCTTTACAGAGGGTGTCCGCAATGTGGCACACTGGGTCGATTTACTTTAGTAGAATATGTCTAGTGAGATCAATCTCTCTTCAATATCAGATTTGCAACTTCAGTTTACACTAGCCTTGGATATGGGTGCAGCTATTAGCATACCATAGTATAATGGTCACCAACCTTTTCAGAGTCAAGATCACTTTTGCAGTCAAAAACAAGCAGAGATCTACCGCTCAATTTTGTTGTTGTTGAAACTTGACTTCAATGAAAATTATCATCAATAAAAACAGTTCTGTAGGAATAAGGTTTGTGCAGTAGGCCTAATACATTATCACAGAGTATTGGCAATATGCCTGGTCTGCCAATATTGTTATTCTCAGACCGTATTATATTTAAAGTCATGATGTCAGTGATCTCCAGGTCAGAAAATCTGAGCTTGAGTTCCTTGAAGTCAGAAGTTGAAGATTTCAGAGTTCCCAGTTGTTTTGAACACTGCGTTAGTCTCAGCCGAGGGAGAGCGCAGCAGACGGTTCAGTCTCTCACAGACCCTGCTCTCCTTCCATTCCTCTGGTGAGACTGACCAGAGTGAGGCGACGGTCTTCCACCTGATGGCGAAAAACTCGAGTCGCACCGAACCTGCCTCATGCACAAATTCATGTTGTTCCTTTGACCAGAGAAGGTGAAATATTATTTGATATTAAAATAGACACGACTAGGCGCTAATAATAAAAACTCAGGGCTATTGATACACTTGGCTACTCATTAATTGCAGCATGAGTGGAAGTAGGGAGATGCGCTTTTGTAATAGTGTTGAATAAAAACAGACATGAACTCACTCATAAAAACAGCATCTCTTTGCTGTATTCTTTGAGTCTCACTCTGGTCAAGGTTTTAAAAGTGATGAAATCTCAGGTAGGCTGGTATCGAACTTGCTGTGGCCGGTGTAGTGGAAGCTGTAGGCACAATTTTGAGCTATCCGATTGGCCAGCGCAGTAGGCACACATTATTTGGCCCCAGATCTCCCAGTCCGAAGAGTAGGCGTAGTTTGTCTAGATGTAAAGGTGAGCAAAAATGACTAAAATAAATAATTCAAATAGAGCTATGTTGTATGCTGAAATATTTTTGAAATTACTCTATACAATTGCTCAGAGAACGGGATTTTGTTAAACAAGTCATTTTTTGCTTCTCAAAGATTGGCCTAAAAATTTACACCCCTGTTTTCAATACCTCACCTTGTGAGGATAACGGCACTGAGGCTTTTTCTAAAACGTTTTATGGAGTTGGAGAACACATTGGAAGGGATCTTAGACCATTCCTCCATAAAGAATCCTTTCAGATCCTTGATATCCCTGGTCTACGCTTATGGACTGCCCTCTTAAATTCTACTAAGCTAACATATGGAATTGTTTTAAGATGGTCATACCAAGGATCATTTAGCTATTAGAATTTTAGGACCCCTTTTTAGGTATCAAATACATTATTGAATAAAATATTCATTTTGGCCTTTACTACTGAAGCCCATAGAAACGGATTGAATAATGCATTCATAAATGGCAAAGGAGAGTCAAACATAAATCATAAGAAACAAGGTTTTGAACTGGCCTAAATCTAGGAGATATAAAAAAACGCAGGGGGGAAAAAATTATATATTTATTTTTACACATTTAACCACTTTTTTTTTTTTTGGGGGGGGGGGGGGGGTAAGCACAAAACTACCTACATACATCCATTTGTTTTTTTTTTGTATCGTTACCTTCAGACGAGTCCCGTGACAGTTGTGGGGGTCGTAGAGCAAATCCTCTTTCTACAGTGGGGTCCCATTAGTTTATAGCCCAAACGGTTAGGACACTACCAAACAGAAGTTGGCACATTGACAGTACCGATTTTAGCCGAGTCTCCTGACACTTGTGGGGGTCATAGAGCAAAACGGAGAACACATCATGTTCATGAGTCTCCCCTTTCCATATAGTTTATCGGTCAAACCGTTCGGAAGCTACAGACGTTTACGCGAGAAGACCAATTTTTTTTTCTTTTTCGGGATGTCTCATGAGCTGACAAACACCGCTATAGCTCTTTCACCGGAGATGCGGAAGTGCGACACTGGTGGATGTGGTGGCTTGAGATGTAGCCCATGCAACAAAATAACATGTCTAGTTTAAATTGACCGTTTTTAAAAATGTATTTAGATTAAAGCAACGGTGCATCAATCGACTCTAGGGGGTTAACCCACATCCGGCAGTGTCGTACTTCCGCATCTGTGGTGAAAGGTGGCAGAGCTAGAGCAGTGTTTGTCAGACCGTGAGACATCCTGAAAATCGGTCTTCTCATGAAACGGAAATGTCTGTAGCGTCCGAACGGTTTGGCCTACAAACTATTATGACCCCTCTATGGAAAGAACTCTCACGAACACTATGGTGTTCTCTGTTTTGCTCGTCTGAAGTCGGTACAGCCGATCTGCAAACTTCTGTCTAGCGTCCGAAAAGTTTGGGCTACACACTAATTATGACCCCTGTATGGAAAGGTGAGTCTCTCACGAACACGTACATGTCGGTTGTTTTGCTCTAGGACGCCCACAGGTCTAGTCTGAAGGTAGCTGGGTACCCATTTTAAAAAACGAACGTTTGGACGTATCTCATTCCAGGGTTTTTCTTTATTTGTACTATTTTCTACATTGTAGAATAATAGTGAAGACATGAGGTGACTACCTCATGAAGCTGGTTGAGAGCATGCCAAGAGTGCGCAAAGCTGTTATCAAGGCAAAGGGTGGCTGATTTTGAAAAATATATTTTGATTTGTTTAACACTGTTGGTTACTACATATTCCATTTGTGTTATTTCATAGTTTTGATGTCTTCACTATTATTATGTAGAAAACAGTAAAAATAAAGAAACCCTTGAATGAGTAGCTGTGTCAAACTTTTGACTGGTACTGTATATAAGCAGAAAATAACCCCATACCTACTGTCAAATATGGTGGTGGATCTTTCATGATATGGGTCTATTTTGCTTCCACTGGTCCTGGGGCATCCAGGTCCTGGGGCATCCAGGTCAACGGCATCATAAACTTCAAATCCCCAAAAAATTGTCACATGCTTCGTAAACGGGTGTTGGCTAACAACGAAATGCTTACGGGCCCTTCCCAACAATGCAGAGAGACAATAGAAAAGTAAAACACTGAAGACGGCAGTCTAAGCGTAGTCTAAGGATCTCGAAGGGTTCTGTATGGAGGAATGGTCTAAGATCCTTCCCAATGTGTTATCCAACTCCATAAAACATTTTAGAAAGGCTCAGTGCCGTTATCCTCGACTGGGAGGTATTTAAAACAAAACCTCTTTCTCTGTATTAGTATACAAATATAATTTCCCCTTTTTTAGCATACAATATAGCTCAGTATTTGAATTATTTATTTTATAGTCATATTTGTTTAGCTTTATCAAAGGTGTCAATTTCGGACCCCACTGTATGTGGTGTAGATGTCCCCCACACTATCTCCGGAGGTCGTGTGACAGAGCTCTTAAAGAGATTTGAATCTAGATCCATCTCTTACACTACAAGTATCTCTCCTGGACCTAGTTTGTTGTCAAAGTAGTGTAAAGAGGCCCAATGTTAGGGTCTGTTTCACACCATTGTAGTGTTTCTTGTTTTCTACCCTGGTGTTTTCTGTCCTCTCAGCCACTGGCATTGTCCATTTCACCCTGTGCTACTGTCTCTTTTTCAGATGACAATTTTCTTCCTCCTGCTCCGCTTCAACCTCTGATGCAATTCCCAAAAGGCAAGTTATTTTTCCTGGCTGTCTTTGTCCTCCTGCATCTTCTCTTTTCAGTTCATGCCTTTACACCTTAATTACATTTTGACTGTCTGATATGCATGCCAAGTTTGTTAAAGGTCCAAATGCAGCTGTTTTTATAGTAATGTCAATTTCTTGGTAGCAATTATGTACCTCACTGTAATAGTTTTCAATTAAAATGGTAAAAAATAAACAAATTGCTTTTTAGCAACATTTACCTAATTTACTGCATGGGGACGTCACCAGGCAAGCCGACACTCATCCCATGATTAGAAGGTCCTGTGTAAATTGTATTTTCAACCAGCAACTAACAGAAAATAACACTGATCAAATTTGTTCACACTTTTAGTGTTTTATCAACTATTGTACAATATGGTATAAAACGCAGGAAAACTGCATTTTGAGTGCACTGGGCCTTTAAGAATATTTTACATAGTATTTGCATTTAAGTAACTAACAAATAAATATAGGCTCTAACATTGTTTGTATGATCCTGTAATGTGAATCCCTGTGACCAAAGTCCACTTACAGTAGATAAGACAGAAGACACTAACTTTATAGTTAAAAGTTTGTGATGATTCCCCTCATTGATTGCTCCCATGTAAAAAAAAAAAAAAAGAGACTATTTCGGTATACCTCTGAGATCACTGATGGGAAACACCACCTCACCTCTGCAGACTGCTGGCAGGGCATGCCAGGCATGGCTTGCTAGCGCTGAAGGAATGGCGTGTGTCTTGATGTATTGCATTTTCCCTCTTTACTCAAGAACTTGGGCAGAAGGGTGAGTCCCCTGCTTCCATCTCCCCTCTCTCTCGTCTTCACTCTCCTGACTCTCTGGAAGACCTCTCTTTGTCAGAGAGTCCAAATCCAACATCTGCTCCATTGGGCTTCTCCTCCTGGCCTTCTACTGAGACCCCCAAAATACTGACCAAGGATATGACTTGGGATGAAGAGGGTAACACCAGATTAGGTTTTTGTAAGAGTGATGAGGCTATTGTGAAAGGGTTAGAAACTGCTACCTACACTGAAAGTAAACATGATACAAAAAAATGCCCCGCGAGCGATGTAGGGTCCAAGTCTCTGTGTGGAGACAGTGGTGTGGTCTCTCCTGAAGAGCAGCTTTGTAGCTCAGTCAGGTCTACTACTCCTTCCCAGTCCCCTAATAATCCCCTGATGACCCCTGAATCTGACATTGCACCTGCCTCCTCTAACCCAACAGAGCACTGGGATTCTCCATTCTTAGCTTCTCAAGACCCCAGGGCCTCCATGGATACGTTCTCCAAGGACTCAGCCTCCAGAGGCTCCTCTGGGTATGAGCCAGATATGCTTGGCCAATCAGATGATGGTGACTTACTGTTTGAGGTGAAGAAGAATCCATTCCAGGGCTTTTCCCCTGTAGCAGATGCTGGGTTCTCCCATTATGGGGATATCACCTCTGACAGCCAGGCAGCTAAAATGTCTGAGAGTCCCACCCCAGACCTGGTCCAGTATGGCCAGGCTGGAGACCCACAAGATGGCAGCCCACCATCCTATTATGATGAAACAAAAATGTATGAGTCTGTCAAGATGGCTGCGGAATCGCTCATGGAGCCATTCAATCAGTTCTCAACCACCCCTAAAGAGAGCGAGGACTCGGCACTTCCACCATCTCTTCCAGATATCTTAAAGCCCTTCCCTTTGAACCCTGACAAAGTGGACTCTGGCTCTTCTGAAGGAAGCACTGAGCCGAGCCCTGCTCCTATCCGGAAGATGGTTGAGTCACCCACTGTCCCCGTCACTCTGTCAGCAACAAATCCCTTTGCTTTCGATTCCAAAGCTTTACTGCTGAAGGAGCTGACTGAGGAGACCGAAGCAAGATTAGCTGTGAAGGTGAAGACTGAAGATAAAGGCTTTAGTGCCTTTGACCTTGTAAAGGAGGCAGAGACTACACCCCAGAGCAAACCACCTGTCCAGATAGAACAAAAAGATTGGATGTTTTCCAGTCAAGATTCACCCAAAATGGTGAACAAATTAGAGCCTCTTAATTTCCAGACTAGAAAGACCCCTGAAGATTCTGATTCTGAGAGTCCTTCAGCAGACTCTCTGTCCCCTGTTCTGGAGGCAATGGCCAAGAATCCAGCAAGTTTCCAGGTGGAGTCTGAGAAGAATGACATGAAAGTGGAAGAGCCAGAGGGAGCAGAGGAGATCTCTGAGCCGGAAGTCTCCTCTGAAGAGTTTGAGTTCATCGAGAGGCCCCCCAGGGGTGTGATCGATGAGTTTCTAGAAGCATTAGATAGCTCCAAGTTTGCTAAGGCAACAGCGCTTAGTATGGATGAAGATGACATGAGCTTTGGGCTGAAGGATGTGGCGTCTGCAAATATAGCCCCAGAAGTTAAAGAAGAATCTCCTAGTCAGAGCTCTTACCTCCTACTCACCCAGAAGGGTAAGGCAGACCTAGAGAAGGCTGATATCAAAGGTCCCGCCTCAAAGGCCCCTCTCATCCACTCACCTGTTCGCAAACCGGAGATGCTCGCCAAGGACACAGAGGGCCCCAAAATGGCTCCGATGCCCAACCTGCGCACCGAAGCAGGTAATTTCCACATGGAAGTTCACCACCAGTTTTTTTTATTTTTATTTATTGGTGCATCATTTTACTCTCCTTGGTTGTCATTTCCCTCTATCACTTTTTTTCTCCCATAACAGTTTCTCCTCTGCATCATCCCTTTTTTAAAATTAACCATTACAATTGGGTGCGTGTGTTGGCATGATGTTGGTTTCATGATCTTGGTTTTCATATTCAGTCGTTCATCTGCCCCCCCATTTAGATTAGTATATTGTCAGTCTCATAATTGTTGTATTTTGCAATCCATTCTCTTGATGTAGTAAGTACTGAAGGAATTTATCATGACTTCTCTGTGCAGAAACTGAATAAAAATGTGCGGGGGGGGGGTTGTTATGTTCCAAAGAGATTGTTAAAATGACATTGACACAACACAATCCATTTTATATGAAGATATACAGTGCCTTCAAAGTATTCACACCCCTTGACTTTCTCCACATTTTGTTACAGCCTGCATTTAAAATTGATTAAATTGAGATTTTCTTTTGTCACTGACCTACACACACAATAACCCAGAATGTCAAAGTGGAATTATGCTTTTTGAAATTTGTACATATTAATACAAAATTAGGCTGAAATGTCGTGAGTCAGTAAGTATTCAACCCCTTTATGGCAAGCCTAAAATAAGTTCAGGAGTACTATTTTGCTTAAGTTGCATGTTTAACATGATTTTTGAATGACTACCTTCTCTCTTTACCCCATACATACAATTATCTGTAAGGTCCCTCTGTTGAGCAGTGAATGTCATCACACAGATTCAACCATAAAGACCAGGGAGGTTTTCCAATGCCTCGCAAAGAAGGGTACCTATTGGTAGATGGGTTAAAAAAAAAGCAGACATTGAATATCCCCTGGAGCATGGTGAAGTTATTAATTACACTTTGGATGGAGTATCAATACACCGTCACTACAAAAATACAGGCGTCCTTCCTAACTGTTGTCGGAGAGGAAGGAAACCACTCAGGGATTTCCCCATCAGGCCAATGGTGACTTTAACAGTTTTAATGGATATGATAAGATGGAACTGAGGATGGATCAACAACATTGTAGTTACTCCACAATACTAACCTAATTGAAAGAGTGAGAAGAAGGAAGCCTGTACAGAATAAAAATATTCAAAAACATGCATCCTGTTTGCAACAAGGCACTAAAGTAATACTGCAAAAAATGTGGCACAGCAATTAACTTTTTGTTGTGAATACAGTGTGTTATTTAGGGCAATTACTATGCATTACATTTACATTTTACATTTTAGTCATTTAGCAGACGCTCTTATCCAGAGCGACTTACAGGAGCAATTAGGGTTAAGTGCCTTGCTCAAGGGCACATCGACAGATTTTTCACCTAGTTGGCTCGGGGATTAGAACCAGCGACCTTTCGGTTACTGGCACAATGCTCTTAACCACTAAGCTACCTGCCGCCCATTACTGAGTACCACTACATATTTTCAAGCATAGTGGTGGCTGCATCATGTTATGGGTATGCTTGTAATTTAAGGACTAGAGTTCTTTTCAGGATAAAAAAAAAACTATGGAGTTAAGCACAGGCAAAATCCTAGCGGTAAACCTAGTTCAGTCTGCTTTCCAGCAGACACTTTCAGCAGGACAATAACCTAAAACACAAAGACAAATCTACTTTTGAGTTGCTTACCAAGAAAACAGTGAATGTTCCTGAGTGGCCAAGTTAGTTTTGACTTAAATCTACTTGAAATCTATGGCAAGACCTGAAAATTGTTCTCGTAATGAACAAGAACCAATTTGACAGAGCTTGAAGAATTTTGAAAAGCATAATGGGCAAATGTTGCACAATACAGGTGTGGAAAGGTCTTAGACTTAGACTGCCAAAGGTGCTTCTACAAAGTATTGACTCTGGGTGTGAATACGTACACTACCGGTCAAAGGTTTTAGAACACCTACTCATTCAAGGGTTTTTATTTTATTTTTTACTATTTTCTACATTGTAGAATAATAGTGAAGACATCAAAACTATGAAATAACACATATGGAATCATGTAGTAACCAAAAAAAATAAAAGTGTTAAACAAATCAAAATATATTTTAGATTTTTCAAAATAGCCACCCTTTGCCTTTGTGCAAAGCTGTCATCCTCTTGGCATTCTCTCAACCAGCTTCATGAGGTAGTCACCTGGAATGCATTTCAATTAACAGGTGCCTTCTTAAAAGTTCATTTGTGGAATTTCTTTCCTCCTTAATGCGTTTGAGCCAATCAGTTGTGTTGTGACAAGGTGGGGGGGGGGGGTGGTAATACAGAAGATGACCCTATTTGGTAAAAGACCAAGTCCGTATGGCAAGAACAGCTCAAATAAGCAGAGAAACGACAGTCCATCATTACTTTAAGACATGAAGGTCAGTCAATACATACAATGTCAAGAACTTTGACGTTTCTTCAGGTGCAGTTGAAAAAACCATAAAGCGCTATGATGAAACTGGCTCTCATGACCACCACAGGAAGGGAAGACCCAGAGTTATCTCTGCTGCAGAGGATAAGTTCATTAGTTACTAGCCTCAGAAATTGCAGCCCAAATAAATGCTTCAGAGTTCAAGTAACAGACACATCTCAACATCAACTGTTCAGAGGAGACTGTGAATCAGGCCTTCATGGTCAAATTGCTGCAAAGAAGCCACTACTAAAGGACACCAATAAGAAGAGACTTGCTTGGGCCAAGAAACACAAGCAATGGACATTAGACCGGTGGAAATTTGTCCTTTGGTCTGCAGTCCAAATTTGAGATTTTTGGTTCCAACCGCCGTGTCTTTGTGAGATGCGGTGTGGGTGAACGGATGATCTCTGCATGTGTATTTCCCACTGTAAAGCATGGAGATGGTGTGGAGGTGCTTTGCTGGTGACACTGTCTGTGATTTATTTAGAATTCAAGGCACACTTAACCAGCATGGCTACCACAGCATTCTGCAGCGATACGCCATCCCATCTGGTTTGGACTTAGTCCCACTATCATTTGTTTTTCAACAGGACAATGACCCAACACACCACCTGGCTGTGTAAGGGCTATTATACCAAGAAAGCGAGTGATTGAGTGCTGCATCAGATGACCTGGCCTCCCCCGACCACAACCAAATTTACATTTTAGTAATTTAGCAGACGCTCTTATCCAGAGCGACTTACAGTTAGTGAGTGCATACATTTTCATACTGGCCCCCCGTGGGAATCGAACCCACAACCCTGGCGTCGCAAACACCATGCTCTACCAACTGAGCTACATGGGACTAATTGAGATGGTTTGGGATGAGTTGGACCGCAGAGTAAAGGAAAAGCAGCCAACAAGTGCTCCACAGATGTGGGAACTCCTTCAAGACTGTTGGAAAAGCATTCCAGGTGCAGCTGGTTGAGAGAATGCCAAGAGTGTGCAAAGGGTGGCTATTTTGAAAAATGTAAAATATATTTTGATTTGTTTAACACTACTTTTTTTTCTTCTTTTTTTTGGTTACTACATGATTCCATATGTGTTATTTCATAGTTTTTATGTCTTCACTATTATTCTACAATGTAGAAAATAGTAAAAATAAAGAAAAACCCTTGAATGAGTAGGTGTTCTAAAACATTTGACCGGTAGTGTATGTAAATGAGATTATTTTCAATACATTTGCTAAAATGTCTAAACATGTTTTCATTATGGGGTATTGTGTGTAGATAGGTGAGAGAATCTATTCAATCAATTTTGAATTCTGGCTGTAACAACTAAATGTGGAGTAAGTCAATGGGTTCTAAAGGCACTGTAGCTTACATTTCAGCCATCTAGTAATATTTGAATGCCTGTCATTACATTCATAGACATGCAGTATCTCTTGTGAACACCCATTTTTCATAATACACCTGGTTAGAAAATGAGCTGATCTACAATTACATTTTTGCTTCTTGCCAAGTGGTTTGAATGGTACTACATGGGGCCTGGTAAGAACTGCCTCCCATGGGAACAGGTTGTGGCAGTTAGCGGTCCTGACTGTCTTGCCCCCACAGTGGTTTTAGTTTGCCCAGAGCGTTTTTCTCTGTGGAATTAGATTAACTCTGTAAACCGTGGATTGCTGTGTATTGGCCAATGAGAGGCTTTGAAGCCACCGGTCGGCCATATTGGCACTCCCCAGAAGAAACAGTCCTCCATAGGAATGAATGGAATTCTAGTGTTTCAAGGACAAAATTACATGTATTTAAGTGGGGGCAGTAACATTAGAACGTTAAAAAAATTATACTTTAAGGAAAATGTTTAAGTATATTTTTTATGTTTAGTTCACATACTATAATTTACAAGTATGCATTAATGTGTCTGTAATGGAGTAAATGTGGCAAGAACAAGTGTGTGTATACATTTTCTATAGCTTCCCCTCACCGGGTGCACATTTTTTCTCCTAGCACTACACAGCTGATTGAATTAATCAGCTCATCAAGCTTTTGATTATTTGAATCAGCTGTGTAGCGCTAGGGCAAATAACAAAACGTGCACCCAGGGAGGGCCCCAGGACAAAGTTAGGGAAATCCTGATTGTGTGTGTCATTGATATCACCCAGCTCTACTCTGTCTGGTTTTAGCCCTTGCTGAAAATAACCAGAGATATGAAACTGTACACCACCTTGTAGGCCCCATGGCCTTTGAGCCCACATGTCCTAATAAACCCTACCCAGCTTAGCAAAAAATGTCCATATGTTTAGGAAGGCTTACTGCACTGGGACAGTGGCCTTCTGATTTTAGTACATTTTTTTTTTTTTATTCTTATTTTTTTTTTTTTGTTGCATGATTGCCGTTAGGCTAAAGACTTTACATATGAATGGCTCAGTCGTACCTTGCTGGTTATTCACCCTGTGATTCACACCGATATCAGTAGAGTGCAGATATTTTATTTATTTGATTGGAACATTGCTCTGAGCAAGGCTGGCGGACCCCCAGACAATGTGTGAGGAATCGGCCCGTAAAAAAGGCCCTGCCTGCATTGCGACACCAGCCGATGAAGAATAGAGCTTGTCAGCAAGTGTTCCCTTATTTGTTCGACTGGAAATGCAATACCATCTGAAACATCACCCCTGCCCTCTCATTCGCAAAACCCCCTTAGTGAGATTGCGGGTTGTTTGAATCCACAGAACTGTAGTAAACGACCACACTATAATTAATGAATTAATCAGTCACCCATAGTCTATCTTCAGTATGACTACACCCTTATGCTAGAAAAAGTTACCTCCCATTTATCTAAGTGACTCCTGCTGTAGTGCTGAGTGTGAATATACTTGGAGCTGACCCATTTTGTCAACTCTCTAAGAGACTTGCTGAAAACACAACGTGATTTATAAATTATTTGAAACAAAGATTAGTAAACCTAGGCAGACTTAAGTGAAATGAGTGAGGTGCCCTCTAGTGGACTAATACAACAATCACCATTTTCTTATGTGATTTAAGACTGACTACTGATGAGGGTTGATTTGGTGATGACCAAATCATTGTTTGGCTGATTTGATATGGTACACAGTTTTTAAGATGGACTTTGACTCTGATCAACATAATTGAGTAATATTACATTAATTTAAGTGCAGTAATGGTCTGATTGGATGTCAGATGCTTTCTAGAGCATGAGGTTAGATTTTGGAGTATTTTAATTGTTTAATGTAACTTTCAAACTTTTGGAGGCAATTCAGAGGGCATTAAAAATGAACAGTCACAGTACACGCTGTAGTGTAGTTTAAAGGTAGTGGGATAGTCTATCTAATCTATGCACTTGTAGTCCCTACAGAGACCGTTGGGTGGAGTCACCTACTCACTGCTTTGTCATCCATGTGGTGATGAGAGGGAGGGAAAAGCACATGTACATTTGCGCAAGGGGAGGGAGAGTATCTGACTGGGAGATAAGGGGGAGTGAGTTAGATGGGGAGTTTATAGTCGCTGCGTCAGTGCGTTAGACGTGCCAGCAGACAGTCAGCTGACCTCAGTCCTACAGCCTGAGAGGAAGAGAAAAGGGGGGAGGGAGAGCGCAGTAGTACTGCAGTCATCTCACAGGAGGAAGGTTTGGTTGTCCCTCATCTTCCACCCCGGTCCCCGCACCCCACCCGCCTCCAGCCCAACACACCACATGCTGTCTGGAATGCCCTGCTGATACCTACACAGCGGCTCTATCATGGAAAACGGAAAAACTGAAAACGGAGACACCCAGCCTCCGCCACAGTGGAAAGATAAGGGTATCCCTCTTACTTATTTTACTGTTGCGGTAACCTTTTCTGAATTTTTTTAGTAGTGATGGCAAATATGTTTTTAATTTGTGAAATTAAAAGTAGTCCATTTGTTTTTAAAGGGTGGTTATTAAACAATGCACAGGTATTGTTGACATTCGTAGTATGTTACTGGTAATGACTTTGGTAGTTTTGAGTGGGTTGCTTGTCCCATCCAGCCATGCATTCCATTTTCTCTATGAATGTAGCCCCGTGTAGCTCAGTTGGTAGAGCATGGCGCTTGCAACGCCAGGGTTTTGGGTTTGATTCCCACGGGGGGCCAGTTTGAAAAAAAAAAAAAATATGTATGCACTCACTAACTGTAAGTCGCTCTGGATAAGAGCGTCTGCTAAATGACTAAAATGTAAAATGAATGTGTAGCCATCCGTAAATAAATAACAGATTGTTGGTAACCAGTGGGACTGTTAAAGCCACACACAAAAATCTACAATTTTCTCTGGTTTTCTAATGTGTAATACACTATCCTGGCAGATACCCGTCAGCGTTACTCTGACCAAAGGTTGAAAGTCTTTCCAAAGGTGCATGGTGGGAGGAGGGGTGTTGAGCAAAAGCGACAAGTGTAATAGTTGTTTAATGATTCCTGGAGGTGACTCACCACTGCCTGGTCCGGTGCTCCCAGTGCACCAGGGGTCTCTAACCCCTCTGACAAGTGCTGCTGAGTTCAGGACCAGCCTTCAGCCTTAGTCTTCTGACTAGGATTTATGAAGGTGTATTAGTAAATTGTTCAGCATGTGCAACAGCAATAAAAAAAGTCTGTGTGCCTAGTGGTTAAGAGTGTTGGGCAAGTAACCGAAAGGTCGCTGGGTCGTATCCCAAAGCAGACTAGGTGAAAAATCGTAACCCTAATTGCTCCTGTAAGTCGCTCTGGATATGAGCGTCTGCTAAATGACTAAAATGTATGTATGGATTCACACTTAGCCTATATGGCAAGCACCAGAGGAGCCATGTGGCTTATGGCAGAAAAGGTCTTCTGGTGTTTTCCAGGCCCAGTTGTAGCCATCCTTTAGCTCAGACGGGGACATTGGTTGCCTGAGCCTCACACTGGTGCTGTGGCTGTGCTCACGTCTGCTGATTTGTCATGTGTGCTACTGCCATTGCATCATTCTGGGATGCAGCATGGCAATTCACACATTGCAACAGAAAGGGAATTGTGCTCAAAGGGCCTCTTTCAACTATTTGACTAAATGGTATGTCATCCATTCTACCATCTGGCTGCGCACCATCAGTTGAGCATGAAAGAGGCACTTGGATAGGGTATGAGTGTAGTAGGCTACTACCAGCCTGAGTCACTCAGTGACTAAGCAGTATTGGGCTGAGATAATTAGTTTTAGCGGGTAAGCATATTGTTTGTTTCTTTGAACTGGGCATGATAGTGTGCATGGATTTCCATTGGACATGTGCTCTGATGTAGGAGTTTGAATAGGACTGTTTCTGGCTAGGGCATTATGGCTATGAACTCACTGCCAGACCATTGTAGTGGTTAAATATTGACCCACTGCTGCAAATGGGCTGTATGCAAGATTTTCAATACATTGCAAATTGCCTGTGGTGGGCAGTTTCTACTTTTGTTGGAATTGGTATTTTATTAAAACATGGCTTTGTAATAAACTTCTGATTTTAGATTTGACCAGTTGTCGGTCACAACTATGCACTGTTGCGTTATCTTGATAAAGCTGGTCAACATTTGCAGTTATGATTTATGTAACATTTTCCACACCACCTACTCCCCCTTTTCCAATATTTTCATTCCGTTTCGAAACCAAATGACTATTCATACAAAGCTCTACCACTCTTCCCTAGAATAAAGCTCATTCACATATTTGCATTGGGCACGTATTGAAACTTCAACATAATTAGAAAGGGCTGAGGCGCTGCAGAGCTGCGCATAATGATCGGACCTCACATCGCTAGCTGAACTAGTTAGGTACTGAATGCTAGGAGGCTCAAAATGGATGCCGAACGGGGTAAGCGCTGTCATTCTCTTGTGTACGATGCTGCCGTTTCATATCACATTTATATTCGATTGTATCGCCATTTGAATTAACCACTTTGCTTGACCAACGCTAGGCGGGAGGCGGATGGGTAGGAATTGAGCTGTGCATGGCATATGCAGAGGCCCAGCTAGGTCAAACTGGACATTTTATCGTGATGGGGCTACGCTGAGATGACACATGGCGTCATGTACGATTCATAGCCATTTCCCTGTTTATCCATCTCCCCCCGTGGAGATGTATACGGAAGGACTTGATTAAAACATGGCGTGTTTATTCGCTATATATATGATGAGATCAGCGCGGTTAATATGCCTGGGCTATTTTAGGTTCCCCCACAGATGCTAGTTCATGCTTACCATATGTACGGTAGACACGCGTTCGGACTGAAATAACCGCTTCACGGTTGCACATGAGCTATTATTGCTAGCAACATTCTAGACAAAGGGTCCTGGTGACGTAAATGTTGGCGCTAGTTACTAGTAACTGGCTAATAGGCTAGCTAGCTATATATTAAACGAGATGTAGCCGAGCTATCTAGCTAAGTTAGCAGCTAACATTGGCGTTTGGGAGAAATTAAAAGCTTAGCGTTACTGCCTAAAAAACGACACCCCACGCGTGGTCCATAAAGGGTCTGACTTGCACCTCTGATTTTGATTCCTCTCGAGAAGCATTCTTGTGATTTTGACAGTGAAGTGTGTCCCTAGGCTGGCTAAAACTGCTGATGCTGCTTATGATTCTGCTCCTGCAGTGCATTTAGGCATTTTACTTGTCTATAATTGTCAGCTATATGATCATCAATTCAATCACATTGATGCATCAGACTTAGCTTTGGTATGAATTACATGATATGATTATCTATTTGACAAACTTGTCAAATGTGATTTGGGTTTTCCACTATAAGCTCATTCATTGCTTGTTAAGCCATTTGAAATCTGGTAGCCTGCCAAGTCATTGCACATTGAAGACTCAAGCAATGTCTGAAATGCGTCTGCAATTAGGAAATCGATGTAAAAGAGACATCTAATATTGTATACTGACCTGCTAGGAATTCCTGGTGAAACACAAGCATGGGTCTGTCCTGCCCCCAGCTGTCTGTTAGCCACCCCACCCCACCACCACCCCCTGGTCACTCAATCTTAAAAAAGAAACAGGTCTTAGGTCTATACCATGGCTATGAATGGACCTGGACTAGCTGCATTACCTGCAGTGGAATACTGGTATTCCAACAGTAAACTAAACATGTCAGCTGCAGGGAACACCAGGGATTCCCTTTTAGTGCAGTGAAGTAGTGTGGCTAGTAGCTAATTATCTGCAGACAAATAATTAAGACGCAAATTCAATCGGGTGTTTAATTTTTCATAGAATTCCCCCTTTTCATTCCACCTCCACATCACCACCATGATCTAGCTTATCTGAATTGTTTTTTTGTGTCCTGCAGCTTTCTGACCCTGTTCCTTCTCTCCTGCAGTGGTAGAGCTCCTGTACTGGCGCGATGTCAAGACCTCTGCCGTGGTGTTTGGCGCTGGCCTCTCCCTGCTGCTCTCCCTGACACTTTGCAGCATCGTCAGCGTCTCATCCTACATCGGTCTGGCGCTCCTCTCCGTCACCATCTGCTTCAGGATATACAAGGGGATCCTGCAGGCCATCCAGAAGTCTGATGAAGGGCACCCATTCAAGTGAGTAACCCACTTCTCAATATTAGTGGTTGAAAAACTACCCAATTGTCACACTAATAGAAAATGACTTAAGTGAAAGTCACCCAGTAAAATACTACTTGAGTAAAAGTATTTGGTTTTAAATATACTTAAGTATTAAATGTAATTGCAAAAATATACTTAAGTATCAAAAGTAAAAGTGTAAATCATTTCAAATTACTTCTATTAGGCAATCCAAACGGCACAATTTTATTTTTATTTCTTATTGACGGCTAGTCAAGGTCACACCAACACTCAGACAGCATTTACAAATGAAGCATTTGTTTTTTGAGTCTGCCAGATCAGAGGCAGTAGGGATGACCAGGGATGTTCTCTTGATAAGTGTGTGAATTTGACCATTTTCCTGTCCTGTTAAGCATTCAAAATGTAACAAGTACTTTTGGGTGTCAGGGAAAATTATTTTCTTTAGGAATGTAGTAAAGTAAAAGTTCTCAAAAATAAAAATGGTAAAGTACAGATACCCCCAAAAACTACTTAAGTAATACTTTAAAGTATTTTTACTTAAGGACTTTACACCACTGCTCAACATACACCATGATGTATTGCAGAAAACATCTATTACATACATCATGCATGCATTTGCCTCCTCACCTGCTCTCTGGAGTATCTTGGCATCTCACATTTCCAATACCCCAGCCATGTGGGCCAGTAGAAGAATGTAAGACCATGGACCAGTAGAATAATGTAAGATCATGGACCAGTGATCATTATACCAAGGCAGTATTCCTGAAGAGTATCCATTTAGTCAATTCAGGAATTGAATTGCAGCTAATTGACTGAATTGAAACACCACATCTGTTTTAGGAATCAGGCAATTTGAACATGAATCCAGCTACTGGTTAATTGATAAAGTTGGAGTACAATTTTGTCCTGATTTAGATGATTGGGTTACAGAAGTAGATGTATTCCCAGCCAAGGAGCGACATGGCTCTTATTTGAGTAAACATTGTGACTCTGTCACACAGAGAGCTTCTACTCTGGTTATCCCCGTTCCTGGCAGTGGCTCAAAGCCTTCTTATGAGTTCTCACCAACCACTCGTTAACATTGAATTATCTTGGTTTAAGATTACAGGGAAAGTGACTAGTGCTCAGAAAAGCATAACTAAGCCGGTCAAGTGTGGTTCTTGGCTTTGCGTTCTTAGAAATCAATCTAACGTGCAAACAGAAGGCCAACCACTCTCCTCGACAACCTATGTGCTTAAGAGGTTATTGTAGACCCCTCACCCATGTTTTGTGTTGAGGTTGAAATCTAATTTTATTGGTCGCATACACATTTTGCAGGTATAGCGAAACACTTATGTTCCTAGCTCTAACAGTGCAGTAATACCTAACAACACATGCAAATAAAAAAAGGAATTAAGAAAAATAGAAATATTAGAACGAGCAATGTCAGTCTGGAAAATATATATATATATACAGTGGGGAGAACAAGTATTTGATACACTGCCGATTTTGCAGGTTTTCCTACTTACAAAGCATGTAGAGGTCTGTAATTTTTATCATAGGTACACCTCAACTGTGAGAGACGGAATCTAAAACAAAAATCCAGAAAATCACATGGTATGATTTTTAAGTAATTAATTTGCATTTTATTGAGTATTTGATCACCTACCAACCAGTAAGAATTCCGGCTCTCACAGACCTGTTAGTTTTTCTTTAAGAAGCCCTCCTGTTCTCCACTCATTACCTGTATTAACTGCACCTGTTTGAACTCGTTACCTGTATAAAAGACACCTGTCCACACACTCAATCAAACAGACTCCAACCTCTCCACAATGGCCAAGACCAGAGAGCTGTGTAAGGACATCAGGGATAAAATTGTAGACCTGCACAAGGCTGGGATGGGCTACAGGACAATAGGCAAGCAGCTTGGTGAGAAGCCAACAACTGTTGGCGCAATTATTAGAAAATGGAAGAAGTTCAAGATGACGGTCAATCACCCCTCGGTCTGGGGCTCCATGCAAGATCTCACCTCGTGGGGCATCAATGATCATGAGGAAGGTGAGGGATCAGCCCAGAACTACACGGCAGGACCTGGTCAATGACCTGAAGAGAGCTGGGACCACAGTCTCAAAGAAAACCATTAGTAACACACTACGCCGTCATGGATTAAAATCCTGCAGCGCACGCAAGGTCCCCCTGCTCAAGCCAGCGCATGTCCAGGCCCGTCTGAAGTTTGCCAATGACCATCTGGATGATCCAGAGGAGGAATGGGAGAAGGTCATGTGGTCTGATGAGACAAAAATAGAGCTTTTTGGTCTAAACTCCACTCGCCGTGTTTGGAGGAAGAAGAAGGATGAGTACAACCCCAAGAACACCATCCCAACCGTGAAGCATGGAGGTGGAAACATCATTCTTTGGGGATGCTTTTCTGCAAAGGGGACAGGACGACTGCACCGTATTGAGGGGAGGATGGATGGGGCCATGTATCACGAGATCTTGGCCAACAACCTCCTTCCCTCAATAAGAGCATTGAAGATGGGTCGTGGCTGGGTCTTCCAGCATGACAACGACCCGAAAACACACAGCCAGGGCAACTAAGGAGTGGCTCCGTAAGAAGCATCTCAAGGTCCTGGAGTGGCCTAGCCAGTCTCCAGACCTGAACCCAATAGAAAATCTTTGGAGGGAGCTGAAAGTCCGTATTGCCCAGCGACAGCCCTGAAACCTGAAGGATCTGGAGAAGGTCTGTGTGGAGGAGTGGGCCAAAATCCCTGCTGCAGTGTGTGCAAACCTGGTCAAGACCTACAGGAAACGTATGATCTCTGTAATTGCAAACAAAGGTTTCTGTACCAAATATTAAGTTCTGCTTTTCTGATGTATCAAATACTTATGTCATGCAATAAAATGCAAATTAATTACTTAAAAATCATACAATGTGATTTTCTGGATTTTTGTTTTAGATTCCGTCTCTCACAGTTGAAGTGTACCTATGATAAAAATGACAGACCTCTATATGCTTTGTAAGTAGGAAAACCTGCAAAATCGGCAGTGTATCAAATACTTGTTCTCCCCACTGTATGTGTATGTATATATATTTATTTATTTATATTACCAGTCAAACGTTTGGAAACCTACTAATTTCAAGTTTTTTTTTATTTTTACTCTTTTTTTACATTGTAGAATAATGGTGAGGACATCAACTATGAAATAACACACATGGAATCCTGTAGTAACCAAAAAAGTGTTAAACAAAGGCAAATATATTTTATATTTGAGATTCTTCAAATAGCCACCATTTGCCTTGATGACAGCTTTGCACACTCTTGGCGTTCTCTCAATCAGCTGCACCTGGAATGCTTTTCCAACAGTCTTGAAGGAGGTCCCACATATGCTGAGCATTTGTTGGCTTCTTTTCCTTCACTCTGCCGTCCGACTCATCCCAAACAGTCTCAATTGGGTTGAGGTCGGGGGATTGTGGAGGCCAGTTCATATGATGCAGCACTCATCACTCTCCTTTTTAAAATAGCCCTTACACAGCCTGGAGGTGTGTTGGGTCATTGTCCTGTTGAAAAACAAATGATAGTCCCACTAAGCCCAAACCAAATGGGATGGCGTATCGCTGCAGAATGCTGTGGTAGCCATGCTGGTTAAGTGTGCCTTGAATTCTAAATACATTTACATTTACGTCATTTAGCAGACGCTCTTATCCAGAGCGACTTACAAATTGGTGCATTCACCTTATAGCCAGTGGGATAACCACTTTACAATTTTTTTGGGGGGGGAGTGGTGTAAGGGGGGGTAGAAGGATTACTTTATCCTATCCCAGGTATTCCTTAAAGAGGTGGGGTTTCAAGTGTCTCCGGAAGGTGGTGAGTGACTCCGCTGTCCTGGCGTCGTGAGGGAGCTTGTTCCACCATTGGGGTGCCAGAGCAGCGAACAGTTTTGACTGGGCTGAGCGGGAACTGTGCTTCCGCAGAGGTAGGGGGGCCAGCAGGCCAGAGGTGGATGAACGCAATGCCCTCGTTTGGGTGTAGGGACTGATCAGAGCCTGAAGGTACGGAGGTGCCGTTCCCCTCACAGCTCCGTAGGCAAGCACCATGGTCTTGTAGCAGATGCGTGCTTCAACTGGAAGCCAGTGGAGTGTGCGGAGGAGCGGGGTGACGTGAGAGAACTTGGGAAGGTTGAACACCAGACGGGCTGCGCCATTCTGGATGAGATGTAGGGGTCTAATGGCACAGGCAGGGAGACCAGCCAACAGCGAGTTGCAGTAATCCAGACGGGAGATGACAAGTGCCTGGATTAGGACCGCTTCCTGTGTAAGGCAGGGTCGTACTCTCCGAATGTTGTAGAGCATGAACCTACAGGATCTGTGTCACCAGCAAAGCACCCCCATACCACCACCTCCTCCATGCTTTACAGTGGGAACTACACATGCAGAGATCATCCGTTCACCCACTGCGTCACACAAAGACATGGCGGTTTAACCAAAAATCTCCAATTTGGACTCTAGACCAAAGGACACATTTCCACTGGTCTAATGTTCATTGCTCGTGTTTCTTGACCCAAGCAGGTCTTTTCTTCTTATTGGTGTCCTTTTGTAGTGGTTTCTTTGCAGCAATTCGACCATGAAGGCCTGATTCACGAAGTCTCCTCTGAACAGTTGATGTTGAGATGTCTGTTACTTGAACCCTAAAGCATTTATTTGGGCTGCAATTTCTGAGGCTGGTAACTCTAATGAACTTATCCTCTGCAGCAGAGGTAACTCTGGGTCTTCCATTCCTGTGGCGGTCCTCATGAGAGCCAGTTTCATCATAGCGCTTGATGGTTTTTGCATCTGCACTTGAAGAAACCTTCAAAGTTCTTAATTTTCCGTATTGACTGACCTTCATGTCTCAAAGCAATGATGGACTGTCGTTTCACTTTGCTTATTTGAGCTGTTCTTGCCATAATATGGACTTGGTCTTTTACCAAATAGGGCTGTCTTCTGTATACCAGCCCTACCTTGTCACAACACAACTGATTGGCTCAAACGCATTAATTTGTGGAATTTCTTTCCTTAACTTTTAACAAGGCACAACTATTAATTGAAATGCATTCCAGGTGAAGCTGGTTGAGAGAATGCCAAGAGTGTGCAAAGCTGTCATCAAGGCAAAGGGTGGCTATTTGAAGAATGTCAAATATAAAATATATTTTGATTTGGTATGTGTTATTTCATAGTTTTGATGTCTTCACTATTATTGTACAATGTAAAAAATTAATAAAAACCCTTGAATGAGTAGGTGTCCAAACTTTTGACTGTATCCATTGCAAATTTTTGTTAAATCTGCATCTCTACATGTATGACTTCCATTCCAGTGTCTGTTGAATTCCAACACAGGCACACCTCATTCTACTGAATTAGGTGATCACCTGAACCAAATCTTATTTAATGAGGAAAAGTATAAAAACCACTGCTGTGCTCATCACTATCCTCTTGCAATAGGACCAGCTGGATGGCAAAAACAGTGCTAATAGTACCTCAAAAGTAATATTAATCAAAAAAGAACTGTTGACCATGCCAAAAGAGTTGAAAAGGAAAGTTTTGAGTGAGGAAAAGAAGGGTTCAATTCTGGCTTTACTGGCAGAGGGATACAGTGAGCGTCAGGTTGCTTCCATCCTTAAAATGTCTATGACGGCGGTTCATAGCAAGTTCAAGCAGCAGACATTGGGGACAACAAAGCTACAGACCGGCAGAGGGCGAAAACGACTCTCTACTGACCAGGATGACCGCCAACTCATTCGAATGTCACTCAACAACCGTAGGATGACATCAAGTGACCTACAAAAAGAATGGCAAACGGCAGCTGGGGTGAAGTGCACGGCGAGGACGGTTCGAAACAGGCTCCTAGGGGCAGGGCTGAAGTCGTGCAAAGCTAGAAAAAAGCCCTTCATCAATGAGAAGCAAAGAAGAGCCAGGCTGAGGTTTGCAAAAGACCATAAGGATTGGACCGTAGAGGATTGGAGTAAGGTCATCTTCTCTGATGAGTCCAATTTTCAGACCAGGTTAGACAGAGACCTGGAGAGGCCTACAAGCCACAGTGTCTCGCACCCACTGTGAAATTTGGTGGAGGATCGGTGATGATCTGGGGGTGCTTCAGCAAGGCTGGAATCGGGCAGATTTGTCTTTGTGAAGGACGCATGAATCAAGCCATGTACAAGGTTGTCCTGGAAGAAAACTTGCTTCCTTTTGCTCTGACATTGTTCCCCAACTCTGAGGATTGGTTTTTCCAGCAGGACAATGTGCCATGCCACACAGCCAGGTCATTCAAGGTGTGGATGGAGGACCACCAGATCAAAACCCTGTCATGGCCAGCCCAATCTCCAGACCTGAACCCCATTGAAAACTTCTGGAATGTGATCAAGAGGAAGATGGATGGTCACAAGCCATCAAACAAAGCCGAGCTGCTTGAATTTTTGCGCCAGGAGTGGCATAAAGTCACCCAACATCAATGTGAAAGACTGGTGGAGAACATGCCAAGACGCATGAAAGCTGTGATTGAAAATCAGGGTTATTCCACCAAATATTGATTTCTGAACTGAAGTTAAAATATTAGTATTGTGGTGTTTAAAAATGAACATGCACTTATTTTCTTTGCATTATTCGAGGTCTGACAACACTGCATTTTTTTTGTTATTTTGACCAGTTGTCATTTTCTGCAAATAAATTCTCTAAATGACATTTTATTTGGGAGAAATGTTGTCAGTAGTTTATAGAATAAAACAAAAATGTTATTTTTACCCAAACACATACCTATAAATAGTAAAACCAGAGAAACTGATAATTTTGCAGTGGTCTCTGAATTTTTTTCAGAGATCTCTCTCTCTCTCTCTATATATATATATATATATATATATATACACACACACACACACACACACACACACACACAGTGAGGAGAACAAGTATTTGATACACTGTCGATTATGCAGGTTATCCTACTTACAAAGCATGTAGAGGTCTGTAATTTTTATCATAGGTACACTTCAACTGTGAGAGACGGAATCTAAAACAAAAATCCAGAAAATCACATTGTATGATTTTTAAGTAATTAATTTGCATTTTATTGCATGACATAAGTATTTGATACATCAGAAAAGCAGAACATAATATTTGGTACAGAAACCTTTGTTTGCAATTACAGAGATCATACGTTTCCTGTAGGTCTTGACCAGGTTTGCACACACTGCAGCAGGGATTTTGGCCCACTCCTTCATACAGACCTTCTCCAGATCCTTCAGGTTTCGGGGCTGTCGCTGGGCAATACGGACTTTCAGCTCCCTCCAAAGATTTTCTATTGGGTTCAGGTCTGGAGACTGGCTAGGCCACTCCAGGACCTTGAGACGCTTCTTACGGAGCCACTCCTTAGTTGCCCTGGCTGTGTGTTTCGGGTCGTTGTCATGCTGGAAGACCCAGCCACGACCCATCTTCAATGCTCTTACTGAGGGAAGGAGGTTGTTGGCCAAGATCTCGCGATACATGGCCCCATCCATCCTCCCCTCAATACGGTGCAGTCGTCCTGTCCCCTTTGCAGAAAAGCATCCCCAAAGAATTGATGTTTCCACCTCCATGCTTCACGGTTGGGATGGTGTTCTTGGGGTTGTACTCATCCTTCTTCTTCCTCCAAACACGGCGAGTGGAGTTTAGACCAAAAACCTCTATTTTTGTCTCATCAGACCACATGACCTTCTCCCATTCCTCCTCTGGATCATCCAGATGGTCATTGGCAAACTTCAGACGGGCCTGGACATGCGCTGGCTTGAGCAGGGGGACCTTGCGTGCGCTGCAGGATTTTAATCCATGACGGCATAGTGTGTTACTAATGGTTTTCTTTGAGACTGTGGTCACAGCTCTCTTCAGGTCATTGACCAGGTCCTGCTGTGTAGTTCTGGGCTGATCCCTCACCTTCCTCATGATCATTGATGCCCCACGAGGTGAGCTCTTGCATGGAGCCCCAGACCGAGGGTGATTGACCGTCATCTTGAACTTCTTCCATTTTCTAATAATTGCGCCAACAGTTGTTGCCTTCTCACCAAGCTGCTTGCCTATTGTCCTGTAGCCCATCCCAGCCTTGTGCATGTCTACAATTTTATCCCTGATATCCTTACACAGCTCTCTGGTCTTGGCCATTGTAGAGAGGTTGGAGTCTGTTTGATTGTGTGGACAGGTGTCTTTTATACAGGTAATGAGTTCAAACAGGTGCAGTTAATACAGGTAATGAGTGGAGAACAGGAGGGCTTCTTAAAGAAAAACTAACAGGTCTGTGAGAGCCGGAATTCTTACTGGTTGGTAGGTGATCAAATACTTATGTCATGCAATAAAATGCTAATTAATTACTTAAAAATCATACAATGTGATTTTCTGGATTTTTGTTTTTGATTCCGTCTCTCACAGTTGAAGTGTACCTATGATAAAAATTACAGACCTCTACATGCTTTGTAAGTAGGAAAACCTGCAAAATCGGCAGTGTATCAAATACTTGTTCTCCCCACTGTATATATATATGAATGATTATGTGTGGACGCTGAATAGAAAAGGTGTGTACAGCAGTAGTTTAGGATGAGCCTTGACTAGATTACAGTATACATATGAAGTGTGTAAACTCATTGAATGTAAAGACGCCATGTTTACATTCAGGATTTGTCTTGCAATATACGTAGGCCCAGCTCATGTTTTGTTGTGGTGTTGCAGGCTGTACCTGGATCAAGATGTGGGTCTGTCAGAGGAAACTGTCCATAAGTACAGCGACTGCGCTCTGGCACGGTTCAACACTACAGTCATAGAGCTGCGTCGCCTCTTCCTAGTTGAAGACCTGGTGGATTCCCTCAAGGTAAGAATGCAAATGCAACTGAATATTTAAGCATGTAGGCCAGCCTCCTGCATGGAAATATGGTGATTGCTACATATTTTGGTATTAATTTTATTTTTTCTGGTTGCTATTACTTAGTCAAAGGGGAATTTGATTGTTAACCTTATGGGAATGTTCATGTTCAACCCCCTAATAGCTACTGAAAACATTTTGCCCTTAAATCTATGGTTGCGTTCACATGTAAAATGAGTGAGTTTGAGCTTTTCCTTTCATTTTGTCCATGTACAGTCAGGCAGAAGTAGGTGACCCTCAGTGTCTTAAGGGGGAAACAGCCTTGTAGAGAAGAGCAGCTGTTGAGAGCTATGAGGTTTCTACATGTCTGTCAACACCTTCCAGTTCAACCCTTGCCCTGTCCACTGCTAAGGCCACTCCAGACCCCTCCTCCCAGCATGCTATGGCTCCTCTCTCTCCCCTCCCTCTGTGGGTGGGGGTAGCTATGGTTCTAGCCCGGCCTCTTTGTTAGAGGGTACAGTAAATTAGACCTCTGTCCATTCAAGAGCCATCAGCTACATTGATTTAGGATTCTTAAGGTTCATCAAGAGTGTCATCTATTTAGTCTGTACCCTGTGGGCAGATTGAAAGTGTGACCTGGTGAACTTCTGCCAAATGTTGTAAATAAACCAAATCCCTTTGGCTACACCACGGCCTTATTTATACATTTGGGACAAGGCTATAAATGCTTGTTGATATTTTGATTCCAGGTCAGATTCTCAGTTTACTAGTTGATCATTTTAAGTGTGTCTGTCCACCTTGAATATCACCGTATAAGGATGCATGTGATCTTGGATTACAACTGCGGAGTGCCTAACATGTAAACATACCTAAGCTCCGTAGGAATGAATATGCAACATTTTGAGTGAATTTGTCATATAATGGCTTTGCTAATCAATATATGGAAAGATGGCCTCTTCATGGTTGCACCTCCGTCACTCGTTCGCGTTGTTGCCATTGTTATCAACGTTCTACAGATGCCACAGCATATTGATGTCTGACGGATGGTTAATGCCTGTTTCGTCAAATCTACGCTATTGGCCTGTAAATACAATGACATTGTTGAAGTAGACTAATAATTTGTAGAAGACGACATCATGATGGCAAAGTTAAGTTTACGTTAGAGATGGCAATGTTGCCATGAGCTAGCAAAGTTTGTCAGAAATGGCTAGCAATGCTAACGTTAGCTAGCTAAAATGTCAGTGCTCTCCCCTCAATCTTAGCTAGCTAAAGTTAAACTGCATCTAAAGTCAATCTGGAGACATCACAATGATTACAAAAGCTTGTCCTACTAATTATTTGCCTCATTTTGAAATGTCATTGTATTTCCAAGCCACAGTAATGCACTTAAGATAATCTTCATTAGCACCAATTGAGACTTTATTGAGTAGAATGGTCAGCTGGTAATCTGTCTTAAAACGAACGTTCAAACAATATTGTGACGAAACATGCAACCAATGAATAGGCCTAGTGTTTTGAACACACTGAAATAAAACCTGTCATTCTTCTCCCATCCAGTTTGCTGTGTTGATGTGGATTCTCACCTATGTTGGTGCCTTGTTCAACGGACTCACACTCCTTATTCTAGGTAGGATACTTTTTTAAAGTTGATCATTGGAAACTTATGCATAAAGGCTTTTTGTGACATTGCTTTGTTACTATGGTGCCTAGTCAGCATAGGGAAGCAGCATCTTGTGATTATCTCTGTAATACTATCAGGAACAGCCCTAAGCTGGCTTTATTTCAGGATACCGTGTGAGAGTCTGAGAGCATTTGAGCGGTTGGAAATCCCGCTCATCGCTCATGGAGCGGTGCTTGCGCACCACTCCGGAGCTCCATGTCCTTACCAACCGCTCCACTAAAAACCTTTCTGAGCTCACAGGGGAAAAAAACTGCTGTTCCAAATTCGCTCCATTCATTAAAATCACAATTTAACCAACACTCATCTATTTTTGTGACTACCTGAACCTACCATTTGGTTTTGAAGTATTGAAACCAAACTATAAGTATTTGAATAAACATGAGAAGGTAAACATTCAAATAGGCTACATGTCATATTAAACATCATATGAAAACTCTAAATAGGTCAGGAGCCAGACAGGGAGCCTAAGAAGGAATGAAAATGATTTATTTAGGTTATTATTTTAAGGCTTAAGCCTACAAAGAAGTACATTGTGAAACATTTGCGAGTGCTACACATTTTCATTGTATTAAATAATTATAGTCAATAAATTGCGCATATAGGCTGTGATTTACTTAAAATTAAATACAAATTAAACGAAAAATGACTTGGTGCCTTTTGAATTAGTTTTTAGGAACACAGGTTTAGCCAGTCTGTGGCTTCAGGCTCATTCGATGGTGCCTGGAGAGCAGACCAGCAGTGGAGAATATCCTCTCCACACTTGCAGAGCCATGGGGATGCTAAACACCCTTTTGGCCACTCTTGCCTGGCTGGGCAGAGATGTTTTTATACATACATACATACATACATACCACCAGTCAACAGTTAAGAACACCTACTCATTCAAGGGTGTTTCTTTTCTTTTTTACTATTTTCTACATTGTAGAATAATAGTGAAGACATCAAAACTATGAAATAACACACATGGAATCATGTAGTAACCGAAAAAAGTGTTAAACAAATCAAAATATATTTTATATTTGAGATTCTTCAAATAGCCACCCTTTGCCTTGATGACAGTTTTGCACACTCTTGGCATTATGTCAACCAGCTTCACCTGGAATGCTTTTCCAACAGTCTTGAAGGAGTTCCCACATGCTGAGCACTTGTTGGCTGCTTTTCCTTTACTCTGTGGTCCGACTCATCACAAACCATCTCAATAGGGTTGAGGTTGGGGGATTGTGGAGGCCAGGTCATCTGATGCAGCACTCCACCACTCTCCTTCTTGGTCAAATGACCCAACACACCTCCACGCTGTGTAAGGGCTATTGCCCTTTTGAAAAACAAATTATAGTCCCACTAAGCCCAAACCAGATGGGATGGTGTGTCAATGCAGAATGCTGTGGTAGCCATGCTGGTTAAGTGTGCCTTGAATTCTAAATAAATCAATCCCAGAACAACAGCAAAGGGCCTTGTGAAGATGCTGGAGGAAACAGGTACAAAAGTATCTATCTATATCCACAGTAAAACGAGTCCTATATCGACATAACCTGAAAGGCGGCTCAGCAAGGAAGAAGCCACTGCTCCAAAACCGCCATAAAAAAGCCAGACTACGGTTTGCAACTGCACATGGGGACAAAGATCGTACTTTTTGGAGAAATGTCCTCTGGTCTGATGAAACACAAATATAATGACCATCGTTATGTTTGGAGGAAAAAGGGGGTTACTTGCAAGCCGAAGAACACCATCCCAACCGTGAAGCACAGGGGTGGCAGCATCATGCTGTGGGGGTGCTTTGCTGCAGGAGGGAATGGTGCACTTTACAAAATAGATGGCATCATGAGGAAGGAAAATTATGTGGATATATTGATGCAACATTTCAAGACATCAGTCAGGAAGTTAAAGCTTGGTCGCAAATGGGTCTTCCAAATGGACAATGGACCCCAAGCATACTTCCAAAGTTGTGGCAAAATGGTTTAAGGACATCAAGGTCAAGGTATTGGAGTTGCCATTACAAAGCCCTGACCTCAATCCTATAGAAAATTTGTGAGCAGGACTGAAAAAGCGTGTGCGAGCAAGGAGGCCTACAAACCTGACTCAGTTACACCAGCTCTGTCAGGAGGAATGGGCCAAAATTCACCCAACTTATTGTGGAAAGCTTGTGGAAGGCTACCCGAAATGTTTGACCCAAGTTAAACAATTTAAAGGCAATGCTACTAAATACTAATTGCGTGTATGTAAACTTCTGACCCACTGGGAATGTGATGAAAGAAATAAAAGCTGAAATAAATCACTCTACTATTATTCTGACATTTCACATTCTTAAAATAAAGTGGTGATCCCAACTGACCTAAGACTGGGAATATTTACTAGGATTAAATGTCAGTAATTGTGAAACTGATTTTAAATGTATTTGGGTAAGGTGTATGTAAACTTCCGACTTCAACTGTGTGTGTTTTAAATAGGTAGGCCTAAAGGTTATTAGGCAAAATAACCCAATCAAAACGGAATGCTCCTTGAATGTGGGAATATGGCAGGCCTATTGGGCCAAAATAATAGAACACAAATGAACAAAACGTTTTTTAAGAGATCTGATTTTTTATTTTTATAAATGCTTCATTGACAGTTATCTACCCACCTCTTTTTCCTTTCTTTTAGCATGTGCACATAGTGCCTTCGGAAAGTATTCAGACCCCTTGACTGTTTCCACATTTTGTTACGTTACTGCCTTATTCTCAAATGGATGAAAAAAGAAATAAAAAAATCCTGAGCAATCTACACACAATACCTGATAATGACATTGAAAACAGGTTTCTATAGATTTTTGTAAATCTATTACACATTTTTTTAAAACTCAATTGTAACCGATGGTCACTCTGGAGCTCCAGAGTTCCTCTGTGGAGATGGGAGAACCTACCAGAAGGATAACGATCTCTGCAGTACTCCAATCAAGCCTTTTATGGTAGAGTGGCCAGACGGAAGCCACTCCTCAGTAAAAGGCACATGACAGCCCGCTTGCTGTTTGCCAAAAGGCACCTAAAGACTGTCAGACCATGAGAAACAAGATTCTCTGGTTTGATGAAACCAAGATTGAACTCTTTGGCCTGAATGCCAAGCTTCACTTCTAGAGGAAACCTGGCACCATCCCTACGGTGAAGCATGGTGGTGGTGGCAGCATCATGCTGTGGGGCAGGGACTGGGAGACTAGTCAGGATCAAGGGAAAGATTAACGGAGCAAAGTACAGAGAGATCCTTGATGAAAACCTGCTCCAGAGCGCTCAGGACCTCAGACTGGGGTTAAGGTTCACCTTCCAACAGGACAACGACCCTAAGCTCACAGCCAAGACAACGCAGGAGTGGCTTCGGGACAAGTCTCTGAATGTCCTTGAGTGGCCCAGCCAGAGCCTGGACTTGAACCCGATCTAACATCTCTGGAGAGACCTGAAAATAGTTGTGCAGCAACGCTCCCCATCCAACCTGACAGAGCTTGAGATGATCTGCAGAGAAGAATGGGAGAAACTCCCCAAATACAGGTGTGCCAAGCTTTTAGCGTCATACCCAAGAAGACTTTGAGGCTGTAATTGTAAAGGGTCTGAATACTTATGTAAATGTTATTTCTTTTATTTTTAATAAATTAGCAAACGTTTCTAAAGTCATGTTTTTGCTTCGTCATTATGGGGTATTGTGTGTAGATTGATGGGGGAAAAAACAATTTTATCAATTTTATTATAAGGCTGTAATCTAACAAAGTGGAAGAAGTCAAGGGGTCTGAATACTTTCCTAAGGCACTGTAGTAAGTGTACAATCATGCTTTCGGGATACGTGTCTTTTCAGATTCCACAATGATTCTTTAGGTGTTGACACTAAATCACTGCACTCCCTCTCTTGCTCTTGGTCCTCATCTTTTGTAAGTCACCTTGATTTAGCACCCATGTGTTTTATCAGGTTATGTTTATGAAAATATTTTGCGAACATGACAATAGCAAAAGCAAGGGGCTACAGCAGCACACAAGTAGACTACAAATGCATGCTGGGCATGCCCTGACCTTATAAAGTGAGCACTACTGGAGTGAAATTGGAGCGGGCGAGAAGGCCGACGCTCCAGCCTTTGGGAATCTCGCTCCATGCTCCAGTCAAATCGGGCACACTCCAGCGCCGCTCTGCTCACATACTTTGGTCTGTATACGGACGTAGTGGCTGACTGACAGAGGTGTCAATCTGAAACCTATTATTAAAGTCTGACACCCTCCCCCTCTCTCTCTCCAGGTCTGGTTGGAATGTTCAGCTTCCCCATCATCTATGAGAAGTACCAGGTATGAGCTGTTATTTGCTGATAAATGTATGAAAATATGTTGATCTGACGAAGGTATCATAGAATATTCACACCTCTACTGAAATCATGATCAGTTGACTTCAAAGCCAAGTGTGAGTTTTAATATTGTGCCTAAGTGTTTCACTAGAATGATTTTGTGTATTTTAGGTACAGATTGATCATTATGTGGGGATGGCCAACAAGCAGGTCAAAGACATTATTGCAACGTAAGTAAATACTGGTTGACAACATTTAAATATCTTGGCAGTGTCGTAATGAGAAGATAAAATGTCTTCCAAGTATAGGAAGTAGGTATCCAAAAAACGTTCTTTCAACAACCAGGTATTTGTGTTTATTATGGAGCCCCATTCATTCCTGCGAAGGCAGCAGCTACTCTTCCTGGGGTCCAGCAAAAGTAAGGCAGTTATACATTTAAAAAACATTACAATAAATTCATACAGATTTCACAACATATTAAGTGTGTTTCCTCAGGCCTCTAATACCACATATCTATAACACAATCCATGTGTACGTGTGTGTATAGTGCATATGTTATCGTGTGTTTGTCGAGTCCCAATTGTAGAGTCCCAAAAAGGTGTTTGAAAAGTAAGTAAATTGTGGTGGATGAAATTGAAATATCTTGGCGTTGATGTAATGAGCGAAATATGCATCTTCCAAATATTGAAAGTATGTATGGAAGAAGAATGTGACTAGACATTTTGCCTTTTTATATTAAAAGCACACATGACCAAAAGTATGTGGACACCTGCTTGTGGAACATCTCATTCCAAAATCATGGGCATTGATATGGAGTTGGTCCCCCCGTTGCTACTATAACAGCCTCCACTCTTCTGGGAAGGCTTTCCACTAGATGTTGCAACATTGCTGCGGGGACTTGATTCCATTCAGCCACAAGCATTAGTGAGTTCGGGCACTGATGTTGGACGATTAGGCCTGGCTCGCAGTCAGCTTTTCAATTCATCCCAAAGGTGTTTGATGGGGTTGAGGTCAGGGCTCTGTGCAGGCCAGTCATGTTCTTCTGCACTGATCTTGACAAACCATTTCTGTATGGACCTTGCGTTGTGCACGGGGCCATTGTCATGCTGAAACAGGAAAGGGCCTTCCTCAAACTGTTGACAAAGTTGGAAGCACAGAATCATCTAGAATGTCATTGTATGCTGTAACGTTAAGATTTCCCTTCACTGGAAGTAAGGGGCCTAGACTGAACCATGAAAAACAGCCCCAGACCATTATTCCTCCACCAAACTTTACAGTTGGCACTATGCATTTGGGCAGGTAGCGTTCTGGCATCCGCCAAACCCAGATTTGTCTGTCGGACTGCCAGATAGTGAAGAGTGATTCATCACTCCAAAGAACCCGTTTCCACTTGTCCAATGGCAGCGAGCTTTACACCACTCCAGCCGACGCTTGGCATTTCACATGGTGATCTTAGGCTTGTGTGCTGCTGCTTGGCCATCGAAACCCATTTCATGAAGCTCCCTACGAACAGTTATTGTGCTAACATTGCTTCCAGAGGCGGTTTGGAACTTGGTAGTGAGTGTTTCAACTGAGGACAGACGATTTTTACGCACTTCAGCACTTGGCGGTCCCGTTCTGTAAATTTATGAATTTGCTTTGAATAGTTCATGACCCTAGGGTATCAAATCAAATTTTATTGGTCACATGCGCCGAATACAACAGGTGCAGACATTGCAGTGAAATGCTTACTTACAGCCCTTAACCAACAGTGCATTTATTTTAAACAAAAAAAGTAAGAATAAACAACAACAAAAAAAGTGTTGAGAAAAAAAGAGCAGAAGTAAAATAAAGTGACAGTAGGGAGGCTATATATACAGTAAAATAAAGTGACAGTAGGGAGGCTATAGTGATTTCAATGGTCTTCCTCCATTCTGATTGTTTTATACTGTTCAATTAAACTCCCCCCCGCAGCTTTATTTAAAAAAAAAAAAGAATTTAGATCAAAACACTTGGGTGAAGTGTTGGAATCACGATATCAGAATTTACTTCGATACTGATACCAGGTTTAGAGTCACTGTACTCGATACCAAAACAAGACCACTGCAAAAAAAGGTGTATTAGCCAAATCACAGAAGGGCACTTGATCCAGACAGGTCTTTTAAAGTTCAATATGATTACATTTTGACGTTTTTGATTTTAATGTATGCATTAATGAATCCATTATACAATCATACAATCAATTTGACTTGTAAAAAACAATCTATATAACAATGATAATTTATTTGAATGGTAAATCTCTATTGATAAACTGGGTAAATCAATGTAGCCTAGGCCTATTCACAATACAGATGAATGTATATTCAATAGGAGGGTGTGCATGCATTGAGTTATTGAGCTTGACTGATTTCATGGGGCTACAGATAAAAAAAAATCCGTTCCATTTGGGACTTTTATTATACTCATCAACATTTGCGTAGAACATCATTAGTCTTTTATAAAAGTATATGTTGTCTCTTTAAGACCAATGACATCATTTACACACACCGCTCGAAGAAATATCTTGACTATTAGAGATGTGAGGCGGGGTAGACTAAGTGAATTAGTTTTTGGTGACGATCTGCTTTGAAATCGGCAATATGTTGCGTTATGATTTGCATATGATCACAAACAAGGTACTACCGGTATCTTCTTGCATTGTAAAGTGTTCTAACCTGTAATGGACATTATTTTGCGAATAGTAATTTTAAGTTTCAAAATTTCTAAATGCCGTGTTTCATTATTCAAGTGTGTTAACTTCTGTGCAGCATGAATGGTGTTGCAGCCCAGACTCCTAGTGAGTGCAGTGGTTCGTCAGGACAGGCTAGAGCTAGCAATGAGTAAGTGGAGCAGGCACAGAGAAAGTTTGGGTTATGGCTAGAAGGGACCCAGCTTGTTTAAGAATATACTATTCATAGCAGGTTTAGGAGAAATTACGCAGCAGGTTGGGAGAATAAACGTGGCAGGTTGGGATGGTAAAGGTTAGCTAAAATGCAAAAATCTACTTTTGATGGAAATTTGACAAGCTGGATGGGCATGGTGTGCTTGCTCTTAGTAAGGGGACATCGGCTGCGCTGATAGACTTGATCCTTTCTCAATCAGTAGACTACCTAAGACACATTTGACAGAAGTACTGAAAGTAACCTTCTAGTACTGAACCACTTTGTTCTAGAATCTAAAAAGTACTCAAGTTTCGGTATACCGTGCAACACTTCTTTGAATAGTGTTTGACAGGACAACGAATTAAAAAGCCAGGGAGAAGTTATTGTGACAGGGTAGGAACCAAAGTGTTGGTCAGTGTTTCCTAGGGGGCCCTAATCTTCAAATTACATTTTATTTGTCACATACACGTGTTTAGCAGATGTTATTGCCGGTGTAGCGAAATGCTTGTGCTTCTCCGACAGTGCAGTGTAATATCTAACAAGTAATATCTAACAATTTCTCAACATACCCAATACACACAAATCTAAGTAAGGAATGGAATTAAGAATACATATATGGACGAGCAATGACAGAGCGGCATGGACTAAGATACAGTATATACATATGAGATGAGTAATGCAAGATATGTAAACATTATTAAAGTGACTAGTGTTCAATTTCTTAAAGTGGCCAGTGATTTTCAATAGGCAGCAGCAGTCTCTAATGTGCTAGTGATGGCTATTTAACAGTCTGATGGCCTTGAGATAGAAGCTGTTTTTCATTCTCTCGGTCCCAGCTTTGATGCACCTGTACTGACCTCGCCTTCTGGATGATGGCAGGGTGAACAGGCAGTGGCTCGGGTGGTTGATGTCCTTGATGATCTTTTTGGGCTTCCTGTGACATCGAGTGCTGTAGGTGTCCTGGAGGGCGGGTAGTTTGCCCCCGGTAATGTGTTCGGCTGACCGCACCGCCCTCTGTACAGCCCTGCTGTTGCGGGCAGTGCAGTTGCCGTACCAGGCGGTGATACAGCCCGACAGGATGCTCTCAATTGTGCATCTGTAAAAGTTTTAGGTGCCAAGTCAAATTTCTTCAGCCTCCTGAGATTGAAGAGGCTCTGTTCTTCACCACTGTCTGTGTGGGTGGACCATTTCAGTTTCTCAGTGATGTGTACGCCAAGGAACTTCAAGCTTTCCACCGTCTCCACTGCGGTCCCGTCGATGTGGATGGGGGGTGCACCCTCTGCTGTTTCCTGAAGTCCACAATCATCTACTTTTTGTTGACGTTGAGTGAGGTTATTTTCCTGGCACCACACTCCCAGAGCCCTCACCACCTCCCTGTAGGCTGTCTCGTCATTGTTGGTAATTAAGCCTACTACTGTTGTGTCGTCTGGAAACTTGATGATTGAGTTGGAGGCGTGCTTGGCCACGCAGTCATGGGTGAACAGGGAGTACAGGAGGGGGCTGAGCACGCACCCTTGAGGGGCCCCAGTGTTGAGGATCAGCAAAATTGAGATGTTGTTTCCTACCTTCACCACCTGGGGGCGGCCTGTCAGGAAGTACAGGACCAGTTGCACAGGGCGGGTTCAGACACGGGGCCTCAAGCTTAATGATGAGCTTGGAGGGTACTATGGTGTTGAATGCTGAGCTATAGTCAATGAACAGCATTCTTACATAGGTATTCCTCTTGTCCAGATGGGATAGGGCAGTGTGATGGCGATTGCATCTATTGGGGCGGTAAGCAAATTGTAGTGGGTCTAGGGTGACCGGTAAGGTAGAGGCGATATGATCCTTGACTAGTCTCTCAAAGCACTTCATGATGACAGAGGTGAGTGCTATGGGGCGATAGTCATTTAGTTCAGTTACCTTTGCTTTCTTGGGTACAGGAACAATAGTGGCCAACTTGAAGCATGTGGGGACAGCAGACTGGGATAGGGAGTGATTTAATATGTCCGTAAACACCAGCCAGCTGGTCTGCGCATGCTCTGAAGACGCGGCTAGGGATGCTTAAATGTCTTACTCACGTCGGTGGCACTGTGTTATCCTCAAAGCGGGTGAAGGTGTTTAGCTTGTCTGGAAGCAAGACGTCGGCGACGTGGCTGGTTTTCCTTTTGTAGTCGTCGTTTGTCTGTAGACCCTGCCACAAAGGTCTCCTGTCTGAGCAGTTTAATTGCGACTTTCTCTATACTGACGTTTTGCCTGTTTTAATTGCCTTGCGGAGTGCGTAGCTACACTGTTTGTATTCTGCCATATTCCCAGTCACCTTGCCATGGTTAAATGCGGTGGTTCGCGCTTTCAGTTTTGCGCGTATGCTGCCATCTATCCACGGTTTCTGGTTAGGGTGGGTTTTAATAGTCACAGTGAGCACAACATTTCCTATACACTTCCTGATAAACTCAGTCACAGTTTCAGTGTATTTGTCCAAATTTATTTTCGCAAGCTACCCTGAACATATCCCAGTCCGCGTGATCAAAACAATCTTGAAGCATGGATTCCGATTGGTCAGACCAGCATTGGATTGTCCTTAGCACGGGTACTTCCTGTTTGAGTTTCTGCCTATAGGAAGGGAGGAGCAAATTGGAGTCGTGGTCAGATTTGCTGAATGTAGGGCGGGGGAGGGCCTTATAACCATCCCGGAAGTTCGAATAGCAATTGTCAAGAATTTTAGCAGCCCATGTACAACAGTCCATATGTTGATAGAACTTCGGCAGCCTAGTCCTCAAATTTGCTTTGTTAAAAATCCCCGGCTTTCCAGTTTGCATAAAGTCCAGTGAAGTTCTTTGAGGGCCGTCGTGGTATCAGCTTGATGGGGGATATACACGGCCGTGACTATAACCAAATAAAATTATCTTGGGAGATAATACGGTCTGCATTTGATTGAGGTATTCTAGGTCGGGTGAGCAAAAGGTTTCTGTATGTTATCACAATCACACCATGAGTAGTTTATCATGAAACACACACCTCTGCCCTTCTGCTTCCCGGAGGGATATTTATTTCTGTCTGCGCGATGAACTGCGAACCCATCTGGCTGGACCGATTTCGACAGAATATCCCGAGAGAGCCATGTTAAATGTTTTCTCTTAGCTAATCCATGTAGCTCGCTAACATATTCATGCTTTGCCTAGTCGTCTTTGGAGATTTAGGCCTACACATTCACTGATATCAGGCTGTATTAGCTAGCTAAATTTGCTAACTACAAACTGCATCGTTGTAGTCAACATCTTGTTGCATGTGCTGCATTGATAAGGCAGGCTGAACGCCTCTAGTGGTCACGCAACAACTGCACTCCTTGAGTGTGATGGGTGCGCGGCTAGGTCTGTGTGGAAAGCGGCATGGAGAGGGGGAAGACTCAAGTCGCTAGAGCGCGATGGGACAAGGACATCCCGGCCGGCCAAACTCTCCCCTAACCTGGACGACGTTGGGCCAATTGTGCGCCGCCTCATGGTTCTCCCAGTCACGGCCGGCTGCGACACAGCCTGGGATCGAACCCGGGTCTGTAGTCACGCCTCAAGTCGCGCCGTTCATCTCATCTTTCCCTCGATTCTGACTAGTCTCCCAGTCCCTGCTGCTGAAAAAGAGCCACACAGCATGATGCTGCCAAAGCCATGCTTCAGCGTAGGGATGGTGCCAGGTTTCCTCCAGACGTGACGCTTGGTATTTAGGCCAAAGAGTTGAATTTTGGTTTCATCAGACCAGAGAATCTCATGGTCTGAGAGTCCTTTAGGTTCCTTTTGGCAGACTCTAAGCGGACTGTCATGTGCCTTTTACTGAGGATTGGCTTCCGTCTGGCCACTCTACCATAAAGGCTTGATTGGTGGAGTGCTGCAGGGATGGTTGTGCTTCTGGAAGGTTCTCACGTCTCCGCAGAGCAGCTCTGGAGCTCTGTCAGAGTGACCATCGGGTTCTTGGTCACCTCCCTGACCAAGGCCCTTCCGCCGGGCGGCCAGCTCTAGGAAGAGTCTTGGTGGTTCCAAACTTCTTCAATTTAAGAATGATGGAGGCCGACATGTTAATAATAATAATATGCCATTTAGCAGACGCTTTTATCCAAAGCGACTTAGTCATGCGTGCATACATTTTTTTTTTTTTTCTAAACCTGTTTTCGCTTTGTCATTATGGGGTATTGTATGTAGATTGAGGAACAACATAAATATAACAAAATGTGGAAAAGGGGAAGGTCTGAATACCGTCCAAATGCACTGTATAGCTGACTAATCCGACTTGATCGTTTGAAATCCTGTGGCAACAAAACAAGGAAATTATCTAATAGTTGGGAAAAAAGTGAATCTCTAATTTATGACAAATTAATGAAATCCCTCCATGTTATACCACTGATTTAAACATTTTATCCACATTTTTATGTTAATCTGACATATTGCATAATTTTACCATGAAAAGGTTCTGCAAGAATTCAATTGTATTATAGATATTTTACACAAATGAGACATGCGTACAGCAAGTATTCCACCTGACCGAAGTACTCTGAACAGTGTTTACGTGTTAATTATCTCCCCCTTGATTAGTTTATCACAAGGTATAACCCACCCCTTGTATTCAGAATGAATTTTCATTCAGAACCAGAATGTAATTACCTACATTTTAGTCATTTAGCAGATGCTCTTATCCAGAGCGACTTAGTTAGTGAGTGCATAAATTTTTTCATTCTGGTCCCCCGTGGGAAACGACCTACCTAAACACTTTATATACAGTGAGGGGAAAAAAAGTATTTGATCCCCTGCTTATTTTGTACGTTTGCCTACTGACAAAGAAATTATCAGTCTATAATTTTAATGGTAGGTTTATTTGAACAGTGAGAGACAGAATAACAACAATAAAATCCAGAAAAACGCATGTCAAAAATGTTATAAATTGATTAGCATTTTAATGAGGGAAATAAGTATTTGACCCCCATTCAATCAGAAAGATTTCTGGCTCCCAGGTGTCTTTTATACAGGTAACGAGCTGAGATTAGGAGCACACTCTTAAAGGGAGTGCTCCTATTCTCAGCTTGTTACCTGTATAAAAGACACCTGTCCACAGAAGCAATCAATCAATCCGATTCCAAACTCTCCACCATGACCAAGACCAAAGAGCACTCCAAGGATATCAGGGACAAGATTGTAGACCTACAAGGCTGGAATGGGCTACAAGACCATCGCCAAGCAGCTTGGTGAGAAGGTGACAACAGTTGGTGTGATTATTCGCAAATGGAAGAAACTCAAAATAACTGTCAATCTCCCTCGGCCTGGGGCTCCATGCAAGATCTCACCTCGTGGAGTTGCAATGATCATTCGAACGGTGAGGAATCAGCCCAGAACTACACGGGAGGATCTTGTCAATGATCTCAAGGCAGCTGGGACCATAGTCCCCAAGAAAACAATTGGTAGCACACTACGCCGTGAAGGACTGAAATCCTGCAGCGCCCGCAAGGTCCCCCTGCTCAAGAAAGCACATATACAGGCCCGTCTGAAGTTTGCCAATGAACATCTGAATGATTCAGAGGAGAACTGGGTGAAAGTGTTGTGGTCAGATGAGACCAAAATGGAGCTCTTTGGCATCAACTCAACTTGCCGTGTTTGGAGGAGGAGGAATGCTGCCTATGACCCCAAGAACACCATCCCCACCATCAAACATGGAGGTGGAAACATTATGCTTTGGGGGTGTTTTTCTGCTAAGGGGACAGGACAACTTCACCGTATCAAAGGGACGATGGACAGGGCCATGTACCATCAAATCTTGGATGAGAACCTCCTTCCCTCAGCCAGGGCATTGAAAATGGGTCATGGATGGGTATTCCAGCATGACAATGACCCAAAACACACGGCCAAGGCAACAAAGGAGTGGCTCAAGAAGAAGCACATTAAGGTCCTGGAGTGGCCTAGCCAGTCTCCAGACCTTAATCCCATAGAAAATATGTGGAGGGAGCTGAAGGTTTGAGTTGCCAAACGTCAGCCTCGAAACCTTAATGACTTGGAGAAGATCTGCAAAGAGGAGTGGGACAAAATCCCTCCTGAGATGTGTGCAAACCTGGTGGCCAACTACAAGAAACGTCTGACCTCTGTGATTGCCAACAAGGGTTTTGCCACCAAGTACTAAGTCATGTTTTGCAGAGGGGTCAAATACTTATTTCCCTCATTAAAATGCAAATCAATTAATAACATTTTTGACATGTGTTTTTCTGGATTTTTTTTGCTGTTATTTTGTCTCACTGTTCAAATAAACCTACCATTAAAATTATAGACTGATCATGTCTTTGTCAGTTGGCAAACCTACAAAATCAGCAGGGGATCAAATACTTTTTTCTCTCACTGTATGTATTTATGTACTGTTTGTAGTATCTTCTAGGAACATTTGGCTGGATTAGTATTTATGTAATTTTATTTATAGCTGTTGGTGGTGTGATTATCTGCAGTGCTGTCTACACAATTGACCCTTGTATGTTAAAGTAGGCCCTATGTTGAATTGATGTGTTTATACAAGGTCATTTTACTCAATGAGCGCTTTATTTTTTTATTTATATTATTTTGCTTCATATAAACATTGTTTGACTAATGCTCTGTGGCTCTTTCCACTTTCAGGGTCCAGGCCAAAGTCCCTGGACTGAAGCGTGTGAAGGCTGACTGAAGAAAGAAATGCCGGTCAGTCCCTGAAGTCCTTTGAGAGGGTGGGAGGCACTGGGCGGGGGTGTGTGTAAGGTGGTATGCATCACTGTTATTTTCACAATCTCTTCATTTCAGAATTCCTTGTGTTCCCTGAAAAACACCCTGGATTATCAGTATTCTATAGATTTATTTTCACCAGCTCAAGTATTTCCACCTTTTGATGAACTAATTTGACCGTACCATGCGATCTTGATTAAAATGCTAGTTTGTTTGAATATGTACAAAATAAAAACATTATTTTAATCTTGCACTTGGACATGACCAGTGATGGATTTTGAAAGGAAATTGTGTTCCATGGGCTGGTTCATTTGTTCTCTTTGACGCAGTGTTCAGACAATTGGAATTGCATCGTCTTTCTCGCTCTTTTTTATAAGGGGGAGACCTTTGTGGAAACCGGAGTACATGTTGTTTTTTGGTATGATTAAGTTAGTGGTGTTTGTGATTTTACTGTTTTATTGATCGACTGTGTAGTTTCACAAAGCATCTAGCTCTCCAGTGACTCTTGAGTGTGCTTGACACAACATGTCATTGTGCTTGACGATTGTCTCTAATGCCAGCAGGGCGCTACTCCATAGCACTTCTTGCTTCTGAGTATTTCTAGCTAGAAACATTTAGAACTTTAGAATGAGAACATTTAATGATCATTTCACCTCATGCAGCTGCCTAGTTAAACTCTAAACACGTTTACAAACATCAACTTAAGACGAAAAAAATGAAATGCTGTCTGTGGACCCAATATCTAAAGCTGCAAAATTATGTAACTTGGAAATTTCAAGCATTGTTTGTTACGCAAGTTATTGTGAATGTTACTTCATACAATTGTAATGAACTCTTCTGTTTGTGGAATGCATTGTGAAATATAAACAATTACAATAAAGCTTCTAGATGAATTACTGTATGTTTATTTCTCATTAGGCCAGATGGAGGGTTTAGAAAATTAATAAAGCATACACTTGCAAACTATAGCTCTGCCTAAAAACATCCCCTTGTTCCTCCTACCCAGGGCATGTTTTAAATGCCAGGAGATCACTCTTAACCTTTTTGTTAAATAGGAGTTCACTGTATACTCAATGCTGTTCCAAATAGCATTTAGGAATTTTAGTACGTTGTAAATACTTACAGTACCTGATGAAGTATAAGAATTCTGTCATTGTCTCAAATAACTATTAGTCTGAAATGAAGTTTTGTACATTTGAGAGATTTAGCAGACGCTCTTATTCAGTGACTTAGTCCATGCATTCATCTTAAGGTAAAAGCGTAAGCGAAATGACTGTTGGAAGTCTGAACCACTACAAAGTTCAGCTGTGGAGGGGAAGCTCAATATACCTTTTGAGTAATACCCACACCTTTTTAGTTTACCATTTGAGGTCCAATTATTAAACTTTCATTGTGGACAAATGACTACAATTTGGTATACATTTTCATTTAATCTTTCCATACACGTAACGTTTGTACATATACGTTGTCACACATTAATCACTTACAATAAATTGGTATAAAACAACCATGATTGTCATTCATACAATAATCTTGCCTCACTCCACAAAGATGTAATTTTGATTAAAAAATAAATTCATGCATTTGAGCATATTTTAATTTACAATATACCAATAATATGAAACAATATCTAGACAATCTCAGTCTTGTACAAAAATGAAATGAACAAAGACTTAACTGGGAACAGGAATCCATACTTCGTAAAGAATGCACATAGTAACAATATTGCTGCCACACTACTAGCTAAATGTTAGTGAGATTGACAGGCTAAAGACAGCAAGGCTAAGAGTTCAACAGCAGACGAACACAGAAGAATGGAAATATGACCAGGGCTTGAGTAAGACTGCATAGTCAGCTTTGGTGTGAGATCTCTCTCCTAGACTGTCTAATTTCACTTCACCTTAAAGCCACCCCTTGAAGTACACATGAAATCCCTTACTGGAAGCGAATCTTGATCAAACAAAACAGTATTGCTTCATCAGTCTATTAGATCTACAGTGAGGGGAAAAAAGTATTTGATCCCCTGCTGATTTTGTACGTTTGCCGACTGACAAAGAAATTATCAATCTATAATTTTAATGGTAGGTTTATTTGAACAGTGAGAGACAGAATAACAACAAAAATGTTATAAATTGATTTGCATTTTAATGAGGGAAATAAGTATTTGACCCCCTCTCAATCAGAAAGATTTCTGGCTCCCAGGTGTCTTTTATACAGGTTACGAGCTGAGATTAGGAGCACCCTCTTAAAGGGAGTGCTCCTAATCTCAGTTTGTTACCTGTATAAAAGACACCTGTCCACAGAAGCAAGCAATCAATCAATCAGATTCCAAACTCTCCACCATGGCCAAGAACAAAGAGCTCTCCAAGGATGTCAGGGACAAGATTGTAGACCTACACAAGGCTGGAATGGGCTGCAAGCAGCTTGGTGAGAAGGTGACAACAGTTGGTGCGATTATTCGCAAATGGAAGAAACCCAAAAAAAATTTCAATCTCCCTCGGCCTGGGGCTCCATGCAAGATCTCACCTCGTGGAGTTGCAATGATCATGAGAACGGTGAGGAATCAGCCCATAACTACACGGGAGGATCTTGTCAATGATCTCAAGGCAGCTGGGACCATGTCACCAAGAAAACAATTGGTAACACACTACGCCGTGAAGGACTGAAATCCTGCAGCGCCCGCAAGGTCCCCCTGCTCAAGAAAGCACATATACAGGCCCGTCTGAAGTTTGCCAATGAACATCTGAATGATTCAGAGGAGAACTGGGTAAAAGTGGTGTGGTCAGATGAGACCAAAATCGAGCTCTTTGGCATCAACTCGCCGTGTTTGGAGGAGGAGGAGGAATGCTGCCTATGACCCCAAGAACACCATCCCCACCGTCAAACATGGAGGTGGAAACATTATGCTTTGGGGGTGTTTTTCTGCTAAGGGGACAGGACAACTTCACCGCATCAAAGGGACGATGGACGGGGCCATGTACCGTCAAATCTTGGGTGAGAACCTCCTTCCCTCAGCCAGGGCATTGAAAATGGGTCGTGGATGGGTATTCCAGCATGACAATGACCCAAAACACACGGCCAAGGCAACAAAGGAGTGGCTCAAGAAGCAGAACATTAAGGTCCTGGAGAGGCCTAGCCAGTCTCCAGACCTTAATCCCATAGAAAATCTGTGGAGGGAGCTGAAGGTTCGAGTTGCCAAACGTCAGCCTCGAAACCTTAATGACTTGGAGAAGATCTGCAAAGAGGAGTGGGACAAAATCCCTCCTGAGATGTGTGCAAACCTGGTGGCCAACTACAAGAAACGTCTGACCTCTGATTGCCAACAAGGGTTTTGCCACCAAGTACTAAGTCATGTTTTGCTGAGGGGTCAAATACTTATTTCCCTCATTAAAATGCAAATCAATTTATAACATTTTTGTTGTTATTCTGTCTCTCACTGTTCAAATAAACCTACCATTAAAATTATAGACTGATCATGTCTTTGTCAGTGGGCAAATGTACAAAATCAGCAGGGGATCAAATACTTTTTTCCCTCACTGTATATGAACATATTATTTTCACTATGGTTACATAGAAGGATGTTTCACCAAGATATTCCACAAAATTTAAGTCATTAACATTTTGACACAATAATTTAAGAATTCTCACTATTTTTGTAATGTTCACAAGCTGAAAATTGATCGTCAGATCACTGAGTAACATTTAAATATTTTCATTAGAGCTATTAACTTACTATGTCATGTTACATCATGTCATCATACTTTGGATGTTTTATGCATTAACAAACAGCAGCAAAGCCATTCCCTTTTCTGCATATTGAATGAGTAAAACTTTACAATCTAATAGCACCAGACGTGTACAAAATTATTTCAACTGAAATTGCAAAAAAATATAAGACCAGTAGAAATATTCATAAAGGCACTTAAGTTTGATTATGTTCAACAATGGAAAAGGCTCTTTCAAATGAATTATGTGAAAACCAATTTTTCTGCTCTAAATTGGCTGGGGTTCAATCCTTGGAGCGCTGTCGACAATGCAACATTTAACACAGCCTACAATTTCAGCGCCCCGTGGAAATCTAATTAACATAAAATAATGTCCATAAAAATCTGTCTGTTTAAACTAGATGTGTTTTTGCCTTCGCTGCGTCTCAATCCACCGCATCCGCCGATATTGCCCTTCCGCATCGGCGGTGAAAGGTGGCAGAGCTAGAGCGGTGTTTGTCAGACCATGAGACATCCCGAAAATCAGTCTTCTCTCAAAACGAAAACGTCTGTAGCGTCCGAACGGTTTGGCATACAAACTATTATGATCACTCTATCGAAAGATGAGACTAACACGAACACAATGGTGTTCTCCGTTTTGCTATAGGATAACCTCTTCTGCCAACTTCTGTCTGTAGCGTCCGAACGGTTTGGGCTACACACTAATATGACCCCTCTGTGGAAAGCTGAGACTCTCACGATGGTATTCTCCGTTTTGCTTTAGGATGCTCACAAGACTCGTCTGAAGGACCCGGTACCAGTTTAAAAAGTGAATGGAAGTATATATGGAGATAGTTTAGTGCCTAAAATAAGGAGATAAATACATGTAAAAAATAATATTTCTTATATTGCTCAGATATAGCACAGACACCTCAAAACAAACTTCCTTTAGATTTTTTGGGGGACTATCTATTGTTCCATGTAGTGAATCTGTTATTCAATGCTTTTTCTATTGGCTGATAGCAGTAATGCCAAATTCATCAATGTGTTTCTATTGGCTAATAGCAGTAATGCCAAATTCAATGTTTCATCCAATCAGTTTTTTGATACCTTAAAATTCAATATCAAATAGCTAAATAATCCTTGGTATGACCATATTAAAACAATTCCATATGTTATGTTATCTTATGTTATCGAACCCACAACCCTGGCGTTACAAGCGCCAAGCTCTACCAACTGAGCTACAGGAGGCCTTTAAAAGCTGCATTGTCGACAATACGCAATCTTATCGAATCCCGGCCATTATCAATGGTTTAAATATAAATCAATAGCTGGCGTGCAACCTGTTCATGTGTCCTTCATTGAAAGTAGATGAGAATGTAAACACAAATGGTAATTTCTTGTTAGGCCAGAAAATCTACCATTTTCTAGTGGCAGAAAATCTGCTTCAAAGTGATTTCCTGTTAGAAAAGGAGCTACCTGCTCTGCCTTATGCTTAGACTTGAATTAATAGTACAGTGATCAGCGTATTGCACCCCATACTCCCCCACAGGTGGATGGGGAGACATAGTTGCAGCATGTCAGGCAAAAGGTTGACCGTAGCCAGACACTTGAGGCGTTGGGATCCTGGCTGCATTCTTGTCAGAATCCAAGACTTACTGTGTTAGGCTAAGGAGTCTGGATGCATGGTTGTGGAGAAAATACTCTGGTTTATAGGCATTTCCACACAAAGACACTGAAAAAGAGGAAGACAATACAGCAGTCAGTAAAACAGAAAATCAAAACTCTGAATCAGACCTGTCTGAAATCACTTTTTAATGCTTCTACTCATTGTAGAGTATCTATAACGTAATTAATGTGCTTAAGCCTTGTAACACAAGCTCTATATACCTGCAGTCATCTCCTCCAGTGCTGATCACATATTTATCATCATAGGAGAAGCGAATGTTGGTCACGTGTGCCGAGTGCCCAAAGTAACGCTTGTGTTTGGCCTGCAGAGGATCAAAATAAGTATTCAAAACATTTGGAGCAGCCACAGCCAACAATGTCTGTTCTATGGATTCAGTAACTACATAGAGTGGGGGAAAAAAGTATTTAGTCAGCCACCAATTGTGCAAGTTCTCCCACTTAAAAAGATGAGAGAGGCCTGTAATTTTCATCATAGGTACACGTCAACTATGACAGACAAATTGAGATTTTTTTTTCCAGAAAATCACATTGTAGGATTTTTTATGAATGTATTTGCAAATTATGGTGGAAAATAAGTATTTGGTCACCTACAAACAAGCAAAATTTCTGGCTCTCACAGACCTGTAACTTCTTCTTTAAGAGGCTACCCTGTCCTCCACTCGTTACCTGTATTAATGGCACCTGTTTGAACTTGTTATCAGTATAAAAGACACCGGTCCACAACCTCAAACAGTCACACTCCAAACTCCACTATGGCCAAGACCAAAGTGCTGTCAAAGGACACCAGAAACAAAATTGTAGACCTGCACCAGGCTGGGAAGACTGAATCTGCAATAGGTAAGCAGATTGGTTTGAAGAAATCAACTGTGGGAGCAATTATTAGGAAATGGAAGACATACAAGACCACTGATAATCTCCCTCGATCTGGGGCTCCATGCAAGATCTCACCCCGTGGGGTCAAAATGATCACAAGAACGTTGAGCAAAAATCCCAGAACCACACGGGGGAACCTAGTGAATGACCTGCAGAGAGCTGGGACCAAAGTAACAAAGCCTACCATCAGTAACACACTACGCCGCCAGGGACTCAAATCCTGCAGTGCCAGACGTGTCCCCCTGCTTAAGCCAGTACATGTCCAGGCCCGTCTGAAGTTTGCTAGAGTGCATTTGGATGATCCAGAAGAGGATTGGGAGAATGTCATATGGTCAGATGAAACCAAAATAGAACTTTTTGGTAAAAACTCAACTCGTCGTGTTTGGAGGACAAAGAATGGTGAGTTGCATCCAAAGAACACCATACCTACTGTGAAGCATGGGGGTGGAAACATCATGCTTTGGGGCTGTTTTTCTGCAAAGGGACCAGGACGAATGGGGCCATGTATCGTGAGATTTGAGTGAAAACCTCCTTCCATCAGCAAGGGCATTGAAGATGAAACGTGGCTGGGTCTTTCAGCATGACAATGATCCCAAACACACCGCCCGAGCAACAAAGAGTGGCTTCATAAGAAGCATTTCAAGGTCCTGGAGTGGCCTAGCCAGTCTCCAGATCTCAACCCCATAGAAAATCTTTGGAGGGAGTTGAAAGTCCGTGTTGCCCAGCGACAGCCCCAAAACATCACTGCTCTAGAGGAGATCTGCATGGAGGAATGGGCATGGAGGAATGTTATTGACCAAATACTTATTTTCCACCATAATTTGCAAATAAATTCATTAAAAATCCTACAATGTGATTTTCTGGATTTTTTTTCTTCTCATTTTGTCTGTCATAGTTGACGTGTACCTATGATGAAAATTACAGGCCTCTCTCATCTTTTTAAGTGGGAGAACTTGCACAATTGGTGGCTGACTAAATACTTTTTTTCCCCACTGTATCTTTAAAATACACTGCTCAAAAAAATTAAGGGAACACTTAAACAACACAATGTAACTCCAAGTCAATCACACTTCTGTGAAATCAAACTGTCCACTTAGGAAGCAACACTGATTGACAATAAATTTCACATGCTGTTGTGCAAATGGAATAGACAACAGGTGGAAATTATAGGCAATTAGCAAGACACCCCCAATAAAGGACTGGTTTTGCAGGTGGTGACCAAAGACCACTTCTCAGTTCCTATGCTTCCTGGCTGATGTTTTGGTCACTTTTGAATGCTGGCGGTGCTTTCAGTCTAGTGGTAGCATGAGACGGAGTCTACAACCCACACAAGTGGCTCAGGTAGTGCAGCTCATCCAGGATGGCACATCAATGCGAGCTGTGGCAAGAAGGTTTGCTGTGTCTGTCAGCGTAGTGTCCAGAGCATGGAGGCGCTACCAGGAGACAGGCCAGTACATCAGGAGACGTGGAGGAGGCCGTAGGAGGGCAACAACCCAGCAGCAGGACCGCTACCTCCGCCTTTGTGCAAGGAGGAGCAGGAGGAGCACTGCCAGAGCCCTGCAAAATGACCTCCAGCAGGCCACAAATGTGCATGTGTCTGCTCAAACGGTCAGAAACAGACTCCATGAGGGTGGTATGAGGGCCCGACGTCCACAGGTGGGGGTTGTGCTTACAGCCCAACACCGTGCAGGACGTTTGGCATTTGCCAGAGAACACCAAGATTGGCAAATTCGCCACTGGCGCCCTGTGCTCTTCACAGATGAAAGCAGGTTCACACTGAGCACGTGACAGACGTGACAGAGTCTGGAGACGCTGTGGAGAACTTTCTGCTGCCTGCAACATCCTCCAGCATGACCGGTTTGGCGGTGGGTCAGTCATGGTGTGGGGTGGCATTTCTTTGGGGGGGCCGCACAGCCCTCCATGTGCTCGCCAGAGGTAGCCTGACTGCCATTAGGTACCGAGATGAGATCCTCAGACCCCTTGTGAGACCATATGCTGGTGCGGTTGGCCCTGGGTTCTTCCTAATGCAAGACAATGCTAGACCTCATGTGGCTGGAGTGTGTCAGAAGTTCCTGCAAGAGGAAGGCATTGATGCTATAGACTGGCCCGCCCGTTCCCCAGACCTGAATCCAATTGAGCACATCTGGGACATCATGTCTCGCTCCATCCACCAACGCCACGTTGCACCACAGACTGTCCAGGAGTTGGCGGATGCTTTAGTCCAGGTCTGGGAGGAGATCCCTCAGGAGACCATCCGCCACCTCATCAGGAGCATGCCCAGGCGTTGTAGGGAGGTCATACAGGCACGTGGAGGCCACACACACTACTGAGCCTCATTTTGACTTGTTTTAAGGACATTACATCAAAGTTGGATCAGCCTGTAGTGTGGTTTTCCACTTTAATTTTGAGGGTGACTCCAAATCCAGACCTCCATGGGTTGATACATTTGATTTCCATTGATACTTTTTGTGTGATTTTGTTGTCAGCACATTCAACTATGTAAAGAAAAAAGTATTTAATAAGATTATTTCATTCATTCAGATCTAGGATGTGTTATTTTAGTGTTCCCTTAATTTTTTTGAGCAGTGTATATCACAGTGATATTGTTGAGAGGAAGTGAAGCACTCACAAATTTCTCAGTGCAGGGGAAGTCAAAGAGCTTGACCAGCCCAAAGTCGTCCCCGGTGACCACATTGAGTCCGGCGTGGGAGACACAGGCACAGTTGACGTCAGCCTTATCAGCATTCCGTGGCCAGATACCCAGCACCTCATCTCCCAGGATACTGAGTAGAAATGAGGGAGTGGAGCAAAGGTTAGGATAATTTCCATAAAATGTTAGAATTTACGTAGCATGTTAGGTGAATTGGGTTAAGTTTAGAATAAGGGTTAGGGGAAGGGTTAGCTAAAATGCTACAGTTGTCCCCGACGCGACTCGAACGCATAACCTTTGGATTGCTAGACGGTCACGGATTACTCCCACCCATCCTCTCTGACCAACCTCCCTACTTTTGTTTCCGTCTAAAGTAACTAACCCATTAGTAGATATTATACGTCTTGGAAGTGCTCAGAAATAAGTATGTTTCGTATGGCTCTGAGTCCAGGCTGCCTAATAAGTATGCTACTGCCTATATGCAAATCTGTGTTTTTAACCCATTAACCTTGGGAAGACTGATGTTAGAGGGAGTTTGGGGTCTATTCATGAGAAGTGGACAGTGACAGCTGTGCTGCAGGAAGTATTGATTGACCTCTATTATTCCATTGATCAATAACAGACACCCAAACACAACTACAAAACAACATGTCTGGGTATGCCCACTAAACATCTGTACACAAACGTGCCAAGATGGCTTCAACTAGCCTAAAGCTCAAACAAATTGAACCAGCAATGTATTTGTATTGCTTTGGCTTGCATTGCCATTTTGCAATGTCCTTACCAGAGTGAGCTGTTATGTGTAGCTCCCGTTGTTGACGCAATATCTCAATAGTGTTACCGTGCAGTGCTTGCATTCTTTACTGAATATTGATCTCAGTTTTGATTTTAGAGAGAATGTGGGTTTGATTGAATTCCAGTGACTACAACTAATCATTCTACCTGGTCCAGGTGGCCCAGGTGATCCTGTCAATCACAGTCTGTTCTGTCACAATTTTCCCAGAAGGCATCTCATGCACCTGGCGCTTATAGTTTCCTGAGGACACCTGTAGACACACAGCCAGTGACACGTCAGAACACACAGTCATGCGTATGCACACAACCTCTATCAGAGGTCATCATATTATAACTGTCTAAAATCCATCAGTCATCTATCTACCAGCACTGTCTGCACAGCTCAGTCTGCACAGCTAGGAATGAAAAAAATGAAATGACAATTTTCCATATACAAATTTGTTCAAGACATAGAAGCCTCATTACTATTTCATGCTTTAGATCAACCAAAACATGGATTTAGGCTGTGATTCAATCAGACGTGGTTTGTCGACAATGCGGCTTTTAAAGGCAATTACGATTGAGCCGATATATGCAGGGTTTACTGTGAATAAAATCGTTCAGGGACACTGCCACATTGTCGAAAACCAATCAAATCGTAATGAGCTTAGTCCATTATATAACTTCAAATGGACTGGAAGGACCTTGGCCAACTATACTGGTCCCTCCCCTTCTGTGTCCTCCCTCTGTCCCTTCAAGCCACAGACACATTTGTAATTGTACGCTGAGGTCAGGTTAAATTTAGAAGGCCAAGTCACCATCTTACCCTGTTTCTGACCATGTGCCAGTCACATCAACATTTCTGAAAAGGTGCAAGGGTCTCCATAACAGCAAGGAATGGGTCTGAGTCTATAGAAATACCTCAGATAGGGTTACTTTGTAGCATACTGAAGCCTGTGAGGTTACTCTAGAGCAGCTCCAGACTACTGTTAGAGGTGCTACTCACAGGTTTTTGTCTTAAAAAAAAAAAAAAAGTTTTTCAGAAAATGTCCATAATATATCTGCTGCTAATAGTTGAATGATAGTGTTTCACAGTATTACTTACTCGCCAGTGTTGTGATTGGCTGTGATATTCGCACATTGATTTATCCCGCCGGAGCGGCATCTAGTGTCAAAGTGGGAAAGCGGTTCTGACTTTGTGGCTGTGTTATCTAGTGGAAATAGCTCTTGTCAATTCCTGGTTGCTAAAATTCTACACTGTTCGCTCAATTTCAGTTTGTATGAGAAAACAAGCACTGAATAGTTTAGGGAATCATCGTACAATCTAAATCGCTGTGAAATATATTTTCAATAACAAAAAATATCGTTTTTACAGCTATTAGAAGCTGGTGAACCAAAACAAAAGTTATTTCCGGTTTTGGTCCACCAGCCTCAAACAGCCGTTTTGGTCCATCAGCTTCAAACAGCTGTAAAAACGATATTCTGTTATTGAAAATATATTTCACAGCGATTTAGATGGTACAATGATTCCCTACACTATTCATGTGAGAAAACAGTAGAATTTCTGCAACCAGGAAATGAGCGATTTCATTAGATAACAAAGCCACAAGGTCAGAACAGCTTTCCGTTTGACAACAGATGCTGCTCTGGCAGGAGAAGTCAATAGGTGAATATCACAGCCAATCTCAACACTAGCGGGTAAGTAATACTGTGAAAACACTATCATTCCACTATTTGCGGCAGATATATAATGGATATTTTCAAAAATTACAATCTAAAAATTCTAAAGAATCCTATGTGTAGCACCTTTAACTAGAAGGGGACTTGGCTATAAATGATTATGACCTTCCTGCCATACATGTGTGTGTCTAAATATAGGTTTTTACACTCTCAGCATGCTTTGAAATGGATATATGCGTGTCCATCATGGTGAGAACGCACTGTGCAACATGATCAAATGGTTAAGAGTGCTGTATTAAAAACACAAGCACAGATCTACAATAGGGTTGTAGATTTAGCTCAATTGGTGCCCAAAAAGGTTTCCACAATAATCTAATAAAATATTGTTGTTTTTTACCATTCAAACATAATGACCTTGACAGCAAAATAACATTTACCTCATTCCACTATCTATTTTGTGTGGTTTTAGGAAATATGTAGTGTTTATCGTTTATTTAACAACAACAGCTCTAGAATGAATTCTCATATTCAGCCTGTTTTTAAACCATCACGGTCAGTGTGGCATACCTCAATGAACATGCTGTCTGCAGAGAAGTCCATCTGGATAACAAAGCTGGAGATGTCCTTACAGTAGCCCACACGGTTGAGCGAGGGGCCCAAGGTAAGGTCGTACAGGTCAACCGTACTCTCCACTGAGCCCACTGCCAGGAGGTGTTTGTCTGGACTGAACCTGAGAGGGTCACACAATAGACATAATATATATATATATGACATTGGACCACACAGACATCCTCAGAGTTCAAAGGTCACTGAACCAATGTAATTTCAAATGAGTTTACTTCCCCTTTTTAGTGAAATCAGAGTTTGAAACATCCCTTTCATTTTGCTTAGTTTTTTTCTTGGTTGTAACCAAGGGTTAAATTGGGAATTCGGGGGGGGGGGGGGGGGGGGGGGGTCATATTTGGGTTGAGCCAGGGTTAAACATAAGGCTATGGTTCGAGTTATGCCAAGATTAAGTTTAGGGTTATGCCAAATCAGGGTTGTGGCTGATGCTAGGGTTAAGGTTGAACTGGGATGTGGACATGAAGATAGGGTTAATTAATGTTGTGGTTGAGGTTAGGGTTAAGCGTGGTCAGGGTTGTGGTTGAGGCTAGGTTTGAACATGGATGTGGACATTAAGCTAGGGTTAGGATGGAAATGGGATGTCGACATGAAACTAGGGTTAGGGTTACAGTAGGTTTGCCGTTGAGGGTTAGGGTTGAACCGGGATGTGGACATGAAGCTAGGGTTAGGTATCTGGTTGAGGGTTAGGGTTGAGCCAGGAAATAGACATGAGTCTAGGCAAAGTGCAAGAGCCTAGCTCCAGGTAGCTCCTATGTCTCCTCAGTTCTTGCCTGATGTCCTGTATGGCAGCACTGCGGTCTCGTTTCTTGCCCCACATCTTTAGTGAGTTGGTGAGGAGGATGATGAACTCCCCATTCTTCATGCCCACAGACACCATCTCCCCATCAGGACTGTAGCTGGCACACTTGGCTGGGTGGCCCAGGCTCACTTTGTTCAGCAGTTTCTATCAGGGAAACAGACAGCAGGGTTGTAGACAACAAAACATGAGACATAGGATGGTATGTGGCCATTCAAAGGCTAACTAAATACAGGTGCAAAGGAAACCAAGAACACAAATAAACTGTAATTTGAGATTCAAAAAAGTTGTTTCTGCAATAAATGATGAAAGACATTCAATGTAAATGCAAATGCAACTTCACTCAGCAGACCATAGTATTTCTCTGTGCTGTACCTTGTCGGCCAGGTCCCATATGCGGATGGTTCCGTCGTCGCTGGCAGAGATGAACAGATCTTTAGAGGGGTGGGTGGCCAGGCCCCAGATCTCGCCCTGCATGTGACCGTTGATCAGGATGTTGGACGCAGCGTTCTTCTCCCCCACCTCAATGATTTCACCATCCTTTGTGCCTACCAATATCTTACCCTGGTAGACAGGCACACAAGAAGGTTACTGTTTTTGACCAAAACCCTAGTTGAAGCTAAAGACGTAAAATAAGAGCTATGAACTTAAAAACTTCACGTGAAAGACTGGTTCAAACAACATGTCACATCTCCCATACTACTACTGTAAAGGTGGCTAAAGCTGCTGGGTAGGCTATGAGCTACTGAAGGTTGCTACACTATGGGAAGAATGCCAACAAATCCATTTCCAAACAAATGACTCAGCTATCTATTTTGGATTGAAAAACTAAGTGATTTTATTCGCTGCATCATTACCTTCTCTGACCATGAATATCCCAACTCTGTAACAAAATGTATGTTCTGTTGCAGTGCAGTGAAAATAAACAAGGAGCAAGAGTGTATGAAAGAGCACCAAATAGATTGTGCAGTTATAAAGGCCAAAAAATTCTGACACAAAACCAAGTGTAATCTAATGTCTAATCATCAGTCTATCCAATGAGAAGATATGTGTAGCTGCAGCAGAGAAGGTACCTAAAATGGTTTATATGATATGAAATGAAAATACAATAAAATTCTGTTTTTTAAAATAATATAGTTAGCTACTGTACAGTATATTTATTAAGGGAACTTCCAGGGAGTTATTTTCAGGTTTAAGATTTGCTGTAGGCTTGCTTATAGTCTTCTCCCACTGGGGTGTGTGCTGGCTATGCTGAACTCACCTTGCCTCGACAGACAGATCTCACACACTCAACGGTCTGTCCCGTCTCTAGCTGGAACGCTCGGCAACGTTTCATCTCCTGGTCCCATAGTTTCACTGCACCGCCCTCCTTTGTACTGTACACACACGTACACGTACACACACACACAGTCTTGTTTTACTAACCTTGTGGGGACACACAATTGATTCCCATTCAATCCCTAAACCTTAAACTGGGTCTGTGCCCCACCTTGGCCACCCCATTCAAAATGTTCTGGACACGCCACTGAATGTATCATCATCATCATCATGGACACAAGAGGATATAGAGTGTTAGCCAGTGGAATTCCAGATGTGATTTTGGGGCTATTGTGTGTTGTTATTTTGGTTTGATAACGAATGGTGTTAGTCTCAGGGAGATTAGTGCTAAAAGAGGATCATTGAGTGGATCATCAGTGGTCGTGCAGCAGTGCGCTACTCACGGCCTTTCCTTGCCCCCTGTGACGATGAGGCCGTCTCTCAGTGTGGTGTACATAGTGAACACTGGCCCGGTGTGGGCTTTAGCCACGACACGAAGCAGGAAGTGATCTCTCCACACGTACACATCCCCGTTTATGGCACCTGTGAATGTTAGGTTATTCTGGAGGAAGAGAAACCACACAGGTCAGGATCACGAAACTTAAAATCTACTTTTTAATTGACCTCAAATGAATCACAGAAAACATGGTTGATTACATTAGCCAATTAGTCTAGGGTAAATCCAATCCATTAGGGTAGATGAAAGAGTTTAGTCAAAAATTCTGTCAATACTCACAGCACCGAAGGCCACAGACAGCATGGTCTGCATCCTGCCGTCCTCCACTGAGCCCACCACTCCCTTCTTATACATGAGAGAGCCTCCAGCCAGCATCCAGAACTTGATGTGTTTGATCCCAACAGACACAAACTGAGAGTCAGAGTCTGGCCGGAACTCCACTACGAAGATCCTGTCTGGATGGCCTCCTTTACTGGTCACTTTAGCACCTGGACAGGGGAACACACACACAAGCACAATTCTAAGACCTGCTATTTACAGTTACTGAGTGATATCTAACAACATTGTTATGATTAGCTATCACACAAATGCACTTATTACGGACCAATCTAACCTGTAGCCTACCACCATCTCAGTGTATATTACCAGGGTCAGAATGTCTCACCTTCCTGCCAGCGCCACACAGTGATGGTGTGTTCAGGCTCCACCCCCACAGAGAGCAGCAGCTTGCCTGTGGCGCTGAAGTTGACGTAGCCAACCCCCTTAGTGTGAGAGCAGCGCAGGATGGACAGTGTCTGTTTACTCATGGCGTCCCACACGTGGATGGATGGGGTGGTGCCTGCAGTACAGAGAAAAACATCATACTCTGATCAAGTATACAGGGATACAGCATGGAGCAATAAAGGGCAAATAATTGGCTGTAGTAGATAGAATGTCTCGGCAGAGTATAGGTTGAATCAATATGGAACAATACAGAGGGATAATTACTGGACAAGCTAAGGATAGAAAACACAGGACAGGCCACTGGGAAAACTGCAGGAGAACAGCAAGAAGAGGGTAAACCTATAGGGTAAAACTGTAGAACACATCAGTACAAGGGGCAATCTGGAAGGCGTTTTACCTGGTAGGTCTGTCACTTCACCTGTGGTGTGTGAGCGATGGGAAATGAGGCAGCAAAATAACAAATGAAATCTAAAGTGAGTGCCTTTTCAGATGCTGCTGAGGACATTATGATATAAAGCACCAATACAACTAATTCTAGCACCAATCAAAATGAAAATGTGGCAATGCAGACTGAACCGGTCACCAAAAATGGCCCAGAAAAATGCAAAGATGATAAAGCATTCAATATCTAGCCCTTTGTCTCATATGCACACACTCAGCCCATGCACGAATGCTATGAATAAGTACATACAAGTACATGCAAAATACATATAAACACAATCACAATCACAATAAAATTAAACACGTTCATTCACTGCAGTAAAGTACATACCAATCTGTCCTGTAGCGATTACATTTTTGTATTTTGGATGTTGATTGACGGTCAAACAGAGAATGTCATCTGTATGTTCCAAGTAGAAACTCTGAGTCCCTGAGGAGAAATAGCATTAAACACAGAGTTAATCTTATCATGTACATTCCTATATATCACAAGCCCTGAAGTTAATGTTGAGTATGGTATCCAAAAGTGTGAACATGTAGCTGTACCGGTGGTAAGGCTGTGCACCATGGCCGTGGCTGCTGTGTGGAAGACAATGTCGGCGCCGTCGTTGAGGTAGTGAAGGTTGTTGCGACAATCAAAGCCCCTGAACCCAAACACGTGGTCCAGCACCAGGTCCTGAAAGTACACACATCACTGACCAATCACATCCCGCAGCGCACCAAACTGAACCAACACTGGTTCATAACAAACAGTGAAAATGTAACATGAACATGTAAAATAGGGTTGAGTATGACATCATCAGAGTTATTCAGTTGACTTTAACACCACTGTGAGACAAACCTCAACAAGCTTCTTCTTTTTGGTGATGTTGTTCTTCTGCAGCTTCTCTGGTTGGGGAGCAGCTCGGCTAACAGGAGGCCTGCAGAGAGTAAATAGGTACTACTGCCTCACACAGCTGATATATTGGACAGTTTAACACAGAACTTCAAAAAACCAAAGTCATGTTTTCTCAGAATAATTTAATTATAGGACACAGCAATGCCACATAAAGGGTAGATTAGGCCAAGTTATAAAGAGTCTGTCTAGTCTGACATGAGGTAGCTAGAAACAAAGAGAGGAAGAAATATAAAAGAGAGCGCGTGAGAAAGAATTGACCTATGGAGTAAACTGCAACTTGAGCAACAGCTGCAATCAGTCATATCACTCTGAATAGAAACATTGTCAAGCCTTTCTACAGTATATCATTGCTTGTTCATTCTCATAATAGGCCTTACTGTTTATAAATACACAAACATTCAGTGTGCCTTATGACACTGTACGTCTATAGATACTACACAATTCAGTGCTACATATAATGGAATAAATTGCATACATCAAATGAAATTGTCCCATTACATTTTCCACATTTATGAATTTTGGCCAGCCACTGCGCACACACACATTCCATCAAGGTGACACATCACATTCACAACGTCAACAAGCGTCAACTTTCACATAAGGATTACACCAATAATGACACATTACACCAGTTGGCTGAGGTTACATTTAACATGTATGGCAATGAGCCACAGAATGAAATTCCACTCACTCAGTCTAGGAGCTCTACACTGCCGCCTGCAGCACATCTGCACATCTGCCTCTCAGTGAGGCTTTCCCTGTATTTACCTCTCTCGGTCTCCCCCCTCATCAAAATCTATCACTATAAAATTAAATAAAACTACTAAAAAGGTCCAATGCAGCCATTTCTATCTCAATATCAAATCATTTCTGGGTAACAATTAAGTACCTTACTGTGATTGTTTTCAATAAAATAATTATAAAAGAAACAAAAATCGCTTCTTAGCAAAGACCAATTTCTCAAGTAAGAATTTTGCTAGGACTGTCTGGGAGTGGTCTGAGCGGGGAGGGGAAAACTAGCTGTTACTGGCAGAGAGGTTTGGAACTCTTTCTTATTGGTCTATGAACTAATTTACCAACTGGTGATGTCACCTGGCAGGCCAAAACAACAGGCTAAAAATTCAGGCGGTCTATTCAAACAGCTCCTACACTAAAATGACTGCACTGGGCCTTTAAGGTGAGTGGAATTCCACTGGATGTGTTGTAAAATTAGATTTCCTAGATGGTGTTGGTTACCACAGTGATGTGGCCTTGCTTAGACCTGAGGTCCATGGTCACACTCAGGGTTTAACAGACTGATCTTGTTAAACATCTGACTTATATCAATACTATTGATAGCTGACACAAAAACACAGGGCCATTAGAGGAAGAATATAAGTTATTGCTCATAAACCTAGGCTGTCAAAGGTTCATGGAAATCTGTACATGCTCCCGTGCGCACACACACACAGACAGAGAGAGTCTACAAGTTAACAGAGAAACACATATTAAAGTAGACCTTGAGGTTAAAATCCCACAGGATATTGAACAGTGCAATGACGAAGCAGAAGGATTAGTTATACAGCACTACCACCATGTGCATTTATTTATTTATTAAGGATCCCCATTAGCTGCTGCCAAGAGGTATTGACATGTTTAAACCACCGAGCTGTCTGTTCAAATGACTAGCACACAGCTCAGACACCCATGCATACCCCACAAGACATGCCACCAGGGGTCTCGTCACGCAATTGCCTTGTATAACTACAACCGTGTCATACGGTTGCGCAAGACAAGGTTCCAGGTCACTGGTAAAGCACTATAGCCCAAAGGTGATAGCTGTGATCACATACATACATACGTAGTTTACACTCCTTACAGCTGACAGACACTACCGTTCTTCTCTGTTTGTCTGAACAGCACTTTATAAGCATTGTCTGGATGATCTTGCATGGCAGGGAGCTAATATTTCCATCATTTACTTTCTCCTGTTTCATTCTGCAATCAGACTCCCTCTTCCCCATATGTTTTAACAATATTGTTGGTGACGGTGTCTACGTGCTCTGAAATGAGTTCAATCAGCATATCAGAGTGTAGTGTTGCCACACAACACCACAGATTGAATATCTGTACAAGTGTAGTAACTAACTCCTGCGGACTGATAGCAACATTTTTCATGCTGAGGATTGTATGATCCTACAGTGACATGAACTGGGAGTCTGGGACGTTGTCTAAGTCCATGTCTCTGAACAGGAAAAAGCAGATGAAAAGATGATCCGCCCCCATGGATGGTGACAGGGTGTGAAACTCTGAAGTCTGGATGCAAAGATGCAGTTCTGATCAGATGGGAACGAGATGAGCCGACTGTCACCATGCAGGACAAACATACAGAACAACAGAGCATCACAGAGAAACAGAGACACACTTGGACCTGGAGCCACAGTGTACACACAGTGTGATAGACACAAGTAGCTCACTTTACCTGGATCCCCTTGAGAGCAGTGGACAGAACCAAGTGAGAGGTTTAGAGGACACAGGTCGGAGTCCGAGGGGACTCACTATACTACAGTATAGCTATAAGGCTCATGCAACAAGCAACCTGGAGAGCTATTAGCCCATCATTCCTGCCTGCTGCAAACCATGCTCTGACTGTTAGCATACTGTCAGCATGCCAGAAAGAGAGAGAGACTGCTCAGAGGAGAGGTGTGGAATGAGAGTGTCCCAGTCTAAAGAGCAATAAGGGGAGGGAGTCATACCCTGGGGTCCCTGTGCAAACTGTACAATAGAGCTCCTATGAGAGGGTGGGAGGAGGAGGGGCACAGGGAGAGAGAAATGTGTCAGTGCCTCTATCTCATCACCCAAGGGGTTATGGGAAAACAAGGTCCTGCGATGTCTGGGGCACCACAAGAGGGAGTGAGGAAAAGAGAGGGGGAGAGACAGAAACAGAAAGAAAGAAAGGTCTCCTCCAGCATCACTTGGTAGATCATTACTGTACTCTGAGTGCTCTCTGCACCCAAATAACAAAATACATTATTGTGATACAAATGACACAAAAATGAGAATCCGAAAATAAAATGTGTTACTCATGCAATTCCCATAACTTCATGTTGCTCAGAATTTGAGCAGTTTGAGCATGCTGAGTGATATTAAGACGCATAGGAAATGGGAGATTATGCCCATAGTCCAAATAAATAGATGACTAGAAAATACATTTTTCAGACCTGCCTCCTGTAGTACCATTATAGGACATAAATGAATAAATAAACACATTTGGATAAAATTATAGGTACGTAGGTTAAAAAGGAATAATAAACACAGATTTCTTCCCCCATTCTGTTGAAATCCCTGGATTAAAATAACAACACCATACTCTATTGAATATTAGATATTCTATCTTCTGCCCACTCTACTACTATCCTTGTCCTGCACATCTAAAGCCCTGTTTATAAACCTGCTTCTAACCTGCTTCCTTCGTCCTGCTCTTGTCTGATTGCAATCAGATCACAATGCGTCTTTTAATCGTCTACACCAGTCTAAAAATGTGGGCACAATCAGAATGTGGACAAGATCAGGACAAAGGACACTTGATAGCACCAGGTATAAACAGGGCTTAATGTATGGAAATGCCACCCACATCCACATCCCATAGCTAGCGCAGAATGTTTGCATTAGGTCATACTTACTTGACAATGCCCTGCCTCCAAAGGAATGCAAGTTAAAACACAATAGAGATATTAGGTGTTTCTGCAGACAGAAGTGGGCCCCAGAGTCATGGGGATCAGAGATGGTATGGTTGAGGGTACAAATCAGCATGGTACCATGGAGCTGACTAACCCCAGAGTATACAGTCTGTTACTACATTCATCAAGGACTAGGAGCGCAATACTGAACACTCAACTCTAATGGTGTAGCAACGATTGACCCTGTTAGCTATAATATCAGGGTTTGTAGTAACTGCATATCATTATATGCAGTCACTGTTTATTGGTGGCTATAGAGAGGATATCTAGCTACAGTACTGCTTAATGGGGTTAGTACTGTGCAAACATGCAAATTACTAAATGAGGTGGACACAAATTAAAATAATGATACAATTTAATTGTAAATCATGCAAAGTGTATACTGCATTGGATTTTTCACAACAATACTTCTACTTATTGTACATACCACACACACACACACAGTATATATACTCTACACAGTCTCAAAGCAACTGAGATCATACCAATGATACTGTATAAGTATACACCACATATCAGTTTCATAGCAACAGATATCGCACAGAAGCGCCAGAGAGCACACCTGCTATACATGCACATAACATTTTGCAATACTTAACAAGATTCCTCCACAAGCCACAAATACAAGCACATGCAATCTCATACTGTAACACCACATAGATTACTTCCCAAACACGTACATCCAACAATCCACAGATAGATGGACCACACATAAAACATGCACACAGCAAACAATATCAACGGGCTACACCCACAACCCAGGACAAACCATCGTATCATAGCAACAGAGCTGACTAATATAGAGAGAGTATTGGAGAAAGAGGACACACATACACTCATACAGTGCAGAAAGACATAACATGGAAATGGTGATAAAGATCTTTATATGAGCATAGAATAATGTCTCTTTTTGTAATGAATTTTTTGGGCAAGTAGTACAGCTAGGTAAAGAGTAGTCTATAATGTATATCAAATGATTAAATCAGGCCTCATACTCCATTTGAAATAGCCTAACATGAAAAAACACCCCAGCAGCCTTCCCTTACTCTGTAAATGTTGTCAGCTAAGCACTAAAAAGTCAACTCACTCTGTATCATAAAAAGCAAGACCAAACTCTATATCCATGTCAACCCTACAATGACCACCTATGAGGCTTTACAAAAGGATAAATACAGTAGATGTCAATTATCCTCAAACAACAGATGTGTATTGATAGGTAGGAGGTAACTAAAGATGTATCAAGTGACAAAAAAGACAGGTGCAGTTTCAGTTTCTGACACCAGAGGGCTCTATAAGCATTCCTTTAAGCAATAAGGCCCGAGGAGGTGTGGTATATGGCCAATATATACGACGCAACGCAGAGTGCCTGGACACAGCCCTTAGCTGTGGTATATTGACCATATACCATAAACCCCAGAGGTGCCTTATTGCTATTATAAACTGGTTACCAATGTAATTAGAGCAGTAAAAACACGTTTCATCATACCCATTGTATACGGTCTGATATACCACAGCTATCAGCCAATCAGCTTTCAGGGCTCGAACAACCCAGTTTATAATTAGAGATAATCATGGTGTTGGCTGCTGATGGCAGCCTGATTAGGATCAAGACGTTAATACAGTCTTTTGAGGCCTAACACAACAGATAAAACTTGCCAGTTTTTTTAATTGCCACTGCTTCAGACTTTTTTAATTGTTTTAAATCTACACACTCAACACAACGGTCAGGAGCCAAGACACTCTCTAATGTTTAAGCTCTATCACTTTGAGTGACAACAACCAGTCCAAAAACAGAAGCTGGCATGGGTGTGTACCTTTCCTCTGCCGACACCTCCTTCAGTTGCTGGTGGGGTTTGATGCCACACATGTCCCGGATGCTGACAGCATAGATCTTAGTGGTGTAGTCAATGCTCTTCTCCCTCGCCACATCACTGTCATACCCTACAGACACGCCCACAGGAATAGACTCAGCCAATTAGAGCAGTTTGTGAAAAGTAGGATTTGATCAGGATAGCTTTGTATGTGTTTGTTGAGAATGTTGTATGAGAGTTCTGAGAGAAGATTGTGAGAGAATTGTAAGAATGTTTATAGAGTACTACTGTGTACTACTCTACTGTACTGTATGGATCAGTAGTCTAAAGGCTGGCCTTTACCTCCGTCCTCCTCGATGTCATCGTCTGACTCCTCGCTGTCCACAGGGTTCTCCCTGTGACCCTCTCCGGTTCTCTCCAGGGCCCAGATCATCAGTGCTGTGTCAGCTCCGCCGAGCGTCAGTAGCGTGGCATCATCTTGTCCCCATCGCACATTGGTTACATGGGCACTGTGACCCATGTACTTCTTGAAGCGGGCATACTGACCCTGAGGAGGGAGCAGACAGAGCCAAGGAAAAACCAAGAGACAACAGTCAACTTGAATCAACAACAGAGTCATGTACCAGCATTGGGGTCAATTCCATTTCTGTTCAAGAGAGTAAAATTGAACTGAACATCTAGTGCCTGTGTCTCACCCTGGCTGGATAGCTGAAGAGCTTGAGGAAGCCAAAGTCATCTCCGGTGGCGAGCAGCTTCTTGTCTTTGGTGAGCGAGGCGGCATTGACGTCTGTGATGTCACTGTGGGTGGGCCAGATCCCCTCACAGGTGGGACCCAGGACACACGTCCAGGTAGCCCACTCCATCTTCTCTATCTGACAGGCGGAAACATGAACACACACACACACACACACACACACACACACACACACACACACACACAGTGTGTTAAACACTGCCTCATGCTTTATGGAGTGTCCATTTATATTTGATGGCTAGCTGAGAAATATTACAAGAAAATTGCAATCTCAGTTGGGTCTCTTACCTCAGAATTTCGTATGGTTTGTCTCTTCCCTCTTGGGGCTTCGAAGAATAATTGCTCTTTGTCACCTGAATTTACTTGCAGCAATTTACCTACAAAAAAAGTATTTTCTCTCAACCAAAAGACAAAATAGAACTTGTATCTACAGACTACTAATGGGAATCCAGGCTCCGCTTCCAATTACACCATAAACTCACCATGAGAGTCCCAGTCTATATGAGTGATATAGCTGGAAGCTCCTTTGCAGATTCCCACCCTCTTGCTGGACAGCACATTGTAGATATCCACAAAGTTATCATGAGAGGCCACAGCGAGGTATTTACCAGCATCTGAGGAGGAAACCATAGAACCAATAATTAACACATTACATTTACATTTTAGTCATTTAGCAGACGCTCTTATCCAGAGCGACTCACAGTTAGTGAGTGCATACATTATAAATTGTGTTTTTGTTTGTTTTTATTGTTTTATTTTCATACTAGCCCCCCGTGGGAATCGAACCCACAACCCTGGCGTTGCAAACGCCATGCTCTACCAACTGAGCTACATCCCTGCCGGCCATTCCCTCCCCTACCCTGGACGACGCTGGGCCAATTGTGCGCCGCCCCATGGATCTCCCAGTCGCGGCCGGCTACGACAGAGCCTGGATTCGAACCAGGATCTCTAGTGGCACAGATAGCACTGCGATGCAGTGCCTTAGACCACCTCAGCCATGTGGTCGAAAATGCTATTCTGTGAAACCTCACTTCATTTATTAGGAAAAGTATAACTCAAATTAATCTTACTAATAAAATAACTATGCATATTAGAAGAGTTATGAAATACAAACAACAATGATTGGACATTTCAATGATAAGAGATCCAGTCAGTTGTCAAAGGTCAAAGGTTACCTTGTGAAAACCTGACGTCAGAGATGGACTCCTTCCTGTGATGGAAGGACACCAGGTCCTCCAGGGTGTCAGAGTTCACCACCAGGAAACTACCATCATTGAGGCCCACCGCTAAGGCTTTCCCATCAGGGGAGAAGGCACAGCATCTTCCACCTGATACACACACAACGCACACACACTTATACACTTCCAAAATGGAGATACAGACAGACTGACAGACACAGAAACAGAAGGTGACACTGGAGTGCCTTATGTTTGTTGATGACCGTGGGAGTTAATGACTCATTAGTTGATGAAGATAATAACATTCAGCAGTACCTTTTTTAAGTTTGCGAACGGCCACCATGCGGTGGTTGGTGGAGAGCTCCCATATCCGCAGGGTTTTGTCGTCACTCACTGTGGCACATATGGGGAGCAGGGGGTGAGCAGCAAGACCCCACACCTCGCCGTCCATGTGACCCTGTAACCATAGCAACAGACGGACACACAGCTGTCAGTCAATCACAGTTTACATGCCTTGACCTACACCTAATCCATTTTACACACCGGTCACCCACAAAATCACTCGCCATTTTTCTCAGGACAATACATTGTGCTCATATTGACGTGGAGTTTGAGTGAGAGACGGTACTTTTGAGACAAAACAAAAGCCCAATCGATCGCATCTCAGATAGCTGCAGTCATGTTACCCAACAACACGTCCATACTGATCCTTCATAACCCATCCCTATCAGCTCTGTTCACCATGGCAACAGAGCACAGGTACCTGCCGCTAGGGAGTCTGGGAGGCTCTGACTCTGAGCTGTAAGGGTTGGGCCATAGGAGGGAACTACCACAGAGATACACTGACAGTCAGAAACACACATGCACGCAAGGAATCATTCACGCACACATCCACACACACACACACACACACACACAACATCATACAAACTACTGTAACTGTCATCTACAATCCAGCACTACAGAGCAGGGATGGGAAGTTCGGCTCTTTTTACTGAATCAGATCTTTTCGACTCGTTCAGTCAAAATAACAAATATTTAGACTAATTTCATTCATTTGAGTCAGTAATGCCCAGAGCATGCAGGACCCCCTACCGGCGAACGAACTTAAAACTCAAAAGAGTCATGATTCTACAAGCTGTCATTTGTGACTGAGACTTGTAAAAGTGTGCTTTAAACAATATATATTTGTTGATTGCTAGGCATACAAATACGATTATTTCTTGATACATCTGAAACAAAGTCTAGATGTGGCCGCAACTGGACTAGATTGTGAACGAGATCTTGGCGGAATGCATTGCTTGACTGCCGTGAGGGTGATAAGCAGAATGTCGTTCGCGAACTGCAGCACCCAGGCAGCCCCCCAAATTATTTGTTATTGAGTTCGAGTTTGTTGAGCAGAGGCTGTGTGTATGTTTTGCATCTACAAAGCTGTGTCCATCATAACATTTAATAATCAATTGATTGCATTCATTATTGCACCATGTGATCAATTAACAGTTCTAAACTTTAAACTCTAAATGTATTTTTCTTCTCTACGCTGCCTGCAGACAGTTCAAATCAAATCAAATCTTCTTTGTCACATGCTTCGTAAACAACAGGTGTAGACTAACAGAGAAATGCTTACTTACGGGCCCATCACAACAATGCAGAGAGAGAAAATAGAGAAAAAATAGAAAAGTAAAACACGTAATAATAAATACGCAATGAGTAATGATAACTTGGCTATATACACAGGGTACCAGTACAGAGTTGATGTGCAGGGGTACGAGGTAATTGAGGTAGATATGTACATATAACTAGGAATAAAGTGACAGATAGTAAACAGTAGCAGCAGCGTATGTGATGAGTCAAAAAGGTTTGTGCAAAAAGTTAGTCAATGCAGATAGTCCAGTTAGTTATATGGTTAAGTATTTAACTAACTATTTAGCAGTCTTCTGGTTTGGGGGTAGAAGCTGTTCTGTATTTCTGTTGCTTCCAGACTTGGTGCATCGGTACCACTTGCTGTGCGGTAGCAGAGAGAACAGTCTGTGACTTTGATGGCTGGAGTCTTTTAGGGGCTTCCTCTGACACCGCCTGGTATATAGGTCCTGGATGGCAGGGAGTTTGGCCCCAGTGATCTACTGGGCCGTACGCACTATCCTCTGTAGCGCCTTGTGGTTGGATCCCAAGCAGTTGCCATACCAAGCGGCGATGCAACCAGTCAAGATGCTCTCAATGGTGCAGCTGTATAACTTTTTGAGGATCTGAGGGCCCATGAGGCGTTGACGTGCCCTCTTCACAACTGTGTTGGTGTGTGTGGACCATGACAGGTCGTAGTGATGTGGACACAGAAGAACTTGAAGTTCTCGACCCACTCCACTACAGCCCCGCGATGTGAATGGGGGCGTGCTCGGCCCTCTATTTCCTGTAGTCCACAATCAGCTCCTTTGTCTTTCTGACGTTGAGGGAGAGGTTGTTGTCCTGGCACCTCAATGCCAGGTCTCTGACCTCCTCCCTATAGGCTGTCTCATTGTCATCGGTGATCAGGCGTACCACCGTCATGTCGTCAGCAAACTTAAATGATGGTGTTGGAGTTTTGCGTGGCCATGCAGTCATGGGTGAACAGGGAGTACAGGAGGGGACTAAGCACGCTCCCCTGAGGGGCCCCCGTGTTAAGGGTCAGCGTGGCGGATGTGTTGTTGCCTACCCTCACCAACTGGGGGCGGCCTGTCAGGAAGTCCAGGACCAAGTTGCAGAGGGAGGTGTTCAGTCCCAGGGTCCTTAGCTTAGTGATGAGCTTGGACGGCACTATGGTGTTGAACGCTGAACTGTTGTCAATGAACAACATTCTCACATAGGTGTTCCTCTTCTCCAGAATTGGAGTGGGTCCAGGGTGTCTGGGATGATGGTGTTGATGTGAGCTATGACCAGCCTTTCAAAGCATTTCATGGCTACAGATGTGAGTGCTACGGGGCGATAGTCATTTAGACCGGTTACCTTCTCGTTTTTGGGGACAGGGACTATGGTAGTCTGCTTGAAACATGTGGGTATTACAGATGGGGTCAGGGAGAGGTTGAAAATGTCAGTGAAGACACTTGCCAGCTGGTCAGTGCATGCATTGTGTATGTGTCCTGGTAATCCGTCTTGCCCTGCGGCCTTGTGAATGTTAACCTGTTTAAAGGTCTTACTCACATCGGCTACGGAGAGTGTGATCACACAGTCGTCCGGAACAGCTGGTTCTCTCATGCATGGTTCAGTGTTGCTTGCCTGAAAAGCGAGCATAGAAGGCATTTAGCTCGTCTGGTAGGCTTGTGTCACTTGGCAGCTCGTGGCTAGGTATCCCTTTGTAATCTGTGATAGTTTGCAAGCCCTGCCACATCCGACGAGCGTCAGAGCCGGTTTAGTATGATTCGATCTTAGTCCTGTATTGACGCTTTGCCTGTTTGATGGCTCGTCGGAGGTCATAGCGGGATTTCTTATAAGCATCCAGATTAGTGTCCCGCTCCTTGAAAGTGGCAGCTCTAGCCTTTAGCTCAGTGCGGATGTTGCCTGTAATCCATGGCTTCTGGTTGGGATATGTACAGTACTTACAGTCACTGTGGGGCGACGTCTATGCACTTATTAATGAAGCCGGTGACTGATGTGGCATAGTCCTCAATGCCATTGGATGAACCCAGGAATATATTCCAGTCTGTGATAGCGAAACAGTCCTGTAGCTTAGTATCCGCTTCTTTGGACCACTTCTGTATTGAGTTCGTCACTGGTACTTTCCTGTTTGAGTTTTTGCTTGTAAGCAGAAATCAGGAGGATAGAGTTATGGTCAGATTTTCCAAATGGCGGGTGAAGGAGATCTTTGCATGCGTTTCACTTTCCCTGCATTAAAATCACAGCCACTAAGAGTGCCGCCTCTGGATGAGCATCTTCTTGTTTGCTTATGGCCCTATACAGCTCGTTGAGTGCGGTCTTAGTGCCAGCATCAGTTTGCGGTGGTAAATAGACAGCTACGAAAAATATAGATGAAAACTATCTTGGTAAATAGTATAGTCTACAGCTTATCATGAGGTATTCTAACTCAGGCGAGCAGAACCTTGAGATGTCCTTAATATTATAGATTGTGCACCAGCTGTCGTTAACAGACTCCCCCCTCCCCCCTAACCTTACCCGACGCTGCCATACAGTCTTGACGATGCATAGAAAAACCAGCTAGATGTATATTATCCATGTCCTTGTTCAGCCACGAAACATAGGATATTACATTTCTTCAGGTCCCGTTGATAGGATAGTCTTGAACGGAGCTCGTCCAGTTTATTCTCCAGTCGTTGTACGTTCGCCAATAGAACGGAAGGTAGAGGCAGATTATTTATTCGCCTCTCTTACACCGTCTTTTCCTTTTCCGAGTCTCTGGGATTAGGGCCTGGTCCTGGTGAGCAGTATGTCCTGCGCCGCTGACTCGTTGAAGTAGAAATATAAATCAAAATCGAGGTTAGTGATCGCTGCTCTGATGTCCAGAAGCTCTATTTGTTCAGTCATAGGAAACAATAGCAGAAACATTATGCACAAAGAAAGTTAAGATCAGTGCAAAAAAACACATAAAATAGCAGGTCAGGAGCCAGTAAAACAGCAGCTATCCATTGCAGCCATTCTTTTGTTGTTGGTCGGAGCAGGTCTCCGGAGACGTTGAGCCAGAGGAACGCGTATTAACCCTGCTGTAGAATTAATTGCGGCCAGCAGGTCAAACGAATGACTAAAATGAACGAGTAACTCCGAAAAAACGAATCATGACTCTCGAGTCAGTAAAACGAATGGTTCGCAAACTGCACATCACTAATACAGAGGCCATACACAAGCCTTGTGCACACAGGCGAGGAAAACCATGACAGGCTTGACAGTAATATAGAAGAAGGTATTGAGATAATAAGCTATGAACTATTCATCAACTGGGCTGGATAATCCAGAGGGAACACAGAGCTTTTCGGAGCCAGCCAAGCGGCAAACTGTTGAAGCCTGCCTCAGATATGCAAAGATTTATTTCCGACTGCAGTCCCTGAGTGGAGAATAGAGGAAGTAAGGAAGAAGCCAACAAATCCAGAAGCCTGAGTAGGTGGAGAACAGACAACACTTGAGGCTGTTTCACTGCAGGATGCTGCTGTAAAAATGTCTCCTCTAAACCAAACTGGGAAAACCAAGTAGAATTGGAAAAATACATGACCCTAGGTATTTCAGCTGTATGCACACACACACACACACACCTGGACCAGCAAGGTCATGGGTCCACTCTTGTCGATTTCAAGTATTTCTCCGTTCTTGGTTCCCACCAGGATGTGTCCGTGTCCCAGAGTTATGGCACGAATTGAGGGGTTGTCCTCCAGGAGTAGCCCTGGGGGACACACACAAATAGCACTGTAAAGACTTACTATAGCTGTAGCTGGGAAATCCTCCCAGATCGATAGCAGCAAATAGAAGTAATATCCTATCCATGCGAAATATAACTGCAATTCCACATGAGGCCAAGAGATGGCAACAGTGGTCACTGATGGTTACAGTATCTATTGAATATTTATGGTCAAATTTCAAACACATTATGCTTCCTGATACAAGTATGTGCTTTACATGGTCAGTGTGTGCCTTCAAGAGAGAATTACAGCACTTCTCAGATAGTGTTTCTGTATCTGTCATAGACTTTAGTTGACTCTTTCAGTTACTGTAGGGCAGAGAGTGTTATCCTACCTTTAGATCCCGGGGAGAGGGCTGCTCTCTTGATGGCGTAGGTCTTTAGGCACCTCTCAAACATGTCGTCCCACAGCTCCACCACCCCGTCCTTCCCACCTGTCACAAAGCCCTGGAGGGAACAACAGCAGAGGGACGTCACCCAATGTACTCCAACTCTGACAACCACACTGAGGAACATTTTCAGTGATGAGGGCCAGATGACACAGGGGCTCTGACCTACACTAATCTTCTGCCTGACATCTTCTCAAGAGGTCTGTCTGAACTGCTGAAGTATGCTAGGGGGTCAGTTTGTCTTGAAACTAAGAATGTAGTGTTGGATGATGAAGTGCATGAGGAAAGTATGGATGGAGGGAAGACAAATGAAAAGTACTGTCTTTCACTGACATCTTTCACAACACACAGAAGCAGTTGGGAATTACAATTGCATTTCTATTAGCAGGCAGGGCCTGTCAAGGATTTGTAGCAGCAACAACAACAACAACACATCAGGAATTCAGCTGAGGTCTCCCCCAGGAATGCCCTCCCACATCCTCCTTAAGGCTACTTCTCTGATGAAAGGTTTCGGAACTCGTTTTTCAACCACTCCACAAATTTCTTTTTAACAAACTATAGTTTTGGCAAGTCGGTTAAAACATCTACTTTGTGCATGACACAAGTCATCTTTCCAACAATTGTTTACAGACAGATTATTTAACTTATAATTCACTGTATCACAATTCCAGTGGGTCAGAAGTTTACATACACTAAGTTGACTGTGCCTTTAAACAGCTTGGAAAATTCCAGAAAATGATGTCATGGCTTTAGAAGCTTCTGATAGGCTAATTGACATAATTTGAGTCAATTGGAGGTGTACCTGTGGATGTATTCCAAGGCCTACCTTCAAACTCAGTGCCTCTTTGCTTGACATCATGGGAAAATGAAAAGAAATCAGCCAAGACCTCAGAAAAATAATTGTAGACCTCCACAAGTCTGGTTCATCCTTGGGAGCAATTTCCAAACGCCTGAAGGTAACACGTTCATCTGTACAAACAATAGTACGCAAGTATAAACAGAAATAAATAAAAGCTGAACTAAATCATTCTCTCTACTATTATTCTGACATTTCACATTCTTAAAATAAAGTGGTGATCCTAACTGACCTAAGACTGGGAATTTTTACTAGGATTAAATGTCAGGAATTGTGAAAAACTGACTTTAAATGTATTTGGCTAAGGTGTATGTAAACCTCCGACTTCAACTGTATATGTAACATCTAATGAGAAGGCATCTCTACTTGAACAGATCTCCAACAGGGTGAACAAATAAATAGATCTAAAATGTACAAGAGGGAGAAAGCGCTATAAGACAATGTTTAATTGACAACACTAACATGCACTGATGGCCAGAGATGAGATTGGCTGTTTATATTGCGCCACTCTTCATTAGTAGCAGTAAATAGCGATATAATGATTTTCCACAGAACAGAAGTTCATGGGAGAAAATCCATTTACACTGAACAAAAATATAAACGCAAAATGCAACAATTTCAACGATTTTACTGAGTTACATCAGTTCATATAAGGAAATCAATCAATTGAAATAAATGCATTAGGCCCTAATCTATGGATTTCACATGACTGGGAATACAGATATGCATCTGTTGGTCACAGATACCTTTTTTTTTTTTTAAAGGTAGGGATGTGGATCAGAAAACTAGTCAGTATCTAGTATCTCATGCAGCGCGACACATCTCCTTCGCATTGATCAGGCTGTTGATTGTGGCCTGTGGAATGTTGTCCCACTCATCTTCAATGGCTGTGCGAAGTTGCTGAATATTGGCAGGAACTGGAACATGCTGTCGCACACATCGATCCAGAGCATCCCAAACATGCTCAGTGGGTGACATGTCTGGTGAGTATGCAGGCCATGGAAGAACTAGGAAATGTTCAGCTTCCAGAAATTGTTTGCAGATCCTTGCGACATGGGGCCGTGCATTATCATGCTGAAACATGAGGTGATGGCGGCGGATGAATGGCATGACAATGGTCCTCAGGATCTTATCACAGAATCTCTGTGCGTTCAAATTGTCATCGATAAAATGCAATTGTGTTCGTTGTCCGTTGCTTATGCCTGCCCATACCATAACCCCACCATGGGGAACTCTGTTCACAACGTTGACATCAGCAAACCGCTCGCCCACAAGACGCCATCTACCCGGTACAGTTGAAACCGGGATTAATCCGTGAAGAGCACACTTCTCCAGCATTCCAGTGGCCATCGAAGGTGAGCATTTGCCCACTGAAGTCGGTTACGATGCCAACTGCAGTCAGGTCAAGACCCTGGTGAGGACGACGAGGAAGCAGATGAGCTTCCCTGAGACAGTTTCTGACAGTTTGTGCAAAAATTATTCAGTTGTGCAAACCCACAGTTTCATCAGCTGTCCGGGTGGCTGGTCTCAGATGATCCCTCAGGTGAAGAAGCCGGATGTGGAGGTCCTGGGCTGGTGTGATTACACGTGGTCTGTGGTTGTGAGGCCAGTTGGACATACTGCCAAATTCTCTAAAACGACATTGGAGGCAGCTTATGGCAATGTTTCCATCAGTCATTAAAGTGGAACTGACAGCGTTTTAACTACTTTGCAGATATGAAACAAACGGATAATCATAGTATCAGTCAAAAATATGCAATTACCAGTTTATGCTACAAAACCAACTTTATAAGAGGTTTTAAAAATAGGTTATATTTGATTCAGAATTCCATGATGTGCAGTAAGGCAGTGGCGTGTATTCATGGATGCCAAGGGAAGCCAGGCTCCCCCAAAACATTTACCAATAAAAATAAAACAAAGTGTCAAGGGAAGCCAGCTTGGATTTTGGCATCACTCCTATCAAATCCCATTGACAGCATACGTAATTGACAGTTGTGTTGTTGTCCTCTGGTGGCTAGCTAGCTAAAATTGGCCCTTTCCTAAATTAGCCATGGATGGAGATGGGGATTTGGACTTGTGATTTTAATTAATTCTCCATACTGGCCAATGATTATAACGGCGATTCTAATCCAACCATGAATTCATACATTGTTGTGCCCCTGGCCTGAGAGGATGGAAGTTCAATATGTAGCTAGATGTAGAAGGCTAATGTTAACTAGCTAACGTTGTCTATGAATGGAAGTTAGGCTAGCGAGCAAGCATTTTAGCCAGGTAGCCTAGGACAACAAAAAATAAAAGCGTGTACTGTATGACAGAGTGATAGACCGTTTCGTTAACATGAAAGAGAGGAGGATGGCATTGCCGTTTCTCTACAAGTAGGGTGAGTCAACATGTTTTTCTACTTGCACGCACGCACGCACGAACGCACACACACACACACACACACACACACAAGCACACAGGAATCAGAACCATGGACATGATATTTAGCTTACGTTGGTTGGACTAAATTGTTTTTTGTATATTTTAGATGTCACTGTATTAGACTAAGCAGAGGTGATTTCATGATGCTGAAATGGTGCTGGAATAGAGAAGGCAGCTTCTGTTTTCTTTGTGACTTGCGGTAACTCTGTGGTTCTAAATCAATAGTTGTTTAGTGGTCCGGAAATGTCGGAAACATTAACTTTCTTGACCATGCTGTAGGTCATGTAACTGTCTGTTACTGTACATGCAATATGCTTTGTGGACTTCACTGGACAGAGGTTGCTATCTGGTTTTGTGATAAAACAAAGTTGTGGTTGAATTTATTCTGCCACTGAGTCTTCTAATTGTCTTGGCCTTTAGGCCTATATATTACGGTCGCAAGGCATATGAATTAACATGTTATAGAGTAAACAACGCAATTATCATAGGTTGTAATATGTAATACTTGGCTTCCCCAGTGATTTTACCCATGCACAGCTACTGCAGTAAGGCATTGTTGGCAGAATAGATTGATGCAGTTCAATGTACAGTATGATTAATATAATTCACCAATACATTTCTTGGTAGTCCCAAAAATATCAGGTTGTAAATCACAGCTGGTCTGGTACATTGTTTGTGTTTGTTGACTCCACCACAGGAGGTTGGTGGCACCTTAATTGGGGAGAACGGGCTCGTGGTAATGACTGGAGTGGTATCAGTGGAATGGTATCAAATACATCAAACAGATGGTTTCCAGGTGTTTGATGCCATTCCATTTGCTCCGTTCCGGCCATTATTGTGAGCCGTTCTCCCCTCAGCAGCCTCCTCTGGGGCCCATCCACCTATTCGGGATGCACTGTTTTAGTTTCAATGACTCCATACTTTGGACTAAAATGGAGGAATGTAACTAAGGCTGGGAATATCAATACAATCAAACTAGCAAGGGCAATGATCATAAGTCAGTCATACTCATAATGTGGCTAATAGGTTAGCGTTTCTATTTATGTAGCTATTTATTTAGCAAGCTAAAAACACGGAGCCTAACTAGCTAGCTGCTGGGAGGATGTCATGTCATTGGAGGAGTGGGTGAGTGACCGAACTTTCCCCCTTATTGTTTATTGGTGGCTACAGCTAGAGATGCAGGTGTCATTTGGTTAGCTAGCAAGAAATGAGAATCGCTTTGCTAGCTAGATAGCTATGCTGAACCTGAACCAGTTAGCATATCTCTTGCGCTCGTAAATTCACAATGACTATCTACTCCGATTTCAGAGCTCTCTCCTCTTGAGTGTGCCAGAGTGCAGAACAAGGCTGATGAATTTACGAACGCGCAACACCCGCTGAATATGACCGGTGCCAGTAAAAGTTGGCAAAACAAATTATGAAATTGTTGCCAGCAGCACAGTTAGTCGCTACGCTAACGCACTAGATAACATGTAAACAGCCTAACCAGCTCCGCTAGGGCGAGTAAAATGGTCAGAGTGAGGTGTTCAGCCATAGCGTGCACTCTGAACGCTCCAGGAGCAGAATGCTCTGAATTTATGAACAGACATTAGAGCGTACTCTGACACACTGGAGGCAATTTACAAACACAACCTTAGTTGTCAATTAAATGTATTTGGCATTGATCAAATGGGTGGGCAGGCAAATTCCCATTCAGTTGTCAAAACGTGGGTTGAGACAAGCATGCATTGGCAGGCAAGCAGCAGAAGGACGAGCAGGCTACTATTCCCATCGTTTAACAGTGCAATTTTGATGGCCAACTAGCTGAAAAAGCTTGAGATGTTTAGCTCATCTCGCTCTGGCTAGCATTAGTTGTTGATCTTGTTGTTGTTGTGCATAACCGAGGGGGAGAAAGCCTACCTTTCCATGGTTGTTTGATCAATAGGACTGTAAAGTTCCCAGATGTAAGAGGTATTTACAGGTTTGCAGAAATCCACTCAGGTGTATTTTGTGGCTTTTGGCGAATACGTTCGAATGATCTAATGTCGCGCTGTTTTTACTGCCTGTAAACACACAGTTCAAAGTGAATGATGGCAGGCCCGTGTGGCAAAAGGCTTATTGGCATAAAGGCCTACTGTAAAGCTCTGATTGGCGATGGCGCACGGGTTTGCGTAGACTCCGGTCCTGGACAAGACAGATGTTTTTATTAGGTTTTATTTACTGAAGTGTCTATTAATTGTCCAAATGGACTGCTGCTTTCCCACTCTATATTGCTATATAATTTTCCCAAATGCGTTACTATACATAATTCCCAAACATTCTATGAATTTATGAAAACGTAAAAATGACCATATCTAAGTCTAAGTGTTCGCTTGTCAAAAAATGTAAAATAAAAGGTGTCATATTCTTCCTAGGGGTATATAGGAACAGATTCTAATAAGATTTCATATTGCTAAAACGCTGTCAGTTCCACTTTAAGACAGCATAATAATGCATACAGTCAAATGACAGGCTGCAAATGACCAATTAGGAAAGCAAGTAATCCATGTGTGGCTTAATCATGCTGCCTAATGATGCTGCGTTTGCTGCCTAATGATGCTGCGTTTGCCCCCAAACTCAAGAACCACCATGACTACACTCACATCTCTCCATAGCTGCTCATCAGAGCTCTACAATATTGATAACTGTCTCATCTACATGCTAATTATAGTTAAATACATCCATAATACATCCATCACTTGGATATTATTGTAGTGAACATGAACACAAACTTCATAAAGCAGTTATAGGGCGTTTATGAGTCAATGGGGAGGAAGCCCCAATGTAATATTTACACTAAGTGGGTGTTGGGAAGCCACTGAGTACAATATAGAGCCGTTCTAAATGGTTATTGGTCAAAATGACCATGCAATAAAGATTATGATCTTATTATGATTATTATGATTATTATGAGATTATGATTATAAGATTAGTGGAAACTAGTTGACCAACAGTTTGTTGATAGCAGACAGGGCTGATTTCCAGTACAGAACCTTGTCCAGGGAGTACATGGCGAACACAGGTCCGTCGTGGGCCTTGATGGTCTTCAGCAGCATGGGCTCCTTCCAGACATATATGTCCCCTGTGGCGGCTCCAGAGAATACCAGCTCGTCTGTCCGACCGTAACACACGGACATCATCGTTTCCAGCTTCCCCAGGCTCCCAAAGATGCCACGCTTGAACATAAGGCCCCCACCTTCAGAGACAGCACACCATTAGAAACTCAGGCATACATTAATTGATTTCCATAAACGTACCATGCCTGACAAGCTAGATAGAGTTGTTCATATGTTCATAAGAAAAATTACAGGGTGGATCACTTTCCTAAAGATAAAATAATAAGTGTGAAAACACCTGGAAGGATATACTTGAAAGAAAAGCCGGGACTTGAGACTATAGAGTGAGACTGATGATCAGTGTTGGGGAGTAGTGAACTACATGTAGTTCAACTAGTAATTTAACTACATTTTGCAGTAGCTTGGTGGTAGTTGACCTAATTTAATATCTAGGTAGTGTATTCAGTAGTTAATTACTTTCCCCCCCATGTAGCAGTGTAGTTAACTACTGTAACTACACAATTTTTTTTGCAAAATAAAATAAAATATGGGTGAAGTAGGCAATAATACTTTTTCTTTATCGGCATCAGTGCCTAATTCTCACTTGAAGCATTGCTTTAGGCTACATTACACATTCTGTTTACATATGACCCCAAAAGTGATCTGTTATTGCAGTTTGTAGTCTATGACATTTCAGATTTACATTTGATAATTTTTAGATGAAGTAGTTTGGATGCAGTGAACTACTTTTTCAAAGTAACTTTGGTTTACTAAACTATATTTTTCTTAAGGGTAGCATTAGTGTAGCTTAATTTATTCCAGTGTGAAGTAATTGGTAAACTATATTTTCAGAGTAGCTTCCCCAACCAACACTGCTGATGGTATGAGAGAGACAGAGTCAGGGAGAACAGGAGGGCACACCTGTATGCTGCCAGAACTTGATGTGTTTGATTCCCACTGTGACCAGCTTGTCCATAAGGATAGGATTACACTTCACCACAAACAGCTTGTCTTTGTGTCCCCTGGGAAGAACCGAGACAGAATTTCCACTTCACATTCTGTCAGCTCAAATACATAGAGCCCTGAGTTTTTCCTGGTCAGGTAATGTGGTCAGGAAAAAACTCCTAACTGACTCTACAAATGTGTTATCATTAAGACAACAGACCTGAGTCCAAGTAGTATTTGATTTATTTCAAATACTTTGAGCACTTGATTAAGCCTGCCTGGATTGTCAGACTTTTAGGACTACAGTCGTGGTCAAAAGTTTTGAGAATGACACAAATACTCATTTTCACAAAGTCTGCTGCCTCAGTTTTGATGATGGCAATTTGCATATACTCCAGAATGTCATGAAGAGTGATCAGATGAATTGCAATGAATTGCAAAGTCCCTCTTTGCCATGAAAATGAACGTAATCCCCAAAAAACATTTCCACTGCATTTCAGCCCTGCCACAAAAGGACCAGTTGCCATCATGTCAGTGATTCTCTTGTTAACACAGGTGAGAGTGTTGACGAGGACAAGGCTGGAGATCACTCTGTCATGCTGATTGAGTTAGAATAACAGACTGGAAGCTTTAAAAGGAGGGTGGTGCTTGAAATCATTGTTCTTCCTCTGTTAACCATGGTTACCTGCAAGGAAACACATGCCGTCATCATTGCTTTGCACAAAAACGGCTTCACAGGCAAGGATATTGCTGCTAGTAAGATTGCACCTAAATCAACCATTTTTCGGATCATCAAGAACTTCAAGGAGAGAGGTTCAATTGTTGTGAAGAAGGCGTCAGGGCGCCCAAGAAAGTCCAGCAAGCGCCAGGGCCGTCTCCTAAAGTTGATTCAGCTGCGGGATCGGGGCACCACCAGTGCAGAGCAGGCTCAGGAATGGCAGCAGGCAGGTGTGAGTGCATCTGCACGCACAGTGAGGCAAATACTTTTGGAGGATGGCCTGGTGTCAAGAAGGGCAGCAAAGAAGCCACTTCTCTCCAGGAAAAACATCAGGGACATACTTATATTTTGCAAAAGGTACAGGGATTGGACTGCTGAGGACTGGGGTAAAGTCATTTTCTCTGATGAATCCCCTTTCCGATTGTTTGGGGCATCCGGAAAACACCTTGTCCGGAGAAGACAAGGTGAGCGCTACCATCAGTCCTGTGTCATGCCAACAGTAAAGCATCCTGAGACCATTCATGTGTGGGGTTGCTTCTCAGCCAAGGGAGTGGGCTCACTCACAATTTTGCCTAAGAACACAGCCATGAATAAAGCATGGTACAAACACATCCTCCGAGAGCAATTTCTCCCAACCATCCAAGAACAGTTTGGTGACGACCAATGCCTTTTCCAGCATGATGGAGCACCTTGCCATAAGGCAAAAGTGATAACTAAGTGGCTCGGGGAACAAAACATCGACATTTTGGGTCCATGGCCAGGAAACTCCCCAGACCTTAATCCCATTGAGAACTTGTGGTCGATCCTCAAGAGGCGGGTGGACAAACAAAAACCCACAAATTCTGACAAACTCCAAGCATTGATTATGCAAGAATGGGCTGCCATCAGTCAGGATGTGGCCCAGAAGTTAATTGACAGCATGCCAGGGCGGATTGCAGATGTCTTGAAAAAGAAGGGTCAACACTGCATATATTGACTCTTTGCATATACTTTATGTAATTGTCAATAAAAGCCTTTGACACTTATGGAATGCTTGTAATTATATTTCAGTATACCATAGTAACATCTGACAAAAATATCTCATAACACTGAAGCAGCGAACTTTGTGTCATTCTCAAAACGTTTGACCACGACTGTATACCATAAGTTCCATTGTGTCAGGTAAGCTCAATCAAGGGCAGCTAAAGCATTTGAAAGAAGAGAAAAACCAGATTTGAACCCAGCTTAGCTGAACTATTCTATAAAACCCTGTTTTTGTAATAACTCTAAATGTCTAAATGCACACCCCCACTGATCACACAAATAGTAGCTTTCAGCTGGTGTGAAAAAGCTTTTAGTACCTTGCGGTGGCCAGCTTCTCCCCCTTCCTCCAATCCCACACAATGATAGAGTGGTGGTCATCAATGCCCACTGAGACCAGACTCTTCCCATCCGCTGCACATAGAGGAACAACATGCTACTCTTAGTTTGACATCATAACAGACATAGGGACAGAACACTCATGGAAAACACAGGCTGGTATTGAAATTAAAATCTGATAATGACATAAGTTACATGCCCAGGAAAATACAGAGCCATACCAGAGAAATCAAGGGCACAAACTCCTCTCTGGTGAAAGCCCTTGAGCAGGGAGAAGCACTTCAGGGTTTGGATGTCCCACACATGGATGGCTGGGTCCCTGCCAACCTGGATTCATTCACAAAGAGGTGATTAAGATCAGTGTGTGAGAGAGAGCGAGCGAGAGAAAGCGAAAGAGAGCGAAAAAGAGGAGGGAGGGAGGGAGAGAGAGAGAGAGAGAGTGTGTGTGTGTGTGTGTGTGTGTGTGTGTGTGTGTGTACATGTGTACCTGTCCAGTGGCTGCATAGTCTTTGAGTGGGTGTACGGTCAGGCTGATGATGTCATCATCGTGGCCCAGGTAAAACCTCTGACTGTGTTGCTCTCTGTTGTAGACCACGCCCACCGCCGCTACATGGTACACCACCTCCCCCGCCTGGGTGTAGAACAGGTTGTTTCTGCAGTCGTAGCCGCGGTACCTACACACACACACACACAGAAATAGGTCACGGGAATGCAAACATAATGGACAAACACAATTCTACTATATTAAGGAAAGTGAAAGTCACTTATACTGATACAAAGGTCAATTCATTCCTTGACTGAGTGCCTGGGTGTTTCTGTAAAGCTGACTAGAGAAGGACATATTCAGATGAGATGGCTATTAATTTGAAACAGTGAAGGTATGATCCCTTTATAATATATATAATAATATGCCATTTAGCAGACGCTTTTATCCAAAGCGACTTACAGTCATGCGTGCATACATTTTTGTGTATGGGTGGTCCCGGGGATCGAACCCACTACCTTGGCGTTACAAGTGCCGTGCTCTACCAGCTGAGCTACAGAGGACCACCTTTCTAAGAGGCACTCCAAATAAAATCCCAGTTCATATGCTGTCTCTCCCCTACATGGCCTGATAAACCCTGTGGTGTGTGTGGGGAATTTTAATCAAATGTGTGGCATTTATTTATTCGCTCAAACACTGAAAGACTTCTGCCTCCCCCACTGTGAGGTCTTTAAGTTTTACAAAAAGGAAAGGACACTGAGGGAGTATTAGAGCTGCTACGGAGAAGTCTTTAATGGCTGCTTGTGCTGAATCAGTAAAGTTAACTGCTTCACACATCTTGAAAAGGTTTAGCAAAAATAATTTAAATACTACAGCTTTGAAAAGGGATTTGCATATTCCAACAGCTGACACAGACAGGCCTATTTCAGATAGAGAGATTGTTTCATCACGATGGAAACACACCATTTCTTCTCAATTCAATATAATATATCTGTCCTTTTCACGTCATTTCAAATGGTGGAGTGTCATCTCAACCAATTTGACGTGTGAGTATTTTTCTGATGAACACTCAGTAACACAGTCAAAATGAGAGCCATAAGAACCTTTCATAAGAACCCATTACCCGTGGACAAACTTCAGACGAAGAGCTTCGTCTGGGCCTCTCTGGCGCTTTAGGGAGCCGACCTGCTGCTTCTTCTCTCTGCTCTGCTGCCTCAGCTGCGGAAGGTCCTCCTTATACACCTGTAACAACAGCAGTCCCTCATATTGTACATCATGTCAACCTGCTTTCATCCACTTTCCCCACAATCACAAGCAGCTAAGGTTGACTAAAGTACCTAAATAGTGATCAAGTTTACTTCATGCTCCTACAACACATAATATGCTTTACCGAACCATGATATGAAATACAACAGACAACAAACAATCAAGAAATGCAAAGTGTTGCATGAGGACAATAATTAAGTCTTAAGAGAAGCAGGGAAAATAATATTTTTCCCCCACAGTTAAGCAGTGCGGGCACCGCCGGCCGTGTATCTACAGAGCACACATGGCAGCGCTCCGTGTGGCACCAACCCGCATCGTCACGGCAACAAATGCAGATCCAGCTGCCAGTGGAGATAAGGCATGTGATGGATGCCATGGCAACCCAGGCGTTTTCCGACAAATAGAGTCTCAGTCAGCGCTGATCCCATACAAAGCCGCTGATAGGAGCACTCTGCTATTTGAATATATCATCTCCCCTTCCATCCGCCTCACAGCCTCTCTCTGCTAACATCAATCAATATCAGAATATCTCCACTCGGCGCCTTCATTGACTTTCAGGATGCCTCAGGATCCTCGTACATGGCTGGAGGCATTCTGACTAACACGGGCCATTCCAATTCAGATTACACTGACTAATGTGGGTTGTTCTAACAACTTATTCTCTCTCTGCCTTATCTACTGTAGGGTATTTAAACAGGTTATTGTTTAAGCCTTGAGTAGTGTGTTCTCTTGTCTCTCATGTTTTTTTTCTGACACCATTTTAATTGGGGCATATTCTCCTCTCATCTCATTCAACTGTCATTCTCATTTATAGATAGAGTATCTTAATTTGATTACCCTGTTGTTGCAGATAATTTCCCTGCGCCGCAGGAAATTCAAATTAGCCTTGTGATTTACATAAATTCACTGAATACCTGCAGTTCTCTTTTTCTCACTAGACCTCACAACTAAACTATAGTCTACTGTAGTCTATCAAAACAAATTTCCCATAAGAAATTATCACTTTTTTAAAAATTATAATCAAATCCTCCTCCTGCAGGATTATTTTACTACTGCGAACAAACTGGCCAAATTAAGATCCCACAACTGTACTGACACTCATTCTATCTCTGCATCAAATGCTGCATCATGTAAGACACTCCCCGTTCCTCATATGGAACTTTCTCAGTGTCCCTCACATCGTGTATCATCTTTCAACCTGATTTCACCCACTTTCTGTCTGACGCATATAGGACTCCCTCCAGTGTCTGTAAGCTCCACATACCCACCTGTCGGTCGTAGTTTATCTGTGTCTCCTGCTCGATATCAGAGTCCAGCTCCGGGACATCAGACACATCAGAGTCAGACTCCTCACTGTTGGAATCTGCATGGCCATCTAGCGGGAACCGATACCAGGAGACAGTGACAGCAAGGAAACTGATTTCACTGGTGCAACAATCACTCACATAGTCATTACATTGGCTTTTGACAAGATCATGGATATTGTGTACTGTAGTCACTCTCTTAAGGTAGATTAATAATTTGAAATCATATATCAGAGCACCAGCTCAACATAACCATATGGGCTCTCATTAGAACCATACAATAAATATGTAAACAAATCAAACCCCCAGGTTCCTCTGGCTAAATACTGTACCTTGTGGTATATTGGTCTCCAGTCCTCCGTTCATGATGCCCTCAGGCAGGAACTTCCACTGAAATACAGAGTGGTCGGCCCCGCCGGTGGTCAACACCCACTGCAGGTCGTGAGACCAGTGCACGTTGGTCACGTGGGCAGAGTGGCCAATGTACTTCTTGAATTTTGCCCCTGTTCACAACATCAGGGAAAGAAAAACGAGTGAAAATGAAATGAGAGAAGGGGAGTGTTCAACATAATTCCCTATCTCATCATTCTATATTTGCATGGGTACACATTTTTTTGTTGTTGTAATGAGTGCAAAGTAAAAATGGCATGTTGCATATTCAGAACACAGACATTTACTGACCTTTCTTTAGGCAGGGGAAGCGGAACAGTTTGACCAGGCCAAAGTCGTCTCCAGTAACCAGCACGGCGCTGCTGTAGTTGGCATCCACAGAGTTGACGTCACTGATGTTGGTGTACTTGGGCCATATCCCACTCACCTCTGGACCAATCACACTCGTCCATGAGCTCCAGTGGATCCCTTTTACCTCCTCCTTAGTGGTCAGGTGCTTCCCAACTTCAGGGAAGAAAAACAGGATGGAAGACAAACATGGGCAGAATGCATGTATCTTGTAAAACCAGCTTGTTGTGCGTAAATAATAGCACCTTTAAATAATGTTGACTATGTTACAGCTCTACTAACCTAGCTGCTAAGGTTCTTAGCCAGAACTAAAAGACAATACGTTTACTCAATAAGCAGGTAAAGGTTACATAAACATGAGACTGAAGGTATTAACACACAAATCCCCTGTTCCTGTGTTAATGAGGGGTTTAATTGATGCAAAAAATAAACCAAATAGCATCGTAAACAAAGCCTAGAGCTGGGAGCCCTTTTCTGTCCGAAGCTTGCATCACTTGTGGAGCTCCTTTTTTAATTAGGGCATGAATGTTTGTGTGTGTGCGTGTGGTTTGTTAGTCTAACCCCCAGGGAAGAGGGAGCTATCTAGAATCCCTATGGGACAAGTGAAATTAGAAAATCTACCATGCTTCAACACTCGATTTACGTCATTCCATTAACGTAATTAATTGACTTTCTAAGAGAATATTCCCAAAATAATGCAATGTTAAAAAGACGGATAAGTGAAGCAGGAAATAAACAAATAAACAAACACATTGAGGTAAAGTGTTTGAGGTAAGTGTAAGAAAGTACCCATTGATGTCAAATATTTTTCCTAATAAATACCAGGAAAATGTAGCAACCAAAATATTTCTTTCCCTCTCTCCTGTCTGCTCTGCAGCATCACCTGTTGCCCTCCTTACTGTCAGTCTAGACAGTCTGTCTGCTGACACTAAACACCCTGGAGCAACGCTGATTCACTCACTCTGACAGGGCTTTTCACACAGCTCTCCAAACACATAGTGTTGGCTGACAGAGAGGTGTGTGTGTTTGTGCTTGTGTGTGTGTGTGTGTGTGCAGACAGAGGTTATGTAGTGACTGGGAGGCTTGTGCAGCTGTCTAGAGTTTCAGACAGTGCCACCTAGAGAGCAGCCTTGCCTGGGAAGAGGAAAGTGGAAACTCTGTGACAGGCAGAAGAGACGAATAAGAAGAAATCACTGCATAACCACATCGATGTTAAAGCCGGATGTGATGGGATGATTGCTGCTGCTGGTGTGTTCTGTAACAAGGGCTTGCTTGGCGTGGCGCTAAGCTAGCTATGATCCACCTTCTATTCATGGGCCTAATTGGTGTTTACTGTCAAGCTGATTGCTGTGTGATGTGTTTACGTGCCTTCTCCCAACAAGGAAACAAGAAACAGCTAAATCAGATTAAATCACTGATTGTGTTCACAGTAAGCTGAGGTAATAGGAGTTATACCATGATTATCATGGCATAGTTCAGAGAGACGGGGACAATTTTAAGTTATTATGAAGCGTTGCTTTTTCTGCAAAGTGAGTCACTCTCAAATTGACAGCAGAATCTGTCTAAAGCAAAGCCAAGCTGCCAAAGCACAACATTGTCACAATGTTGCCAAAACGTGGTGGCGGCCGGTGGCGGTGATTCACTCACTTGGCATCCTGTAGAAGAGGCGTTCTCCAGCCCCGTCGTTACTCTGGAGGAACTTGCTGTCGATGGACCAGTCCAGGTGGGTGATGAAGCTGGAGGACTTGTTACACTCGCCCACCTTCTTGTAGCGCTGTGCCACGGCGTACACATCCACCAGGCCGTCATTGGAGCCCACAGCCAGGTAGCTGCCATCCGGAGAGAACTTCATCTCATGGATCACCTCCTTTCTGTCTTTAATGTGCACCACCTCTGTCATGTCCCTGGTAGGGAGAGAGGAGGGGGGAAGGAGGGGGGTAGGGGGAGAGAGAGGAGGGGGAGAGAGAGGAGGGGGAGGGAGGGAAGAGAGAGGAGGGGGAGGGAGGGAAGAGAGATGGAGGGGGGGGGGGGGGAGAGAGAGAGAGCGAGCGAGAGAGCGAGAGAGAGAAAAGAAGTGTGAATCCCTTGGCTCTACGCAGGAGGCTCGCTGGTAGCTCATCTATCTAACCAACAGTGAGCAGCAGCAGATGGACTGGGCCCATTCATTGTCATAATGACTCTGAGGCCAGCTGAAACACTGAGAGGGAACCTTGCCACTAAACTCATCTTCCTGCTGTCTCTCTCTGCGGAGGAGGCATTACAATGAAACCACCACAGTCTTATCACACCTGCTGCGCCCACCCAAAAGCAATTCCGCCAGCCCAGACTTGATTAACTCATTTTTCATGGGTCATTTTAGATGGGGACATAATGATGTTTTTCTGTCTAAATTGCTCTCTGGTAATGTTTATGTTGGTACGATCACAAAGGGGGGAAAGTATGTAATCACAGGATGTATAGACAGTATGGCTTCGTATTCTTATAATGTGCTGGAATTGTGAATCATAGTGCCAGTGATGTTTGTCCCTTATCCTGACAAACTCCTAATGATTAGATATGGTGAACAGTAATCATAGGGAATAACCTATGGGGAATATCTATGTATACAGTGCAGTATGTGGCTCAAAAATCAGCCAACAGCTAAAACCAACGATGAAGTAGCTAAAAAGTCAAACCCTTTTAAACGCACCGGCTCTCAGTCAAAATCATACAGCACAACACAACACAGCCTCAGGCAACATAAATTCAATACAATCATAAAAAGCTGCTCCTGATGCTGTAAGCCCGTTCATTTCTGATAGACTAAATGCAAATCAGGAGCGCTATTCACTTCACAGTGCAGCGTGGGGATTAGCCACTTCAAAACGTATTGATTAACAGCACTGCGGACCAATTTACTATAACCTAATGGAAAGTGCCAGCATACCCACTGAATCTGCTGGGGAGTAAATTAAACTGGGGCCTTCAGTCAGGCTTTAAGTAATGAATTCAGCATCTCAGTAGAAGGCTGTTAAAACCTGAGGTTTTGGCCCATGGTGGTACTGTAGGCTAGGTTGCATAACTTTATGGCCCTTCTTTACAAGATGTATCTGAAGAGTTTGATGCTGGAAATACTTTTGCCAGCTTTGCTATAATTCAAGTACTTATGAAAGCTAACTAACCATAGTAAAAAACGTTCCTTCATTTTCCTAAATGAAATTATTTTCCTAAATGACCATTTGACCACTCCCTGAGCTTCCACTGGGGAAAAGATCACTTAAGGTAAATTCACACACTAGGGAGACGGAGCGTAGCACAGTGTTGCAATGTCATTTTTTGCATTGATAACCAAATATAAATAATATCAGCGACTTTTCAAACAGTAATCCAAACAACACAAATCCACCCAAAAAGGAATTTGGTTTATAGGTAATAACTAGGGATTCCAGGCTATTGTGAAATGGTAGAACCTGCTGTAGCCAACTAACGTTACCTAGCCATGTGCTTTTTCTCCATGACCAAAACATGATGTTCTATTTTTAGCTGATATTGTAATGAATACACAAGCAGCATATCAAACTGGGATAATGTTTTAGGTTACACCAGCAAGTATATGAATATTTAGCAGGGCATATCTTTTAATTATAAATTTGATTATTTCACATGGAGATGTGGGAAGCTAAAAAAGCTAGCTAGTTTGCTATGTTTTTAGCCAGGCTAAAGCCTGCTAGCCAGGCTGCCAGCTAGCTACTACTGGCAAGGGAAGGTGACTTTCCTTGCTTTCACAAAATGTAAAAAATAAAAAATAAAAAATAAAAAAAAATATCACCCCCTTGTGAATGGGAGTGGGACTGGTGAGGATATTATGTTACTAAAAGGTGTCCACTGCTCCAAAAATCCCACTCCACCCACGCGCACGCACGCACTAGATCAACGGAGTGAAGCTTGTAGTAACCTTTAAGGTGGGTTATAGGAGATGCGTGAACCTGGAGCAGTAAAGGGGGGAGGTGATGGTCCTATACCCGATAGGAGAGTCTGTACTAAACACTGAGCTCTAAAGCAGATTGTGAAAGGAGTGCTTGCTGTCCTAAAGATGAGTCTAAGGACTACAGGTGTGGGTAGTGGTGCCTGTATTTGGGAACTAAATGTGCAAGACAGTTCGTGCTGTACTGCACTTGCCTCTAGGGACTAAAGGTAGGTAGTGATATGGAAGGTGGGAGTTTGTTTTACCTGACACTAGGACCTAACAGTGTTCGTTAGTGGATGTTTTCTGTAACTGTGAGCTACAGGTGTGTGAGTGAGTGGGTGTTAGTTTAACTGACTCTAGGGACTAAAGGTAGGTAGTGAAGGTACATTTTAGCAGTACCTGACTCGGAGCACGGTAAAGGAGCCGTCCTTCATGCCCAGAGCGAGCTGAGAGCCATCGTTGCTGAAGGCCACACTGCGGACTGCCTCCTCCATGTTACAGCGAGCTATCAGGGCATGGTCCGCCAGGTTCCACAACCTGAGAACACCACGCACGCACGCACGCACACACACACACACACACACACACACACACACACACACACACACACAGAAACACACACACACACACACACACACAGAAACACACACACACACACAGTCGTAACCAATCAGCACAGTTTCAGCTATGGACATTGCTTCTGTAGCCACAGCCAGGGGCGGCCTGTTCAATAGGGCGATATGGGCGACGCACTGCCAAACGGGAAAAGGAAGGGATTTTTTTTCTAATCAATTATATCACGGCAACAGTAGTTATCAGTGTTGTAATCTATACGTCTGATCTGCCACAGTGCCACACTGCCACTAAATGTCGAATCAGGCTAAAGTCGTGCTTCAAATGGCTCCCCCCCCTTTTGGGGCGATTTCAGTCAGGTTGAAAATCGCCCAGAAGTCTCTCATAGCCTCTAATGTAAAATCTATTTTTTTCAAATTTCAGAGCCTTCAATACAATCTCTATGGGTGTCTGAGGGCTTGCACTTACGCGCTTTCGTCATACGTAACGTAACGTAACCATGAACGTAACTGAGAAAAGAGCGGATTGTGTCTTTGAAAGAAGTTCCTTTTTGTCGGCGAACAAATGAAGATAAATTGGCAACGAAACAATTAGGACCTCCCAGACCAAATTTAATAATTCAACAGGTTTCTACTAAAGGCGGAAAGTCCTACACCCGAGGATTTTCCAAAAATTGGTACGAACGGAAAAATAACATTGCCACTCAACTTGATGAGGGATACAGGCTAGCTGTCCGCCGCCACAACGATGAGGTTAGTGTTGATAATCACAAGTTTACTGGAGAACTGAGACCAAGTAGAGACTTTGGACAGGGTGGATATGGTATAATAAAGGCAGTTTATTCAGAGGTAAAGATATCTGGAATCGCGTGCACGGACCCGTTCGTCAAACTCTTAGGGAGCTATAAATTAAGCCCCATTACTTACCATATCAGATAAGAGAAATTGCTGCAGCTACATATATTTTACATCCTGGCCCTACATAGTTCACTATTTGCATCACTTACCAAAATATTACATGTGGTCATATATGCTTGGAAAGTGGAGATGCCATAGAACGTCAAAAAAGTAAACATTGCTGGAGACACATTGCCGTTTTGGAGAAGACATCGCGTTTGCTAGCGAAGAGATTTGTTGTGGCAAATGAACTTGGGCTGGGAATTGCCAGGAACCTCACGATAAGATATATGCATCAGCATTGCGAGTCTCATGATTCTATACGTATTGCGATTCGATACTGTGATTTTATTGCGCACCATATGTCTGTTGCAGAGGGATCAGAAAGCCATGAGAACGAGTTTTGATCAGTCATGGAAATAAAAGTGCTGAAAACAAATTGGCTCCCAATGTGAAAAGATTGAGAACAAGCTATGAAGGAACAATAATGGTGTTTTGGTGCAGGTACAGCCAACTAGCGCTAAAATATTGCGATATTGTCAATACAGTATATCGTAAAGTATCACTATGTAACTCGATTTCTTTCACCCCAATCCCTCAAATTAACGGTAAATAACTGAATTGTTTGCCCCACATTTAGCTAAGATGATTAGCTAGCCAGCTAAAATGTTTTATTTAGTTAGCAGTCGCATCTACAATAGTTTACTGTCAATAACATGTCTCCAAAAATGACGTGGTGTCTCCAATTGTGTTGACATTTTACAATTGCGATGCGCATCCATGAGTATCCACTTTCTGTAGCTCAGCTGGTAGAGCATGGCGCTTGTAACGCCAAGGTAGTGGGTTCGATCCCCGGGACCACCCATACACAAAAATGTATGCACGCATGACTGTAAGTCGCTTTGGATAAAAGCGTCTGCTAAATGGCATATTATTATTATTATTATTATTATCTGAAGAGAGCCCCGAAACATTGTGTGCAGACATTTTATGCAATAAATGAAGTAGGTTGAATCTAGTAGTTCTGATCTTCTGATTGGTCCTGATGAGTTGGGCGAGGTCCCCTCCAGGCTACTGTCACTGTTGCATTGGCTCTGAGTCGGGTTCTCTGTCTTCAAATGTTCAGCCTAAGAGAGGGGATTTTTGTGTGTGTGTGTGTGTGTGTGTGTTTAACAGTGATGATGTGTGTGTGTGTGTGTGTGTGTGTGTGTGTGTGTGTGTGTGTGTTTAACAGTGATGATGTGTGTGTGTGTGTGTGTGTGTGTGTGTTTGTGTGTGTGTGTGTGTGTGTCCTCAGAGCAAGAACTCGTGAGTTGGAAGAACTGAGAGGCCTATGGCGTGGGTGTTGTCCTTGGCCACCTGCTGACAAGGCTGACAAGATAGGACCCTTTTGTCCATTGTTATTGGATAGGAACAGAACTTATAACCAGCTCCTGACCTAAATAGATCTTAGCACAACATTTTACTCAACATATCATATTCCATATTCACTATAACAAATATATTTACTACGACATTAGCAAGAACCGCCACATCCTCAGCCGGCTAATCCAGTGTGTGAAGTTTTGCGGAGTGTTTGAGTTAGCTTTGCGAGGCAAAGATGAAACTGAGGGCTCCACCAACCCTGGTAAGCCAACACTTTTGAGATCAGTCAATAAATGCTTCTGGTATTGACTTATATGCTGCCCCTGTCTTCATGTTGTTGCTGGACATATCTTTTTTAAAATGTGTGTAGGTCACCTAAATCATCAGAAAAATTGCCCCCCCTGAGAATTTTTTCAGGAGCCGCCACTGGCCACAGCCATAAGAATGTATTAAGAGAGGAAGATATCAGTAGCAGCTAAGTGACTTAGACAGATGTTTTAATGAGCTAGTTACAGCTGCAGCGTGTGGTCTTGAATTAAGGGTTAAACTTTATTTTAACGGTCCGTAAATAAACCATTTATAAGGCATTTACAAAAAGGTTGCATACCGGTTAGGGTTAGGTTAGGTTAAGGGTTAGGATTAGGGTTAGATAGTGCTCACTTTAGATTAGGCACTGCAAAAATACTTTACTTATGATAAATAGATGGTTTATAAATGTGGGTGTAATGATTAATTAATGGTTTATTATGGACTGTTAAAATACAGTGTTACCGGGCCCACAGAGAGCTCTGTCTCTCCTGGTAGAAAGGGGTTGTGTGGGTCTGTGTGTGTTGTGGAGGGACTGATCCTGTCCGACGGATAGCAGGCATGTGGCCTCATTATCAATTATCTGTCCCCTGCACAGGCTGGCACTGTGACTTTTCTATAGCTAGCTCTGAACTCTGGGCTAGAACTGTCTCGGTTAGAAATGCGTAGAACAGTGTCTTACAAACTAACGGCTGTCTGAAAGAGAGGAGAACCAGTGAACCAAGCAGGACGAGTAGTACTACTGGTCAGGGTTCACTGAGTGGATGTAATTAAGATGAAAAGTCTGGATGAAGTGGTAGATTAAAATAGAATGAACAGGGATGGTGGCCTGGGTAAACTGAGAAGGATAAATTAGAGACGAAAGCTCTGATGATAACTACTGGGTCTATGAAGACGCTAGTGTAAAGATGCTCCTGAGGAAGCTGATGTACGAGCTAAATTGCTGCTGGAATTAAGACTGACCGTACAGATCGGTCATCACTGCCAGTCACCGCAAGCGGTTTCTTGGGGTGGACGTCCAGAGCCCAGAGCTCTCCCTCACAGTGACCCTGCATGATGAGCAGAGGCTTGTCTCTGTCCCGAACCATCACCTCAAAGATCTCACTGTCCTGCGTCCCCGCCAGGATACGGTCTGCCCTCCAACACACACTACGAATAGACAGCCCTGAGAGAGAGGGAGGAGGGAGAGGAAGAAAGAAAGAGGGATAGAGAGATGGATGAGAAAGACACCGCAAATAATGAATGCTCTGTCATGTATAACAAAAGAGGTGGATTGAATGCAATCACACCCGTTCTTCAGCAGGTGATGAAGGGTAGCATCTAATCCACTTCAATGTGTATTACACTTCAATCCAGAGTTAGAAACTATTACATTCAGACAACTTTCTGGTGGCGAGTTTTTCCACAGAGTGATGCGTGACTAATGCAGGTGGACTTTCATTTGAGGAGAGAGAGATGAAGCAGAAAACTCTATAGAGGGAGGAACAGATTGAGCTACTACAGTGAAGGCATTTCAAGCAAGCAAGACATCAGCAAGACATCCCCCAATGCAAGACATCACCCAATGCCCCTCATCAATACTAAATAGTCTCTAACTGAGTCAGGAAAAGCACAGCTACAGATCCTCAGACTCTTCCTAAAACAACATCTCACTAACATTACACGCAAAAATACCTGGCAACCAGAAACCAGCTATAGCCAATGTACAGATGTAGGATCTTCATTTTAGCCAGTTTGCTACAGCAGGAAAATAATCCTGTAGCAACAGGAAATGTGAATTATTATGTGAATTATAATTAATGTACATATTTGTAGGGGTTGATACATTTTTCATTAGGGCAAATCAAGTCTGAAATTTCAAAATGGAAATGACAAACTTTAGAAGCCTTTTTAAAACTCAAATACAATACAAAAGTGATCAAATTAAGATCCTATGTCTGTGTAGGCAAACAGGGGACCTGGCAACCAAAACCAGTCTCATAATCTGTGTGTATGGACAGAATACATAGCAACCGGAGTAACATGAACTAGAGTTAATTGGCTGCACAATACACTTCAGATTTGACACCCTGGGGGAATAACCATTTCAAAAAAGTAATTAATGTGGATTCTTATCTCAGATTTCCTCTCACTAAAACTGATCCGTAGTTGGGAATCAAACCTTCACTGGGACTCAAAACTTTCAAGAACAGATGTAGGAAACCCTTAATACGGAGGGTACAAAAATCATTGGGAGCACTTTCTAATCTAGAGCCACAAGCTGTTATGAAGGTTTATGGCATGTCTACTCATTTGTGTTCGGAAAAGTTGAACATTATACCTTTTGCATAAGATTGATTTAAACCCAATCAAAATTCATGTTACAATATTTATTCCTAAGGTCTTTGACCGGCCACCAAACACCCAACAATGCCATTATCTAATCCCAGGGTGTACCTGTTGTCTGTGGGGCTTTCAGAAAGGCCACAGCCTTCAGATATTAGTATTCCCCACCCCTAGGGCTGGCTGGGGACACAGAACTTTACTCTGCTTTAACCAGCCCCTAGCTACCACAAACAGCCAGGCAGCCACCGCTCAGAACAGAGGATGAGAGGAAGGGAAGAGAAAAGAGACTCATTGATAATACATGAGTGCCACTGATGGTTTCCTCAATTTAACAGGAGGCATAGAGAAAAAGGAATCCACAAAATAAGGCTATGGAAAAGGGGAGTTTACTAAATGCCATCTGTCAAAGGTTTAGAAAAATGTTTTATCTTAACTTCTTTATTCTGTTTTATCCATACAGCACAGTCAAACTCTCTCAGGCCCCTAGAATATAACAATATTTTGTTTCTCTGTCTGATTGGACTAACATGGCCTGCTCTGGCTCATATGAATGGAAATGGATGAGTGGCATATTTGATCTAATCTGTCTCTATCTGTCGGTCTCTCTCTGTCCTCTGTATCTGTTCCCAGTCAACAGGTGTCAGTGATACATCCACAGGGACAGGCTAATAAATCATCATGGCAGGGCTCTCAATGAGCTAAACACACATCGGTCTCTATTAGGCAGCACACACACACTGACTGAAGTGACCTACACATACTCCCTAGTTACAGTATGTTAACCCATGTACACATACATCAGTGTCTGGATCGACCTGCTCACACACCCCTGCAACAGAAGCGTGCCCCTTCTATAGACAGCACAGTGCACGCACAACCCTGTGAACTTAGATGGATCTCCTCATAAGGATGTGCCTCTCATCCTCTCCATCACCCAGCTACCCTAATTACCCATGATACCCCAGGGACAAGCACAAATATGCGGACTATGACATGGTTTGATCAGCCTGTGGCCCCGTGTTACTCTGGCGTCCCCCACGGACCTGTGAAGGGCCTGCCTGCTAATGCACACAGCTTAGACTCTGTGATGTTTAATTGATCAGAGGGCTAATGCTCACCAACCATTTAGCACCATGCTAACTTCACACCTGCTCCTGTCTATCAATTAAAATATTGAGTACAGAATAGGGCTGGAAATTGCCATTAACCTCACGATGCGACATTATCACGATAATTCGTTTTGCTCAGTCATGGAAATAAAAGTGCTGAAAACATGTTGGCTCACTTTTGAAAAAGAAGATGGAGAACAAGCTATAGGATTAATTATTTATTTTTTGCCGCAGGTACAGCCGACGAGCGCTAGCTAACGCTACCTAGCAACAAACAAAAACACGAAAGTATCAATGTATACTGAACAAAAATATAAAACGCAACATGCAACAATTTCAAAGATTTTACTGAGTTACAGTTCATACTGTATATGGAAATCAGTTAATTGAAATAAATTCATTAGGCCCTAATCTATGGATTTCACATGACTGGGAATACAGATATCTTAGGGGCAAAAAAGGTAGGGGCATGGATCATAAAACCAGTCAGTATCTGGTGTGACCACCATTTGCCTACTGCAGCACGACACATCTCCTTCGCATAGAGTTGATCAGGTTGTTGATTGTGGCCTGTGGAATGTTGTCCCACTCCTTTTCAATGGCCTGTGCGTTGCTGGATATTGGCGGGAACTGGAACACGCTGTCGAACACGTCGTTCCAGAGCATTCCAAACATGCTCAATGAGTGACAAGTCTGGTGAGTATGCAGGCCAGAACTGGGACATTTTCAGCTTCCAGGAATTGTGTACAGATCCTTGCGACATGGGGCCGTGTATTATCATACTGAAACATGATGTGATGGTGGCGGATGTCTGTAGCATATGCCTGCCCATACCATAAACCCAGAATGTTGACATCAGTAAACCACTCACCCATACGATGCCATACATGCTGCCTGCCATCTGCCCGGTACAGCTGAAACCGGGATTAATCCGTGAAGAGCACACTTCTCCAGTGTGCCAGTGGCAATTGAAGGTGAGCATTTACCCACTGAAGTTGGCTACGATGCCGAACTGCAGTCAGGTCAAGACCCTGGTGAGGATGACGAGCACGCAGATGAGCTTCCCTGAGACGGTTTCTGACAGTTTGTTCAGAAATTCTTTGGTTGTGTAAACCCATAGTTTCATCAGCTGTCCGGGTGGCTGGTCTCAGACCATCCCGCAGATGAAGACGTCGGATGTGGAGATCCTGGGCTGGCGTGGTTACACGTGGTTTTGCGGTTGTGAGGCTGGTTAGATGTACTGCCAAATTCTCTAAAACAACGTTGGAGGCGGCTTATGATAGAGACATTAACATTAAATTATCTGGCAACAGCTCTGGTGGACATTCCTGCAGTCAGCATGCAACTGCCCGCTCCCTCAAAACTTGAGACATCTGTGGCATTGTGTTGTGTGACAAAACTGCACATTTTAGAGTGGCCTTTTATTGTCTCCAGCACAAGGTGCACCTGTGTAATGATCATGCTGTTTGATAAGCTTCTTGATATGCCACACCTGTCAGGTGGATGGATTATCTTGGCAAAAGATAAATAAATGCTCACTAACAAGGATGTCAATTTGTGAATGGAATATTTCTGGGATCTTATAGTTTAACTCATGAAACATGGGACCAACACTTTACATGTTGCGTTTATAGTTTTGTTCAGTATAATATCATCCAAAATAATATCGCAAAATGTTACTGTATCGATTTTTTCCCCCTTCACAGGTAGAGAGAACCAACATGGACGTCCAGTTTTTCTCACATTTCATCTGTATACATTCTGGGTTACAAACGGCATAACCACATTTTGACAAGCATGCAAACAAAGAGGTGAATACCAGAAAGAAATACCCAAAAGAAATTGTAACTTTTCATGAGGCCATTGACTTGTTTGGGATGATCAGAAGTAACTTTAGCATCAATAGCTTATGCAATTGGCTTTTTAATGAGAACCATAATATATTATCACCAAGAGCAGTAGTTAAACCAGGTTCATGAGGCATACCTTTATACCCCTGCTCAGCCTCCCGAAGGTCGATCTTGGTGATAGGCTTGAAGTCCACATCCCAGAGCCTGACACAACCGTCACGTCCCCCCGTGGCGAAGCCCTCTTCACAGGCATACATGCTGAAGATCCCAGCCTACACACAGTGCAGTCAACTTTAGTCATAGGCAGGGGGATTATCAAACTGTTCTGTGCATAGAAAAAGGTACTTGGAAAGGAATATGATAGGAATGTGGGTCAAAAAGTCTATTTCTGTATTGGAGACACAAAAAGGGGGCAAAATCATTATTTTCAATGCTTTTTAAAGGCCTTAGAGATTTACAAAGAAGGTTTCAGGGTAGGGATGCAGAGGGAGGGAAGGGGAATTGAGTAAGGAGAATTGAGTTGCTTCAGTGTAGGGGTGTAAGAGATTATAGGCGTTTAGAGTGCGTATTTCACTCACCCCATGAGCGGCCTGCACTGTGCGTAAAAGGTTCAGTCCTTTCCACACGTAGATATCCCCATTCAAAGCCCCAGAGTATGTGACATCATCTTTAGCCGATGCCACACACAAAATGGTCTGTAGATCGCCTGTCTTCCCGAATATCCCCCGTTTGGGCGTCAACGCATTGCCACAGAGAGCCCAGAACTAGAGACATGGAGAAGGGGAAGCGAGTGAAAGATGGAGAAGGAGAGATGAGACAGGAAATGAGAGAGAAGTACAAGTAGGCATAGGTAGGGGAAGGAAAGGCGAAGCAAGATAATTAGAGAGGTGAAGAGAAAGGTGGATAAAACAGGCAATGGGAGGAGAGGTAGAGAGAGGAAAGAAAAAATAACATAAGGTGGATAATGACAGGAAAGGATAGAGGGAAGAGAGAGAGAACATGAGCTCAGAGATCAGCTGCTGTCACAGTGCGTTTGGAGAACCGTTGCTCTAAATCACGACTGTTCATTTGCCAGCCTGATCACCTCAGGGTAGATAGCATGGGGCTTATTTCTAATAAAGCTCACAGCGGTCAGTTAAGAAGATTCCATGTCCATGAAAGTAGTTTTATGGCCAAAGGGCACAATAGGCTCAATGATGTATGTCTCACACCATAACTTGATATATATAAATATATTTACACATATATATATATATATATAAACAAAACAACAAGAAAAACGATTCTCCATTGCTACTGTTTGTGAGGCATACACTACCAGTCAAAAGTTTGGACACACCTACTCATTTAATGGTTTTTCTGTATTTTTACTATTTTTTACATTGTAGAATAATAGTGAAGATATCAAAACTATAAAATAACACATATGAAATCATGTAGTAATCAAAATATATTTTATCTTTGAGATTCTTCAAATAGCCAGCCTTTGCCTTGATGACAGCTTTGCACACTCTTGGCATTCTCTCAACCAGCTTCATGAGGTAGTCACCTGGAATGCATTTCAATTAACAGGTGTGCCTTGTTAAAAGTTAATTTGTGGAATTTCTTTCCTTCTTAATGCGTTTGAGCCAATCAGTTGTGTTGTGACAAGGTAGGGTTGGTATACAGAAGATAGCCCTATTTGGTAAAAGACCAAGTCCATATTATGGCAAGAACAGCTCAAATAAGCAAAGAGAAAAGACAGTCCATCATTACTTTAAGACATGAAGGTCAGTCAATACGGATAATTTCAAGGACTTTGAAAGTTTCTTCAAGTGCAGTCGCAAAAACCATCAAGGGCTATGATGAAACTGGCTCTCATGAGGACCGCCACAGGAATGGAAGACCCAGAGTTACCTCTGCTGCAGAGGATAAGTTCATTAGAGTTACCAGCCTCAGAAATTGCAGCCCAAATAAATGCTTCACAGAGTTCAAGTAACAGACACATCTCAACATCAACTGTTAAGAGGAGACTGTGTGAATCAGGCCTTCATGGTCGAATTGCTGCAAAGGAAACCACTACTAAAGGACACCAATAAGAAGAAGAGACTTGCTTGGGCCAAGAAACACGAGCAATGGACATTAGACCGGTGGAAATTTGTCCTTTGGTCTGGAGTCCAAATTTGAGATTTTTGGTTCCAACTGCCGTGTCTTTGTGAGACGCGGTGTGGGTGAACGGATGATCTCTGCATGTGTATTTCCCACCGTAAAGCATGGAGGCGGAGGTGTGATGGTGGGGTGCTTTGATGGTGACACTGTCAGTGATTTATTTAGAATTGAAGGCACACTTAACCAGCATGGCTACCACAGAATTCTGCAGCGATATGCCATCCCATTTGGTTTGGGCTTAGTGGGACTATCATTTGTTTTTCAACAGGACAATGACCCAACACACCTCCAGGCTGTGTAAGGGCTATTTTACCAAGAAGGAGAGTGACGGAGTGCTGCATCAGATGACCTGGCCGGCACAATTCCCCGACCTCAACCCAAATGAGATGGTTTGGGATGAGTCGGACGGTAGAGTGAAGGAAAAGCAGCCAACAAGTGCTCAGCATATGTGGGAACTCCTTCAAGACTGTTGGAAAAGCATTCCAGGTGAAGCTGGTTGAGAGAATGCCAAGAGTGTGCAAAGCTGTCATCAAGGCAAAGGGTGGCTATTTGAAGAATCTCAAATATAAAATATATTTTGATTTGTTTAACACTTTTTTGGTTACTACATGATTCCATATGTGTTATTTAATTTTTTTGATGTGTTCACTATTATTCTACAATGTAGAAAATAGTAAAAATAAAGAAAAACCCTTGAATGAGTAGGTGTGTCCAAACTTTTGACTGGTACTGAATGTATTTACATATTTATTGTAAACTGAGGGCTCTTCTGTAAGTTCAGTGTTGTGTGTGTGTGTGTATAGTAGGACACAGCCCTTCCGGAGGGGAATGACAGAACAGATTACTGCTTTTGACTGAATAGAAACTGGCGTCCTCCAACTGCTCTTCACGCGTACCAATTGAAAACAATATGCCCCAGTCCCCCTAACACCACTTTCTCATTCTACTGCTAGAATATCTGATAGCGCCAATTTACTCCTCCACTGACAACATGTCAAACTGTTTATGAGGTTGTTCCAAAAGCAGCTTTTAACAACAACCGTATAAACGTATTACATGTTAAATAACTTGAAAATAGACTGATGCCGGCTGCACTGGGTCAGGGTAACCCATCTCAACATTGATAGCTCCCCATATGTTATTTTTGAACTTGGCTCAAGTGTTATGTATGAACTGACTGGACAGCACGGAGCATACTGTGTTGTTATTGTGAAGCTCACCTTTATGTGCTTTACCCCACAGCTCACCAGCCGGTTCTGCTGAAAGGGATCCCAGGATATATCGAAGATCTGAAAGACAGCCAAGCCATTAACACACATACATTTCCTCTCATTCACACAGAAAGTCATGCCACACACACACTGGGTACTCACATACACACTCTACAACTGAATCAATACACAACACACACATACACAAATGCCAACATGCACACAGCACACACAAAAGCCTACCCTGTCTGAATGTCCTGTCGCAGTGGCCAGTATCTTTCCTTTCTTCCAGTCCCAAACACACACTGTATTTTTGGCATCCAGCCCCACAGAAGCCAGCCGCTGAAAATGACAAAAAGGGGAAACTATTCATTCATCTGCAAAGAAAGGAGGGAGACTGTTTCTATTCAATGTAGGAAGATGAATACATATTCATTCATGTACTGTAAATGGAGGAAAATAGTCATATTTTCATAATCAATTAATTTCTATGACAGGAGACATAGAGTTGTTCTATGTGACAGCTATAGAGATGTTATAGAGAGTGCACAGGCAGTGCAGACATGTGCAGATAATACAGTAAGCACTATTGAAAACGCCTTCTGTATTTTATCACACTCGCTGTAGAGAGGAAAGGAATGCAAATTGTTTCCAATTAGTCTGGCGGCAATTACCATTCAGCGAGTTAATTGTTAATTACCCATTTTATGACTCAGACAAAGGAGCAAGGCATTTAGGAACATTTGGACAACCGTCTCCGTGCAATATTTTTAGGGTGAATATTGGGATGACAAAGAAACAGATAGAAAATAAATTAGACCTAAACGTCAGGGATATTTATGATTTGATGCTCCAATATAAAGTAAGTACGGCCATTCTACTGAGTACAAAAGAGAGGAGATGAATGCCAAATGTAATTTGACCTAATGTGCTGATAACTTTACAATGAAATGGTAATGTGTGTTTCCATTAATCAATACATTTCAGTGATAGAGAATACATTCTCTTTTCTTCAGGAAAACATGTTTTGTCATATTTGTGGTTTGCCACAACCATTCGTCCACAAATCCATTTAAATCCCAACCAAACAAGACATCCATCTGTGTTATATGACATCACCCAGAATTGTTTACTCGCTCTGCACACAGGAGTTTCCAAGAAAACAGCCATCTAATGCATTTCAGAATGGAGCTAATAAAATGATAAGGCCTAAATGTCTTTATGATTGACTATGGGTTTGAGGTAAACCTTGTTTGCTGCCCCACCCTGGTTGGTCTCCATTACAGTGTAGCAGTAATGTAGACTGGTTGCCAGGGGCAGGAGGTGATACAACATGTTGCCCTACTTCCCTTCCTCCCTTTTCTCTTCATCTAGACACACGGTAGCATTAGCCCTGGCTCTCCTCACCCACCCTTCCTCTCTCTCCCCCTCCCTCTCCTCCCAGACACATTCTTCACCCGCCGCAGCCTCCTCTGACGTGACATTGCATTTGTCAACTCCAAAACCACAATGAAGGCAACAACAACAGCCAGCCCTCCCTCCCTCCCTCCCTTCCTTCCTTCCTTCCTTCCTTCCTTCCTTCCTTCCTTCCTTCCTTCCTTCCTTCCTTCCTTCCTTCCTTCCTTCCTTCCTTCCTTCCTCTCCCTCTTCCCTAGGTGTAGCCTACTGGTCTTGTATGGGGGACATCAACAGGCTGCTGCTGCTGTAGGAGACTCTCATGGAGCCCCATACATCAAGCTAAAGGTCATAGGAGAATGGTGCTGTCCCAGCATTCCCCCCAGTAAACATGGGCTAACATGATTAATGGCAGAGCCGTACATCATCCCCAGCCTGCACAGTTACCCAGCAGGCTTCGCTTCTCAGCAACCCACCACCACAATCCCATTCCCATTGCTATAGGCTATGTGAGATATAAGGCACATTTACAGTATTATGTACATTTACATGTGATATAATTGGGAGAAATCTATGAATGCTTCAATCTCACAAATTATGGAGCATTCACATTGCTGTGTGTCAAAGTATTGTTATTTTTCAGTCAAACAGGTTTGCCTTGGTAACAGGGTGATAGCACAGGAACCCATCCACTCAGAGAAAAGGTGGATGAGAGGTGTGCATGCATGCCTGTATGCGTGAGGTGAAGTGTGTGTGTGTGAGAAGTGGTGCGTGCTTGGCTGTGTGTGTGTGTGTGTGTGTGTGTGTGTATGTCTGCTTGCGTGTGGGCTTGTGGGCATGAGGTGGTGTGTGTGCGGGAGTGTGTGTGTTTCACCTGTCCATCTGCGCTGAAGGCCAGGCAGGCCACCCCATGGGAGTGTCCGTCCTTGAGGATAGAGATGGTCTGTACACTGAAGGTGTCCCACACACAGATGTAGGGCTCCTTCCCCACCTGACCTGTTGCCACCAGTGACCTCTCAGGATGAAGGGCAAGGCTGGAGAAACAGGAGAGGAGACATAACAGGTAATACCCACGCAATACTGTTGAAAGAAACTGATAAAATGTGGATTAAATATATATACATGTATATTCTGTTGCTCTTTCTGGTTAAGCCATGTGCTTGACTCATTGTTGACATTAATAATCATGTCAGTATACACAGTGTTTGTTACTTTGTCATTAACCATTTTCAGCCTTATGTGTACAATCTGAAACTCATAGGTTATAGACGCCACAGTGGGTAATTGTTCGCTCCAGGTGCCAACCTGCCTCCCTTGTTCCCCCTCTCCTCCTCGTTATCTCTCTATCTCCCCTCTCTACTCTCCCCCTTTCTCTCTCTGCCACCCCTTTCTCTTTATCTCTTTATCTCTCTTCCTCTCTCTAGGGAGGGAAGAGTCCTGCTGAAGAGTACCCACAGGTCATTGTGCTCCTTTATGAAAGGTGCCTCGGTGTCCTATAAATACATGAGGTTAATGGCATCATTACTGGGGCCTGCCCGAGTGGCAGACATTAGTGTGTTAGTAGCATCAGCCCCACAGGGTCAGGGATCATTACACCACCAATGGACTGGGGAGAAGACCGTGCTCAGTACCGCTCAACACGGTGAGTCCTCTGTGACCTTGACCATACACACTGTACAGAGGACAAGTGGTAGCCTTACAAACCGAGCCTTGGCATTGAAATGGTCCAATAGTAAAAATGGGTGTAAAATTACAATTTCTATCAGGAGAAATAGCCTGACACTACAAACACTGCACAGCACATTGGCATGTCTTTCTTTCTCTTTCCCTTGCTTTCTCAGTCTGTGAATATCTTTCTCTCTCTCTGTGCTCAGTCTGACTGTCTCAGAATCTTTCATCTCAAAGCCTCTTTCTGCATGAATCGCATGGCTGTAAATCTGGGCTTGGAGCTCTGCCTGGAGCTGAGGCTCGGCAGAGGAGTGAGAGAGGAAGTACTGAGGAAGGGAGAAGAGAGAGATAAAGGCTGTGAGAAAAGGAATGGCGGGAGGGGGAGAAATGGAGAAACCCTCAAGCAATTTGAGTGAGAGAAAGAGAGAGAAAGACAGAATGAGAGAGAGAGAGCTCAGCTCTACTCAGCTGACTGTCGGGAGGTTTCCCACGCAGTATGGAAGCATGCATTCCCAGGCAGTCTACATCCCAGCTGGCCCTAATGTAGCACATGGGGATGAGCAGAAGTGCAGAGCTAGCTAAATAATAATAATATGCCATTTAGCAGACGCTTTTATCCAAAGCGACTTACAGTCATGTGTGCATACATTTTTACGTATGGGTGGTCCCAGGGATCAAACCCACTACCCTGGCGTTACAAGCGTCATGCTCTACAAATTGAGCTACAGAGGACCACAGCTGATGGAGATGGAGAGACTATGACATGAGGGCAGATTTGCTGGCTCATGGGTTTCAATGGGCTGTTGGGTTGCCAGGGCCAGGAGCAGGAGCAGAGGGACTGCACATGAGGACAGGCATCAGAAGATGCTCCATTCATGCAGTGTGTGATGGCAGCCCAGCCAGCCTGAGAGGAACTCACTGTCCTGTGACTGTACTGGGCTGTCACTGATGGATGAACCTGCTGATTTATTGACAGCAACAATCATAATGAATGTGTTTGGATTATTTAATGTTATGCATACAGTCCTGTGTGGTTTTCTATACATTATGTGATAAGTATGTACACTATGCCTTTACATAAAAAACATGAGCCAGAAAGAAAAATACGTATTTTAAAGAGAAACCACCTTGTCTTTTTTTCACTCCATAAAATAACAGATGTAAAATCAGTATGCATACAAATTAGATAATTGATGAGATCATTTATTGTACTAATGCATTATTTCTAGACAAAATGCTAGTGAAGGACACAGAGTCAGTCCCAGTGGGACCGGACTGCAGTAACGGACTCCCGTCACACAACCAAACAGTAATGTGACACTCCTCTCCTCTGCAGACTGGCACAGGGAAATCCCCAGAGGAAGGAAATCAGAGCCAGCCATCACTGCTGCCACCTGGGAAAATCTGCTCTCCTGATGCCCTACCTACCTCAACAGACTGCTGCTGTCTATACAGAATCGGTACTATAGGACGAAGGACACTGTCCATAAATCACTCTCTCAATAAATGTTCTTCTGACATATTTACTCTGAATAACGCTTCTGAATAAGTTCAAGTTATTTACTCAATATCAGATATGTGCCTTCAGAAAGTATTCATACCACTTGACTTTTTCCACATTTTGTTGAGATTTTAGGTCACTGACCTACACACAACACCCCATAATGTTAAAGTGGAATTATGTTTTTGAAATGTGTACTAATTAATACAAAATGAAAAGCCGAAATGTCTTGAGTCAATAAGAATTCAGGGAGGTTTTCCAATGCCTTGCAAAGGGCACCTATTGATAGATGGTTAAAATAAAAAAGCAAACATTGAATATCCCTTTGAGCATGATGAAGTTATTCATTACACTTTGGATGGCTGTCACACCAGCCTTCGCTTTAGCTCCCCCTCCTGTCCAGCTCTACACTTGTGACAATGGCGTATCAATACACCCAGTCACTACAAAGATACAAGCGTCCTTCCTAACTAAGTTGCCGGAGAGGAAGGAAATCAGGGAATTCAACATGAGGCCAATGGTGACGTTAAAACAGTTACAGAGTTTAATGGCTACAATAGGAGAAAAATTACGATGGATCAACAACATTGTAGTTACTCCACAATACTAACCTAATTGACAGAGTGAAAACATCCGTCCTGTTTGCAACAAGGCAATAAAGTGATATATAAAAATAAAAACACTTTTTGTCCTGAATAAAAAGTGTTATGTTTGGGGCAAATCCAATACAACACATTACTGAGTACCACTCTTCATATTTTCAAGCATAGTGGTGGCTGCATCATGTTATGGGTATGCTTGTAATCATTAAGGACTGGGGAGTTTTTCAGGATAAAAAAGAAACGGAATGGAGCTAAGCACAGGCAAAATTCTAGAGGAAAACATGCTTCAGTCACCTTTCAGCAAGACAATAACTTAAAACACAAGGCCAAATCTACACTGGAGTTGCTTACCAAGAAGACAGTGAATGTCCCTGAGTTGCAGAGTGACTTGAAAATCTATGGCAAGACCTGAAAATGGTTGTCTAGCAATGATCAACAATCAATTTGACAGAGCTTGAATAATTTTTGTATGAATAATGAGCAAATGTTGCACAATTCAGGTTTGGAAAGCTCTTAGAAACGTACCCAGAAAGGGGTGTGAATAGTTACAGTGCATTCAGAAAGTATTCAGACTCCTTGACTTTTTCCACATTTTGTTACGTTACAGTCTTATTATAAAATGTATTAAATTGTTTTTTTCCCCTCACTAATCTACACACAATATCCTATAACGACAAAGCAAAAACAGGTTACATTTTTTGTGTGCAAATGTATAAAATAAATAATCTGAAATATCACATTTACATAAGTATTCAGACCCTTTACTCAGTACTTTGTTGAAGCACCTTTTGCAGCGATTACAGCCTCGAGTCTTCTTGGGTATGACGCTACAAGCTTGGCACACCTGTATTTGAGGAGTTTTTCCCCATTAATCTGTGCAGATCCTCTCAAGCTCTGTCAGGTTGGATGGGGAGTGTTGCTGCACAGCTATTTTCAGGTCTCTCTAGAGATGTTAGATCGGGTTCAAGTCCGGACTCTGGCTGGGCCACTCAAGGACATTCAGAGACTTGTCCCGAAGCCACTATTGCGTTGTCTTGGCTGTGTGCTTAGGGTCGTTGTCCTGTTAGAATGTGAACCTTCGCCTCCCAGTCTGAGGTCCTGAACGCCCTGGAGCAGATTTTCATCAACGATCTCTCTGTATGTTGCTCCGTTCATCTTTCCCTCGATCCTGACTAGTCTCCCAGTCCCTGCCACTGAAAAACATACCCACAGCATGATGCTGCCACCACCATGCTTCACCATAGGGATGGTGCCAGGTTTCCTCCAGATGTGACACTTGGCATTCAGGCCAAAGAGTTCAATCTTGGTTTCATCAGACCAGAGAATCTTGTTTCTCATGGTCCTTTAGGTGCCCTTTGGCAAACTCCAAGTGGGCTGTCATGTGCCTTTTACTGAGGAGTGGCTTCCGTCTGGCCACTCTAACATAAAGTTGAGTGCTGCAGAGATGACTGTCCTTCTGGAAGGTTCTGCCATCTCCACAGAGGAACTCTGGAGCTCTGTCAGAGTGACCACCGGGTTCTTGGTCACCTCCCTGACCAAGGCCCTTCTCCTTCAATTTCTCAGTGTAGCTCTAGAAAGAGTCTTGGTGGTTCCAAAGTTCTTCCATTTAAAAATCATGGAGGCCATTGTGTTCTTGGGGACCTTCAATGCTGCATACATTTTTTGGTACCTTTCCCCAGATCTGTGCCTCGACACAATCCTGTCTCGGAGTTCTACGGACAATTCCTTCGACCTCATGGCTTGGTTTCTGCGCTGACATGCACTGTCAAGTGTGGGACCTTATATAGACAGGTTTGTGCCTTTTCAAAATCATGTCCAATCAATTTAATTCATCACAGGTGGACTCCAATCAAGTTGTAGAAACATCTCAAGGATAATCAATGGAAACAGGATGCATCTGAGCTCAATTTCGAGTCTCATAGCAAAGGGTCTGAATACTTATGTAAATAAGGTATTTTTAATTTTTAATTTTAATTTGTATAAATAAAATAAATAAATAAACTGTTTTCCCTTCGTTATTATGGGGTATTGTGTGTAGCTTGATGAGGAAACCATTTATTTAATCAATGTCACGACTTCGGCCGAGGCTGCCTCCCCTCCTTGTTCGGGCAGGCTTCGGTGTTCGTCGTCACCGGAGTACTAACCACTGCTGCCCCAATCATCATCACACTTGTCTTGTCAATCACACACACCTGGTTCCTATCCCCTAATTAGTCTGTGTATAAGTGTGCCAGGGTAGATTTTCCCCCTGTGCCTATGTATTATTGGATTCCGTTACAGTGTATTGCCAGGGATGTTTGTTTCCCCCGTGCCTGTTTCGTTGATCGCTATTGGAGCGCATGTGTGTGTCAACGAAGGAATAAACTCTGTATTCGGTGATTACCCTCCTGCGCCTGACTCCTTTCACCACACTCAACACAGAATCACCCACCCGCTATGGAGTCAGCGGGAGAAGAGCGCATGCCTGGAGTCGTGGCACGGGTCTAGGAGCATTCCACGATGCTGGCCAGCTTTGGGGAAGCGATGGATCGGGTTCTTCAGGCAGTCCAATGCCTGGAGAGGAGAGGACCCGATCTGTCGAGACCAGCTGGCCAACCGGATCCAGCCATCTACACCCCAGCACACGGAGGGATCCAGATATCCCGACCATGGCCGTTTGTTGGGACGGCGGCGCTGTGCCAGGGATTCCTCCTCCAATTGGAGCTTTACTTTGCAAGCATCAGACTGGCGCCATAGGAGCGGGAGAAGGTGTCCGTCCTCGTTTCCTGCCTCTGTGGGAAAGCCCTGGAGTGGGCCAACGCGGTGTGGAACGAGGGAGGAGCCGCGTTGGAGGACTACAGGGAGTTCGCTCGCCTCTTTTGGGCGGTCTTCGATCACTTGCCCGAGGGTCGAGAGGCGGGTGAGCGGCTGGTCCACCTGAGGCAGGGGAAAAGGACCGTGCAGGACATTGTGTTGGAGTTTCGGACGCTGGCAGCGGGGTCCGGGTGGAACGAGCGGGCCCTGATCGACCATTTCCGGTGCCATCTGCGGGAGGACGTCCGACGGGAGCTAGCCTGCCGGGACACAATATTGTCCTTCGATAAACTGGTGGACATGGCCATTCGTTTGGACAACCTGCTGACAGCCAGAGAACGTCCTGGTAGGGATCTGCCCGTTTCCATCCCGGACGACTCGGATCCCGAGCCAATGGAGCTGGGTGGGGCTGCCGGCCGAGAGAGCGGAGGAGGACAGCGACAGTGCCACTCTGGTGGCACGAAAGGACAGTACACCACACGTCGTAGTCAACGTTCTTCTGGGCCGGGAGGCGGCAGGCAGGGCACTCACGCATCACCCCAGGTATCGAACACCCACACTTGTTCAGAGCCCTCTGTTGTGCACTGTACCCTACCTATCCACTTTCCCGATATCATGGTAGTTCCCCAGTGTAAGGGGCTAGTCGATTCAGGTGCATCTGGGAACTTTATGGACAGGGCATTGGCACGCCGTCAAAGCATTTTATTGTTTCCCCTCTCCATTCCACTCCCCATCAGAGCACTCGATAGTCGACCATTAGGGTCCGGGTTTGTTACGGAAGTCACTATACCGGTCACCATGATCACCCAGGAGACTCATTGTGAGCAGGTAATTTTTTCAATTATTGAATCTCCTGCTTTCCCTGTGGTATTAGGTATCCCTTGGCTAGCACTCCACAACCCCACCTTCTTATGGCTGCAGAGGGCTCTCACGGGGTGGTCGCATGAATGTCAGGGTAGGTGTCTAGATGTTTCCGTTGGTGCAACCACGGTGGAAAGTCCAGACGGTACCTCCACCATGCGCATTCCCCCCCCGAAAACCTAGATCAGGCGCAAGACGCGTGCTACTAAATTACCACCTCATCGGGCGGGGGATTGCGCGATAGACCTTTCGGGTAGACGCTGTACCTCCCAGGAGTCATGTGTACCCCCTGTCACAGGCTGAAACGGAGGCTATGGAAACATACGTCTCCGAGTCCCTGGGCCAGGGGTACATACGTCCCTCCACTTCACCCGCCTCCTCAAGTTTCTTCATTGTGAAGAAGAAAGACGGCGGTCTGCGCCCGTGCATTGATTATCGATCACTGAACAAGGAGACGATTAGATTTAGTTATCCTCTCCCCCTCATTCCTTCAGTGATCGAGTCAATGCATGGGGCGCGCTTCTTCACAAAGCTAGATCTCAGGAGTGCGTACAACCTGGAGCGTGTTCGGGAGGGGGATGAGTGGAAGACGGCATTCAGCACAACCACGGGGCATTATGAATACCTTGTGATGCCCTACGGTTTGATGAATGCTCCATCCACCTTCCAGTCCTTTGTGAACAAGGTGTTTCGGGACATGCATGGTCGCGGTGTAGTGGTCTACATCGATGGCATCCTGGTGTATTCCGCTACTCGCGCCGAGCATGTGTCCCTGGTTCGCAAAGTGCTGGCCAGACTGTTGGAAAATGACCTTTATGCCAAGGCAGAGAAGTGTATGTTTTCAAGCAGTCCGTCTCCTTCCTTGGATACTGCATTACCACCTCAGGTGGGAGATCGCATTTCAGCCATGCGTAATTGGCTGACTCCAACCACGGTTAAGGAGGTGCAGCGATTCCTTGGCTTTGCCAACTACTACCGAAGGTTTATCCGGGGCTTTGGCAAGGTCGCAGCTCCCATCACATCCCTGTTGAAGGGTGGGCTGTCCCAGCTCCGCTGGTGTGCTGAGGCGGATCTGGCCTTCAGGAGACTGCAGGGTCTGTTCACCTCAGCTCCGGTACTGGCCCACCCCGATCCATCACTACTGTTCGTAGTGGAGGTGGATGCGTCCAAGGTAGGGATAGGCGCTGTCCTGTCACAACGCTCGGGCAAGCCACCCAAGCTCCGCCCCTGTGCCTTCTTCTCGAAGAAGCTCAGCCCGACGGAGCAGAACTACGATGTTGGTGATCGGGAGCTGTTGGCTGTTGTCCGAGCTTTGACCGTGTGGAGGCATTGGCTCGAAGGGGCGAAACACCCTTTCATCGTCTGGACGGACCACCGTAACCTGGAGTACATCCGGGCAGCGAGGAGGCTGAATCCTCGCCAGGCCAGGTGGGCCCTATTCTTCACCCGGTTTGATTTTACACTATCATACATTCCGGGTACGAAGAACGTGAAGGCAGACGCACTGTCCCGGCTGTATGACACAGAGGAGAGGCCCAGAGACAACACCCCCATACTCCCGGCCTCCTACATTGTGTCGCCGGTAGTATGGGCGATGGACGCGGATATAGAGCGGGCATTACGCACAGATCCATCTCCACCGCAGTGTCCAGCAGGGCTGCGGTACGTGCCTGCTCTTATCCATGATCGTCTGATCTTCTGGGCACACACGTTAACCTCCTCTGGTCACCCAGGTATCGGTCGTACAGTGCGCTGCTTGAGCGGAAAGTACTGGTGGCCTACCTTGGCTAAGGACGTGAGGGTGTCCGTCTCCTCCTGCTCGGTGTGCGCCCAGAGTAAGGCACCTAGGCACCTCCCAGCAGGTAAGCTACAACCGTTACCGTTTCCACAACGACCATGGTCTCACAGCATAGATTTTCTGACTGATCTTCCCCTCTCCCAAGGTAACACCACCATCCTGGTCGTTGTGGACCGCTTCTCCAATTCCTGCTGCCTCCTTCCTCTGCTCGGTCTCCCCACGGCCCTGCAGACTGCGGAGGCCCTGTTCACTCACGTCTTCCGGCACTACGGGGTGCCAGAGGATATAGTGTCCGACCGAGGTCCCCAGTTCACATCCAAGGTTTGGAAGGCGTTCATGGAACGTCTGGGGGTCTCGGACAGCCTGACCTCTGGGTTCCACCCCGAGTCAAATGGGCAGGTGGAACGAGTAAATCAGGATGTGGGTAGCTTCCTGCGGTCCTACTGCCAGGGAAGTGGTCGGTGTTCTTGCCATGGGCAGAATATGCCCAGAACTCTCTCCGCCACTCCTCTACTAACCTAACACCATTTCAATGTGTTTTAGGTTACCAACCGGTTCTGGCACCGTGGCACCAGAGCCAGACCGAGGCGCCTGCGGTGGAGGACTGGTTTCGGCACGCGGAGGAGATGTGGGATGCTGCCCACGTTCACCTCCAGCGTGCCGTGGTTTGTCAGAAGGCCAACGCTGACCGTCACCGCAGTGAGGCCCCGGTCTTCGTACCGGGGGATCGGGTCGGGCTCTCGACCCGGAATCTGCCACTCCGCCTGCCCTGCCGGAAGCTGAGCCCGCGGTTTGTGCCGGAAGCTGAGCCCGCGGTTTGTCACGACTTCGGCCGAGGCTGCCTCCCCTCCTTGTTCGGGCAGGCTTCGGCGTTCGTCGTCACCGGAGTATTAACCACTGCCGCCCCAATCATCATCACACTAGTCTTGTCAATCACACACACCTGGTTCCTATCCCCTAATTAGTCTGTGTATAAGTGTTCCCTCTGCCCCCTTGTCCTTGTGGGTGATTGTTAATTGTGAGAGTATGTAGCTCGGTGGAGCTACTCATAACATTGTGTTGCCAGGGTAGATTTTCCCCCTGTGCCTATGTATTATTGGATTCCGTTACAGTGTATTGCCAGGGATGTTTGTTTCCCCCGTGCCTGTTTCTTTGATCGCTATTGGAGTGCATGTGTGTGTCAACGAAGGAATAAACTCTGTATTCGGTGATCACCCTCCTGCACTTGACTCCTTTCACCACACTCACCACAATCAATTTTAGAATAAGGCTGTAACGTAAATATTTTTTGGAAAAAGTAAAGGGGTCTGAATACTTTCCGAATGCAATGTATGTAAATGTCATATTTCTGTATTTAATTTTCAATAAATGTGTACAAATAATCAGTCCACTGTCTGCCGGTGCCATATGTGAACAGTATGAGCTAATGTGAGCCAATATGTCTCATCTAACACACAATACACTAACAACCAACCTGCTGACAGCATGGTTGCCTTGACAACTGGACAGCCAAGGACACAGAAATCAAGATTAAGAATAAAAGTCTAACTAGAGGTGAAATATCAGCAGACATACACAACAAACCTCACCTACACAAGAGCAAACCAACGTCAACCAACAAAATGTCCTACAAAATATCTCCTTATGTAGCATACTACTTTCTGTTAAGAACACAATATTGAAATAAATTGAAGAAGTGTAGAGTGCCTTCAGAAAGTATTCATACCCCTTCACTTATTCCACATTTTGTTGTGTTACACCCTGAATTCAAAATGGATGACTTTTTTTCTTCTTCCCCCATCTAAACACAATACCCCAAAATGATGAAGTGAAAACATGTTCATAGACATTTGTGCAAAGTTATTGAAAATGAAATACAGAAATATCTCATATATCTCAATACTTTGTAGAAGCACATTTGGCGGTGATTACAGCTTTGAGTCGTCTTAGGTATGTCTGTATCAGTTTTGCACATCTGCATTTGGGGATTTTCTTCCATTCTTCCTTGCAGATTTTCTCAAGATCTGTTAAGTTAGATGGGGAGCGGCGGTGAACAAAGTCTTCAAGTTTTTCCACAGATTTTCAATGGGATTCAAATCTGGGCTTTGGCTGTGCCACTCAAGGACTTTCACATTCTTGTTCTGAAGCCATTCCAGCGTTGCTTTGGCTGCATGCTTGGGGTCATTGTCCTGTTCGAATGTAAATCTTCGCCCCGAGCCTAAGGTTGTTCTCATCAAGGATTTGCCTGTATTTGGCTCCATTCATTGTTCCCTCTATCCTTACCAGTCTCCCAGTCCCTGCCGCTGAAAAACATCCCCATAGCATGATGCTGCCACTACCATGCTTCATGGTAGTGATGGTGTTAGATGGGTGATGAGCTGTGCCTGGTTTTCTCCAGACATAGCACTTTGCATTCAGGTCAAAGTGTTAAAATGTTGTCTCATCAGACCACAGAATCTTTTGCCTTATGATCTCAGAGTTTTTCACGTGCCTTTTTGCAAACTCCAGGCGTGTTGTCATGTACTTTTTCTCAGGAGTGTCTTCCACCTGGCCACTCTCCCATAAAGCCCAGATTGGTGAAGTGCTGTAGTAGACGGTTGTCCTTCTGGCAGGTTCTCCCATCTCAGCCAAGGAACACTGTAGTTCTGTCAGAGTGGTCATTCGGTTCTTGGTCACCTCCCTGACCAAGGTCCTTCTTACCCGGTTGCACAGTTTGGTCGGATGGCCAGCTCTATGCAGAGTCTGGGCAGTTACATATTTTTTCAATTTCCCAATGATGGAAACTTTCAACACTCTAGAAAAAAATATTTACCCTTCCCAGATATATGCCTTATCACAATTCTATCTCGGAGATCTACGGACAGTTCCTGGACTTCATGGTATAGTTTCTGCTTGGACATGCACTGTCAACTGTGGACCTTATATAGACAGGTATGTTTTTTGGCCACAGGTGGACTCCAATCAAGTTGTAGTGACATCTCAAGGATGATCAAAGGAAATTGGATGCACTTGAGCTCAATTTGAAGTGTCATAGCAAAGAGTCTGAATACTTTGTAAATAAGGTATTTCTGGGTTGTTTTCTTTTTATAAATAAAATAAAAAAACTGTTTTCGCTTTGTCATTATGGGTTATTGTATGTAGCTTGATGAGGAAAACATTTATTTAATCCATTTTAGAATAAGGCTGTAACGTAAATATTTTTGGAAAAAGTCAAGGGGTCTGAATACTTTCCGAATGCAATGTATGTAAATGTCATATTTCTCTATTTAATTTTCAATAAATGTGTACAAAAAATCAGTCCACTGCCTGCCGGCGCCATATGTGAACAATATGAGCTAATGTGAGCCAATATGTCTGCTCTAACACACACTACACTAACAACCAACCTGCTGACAGCATGGTTGCCTTGACAACTGGACAGTCAAGGACACAGGAATGAAGATTAAGAATAAAAGTCTAACTAGAGGTGAAATATCAGCAGACGTACACAGCAAACCTCACCTACACAAGAGCAAACCATCCTCAACCAACAAAATGTCCCACAAAATATCTCCTTATGTAGCATACTACTTTCTGTTAAGAACACAATATTGAGATAAATTGAAGAAGGGTAGAGTGCCTTCAGAAAGTATTCATACCCCTTTACTTATTCCACCTTTTGTTGTGTTACACCCTGAATTCAAAATGGATGACTATTTTTTTTCTTCACCCATCTAAACACAATACCCAAAAATGACGAAGAGAAAACATGTTTATAGAATTTTGTGCAAAATGAAATACAGAAATATCTCATATATCTCAATACTTTGTAGAAGCACCTTTGGCGGTGATTTCAGCTTTGAGTCGTCTTAGGTATGTCTGTATCAGTTTTGCACATCTGCATTTGGGGATTTTCTTCCATTCTTCCTTGCAGATTTTCTCAAGCTCTGTTAAGTTAGATGGGGAGCGGCGGTGAACAAAGTCTTCAAGTTTTTCCACAGATTTTCAATGGGATTCAAATCTGGGCTTTGGCTGTGCCACTCAAGGACTTTCACATTCTTGTTCTGAAGCAATTCCAGCGTTGCTTTGGATGTATGCTTGGGGTCATTGTCCTGTTCGAATGTAAATCTTCGCCCCGAGCCTAAGGTTGTTCTCATCAAGGATTTGCCTGTATTTGGCTCCATTCATTGTTCCCTCTATCCTTACCAGTCTCTCAGTCCCTGCCGCTGAAAAGTATCCCCATAGCTTGATGCTGCTACCACCATGCTTCATGGTAGTGATGGTGTTAGATGGGTGATGAGCTGTGCCTGGTTTTCTCCAGACATAGCACTTTGCATTCAGGTCAAAGTGTTAAAATGTTGTCTCATCAGACCACAGAATCTTTTGCCTTATGATCTCAGAGTTTTTCACGTGCCTTTTTGCAAACTCCAGGTGTGTCGTCATGTGCCTTTTTCTCAGGAGTGCTCACTTTGTCATTATGGGGTATTGTGTGTAGATGGGTGAGAAAAAAAGGTATATTTAATCCATTTTGAATTCAGGCAGTAACACAACAAAATGTGGAATAGGTCAAGGGATATGAATACTTTCTGAAGGCACTGTACACCCTGGAAAGAGGCAATATGTTGTCTCTTCCCTCCTGCAGAGTGCCTTGAGTCTGGCAAGCAGGACTAGGCTATCTGTAGCCTATAATGTCCTTTAAAATGCATCAATAACCATGAAAGAGAATACATTAGTGAGAAGGATGGTTCTGTCTCTTTCCCCCCATCGACACTGAAAAAATAAAGGCTCTTAAATGGTTCTTCCTTAGCTATTAAAGTTCCTTGGAGAACTCGATAAAGAACCTTTAAGTTAAGTGTGTGGTTCTTGATGTGGCATCTACGGTTCTTCAGAATTCTAAAAGGTTCTTGAAATGTATGAAACCTGCAGATGTGTCCCTTTCATAGCACACAGCAAATTGGCCAGTGTTAACTACTGTTTATTTTTCAGTCTAACATTTCTAGTGTTGATTCAAGAGTTAAATTAACATTGTAAATAGTTAAATTAACACTCAGTGGTGTAAAAGAGACTACACATCACTTTACAAGCCAGCATAATGTGGCTTGCAGGCCTGATGTGGCCTGTAAACTATGAGATTCAGGCCACTGTATTAGGGTAATTCTAGGCCCTCAAAAGAAGACATTATGAAATATATATTGTATTGTCTTAAATAATGAAATTTTAATGACAACATATTCACTAAGGAGCTCACTTGGTGAAGGCAACAGGACTGAAAATGAATGAATGCAACAACCATGTCTCTGTCACTAGCAAACACAGTCATGGGTGGTAATGGTAACTAAAATTCACTCGAAAGGCACCCTGGGAAATATGCAAATAAGGCTTAAAACCCTACAGCAGGGCTATTCAATTCTGGTCCTGGAGGGCGGAAACATTTCTGGTTTTGAATTTTTGTATGGTTCTTCAAAGAACCATTCCATTTATGGTTCTTCAGAGACCCTAAAATGGTTCCCCTATGACATCGCTCTCAAGAACCAACTTGCATCTTTATCTTTAAGAGTTTATAAGAAAAATGCATTCCACTCTCTCACTAAAAGCACTATTTTCATTAGATCTTGGAATTGCAGCTACCCTGAAGGCGTGTGATGTATAGAGCTCAATTGGGCCAATCCATTACCCGCTATGCTGCCACATAGGACCAAGGATTTTTGATAAGGCTGTTATCTTCTCCACAGATCCTTGTGATTTAGAGTCATGGAATGTTGAGATTGAGGCAGAAAACAGTGAGACACCACAACAGAGCCAACCAGTTCTAACAGAGAAATATAAATAAAAAATAACATTTGAAGAGTTTCATTCAAAAACGAGATATATCAATTTTCAGAAATGTTGGTAAATTGACATTAATTTAAAAAAAAACATATTGTGAAAGAGAGAGCTATTATTTTTTTTATCTTACCATGACATGGGCTAGTGAAAAGACAGGCATAATTTTAATAGAAATATATTGCAAGATAATTTAATGTTAGAGAGAAAAATAATCGTGTTTTGTGGCAAAATGCTATATATCCACATCAAACAACAGAATTACAATATAAAAAGTATCCCAACTGGGTTTTAAACAGTTACATGTAATAAAGTATCAATAGATAAATAATTATAAAAATAATCAAATTGATCAACAATATTGTGCAAATATCACATAGCCAATGTATTGTAGCCTATGCAGAGGGTGAGCAGCGTATAAAATGTGTTCTCTTTTTGGTAATTTAAGCAATTTTTGGAACAATTTTATGGGGAGTTTACAGGTTTTTTGTTAAGATAAATCAAGGGAAGCTTTTTGAGTTAGATTATATACACTTTAGGAAGGATTTAAGGACATTGAAAGTCTGTCAGAATAAATTTGCTGGTCAAGGATGGATTGATTCCTATTGTTGGAGTGACACAGCCTGCTGTTTGTTTGCAGCTGGTAGGCTATTAGACTAGGTATTTATTTTTTATTTTTTTTTTTTTTACATTTTAGTCATTTAGCAGATGCTCTTATCCAGAGCGACTTACAGTTAAGTGAGGGCATTTTTATACTGGCCCCCTGTGGGAATCGAACCCACAACCCTGGCGTTGCAAGCGCCATGCTCTACCAACTGAGCTACAGTTGTTTCCCTTCACCTGAGTGTCGCTGGATCGCTCCTTTTCATGAGCTTGTTTAGAAATGTTCCTCTTTTGTCCAACAGGAACAGATATCACAGGCTCCAATAAACTGTCAAAATGATCCATACTCAAAAGGTCCACGACACGCAAGCGCTCAAAGCCTAACGTGATGCTAGCTAGCCAGCGCAAACAGCTGAGAGTGGCAGCTGTCAATCACCACATCCGGCTAACTAAGCCAGGGGTTAAATTAATAAAATAAGGATCTGATTACATTCCTATGTGTGGAAAAAATTGAACAGCCATAGAATGTTGCAGTGTCATGTAAAGGTATCATAATGGAGAAACCTCAATAGCCCAACTTTCTAAATACATGGCTCTGGATACAGCGCGTTTTAGTATGAAACAAGTGTTGGATATCACTTTTAGCATCAACAAAAAACACACATTTTAAAGCACATCTAAAGTAAAATGTTTTAAAAGTATGACAATTCATACACATAGAAAGGGACCAATGAGCATTCATTTTGGATGAAAAAATGCACGTGGAAAATGAGCGTATATAGCGTTTTGGAATCAAACTTTTCAAATTGATGTGATAACCTACAATCTCTTAACGACATAAACAATAACCCTACATCTCACTGCAACCCCTCACCCTCCCTCTAACAGGCACCTAGGTCTACTTAGCATTCACCTTAACATTGTCATTCATCAAACCTACACTGCTATTGCCTCACCCATTCACTCCACAACCGTACCACTCCCTCTTTCCTCTAACCCTTCCCTGACCCCCCACCAGTCTGACACTCCTGTAATCTTGCCCTCTCATAATTAGTGTGAGTTCCTCTCCTGGAAGCCTGTGTCCTCGGGACAAAAACCATCTGCTCCACTAAAACGATAGCAATATCACCCCGGCTATTCATAGCTGCCACAAAATCAGCTCAGGCTAAAAACAGCAGAAAGGGACTCTGCCAAGAGGCTGGTTTTCATGGTAAAAAGCAATAACCCCATTTATAAATGATTCAATAGGGTTTGGAGGGCAGAGGGGAGATAAACAGAAGAAAATGAAATGGTGCTTTGTTTGTGTTGCCTCAGAAAATTCAATACATCCCTCTGCTCCTGAGGAAGATGTTTGCCTTACAGTGATAGCTCAGTCAAGAGACAAAAACACTCAAGAAACATAGCTAGACAAACTCATAGTGAAAAGGTATTCATTTAGCTTCATTTGTTGAGCGATGTACTAATGGCTACAGAATACAGAATGCTGCTGCGCGGGTACTGACCAAGACCAGACGGAGAGCACACATTACACCGGCTTTAAGGTCTCTGCACTGGCTGCCTGTGAGTTTCTTATTGGTTTTTAAATCAATCCACGCTTGTGCACCCCAATACATGTCAGACATGCTTTTAAGTTATGTACCCAGTAGGTCCCTTAGGTCCTCTGGCACTGGCCTTTTAACTATCCAAAAGCCTAGGACCAAGAGGCATGGAGAGGCAGCCTTTAGTTACTATGCCCCCAGCCTCTGGAATAGCCCGCCAGAGAACCTGAGGGGGGCCGAAACTGTGGACATATTTAAAATAGATCTTAAAACACACCTTTTTAGCTTTGCTTTTACTTAGGGTGCTTTTTATTTGTTTAGTTTTTGTCATTCTTTTGTTTTTTATCTTATGTTTGTTGTGTAGAAAATATTTCAGCTTTTATTTTCATTGTTTTTTTCTGTGAAGCACATTGTGTTGCATTCCATGTCTGAAATGTGCTGTAAAAATAAAGCTTGATTTGATTTGATTTGATACCGCATATTTTATATGAGGAGCAGGAAATATAACTGATAAGCAATGGAAATTCTGAAAAGATGGGCATAATCTAAAACATTCATAGTCTCAGTTCATCTATAAAGAGCGCAATTCCTCCTCCGAACATTTTAAATCACTTAATGAATAATAGAACAACAAGTGTCTGACACCAGACAGTGTTGGAAGGAGTACTGTAATAAAACGGATATTATAGAGCTGTCAAATTAGACAGAGCAAAGGAAAACAGCGGATCAGTCATTCTAACAAGCCTCTCAGAAAACATTCATCTCAATAATGGAACAGACCTTGTACTGTATGTGATTACAGTATCTATAGAAAAAGCCTGGGCTGTTATGACTGGCCTGTTACAGACATTTCTAATGAATGGCTCACACCACCTGCAAAGTGGATAGGATTCCCTATTAGATGTCACACCTAAGGTATCCAGTGAATATTCTCATAGTACTGGAACATTCCTGATGGAAATACAGTCCTGTATAGCCTATTATTCTGTGCAATTTCAGCACAGCACAGCAAGATAAGCTCTCTGTCAGAGTGCTCAGGAAAGAACAGACACATTAGGATTTTCATGATCAAAGACCTGCTTAGATGGTCTGCACTGTAGTTTCCTGGGAATGTCAACGACAAGATTTGCCAAGTACAAACCAACTGGAACCCAAGCTACTCCTCAGACATTCACTTAGGTATATTCAGCTACTGGGGGGAATTCCGACCTGAGTTAAGCCTGGGTAAATGGAACATAATCCCCTTTTTATGCACTTTCTCTCTCTACACGTATTCTGACCTTGAATTTAAGCATGAGATTAGCATGCTATTCACCCACTATTCGTTTGGGCTGGAGATCAAATAAATGAAGGTGTGGCAGAGGTGTGACTACAGACATGCCATATTCTGACCTTGACTTAAATTCCTTGTGTCACTATCCTGTGACAGCTAATCACAAGGCTGATCAGACTACATGCTTGAATAGGGCTTTTGAGATCCTGTTACAGTACCTAATGAAATCCTACATACTTCAACACTATTACAAAAAGACGACTTCTGCTATCTCCATGGTTTGACCTAAGAGGCACTTAAGTTAATAAAAAGTTCAGTTTCCTCAACATCCTACAGCTTTTAACCAGTTTCCATGGTTCCTTCTCTCAACCGTGAACATGCATCGAATAAGGTGCCATCTTTCACCTGTGAATGCCTTTAGATAAGCCAGAGCTTCCATATACAGTACATCATTATCTCAGCATGGTCCTTTCTCGTGGTGTGAGAGAACTGAAGTGCACAGGATGTGGTGTTCCGCCTCAGGGTTATGGGCCTCACACACACAGCCTGGAGGAGAGCTGCCAGCAAGGCCATGTCACTAGTAGGATGGGCACTAATATGCCCCCGACAGACCACTGTCTAAAAACCATCCACGCCCTACTGTTCTTATATCTAGGGCCTAGTGGGACTCTGAGATATTCTTGACCTTGTGACCTGCCCAAGAAAAAAATTAATTAGGGCCCTGAGATTTTCCTGGGTCATGTGGTCAAGAAGAATTCCCTTCATATTATCAATATAAAACTGGGCAAACACCATGACATCACTGAGAGATACAGTGCCTTCAGAAGGTATTCATACCCCTTGACTTATTCCACATTTTGTTGTGTAACAGACTGAATTCAAAATGAATTAAATAAATGTTTTCCACCACCCATCTATACACAATATCCCATAATGAAAGTGAAAACATGTTTTTAGAAATGTTTGCAAAGTTATAGAAAATGAAATACAGAAATATCTAATTTACAAAAGTATTCACACCCCTGAGTCAATACTTTGTAGAAGCACCTTTGGCAGCCATTACAGCTGTGTGTCTTTCTGGGTAAGTCTCTAAGAGCTTTCCATACCTGGATGGTGCAACATTTGCCCGTTATTCTTTAAAAAATTATTCAAGCTCTGTCAAATTGGTTGTTGATCATTGCTAGACAACCATTTTCATGTCTTGCCATATATTTTCAAGTAGATTTAAATCAAAGCTGTAACTCTGCCACTCAGGAACATTCACTGTCTTCTTGGTAAGCATCTCCAGTTTAGATTTGGCCTTGTGTTTTAGGTTATTATCCTGCTGAAAGGTGAATTAAATAAAATCATATTTTATTTGCCACATGCGCCAAATAAAACAGGTGTAGACCTTACAGTGAAATAAATGCTTACTTACAAGCCCGTACAAAAATATGCAGTTTTAAGAAAAATAAGTGTCAAGTAAAAAAATAGATAAGTAAAAAAATATATAGTAAAAAAGTAAAGAGCAGCACTAAAATAAAATAACAGTAGGGAGGCTATATACAGGGGGTACCGGTACAGAGTCAATGTGCGGGGGCACCAGTTAGTTATGCATAGATAATAAACAGAGAGTAGCAGCAACGTAAAAGAGGGGGGGGGGGGGGGGGGGGGGGGGGATTGAAAATAGTCCGGGTAGCCATGATTAGCTGTTCAGGAGACTTGGGGGTAGAAGCTGTTAAGAAGCCTTTTGGACCTAGACTTGGCTTTGTCATGCCCTCTTCACGACTGTCTTGGTGTGTTTAGACCATGATAGTTTATTGGTGATGTGGACACCAAGGAACTTGAAGCTCTCAACCTGTTCCACTACAGCCCCGTCGATGAGAATGGGGGTGTGCTCAGTCCTCTTTTTTCCTGTAGTCCACAATCATCTCCTTTGTCTTGATCACGTTGGAGGAGAGGTTGTTATCCTGGCACCACACGGCAAGGTCTCTGACCTCCTCCCTATAGGCTGTCTCATTGTTGTCGGTGATCAGGCCTACCACTGTTGTATCATTGGCAAGCTTAATGATGGTGTTGGAGTCGTGCCTGGCCATGCAATCGTGGGTGAACAGGGAGTACAGGAGGAGACTGAGCATGCACCCCTGAGGGGCCCCCGTGTTGAGGATCAGCGTGGCAGATGTGTTGTTACCTACCCTTACCACCTGGGGGCGGCCCGTCAGGAAGTCCAGGATCCAGTTGCAGAGGGAGGTGTTTAGTCCCAGGATCCTTAGTTTAGTGATGAGATTTGAGGGCCCTATGGTGTTGAACGCTGAACTGTAGTCAATTAATAGCATTCTCACGTAGGTGTTCCTCTTGTCCAGGAGGGAAAGGGCAGTGTGGAGTGCAATAGAGATTGCATAATCTGTGGATCTGTTGGGGCAGTATGCACATTGGAGTGGGTCTAGGGTTTCTGGGATAATGGTGTTAATTAATCTCCCAATGTCTGGTGGAAAACAGAATTTACCAGGTTTTCCTTTAGGATTTTGCCTGTGCTTAACTCATTTCATATTTGTTTTAATCTTGAAACTCCCCAGTCCTTAATGATTACAAGCATACCCATAACATGATGCAGCCACCACTAAGCTTGAAAACATGGAGAGCGGTACTCAGTAATTTGTTGTAATGGATTTGCCCCAAACATAAGACTTTGTATTCAGGACAAAAAGTTAATTGCTTTTCCACATTTTTTGCTGTATTACTTTAGTGTCTTGTTGCAAATAGGATGCATGTTTTGGAATATTTTTTATTCTGTACAGGTTTCCCTCTTTTCACTCTGTAGGTTAGTATTGTGGAGTAACTACAATGTTGTTGATCCATCCTCAGTTTTCTCCTATCATAGCCATTAAACTCTGTAACTGTTTTAAAGTCATCATTGGCCTCATGGTGAAATCCCTGATCGGTTTCCTTCCTTTCCGGCAACTGAGTTAGGAAGGACGCCTGTATCTTTATAGACTGGGTGTATTGATACACCATCCAAAGTGTAATTAATAACTTCACTCAAAGGGATGCTCAAAAGGTATATTCAATGTCTGCTTTTTTTACCCATCTACCAATAGGTGCCCTTCTTTGCAAGGTATTGGAAAACCTCCCTGGTCTTTGTGGTTGGATCTGTGTTTGAAATTCACTGCTGGACTGAGGGACCTTACAGATAATTGTATGTGTGGGGAACGGAGATGAAGTAGTCATTAAAAAATTGCACACAGAGTGAGTCCACGCAAATTATTATGCAACTTTTTAAGCAAATGTTTACTCCTGAATTTATTTAGGCTTGCCATAACAAAGGGATTGAATGCTTATTGACTGAATACACTTCAGCTTTTCGTTTTTAATTAATTTGTAAAAATGTTGGAAAACATAATTGCACTTTGACATTATGGGGTATTGTGTGTAGGCCAGTGACAAGAAAAATCACTATTTAATTCATTTTAAATTCAGGCTGTAACACAACAAAATGTGGAAAAAGTCAATAGGGGTGAATACTTTCTGAAGGCACTGTAAATCATATGCAGAGACATGATCTACAGTAAACCTGCCTGAGATGGTGCATGAGCATGCATGAGATGCAAATTAAGAGTTTCATTCCAAAACGCTATATATCCATTTTCAGAAATGTTGGTAAATTAGCTTTTATTGTTATTTCACTATCTAATCATGGCAAAGGGTTGTTCAATGACAGACATGCATTTGTTTAAAATTATAATATGATGGAGATTAGCATTTTGCAAAACATTCTATGAATAAAAAATCTGAGAACAGTAATATTTTACATACATGAAGTAACCATAAGCAATAATTTCTGATGAAAAAACACAACAGTGAAAAATTGGTGGATATAACTCTTCAAATATTGAACAGGATATGATATGAATGTGTGTCTTAGTGGAGCTGTGTGTCAACAAGACAATCTATGTGTCAACAAAATACATAATCGATGTGTCATCAACGTAATCAATACGTTGTCATAATCACCCATGCATTTACATTGTGTGTTTGTGAGACAGCTGGGCCCAGCTACACAGACAAGCAATGGAATATCACCTTTTATTAAATAATTGTTTAATATACTGTAACATTACCAATCATTATCAAGTGAATTAACATTTAAAAAAAACATGCATTACCACTGAGAGAAAATTCTATGACTACACATTTTCTTTCCTTATCCACCCATCTATTTTTCAAAGGACTCCATATTCTAGAGAGGCAGAGAGATGAGCCAGTAAAGGTCAGCGGCTCATTTGAAGTCTTCAGCTCCGTGAAATCAGGAGCACTTAGAGCCCAGCCTGGTGTTAATGGAGCATCATGGGAGCAGATATCTGTCCGCTACTGCTCCAGTCATTAACACTGATTAATTTGACCAGCCAGTAAACACTGTCACATCTTAGATCACACACACACAGTCATCCCCCCACCTCCCCCCCACACACACAGAAATTACACACATACACCATCGGCAATCCGTGCCCATCTCCCGGCCTCAGCATGCTGTTTCTAATAAAGCTGATATTGTGGTGTCCCAGTCAGCCCCAGTAATGTATGCAAAGGTCATGAGGAGGAGACAGCGGGGATAAGCCAAAGCAAGTGTCCTGAAGGCTGAGGCTGACGGGGTCTTTGCATTTTCCTTACTGACCTATTCAATCAATCAGTGATACTACATAAAACAAATATAATAAATAATGTCATTGCACTAGCATAATTGAATGACGTGCTGGTGTAAGATTCCAGCTGGTTGGTAAGTTGTAAAATAGTTGTAATAGCTTGTGACTAGGCTATATAAAGATTTGACAAAAAAATACAAAAATACAAAAATTATGATTGTCACATACACCGGATAGGTGCAGTGAAATGTGTTGTTTTACAGGTTCAGCCATAGTAGTACAGCGCCCCTGGAGCAAATTAGGGTTAAGTGCCTTGCTCAAGGGCACATCGGCAGATTTTTCACCATGTCTGCTCAGGTAGTCGAACCAGCAAATCTTCGGTTACTGGCCCAACACTTTAACCACTAGGCTACCTGCCAACCTTCAAGACTGTAATGAATACTCAGGGAGAAAAAGGTGTAGATTCACGCGCAGAGCGCGGCAGGTGTTTATTACGCATTCGCAGAAGGCAGGAATCGTGGTCACAGGCAGGCAATGGTCATACACAGGTAGGCAAGCAGGCAGGTGAAACAAAACTAGGACTGAAGGCTAAAACTGGTCTCACAAACGAGCTAGGAAAAGATTAGTAGAGTCAAAACAAACAATACCTCACAAGGCACAAACAGAAATAACTGAACTAAATAAGGAGCTGATGAGACCAGGTGAGTAACTAACACAGGTGAAATCAATGAACAAAAATGAAAGACAGGGCTACGTTCAACAACACAAGGTGAACTAAGAAAACAAATACAGAACCTTGCGGATTGAGACTGGAGGATGAAGAGGACTGTATGTGACCGGTTTTAACAGAGACACATGGAAGGACGAGGAGATTTTATACTGACGGGGTAACTGGAGGCGGTACGTGACAGGGTTGATGCGATGGGTTATCTTGAAGGGACCAATGAAGCGAGGACAGAACATTTTGCAGGGGAGGCGGAGCCGGATGTCTCTGGTAGAGAGCCACACACGCTGTCCGGGGTGAAAGAGTGGCGTAGGTCGGCGGCGTAGGTCGGCAGCGTCTGTCGGCAAAGCGTTTCTGGGTATTAGAGGCTTCCTGCAGATGCCGGTCTCCCATGCCCGCTCACTATGCCGAAACCAGTCGTCGACAGCTGGGACAGTACCAGGCTCCGGCTCCCAGGAAAACATGGGGGGTTGGTAACCAAGGACACACTGAAACGGAGTAAGGCGGAGGGATGAATGGTTCAGGCGTTCCGTCTGCCCGTTGGTCTGGGGATGGTACCTGGAGGAGAGGCTGAGGGCGACCCCCAGTCGGTCACAGAAGGCTCGCCACACCCGGGAGACAAACTGGGGCCCGCGGTCAGAGACGATGTCCTCCGGAATCTCATACAGACGGAACACCTGTTGGAACATACACTCAGCCAACTCAATGGCGTTAGGTAAATGAGGAAGAGGAACCAGACTACACATTTTTGAAAAATGGTCTACTATGACAAGGATGGTGGTGTTCCCAGAGGATTCAGGAAGGTCTGTGATGAAGTCAATAGCTATGTGGGACCAGGGTCTGTGAGGGATTGGCAAAGGTTGAAACTTACCGGAAGGGAGATGACGAGGGCTTTTGGTTTGGGGGCGCAGACTGGACAGGAGAGTATGTAATCCCTGATGTCGGATGCCAGTGAGGACCACCAGAATTTACGGGCTAGAAGTTCGGTTCGTGTAATGCCCGGATGTCCTGACCCCAAAGACGTGTGACACCATTACATCAGTTGGGGTCTAACAGCTGCTGGTACGTAACTCTTCCCAGCTGGTGTCTCAGGAGGAGCCGGGTCTGAGGTTAGGGCTTCTTGTATGGCAGAGTGAACCTCCCACTGTACCGGTCCCATACTGCAAGAGGAAGGAAGAATGGGTGTAGGGTCTGAGTTACTGGTCAGAAGGTCAAACTGGCGGGAGAGAGCATCAGCTTTTACGTTTTTCTTTCCAGGGATGTAAATAACATGAAAATGGAAGCATGTGAAGAAGAGAGCCCAGCGAGTTTAACCTCTTGGCCACTCTGATATATTCCAGATTACGATGATCTGTTAGGACGAGAAAGGGATGTTGTGCGCCCTCCAACCAGTGGCTCCACTCCTCGAGGGCCAGCTCGTAATTCCTCTCAGCGGGGGATAACTTCCTGGAGAAGAAGGCACAAGGATGTGATTTTGGAGGTGTTCCCACCCGCTGAGAGAGTATGGCTCCTACTCCTACTTCGGAGGCATCCACCTCCAGGGTGAAAGGAAGGGTCGGATCAGGTTGGCGAAGGACAGGAGCTGAGGTGAAGAGACGTTACAAGGTGTTGAAAGCAGTCAATGCGGGATCAGTCCATTGAAGGGTCCGGGTCTTTTGGCTGGTAAGGGCAGTGAGGGGAGCGGCAGTAGAACTGAAGTTCTGAATGAACCGGCGATAGAAGTTGGAAAACCCAATGAAACGTTGGAGTTCCTTACCTGTGGTGGGTTTGGGCCAGTTACTGACGGCGGTGACTTTGTTCTCATCCATGCTGACCCCTCCAGGTGTCAGTACCAAATCGAGGAAGTTTACTGAGGTTACATGGAAGGTGCTCTTTTCAGTCTTCACATAAATGTTATGGTCAAGGCGCCGTTGAAGAACCCTTTGTACATACTGTATGTGTTCCTTCAGGGAGTGGGAGTAAATGAGGATGTCATCAATGTAGACGATGAAAAAGCGGTTGATCAGATCTTGGAAAACCTCATTCATAAAGGATTGGAAGACGGCGGGGGCGTTAGTAAGGCCGTAGGGCATGACCAGGTATTCATAGTGCCCTCATGCGGTGATAAAGGCCATCTTCCATTCGTCACCTTCACGTATATGGATAAGGTAATATGCACTCCGCAGGTCGAGTTTTGTATAGATGTTGGCGTGGCCCACATGTTCAAGGGTCACTGGGATCAGAGGAAGAGGGAAAAGGTTCTTGACCGTAACGTCATTCAGGGAACGGTAATCAATACATGGACGAAGACCACCGTCCTTTTTTCCAACGAAGAAGAAGCTGGACGCAGCCGGGGAAGAAGAAGGATGAATGAAACCGTTTGAGTGCTTTATCAATGTAGTTCTCCATTGCCTAATTTTCTGGGATAGATAGGGTTTATCACAGTCCTTCGGTGGGGACACTCCAGGGAGTAAGTCAATAGCACAGTCCCCTGGGCGATGTGGTGGCAGAGTGGAGGCCTTGATTTTGCTGAAGACATTGCTGTACTGGGCGTATTCAGATGGTATGGTGGGTGGCACTGCAGAGGCAGAGTCCTCAATGGTGGTGGCTCTGCAGGGTAGGCTGAGACAACTGGTGAAGCAGGTAGAAGACCAGGACAGTAGTTCACCTTGTCACTACGAGATGGCAGGGTTGTGACGACAAAGCCAGGGGTGTCCGAGGCTGAGTGGCTGTTTGGAGGATGAGAGTTCCATGAGTTGAATGGTTTCGGTGTGGAAGACTCCAATCTGGAGGGTAACGTTCTGTGTCAGGTGCGTAATGAAGCCCATGCCCAATGGCTGCCCGTCCAGGGTGTTAATCCTTAAGGGAGGGGTGACAGGTGTAAGATCAATGTTCAAGCTCTTGTACTAGCTGGTGATCGATAAAACTACCTGCTGCTCCCGAATCTATCAAGCCCTCTACGTACTTCATAACCCCCTTCACGGTTATCAATACTGGGATGGAGAATTGCTTCTGGGAGATATTTAGAAATACTGACCCACCTACCTGCATGGCAGCAGAGGGACCCTTCTCATCTCTCCGTGGGGGGCGAACTGGGCAATGGCTGAGTAGATGATATTTCCCTCCACAGTATAGGCAGAGCCCTTCTTGGATCCGCCTTTGACGTTCGATACACGGAAGAGGAGTATGACCCAACTGCATGGGCTCTGGAAGACTCGGAAGGGATGACGGAATCATGGAAAGAGAAGGTTTCGGGTTCCTGGGTGGCAGAGTTCTTCGGCGGTCGGCGATGAGGTGGTCGATGGAGATGGACATACGAATGTATTGATTTAAATCCTGAAGGTCCCCTCTACAGGCCAGCTCCGCCTGAAGTTCCCTGTTGAGCCCTCTTCGGTAGACGGTAAGTAAAGCAGCCTCACTCCATCCACTCCCTGCAGCCATGGTGCGGAACTCGAGGGCATACTCGGCAGCTGAATTGCGTCCTTGTTGAAGGTCTATGAGGAGGTCCCCTATAGGACGACCGGAAGGAGAGTGATCGAATACCTCTTTGAAGAGGGTGTGGAAATGGGTCTTGGATCCGAGTTCTGTGCTGTTGGCAGTCCATATGGCGGTGGCCCAATCCAGGGCTTTGCCTGTGAGTAGAGACACAACGAAATCCACCCTGCTCTTGTCGGTGGCGAAGTTAGTGGGGTTGTGCTCAATGTATTTGCTGCATTGCATCAGAAATCCCTGACATTTCCCAGGTGAACCATCATATTTTCCAGGCATGGATATGAATGAAGGAGGGCTATGGGTTACGATACCTGGCATCGGAGGAGGAGGGATAGGCTGGCGGAGAAGATGGCAGATTACCTCCATACGCTCCTCTTGCCGGGTTACGCGCCACTGTAGCTCCACTGAATCCATTCAGTTTTTGGTGAGGTATTCTGTAATGAATACTCAGGGAGAAAAAGGTGTAGATTCATGTGCAGAGTGCGGCAGGTGTTTATTACGCCTTCGCAGAAGGCAGGAATCGTGGTCACAGGCAGGCAATGGTCATACACAGGTAGGCAAACAGGCAGGTGAAAACAAAATTAGGACTGAAGGCTAAAACTGGTTCTCACAAACGAGCTAGGAAAAGGCTTAGTAGAGTCAAAACGAACAATACCTCACAAGGCACAAACAGAAATAACTGAACTAAATAAGGAGCTGATGAGACCAGGTGAGTAACTAACACAGGTGAAATCAATGAACAAAAATGAAAGACAGGGCTACGTTCAACAACACAAAGAAACAGGGCTACGTACAAGAACACAAGGTGAACTAAGAAAACGAATACAGAACCTTACAAAGACTAGACTGTGGAGTGTGTGAACGTGACAGTAGACTGTAAAGGTCTAGTTTTAAGACTTGCTTGTCTGAGCATGAAAGTGTGGTTGTGACCCGGTTCTTCCTACTTCTGCCTGGCTGGCTGGCAGTGACAGATGTATCCGGAGCTGGGTTCTGCCCTGCAGCACTGACGGAAATGGGACAGCAGAGGGAGGACAGAGAACCAGAGCATGAGAGGAAGCAGTGGCACAGCTCGTCCGGGTCCAGGCAGGGGACGTCAGCCAAGGGTACGGCACTGTGAAACACACCAGCCGGGGCCACAAGCACCAGTCACTTCCAGACAGAAAGACACATAAGAACTCACAACTGAACCTGTGAGTTTAGTAAGAGCTTTCTTTCTTCCCTTTTCTGATTGCCCTTTTGTATCTGCCAAGGGCATACATCTCCATACCTTGGTGCTACCTTAAGGATACAGCTGTTTAGATGGAGAGCATTCAAGAACCAGTTGACCTTAAAACCACTGTAATTATACATCATTTTGTTAACAAGGCTTCATGGGGGTTGTTAGAAGTGATTATATATTGTACTGTGCCCATCAATGTATCCAACACTGGGTGCCTTTATGTCACATCATACACAATACCACAGCATTAGGGTAAAGGTAATCTCGGTTAACCCAGAACTAAGATCTGGCGTATTTGGTCAGATATGTTTACGTAGTCTGTCCATGAGAGATTAGGATAAAGGCAACTACAATTGTGACTATTTTGTTGCAAGGGTACATGGGGAAATGGAGATCAGGTCTGAAATAGGACTGAAAGTGGCTGGGTAATTCTAAAGCCTCTCATAGAGGACACTTGAGTGTGTCCTCTTGAAAATAAGAGTCCTGAGGTAGCGGTTAACTTGAGACCACGTAGCCAATCAGAGTGTGAGGACCAGACTTCAATTCAACTTCAATTAGAATACGCAGCAGACAGACAGCAGCGCAGCCCTACGCCAAGAAATAATTACGTTGAGCCCAAATTGGAAAAAGGAAACGACCTTAAAGGCCTGCTGTGTGTGTGTGTGTGTGTGTGTGGATACGTGCACTGTGATATTGAGTGTGTATGTGACGTGTACATGTTCAGCCATGGAGCGGGCACTACATGATTGGTATTCCTATAATGACTCCCTAACCATCCCTCTGCAAACACTTATCTGCCTGCATGGACACACACATATGCACATATGTGGAGACACAGGCAGGCATATAGACACCATCTGCATGCACATGCACACACATAGACAATGACACAGGGACACACATACCTGAACCTCATCACCCCTCACCCACAAGCCATCTTTTTAACAGACTGATATAGTTCACTTTCAGATGCACTCAATGCAAACTAGTCAATCAATACATCAAATCTAATTTATAATGTCCTTTTCACATCAGCAGTTGTCACAAAGTGCTATACAGATACCCAGCCTAAAACCCCACAGAGCAAGCAATGCAGATGTAGAAGCACAGGGGCTAGGAAAAAATCCCTAGAAGGCAGGAACCTAGGAAGAAACCTAGAGAGGAACCAGGCACCGAGGGGTGGCCAGTCCTCTTCTGGCTGTACCAGGTGGAGATTTAAAAGGCCATTAAGGCCAGTTTCAAGACGATGGTCCCACAGGATAATAACACTCATTTACCTGTACATGTCAATCATATAAGCTCAATGCTATCTCTTCCTCTTCATATTCATAGTTGAAAGCAATCAAAGTCAGTGGGGAGACTTCTGCCTCTGTTGAGATGATGCTAGAGGAATAACTGCACCATGCCTGTCTTCAAAAAGACAGAGTCAAACTCCAGAAACATGTGACTGCGTAAACCCTTCAGCCTTCATGGAGCTGTGGCACAAAGTAGGTCTGATTTAATGACATCTTAACTCACTCTGGGTCCTCATTCCATGATTCTAAAGAGGATGTTGATCTTGAGGATGTCTTAGAAAAGTAACACCAAGGACAACCTGAAAATGTTTCTTTACCTAACAGTAAAGAAGGTCCAGAGCGCAGAAAATCCATGTAGTAAAAGACCAGAAAAGGGCCATTGACACACCACAGGGCAAGCTCTGATAGGCCCTTGTGACAAAGCCAAGCCAGTCCAGAGTATATAATGCAATATGCTATAAGGCTACATGCTGTAATCACATTACAACTACACACTGCAATTTATTGATGCATGGCGACATTGGGTAAATGGGTAGCTCAACTTGAAGGTAGACTTATTGATGCTAGGTGCTAATTGTGTTGTTGTTTGGACAAATCTGCAATACTTGTATACCACTCACCGATTTTGAGATCAAACTTACAGTATTTTAGGCTACATAGAAATAACACGAAGTAGCATATTTAACATGGTACATGGAAATAGGCTTTCCAGCTCTTTCCGAAACATGAGAAAGGTACCAACACTTCTGTGTAGATGAAGCCGATCTGTATACTGGACGTTATAATTAATCACATCCATTGATCATGCAATGGGGTCTCCCCGAGTTCAGGTTCTGGTTGTTTCCATGGTTTTCCGGAGCACTCAATATTGAGTGACTGACATGTATGACTAGAGAATGTGTGACAAGCATAAACAAGCTTTAATGAACTATTCAATAAAAGTATAACACTAAACAAATCCACTATGTCTAGATCTATATATTTCTGAAAGGGAGTAGGCCCAATTGTGTTACAAATCACATGTTTAATGGTAGTCTTTTTTTTTTCAGTCCTGGCTATGAAGACATGTAATAACCGTTCAACAGCAGGGAGTGTCCACTGAAAATGACTTTTTCAGAAATTATAGGCCCAACATGGATTTTATTAATTAATATGACTGGCACAATTACAGACCTAATCCATCAATACAACCACTGTGATAAAAGTGCCTGCAGTAGAATGATTCCCTGACAGAGTGGAGAGAAATAACAGTGCACTATTCAAAAGCCTTTCAACAAGGCTGGTAGCCTAACGGTTAAGAGCGTTGGGCCTGTAACCGAAAGGTCGCTATTTAGAATCCCTGAGCCAACTAGGTGAAAAATATGCCGATGTGCCCTTGAGCAAGGCACTTAACCCTGATTGCTCCTGTATGTCGCCCTGGATAAGAGTGTCTGCTAAATGACTAAATGTAAATGTAACAAAAGTAGATGGTGATGGATTGGTGTCACAATCTCACCAGCACTGTAGGCCTCAACCAGTTTGATTGTGCTCTGTGACCTGAGGAGGACTTTGCATTGACTAGCTATGAACAGTAGCTTTGCAGACAGCCTTGTAGTTTCAAGCATGACTGAGGACAACTACAGGCCAGGTCTTATCATGTTTGTGTTTGGGTTGTTACTGTGGTTTGCTGGCACCACCTTGGCTTGCTATCGCTGAACCACAACAAAGATCAGGAACTGAGTCACAAAGCATTCCCAAACAGCACTGTTCTCAATCGCAGCACAGTTGGCCGAGCAACCAGCTCCCCATCTGCACTGCCAGCTCATGCTCTCATAAAAATACTATATTTTCATACAGAACCAAGAACTATACATTTCACACATCCCCCAGCCTCAACCCCTCTTTAGAGTGTGCGTTTACAGGGGGCACTGCTGCCATAGTTGCAGGTATCCAAGGGAGACAAGATCTTTTAAGGGCCTTTTTGGCTCTTGAATAACTATTGACGTGAGAAACTGTGGGCCAGCTCCATGCTTTCAAATCATCATGGTTGCTGACTCAAAAAGCAAGGAGCTGTCCACTGAAATAGCTGTTTTGACATAGGTAGACGTGATGAGAGATCTAAGGAAAGTCATAGTACAAATAGTACAATCTCTGTGAATAGAATTCTTGCAATGACTCTCTCGGGTTATAGGCTCTCTGGACAGGCCAGGCTGCCCATTACGTCTGCACAGTGATGGCTCACATGGCCACTGGGCAGAGCAACATTGGAGTGATGCCATGCATCAATTTACTGCTTTAATTAAGCAATTCATTGAGATCCACAGATTAAATAAAATGTGGATGTGATTTTGATGACTGGCAAAGTTGATTGGCTATGTGAACCTTAGTCACTTAGCAACCACTCCGTACTCTACCCTACACCTTAGAGACTGCTGCCCTATGTACATAGAGTAATTGAACACTTGTTACTTTCATAATGTTTACATACTGTTGATCCACTTTATATGTATATACTGTATTCTAGTCATGGATCCTCCTATATAACTACTGCTGTACACACCTTTTCTATTCATACTGTCTAAACACACCATTATATATATAGGCCTATATTTAAATTCTGGACACTGACATTGCTCATTCTGATATTTCTTAATTTCTTTCTTTTTACTTTTTGGATTATGTGTGTATTGTTTTGTATTGCTTGGTATTACTGCACTGTTGGAGCTAGAAGCATTTAGCTGTACCTGCGATAATATCTGCAAATCTGTTTATGCCACCAATACATTTTTATTTGAAATTATACATATTTGTGCGCATTTTGTGGGCATTTTATTCACATACTTGTTGGTTGTTTTGACTGTAGGTAAAGAGATACATTCCAAGTAACACTCACCTTATAATGTCATCGTTGTGGCCCAGGTAAAACTTCTGAGTGTGTTCTCTGGTATTGTAAACCACGCCGACTCCAGCCACGAAATAGACCACTTCTTTTCCAGCGGTGTAGTACAGGTTGTTTCGGCATTGATGCCCCCTGTACCCGTAGATCCATTCTAATCTCAGTTGGCAACGCGGAGCAGTCCGATCCGCCATTATATTTGACAATTTGTTTGTTTTGTAAATTATTCCACTCTAAAGTAGGCTACACGACAACACGGACCGCAGACATGCATGTGCAAAGTTTATGGAAAACTCACTGATACAACTTGAAAAATCATAACAAATGACATTTTCCTATAGCCTAGGCTATCGATCGTAAAATTAATTCCCGCATTCTACAGCAGATGTGCACATTGCGTTTTGAAGAAACACCAGCAAGGACACGACACCATACACCTCAGATCCATTCATAATTGTTGCTTTTAAAAACTGTGTTGCCTGAGTGGTTACTATATTAGGCTACTCTTAGAGAGTGTGAATTAATGCATTATTTTCATTTAAAAAAAATCATTTTTCACTCTTACCATTATGTCTTACTAAAGTTAATTTACTCCACTATTTTCTATCCATTTAAAATGGGTTCCTTTTTAAATGACAACGAAAACAGAAGAACTGACCAAATAAACAAACAGCAAATGAACACAACTGCTAGAGGATTCGGCTGCTGCTGAAATATAATCCGGACACTAATCCTCAACCATAACACCAGCCATAGTTACTACGGTTTTATACAATTCCCAAGACAATAACTAACAACTATACGTTTCAATCAAAGAAACACGTAGAAAATAGGCCGAACATGCACTCTGTCCGACTCAATCCAAGAGTCGAAAAATTGTGAGGAATTACGGATTTTCACTGCAAATCACTCCGACAGAGTGCAACCTGTCTGACAGTCACAGCTGGTTCGCCTCTGTCAGAGTGAAGACGCCCTAAAATGCAAATTATATGATAACTTCCGTGCAGGGGCAAACAATCTATGGGTTTCAAAACACAGTCGCTCACCGCACGACTCCGTGGCATCTCCCGCATCTCAAATGAATTGATGAAAGTAGGGATTCCGGGCAGCAAGCGACAGAAGCCTACTACTCATATGGGCGAATGACAGGCGATGCCTATGATAAACCAGGGTGGAAAACTGAGCAGAGGTCTAGCACTGTGTTATTCATTGCATATTAATATGAATGTAGTAACGTATTGGAGACTTTCCCCATCAAGTATTTTAGCGTAATAGTTTTCAGAATAGCCCCTCTCTAGTTTCGAAGAGCTATAACCACGTCGCCCTGCGAGCCACCCCTGCCCTGCCGCCGACGTTAAGCGGCCAGCTGCACAGGTTTATGGGTATTGATGTCTTTATGGCTGTGGCATCCCCTCTCTCATTGGTCCAAAACATTGAAAACTACAACTACCAGTCAGCAGTGCTGAAGCGCTGTCCAAGGTTCTGAAGACCTAAAGATGAAAAAAGACATTGGTATGAAAACAGAATGGCAGCTTCTGCGATCAGCAATAATTGAGTAAATTCATATGAGAGAAATGTACTTTGATTTAATCATGAAAATTGTAGGCCCTAATTAAAATAAACACATTACACCAAATAGGAACTGACTGAATTGAATAGCAACTGATAAATGTTTTTTGTAACAAGTTGGATGGTAGATGATATTGTAGTTCAGTCGCGAATAGGAAACTAAATTGAATGTAATAATTTAGCCTGAATAATATTAATATTAGGATTTATCAAATTGGAGAGAGTTGAACCAAAGGGAGTCTTCAACTCACATGTGATACTTCAGATCATACACAGATGCATTCTAGAACTGAATATCTCTTGGATCCATGGATCTCAAATCTGAACACCAGTAGCTATGCTACATTTTCTGTAAAAGGTTTAACAACCATAACCCTTACTTATTATTAATATGTCCCTCTTTGACTGATCCCTTACTGCCATTATCCTTACATGTTTCTGTATGGAATAAGAGGTATTCTAAATGGAAACTGGACTCTTGGAACGGATGTTATGTAGAACGTTCACAAAGGCTAAATGCTAAGTAGAGCATGCCATTGCCAGCCCCTTAGACAGCACTGTGAGAGGAGTTGGCTGAATTAATATTCTTCTAGCAATTTAACAGTCATGTTCACAAAGACCTTGACTGACAACTTCCATGGGACTCTAGCAGCCTACCGATTCCTCAACACAGCAACTGCTCGAGGTTTGTATCACTGCTCCACCTAACCCAGCCTGTAGTCAGATCTGCTTGTGCTTAGCCAACTCCTCTGACATTTGTTGCCATGCACACCATAAAGCATGGATGGTATGAGAATGAATGATAGAGGCATTGGATAAAGCACAAACAGAACTGGCTATACCCTATATACAGTCAGGTCCATTATTGGCACCCTTGATAAAGATGAGCAGAAAATACTATAAAATAAATACAATACAAATACTGAGCTATACTGTTTGCAAAAAAATAGAAAATTATTTTATACTAATACAATTACTATTATTTATTTTATACAGTATTTTTTTCTCAGCTTTATCAAGGGTGGCAATAATTTGACCTGACTGTATACCATGCTATGCCCCACCCAGCCTAACCATAGCAACAGAATAAGCTTCTATATCACTGCCAAGCCTAATCTAATGATGACAACTGTTCATGTTGTCATGGTGCTGGGAGGGAGACAAAGCACTTGTTATACTTCCTTATGGTTTATAATTTGGTTGATGGCCCAATGTTACTTTGTTATAATATACTGCTCAAAAAAATAAAGGGAACACTTAAACAACACAATGTAACTCCAAGTCAATCACACTTCTGTGAAATCAAACTGTCCACTTAGGAAACAACACTGATTGACAATACATTTCACATGCTGTTGTGCAAATGGAATAGACAACAGGTGGAAATTATAGGCAATTAGCAAGACACCCCCAATAAAGGAATGGTTCTGCAGGTGGTGACCACAGACCACTTCTCAGTTCCTATGCTTCCTGGCTGATGTTTTGGTCATTTTTGAATGCTGGCGGTGCTTTCACTCTAGTGGTAGCATGAGACGGAGTCTACAACCCATACAAGTGGCTCAGGTAGTGCAGCTCATCCAGGATGGCACATCAATGCAAGCTGTGGCAAGAAGGTTTGCTGTGTCTGTCAGTGTAGTGTCCAGAGCATGGAGGCGCTACCAGGAGACAGGCCAGTACATCAGGAGACGTGGAGGAGGCCATAGGAGGGCAACAACCCAGCAGCAGGACCGCTACCTCCGCCTTTGTGCAAGGAGGAGCAGGAGGAGCACTGCCAGAGCCCTGCAAAATGACCTCCAGCAGGCCACAAATGTGCATGTGTCTGCTCAAACGGTCAGAAACAGACTCCATGAGGGTGGTATGAGGGCCCGACGTCCACAGGTGGGGGTTGTGCGTACAGCCCAACACCGTGCAGGACGTTTGGCATTTGCCAGAGAACACCAATATTGGCAAATTCGCCACTGGCGCCCTGTGCTCTTCACAGATGAAATCAGGTTCACACTGAGCACACGTGACAGACGTGACAGAGTCTGGAGATGCCGTGGAGAACGTTCTGCTGCCTGCAACATCCTCCAGCATGACCGGTTTGGCGGTGGGTCAGTCATGGTGTGGGGTGGCATTTCTTTGGGGGGCTGCACAGCCCTCCATGTGCTCGCCAGAGGTAGCCTGACTGCCATTAGGTACCGAGATGAGATCCTCAGACCCCTTGTGAGACCATATGCTGGTGCGGTTGGCCCTGGGTCCTCCTAATGCAAGACAATGCTAGACCTCAGGTGGCTGGAGTGTGTCAGCAGTTCCTGCAAGAGGAAGGCATTGATGCTATGGACTGGCCCGCCCGTTCCCCAGACCTGAATCCAATTGAGCACATCTGGGACATCATGTCTCGCTCCATCCACCAACGCCACGTTGCACCACAGACTGTCCAGGAGTTGGCGGATGCTTTAGTCCAGGTCTGGGAGGAGATCCCTCAGGAGACCATCCGCCACTTCATCAGGAGCATGCCCAGGCGTTGTAGGGAGGTCATACAGGCACGTGGAGGCCACACACACTACTGAGCCTCATTTTGACTTGTTTTAAGGACATTACATCAAAGTTGGATCAGCCTGTAGTGTGGTTTACCACTTTAATTTTGAGGGTGACTCCAAATCCAGACCTCCATGGGTTGATACATTTGATTTCCATTGATAATTTTTGGTGATTTTGTTGTCAGCACATTCAACTATGTAAAGAAAAAAGTATTTAATACGATTATTTCATTCATTCAGATCTAGGATGTGTTATTTTAGTGTTCCCTTTATTTTTTTGAGCAGTGTACATAATCCCCTCCATCACTCCTCTAACCAGGCATGCTGGGTGAAAGTCTGTAAAAAGAAGAGATATTCTATGTTTGTGATTTATTTCATGCATTGTTTGTGTGCAATCAAGTATCTAGTTTTAAGTACTAGACAAGACTACTGTCTTGAATCCTGCCTCATATTCCTTGCGACTAGTAAAATAAAGAAATACTACAGATGCACAAATAATTTCAAGTCACTGTGTAAATTGATGCAGTGGATAACTAGTTTCAAACTGTATTGATTTGTTGAGCACATGAATTCAAATGTGTATTCTTGCAGTGCAAGAAGAAGGAGGTTTTTGATTGACCAGAGAAACCTGGTTGTCAGGGTTGATAGAATAGGCCTATCTACACTCAGTGTACAAAACATTAGGAACACCTTCCTAATATTGCGTTGCACCCCCTTTTGCCCTCAGAACAGCCTCAATTCATCGGGGCATGGACTTTACAAGGTGTTGAAAGTGTTCCGCAGGGATGCTGGCACATGTTGACTCCATTGCGTCCCACTGTTGTGTCAAGTTGGCTGGATGTCCTTTGGGTGGTGGACCATTCTTGATACACATGGGAAACTGTTGAGTGTGAAAAACCCAGCAGCGTTCCAGTTCTTGACACACTCAAACCGGTGTGCCTGGCACCTACTACCATATCCTGTTCAAAGGCACTACAATCTTTTGTCTTGCACATTGTTATGATGAGTTTCTCGGGTATCAAGTAATTAAGGATGCAATAATATACTTAGACAGCTATGTGGAAAGTTAATACAAATGTTTAATAGTCGGTACCGGGTTCGTTCTAACAAACAGCACGTGCTTCGCCTCTTGCTATTCCGAACTACTAAACAAAGAAAATATCTCAGCTTATATACCTTCTGTTACACGTTTCTTCAACAACATCTGGCAACCCTCAATGGGCACTCCCTTCTTTGATGTTATTACCTTGTACCCCAAGTCAGTATATCATTCTAAGATAAACCTCAGGAATCTCCCTGGACATAATGGAATCCTTGGTATTCGCTTATCTACTAAATTTAACCTGGTTCACAAAACACTATGAAATGACATCATAACACCCATTCACCCTATGAATGGCATACATACACAATCCATATCTCAATTGTCTCAAGGCTTAAAATCCTTCTTTAACCTGTCTCCTCCCCTTCATCTACTCTGATTGAAGTGACATTAATAAAGGATCAAAGCTTTCACCTGGATTCACCTGGTCAGTGTCATGGAAAGAGCAGTTCCTAATGTTTTGTACACTCAGTGTATAAATGTCCTTGTGTGAAGGGCAGTCTGAGTTCTCAGTTTACTGGTACTCTTGCGCCCTCTTGTGATAGAAGTCCTGACGGAACATCACTGCTCTCTCCCAATATGAGAGACAGGGAGCATAGTCAGCCTCATAATCTCAATTAAATCTTAAAGGAAAAATATCCCACACTCCTGTCCCCTCAGGTTGGCTGTTAGATTACTCAGAGGTGATATAATACTCTGCCAATGGGGTTACTTTGATGTTTAGTAGGCAAATTATAACCTGTAAACACTTTGATGTTTAGTAGGCAAATTATAACCTATTAACACCTTGAGTCTTCTTTGTGGTCTCCTTTCCTTCATGGTCATTGCTAAGAAAGGATTTCTAAATTAAAGCAACGTGGTTAAACTATGGTCCGATTCTTTTACTCTCAGTTTTCATCATAAGGGATTCTCAAGCCTACAGCCTCACCCTAGATAGTATTGCAAGGTCAAACACGGTATTCTCACATTCGTTTAGAGGCGAAACTTCACCCTACTCAAATAAATTGACAAACCTAAATCCTGATGTTTCTGGAGGGGCTAGAAGTGGTAAATTCAATTGAAAACAGGCCACCTGTCATCCCTATAATCCATGTCATTTTGAGTTTCAACATCCCCGAAAATCAAACTGCACACTAAACCATTTTATCAAACTGTTGCCCATAGTGTTCTTACGTCTCATATTAGAACAAATTAAAATGACATCTTTGTATTCTTCCAGTGATAAATTGTTTAGCTTTCTGCTAATACACTTTCTGCAGAAATATTAAACACTGGCTGCAATATCTCCATAACGCCACTAAATGGTGCACACATTTAGGGGCAGTCAAAAATCTGTTGCCTAAATGAAATGAAAGTGAGAGGACTCTTAGGATTTATTCTGCCATTCATTTCAAGGTGTTATCTGATGTAATTCCTCATATTAACATGTTACATAGTAATAGCTTGGTGATAGTGTTGTGTTTTTTGTAATGAATGAGAACATAGTTTGCACTGAATGAGGCATGATTTCATTTCAAATTATTCAATCTTATAGAAGCAGTAATGACATGAGGAATTGTTGCTGATTTGGTGTGAAGCTGTAGTACTGAAAACACAGAGACAGATGTCATCTTAAAAGCAATTTAATAGCTTTGCACATATTTAACAGAGAGGGTAAAAGTCTACGGGTACAGTTCCATCTACCTGTGACAATAGTCCATATTAAACTACATACCTAGAGGCGCCGCTATGGCAAACAAGCTTTCTCCCATCGTGGCATTGTTGATTGTGCAATATGAAGAAATATTTCATTACAATAGTTACAGTGACAGAGAAATGCACACAATTTATCAAATAGCTAGAGAATGTAGCAAAATGATAATATGCAGTGCTATAGCCAACAAGCGAGCAACCATTTTTCCATAACATTACTTATTCCAGTATTTGCTTTAGAATCCACTTTTCCACTTAACAACAATGCTTAAAGTGTTTATTGTTTTGTACATCTAATTTGTATACTTTGTACTAAATATATTTTTAAACATACATTATAATGCAACTCAAATACACAGGAAAACAATGTTTAATAATGTTCTGAAAACGTAATCTGTGTTGTAGTTCGTCATGGATTTCCAACATTCTGACTGTTTTAGTAATTTATTGAGCCCAAGTACATATAGGATTACATCTTACAATATTATGATATTTTCATTCAAATGAATGTGTCATACTAAGTTTTAGGAAAAAAATTTGACTATATTGAAGCTTATAATGTTTGTAGGGCTTATTATTAGTAGATGAAATTAAACTGTTTTTAATAGTTTGTTATACACAAGTTATACACACAGATCAAAGCACCGCTGACTTTGCTTTTCAACCACAGAAGAATGCAAGTCATCTTTCAAAGATAGCCTCACAAAACTGAGGACAGACCCTAGAAACTACATAGAATTACAAAAATAACTGGGAGAAAACAACAAAAGCAACAAGTGAAAAGCAGAGATGAAAGCAGGAAAAGAGAGAAAAATACAAAGAAATCTTAACTGGAAACCCTATCCTGTTTTTCAGCAGCGAATTCTGGATGGTTTACAATGGCAGCTGCCCAAAGCATCATATCTACCTTAACATAATTGTTTGTCTTTTTTTTGTTCCTTATCTTAAAAAAGAAAACACCATACTGTAGTTGACCTCTGAGCCCGGCTGTTGGATTGTTAGGCACAGAGTGTGGAGTTTTGGCTCTGAGCTTGCATGCTGGAGTCTCGCTTTAAGAGGAAGAGGAGTAGGGGAGAGGGGAGAGAAGAGAGAAGAGGAATGGCAATGAAGGGGCTGGGGATCTACTTTTTTTTGCTGAAAAGGCTGAAGCGCTTTTCTTTGTCCTTCTCGCGCTTGCCTGGGCTGGATTCGGTTGCCAGGGCGACAGAGGCGGGCAAGGTCTGGGCTCGGCTGGAGGTGGGGGTGCTATGGCTGCTGGGGGTAATCTCTGTCTTATCAGAGGACGCAGCGCTGGAGATGGCCTGCATCCACGAGTTCATCTCCTCCTGCGGCCCAGACAGGATTTATCAGGACAGACACACATCACAGATCACACCAATACATCAACACTCAGACACCCACACTATCCTCATAGAGACAGGGAATAAAGACAGCAATGTATACACAACATTCACAGGAGGAGGATAGTCATTCATACACATTGTACAAATTAAAAGCTAAGCAAACTTACGTCATCTTTGGCTTGGAAGAGATACTCATTCCCATCTGTAGCTCTGTAAAAGGAAAATAAAAACTTGATGAATAAGTCAAGCTAACTACTGACTACTGTATGCAAGATCTCATCTTCTGATAATACAAGACACATAGGGAGCTATACAGTAAATAGTGCTCACTTCAGTTTGAACACATGCTTCTTCTTCTTGTAGTCGAGGGCGATCTCACATGCAGCATCCTTCAGGCTGATGGGGATCTCGTTGTGATAGGGGATGCCCTGGCTGGCACTCTTAATGTCTTTGTAGAAGCCCATTTCCCGGTTGTTGATCACACAATACACATTGTGCCAGGATCTGAAACCATAGGAAACACAGTTATCAGAGTCTGTTCAGCTAAATAATATGTTGGCATTATTGTAAGGGGGAAGTATTTGGCTGTATGCTCCAACTTGCGTGTGTACGTCCAGTAAGCATAATTGTACACTCCCCCATGCATTTATTTGGACAGAGAAGCTCAAACTTTTAATTTGGCTCTATACTCCAGCATTTTGGATTTGAGATCAAATGTTTATGAGGCGACAGTACAGAATGTCACCTTTTATTTAAGGGTGTTTTCATATCTGTTTTACCGTTTAGAAATGAAAGCGCTTTATGTATCTAGTCCCCTCATTTGAAGGTGTCATAAATATTTGGACAAATTCACTTATAGTGTATTACATTTTGTCAAAAGTTCTGTATTTTTACCCATATTCCTAGCACGCAATGACATCAAGCTTGTGACTCTACAAACTTGTTGGATGCATTTGCAGTTTGTTTTAGTTGTGTTTCAGATGTTTTGTATTGTGTAATTTTGGAGTCACTTATTGTAAATAAGAATAGAATATGTTTCTGAGCACTTCTACATTAATGTGGATCATACCATGGGGGCATGATCTTTGTGCATCTAACTTTCTCACTCATCATTATTCACGATTCAGTCATGATTATCCATAATCAGGGTAGCATCCATATTAATGTAGAATTGTTCAGAAACAAATACTATTCTTAATTTACAATAACATTTGCAATACATTATTTAAAAAAAATATATATTGGGCATGACATAATCCGAAATACAACCAAAACAAACTGCAAATGCATCCAACAAGTTTGTAGAGTCACAAGCTTGATGTAGTCATTGCGTGCTATGAATATGGAACCAAATACTAAACTTTTGACTAAATTAAATACACTATAAGTGAATTTGTCCAAATACTTATGACACCTTCAAATGGGGGGACTAGATACATAAAGTGCTTTCATTTCTAAACAGTAAAACAGATATGAAACTACCCTCAAATAAAAGGTGACATTCTGTACTGTCACCTCTCAAATCCAAAATGCTGGAGTATAGAGCCAAAGTAAAAGCTTTAGCTTCACTGTCCAAATAAATACTTAGGGGAGTGTATGTGAATGTGTGTACCTGCTGGATGCCTTCTTGTTGTGACCCTCCCACTCATGTTTGCGGTGCAGGATGCCTTCCAACTGGTTGGCTGGGGTTGAGTCCTGGGACTTGGCCGGGAGCGTGGCAGCCTGGCTGGGCTTGCCCTTGCGTGCTGCACTGGGCGACCCGCCTGGGCTGGATTCCGCCACCCCATTTACAATGTCACTTCCCTCCCCATTGTCCTGGGGTAGACAGAAACTGATATTAGAGAAAGCTGGAGCTAGGTAGACAAAACACACAGTGACGCTGGAAATCAGAGAGTTGGCTTCATGCATAGCAGGATCAGAGGCTGTGTAGAAACATTCAGTACTTTCCCTTTGATTGCTATATTCTATCACAATGGCTTTAAGACAAGTAAAGTTAAGTAGAAAGGGGTATGCTCTACGACTAGGCCTACTCTACTCTAAAATAAATATTTTCATCACAATGTCTCCTTATTTCAATTTGATGAGTAAAAGAGCCTCTGGGTAGGTATCTGTATAACTCAAAACAATGCCATTACACCAGCCTCGAATTGTTATATGTGCCTCTATTTCACAATTACAGCCCAGCTTCATCATAAGATTAATGGCACACACTGAACCCCAGAGCTGAGTCACCTCTCAGAGTGTTTGTGCTATTCTTACATCATGACTCTGAATCTCTGCGTCACCCACAGTGTCTCAGCTCTTAAGGTTCAGTGCCTGAGGTGAAACTCTGATCAAGTGTTTAACTCCATCTCAAAGTCTCTTTCTGACTCCAATCTCTAACCCACTCACTCGAGCTCTCCAACATTGAGTGCCCTCTATTTGGGACTCTTGATTTTTGTGACTTCTACACTAACTTGACCCTCTGATCAAAGACTCAATCCGACTGATTCATCATGAACCTCTCTGACTCCATCCAACTCTTGAGCCTAACAGCCTCTAAAATGACTCACTTACACTAACTCACAATTTGATTCACTCTCACTTACACTAACTAACTGTTTGACTAACTCAGATTCCGATCCATCTAAGAATGGTTAGAGGGAGACTTTGCAGATGCAGTAAAAATCTATTTATATAGATTCAGAGAAAAGCTGGGACCCTACTGATTTAAAAGAGCATTGGCTTATGGGATTGATTAAAGTGGGACCGGAGTCCAGCTGAGAACATTTCAAAGACATGCACAGATCAGAGGTTAGGACATGCACACCACATTGCCACACCCACACAAAATATTGTTGAAGAGAGAGAGAGAGAAAGCCAGCGAAAGGGAGATGAAGTCCAAAATCCCAAACAATTAACACAATTGCTTGAACTCATTATTCATTTTCGGTATCATTATTATAAAGTGAAGGGGAATGCAAAATTGGCCGGTTAAAAGATTTTACCACAACACACCCACAATTTGTCACTTATTACCCATTACTGAGCTCTTCAAGGCTGGACCAATCGTGGACACTTTTACTGAGAGCTTGCCAGGCGATGGACAAATCCTGGATGCTTATACAGAGATCCTGCCATTGGCTGGACCACCAATACTGGACACGAAGGACTGCATCGCTGCCAGGTTTTGCACCGTTCGATTGGTGCAACGTGGGACTGATATCTCTCACCACCTCTTTGTTAGATGTTTAGGGTAAAAGCTAAAATAGTTTTCGCTTGGGCTAACACTCATATAGGTAATTATATTATTAATGGTCACATCTGCACCCTAATTTTCACTCAAATATACTCTCCAAGCTTGTAATATGAATACAGTTACCTCTACATAAATACGTAAATAAGTTTGATCACCTCAAAGTTTGATTGCCTTGAAGGAGGATCACTTTGATAGCAGTAACTGTAGTTACCTTAGAAATTAACCTTATGCAGAACTACACACACTAAACTTAGAATTGCTCAAACAGTGACCTCAGTTTGGATGGGTGCCTTTTTACAAAAAAGCTAAATACTGTAGATTTATTATCAGAAGTATACTGGATAAATTATATCTACAAGACAATTAAATAAAAAAAATGGTATGAAAAATCGATAACACTTTACTTGACACCCAGTGTCATAACACATTATGACGCGTTATGACACGGTCATAACCATAACCACAGCTGACATAACTTGTCATAACCTGTCATAATATGGTCATAACACTGTGATTACCCATATATTGACACTTGTTGTGACATACAATATATTGCGTTATTTTATGGCTGATTATGACACCTACATAAGTGTCAAAACCCACATTTATTCAAATTAGTTTTTTCCCTGCCATAAGTTTCCTTTCGTTTGAAAGTTTGTTTCTTAAATCCTTTGTTGTTGTTATGAATTCTTTACAGTCATGTTTATTTCATCATATTTTAAATAACTTGTAGAACATACACTTTATGATACTGTCATGAAGCATTATGACCATCCTGTGTCACTTTACTTGGACTAAGAAAATACACTTTATGACACTGTCAAGAAGCATTATGACTATCATAATGCCAGAAAGGCCAATCACGTACATGCCCTGATATCAGTCATCAAAAAGATGGTGTCTTGTCCTGCTCCTGAAATCTGCTCCTGCATTCATCCCAGTCATCAGCAACAGGGCATTGGGGTAGGTGCATGTCTGACATCAATGTGTGCTCAATTACAATGATAATATGGTACATTTAAAAAACATTTATATCATAAGCATACTGTTGACACATAGGCTATGGTGTAATGGAATGTTTTGCCTTGTGTGGTAGGTTTTGTGGGTTTTGACACTCTTATGTAGGTGTCATAACCAGCCATAAAATAACGTAATATATGTCACAACAGGTCTAAATATATGTGATGACAGTGTTATGACCATATTATAAAAAGTCTATAAGTTATGTCAGCTGTTTTGACATTATGACATGGTTATGACCGTGTCATAACGTGTTATGACGCTGGGTGTCAAGTAAAGTGTTACCGAAAAATCTATGAAAAAGTATTGTACATCAATGTGTATAAAACAACCCCAGGATGAAAACATAGAAAATACACATGGAGAAAAAAACAAAAACAGTGGTCACTGAAAGTGAAAGGTGATTACCAACATGTTAATGACATGCAAAACAATATACCAACATAAGACATGAGGACAAAAACAGGGTTATTTTGTAGACGGCACAAGGACAACAAAAACAGGACATACATGGGGAGTGATTGACTCTAACAAGGTTTTATTGGGGAATGTGCGTTAGTGGGGTGGGGACGCTGAAATGATTCAAGGGTGGACCAACATGCAACATAACCAGGAATAAAATGAAGATCTGATGCACAGAGCTAACATGAAGGCAGATACCATAGAACTACTGAGACCCAATGACCGTAATGAATTGGAATGTGCTTACACCCCTCAACACACACACGCTATGACTGGAACAACCCTACAAACAGAATTACGACGGTGAAGCATAGTGAAATGAATCATACAGTGAAATGGTATTTGAGATGGTACTGTATAATAGTGGTATGACGTGTGGTATGGATGGGCGTGAAGGTAATGTAAATGGATGGACATCTGGAGCAGATAGCTACTTACTCCTTTTGATTTCCTATTCTCTTGAATTTTATTTAACCTTTATTTATTCAGGTAAGTCATTGAGATAAAATCTAGTTTGCAAGAGACCTGGATGATTTGATCTGGGGCAATTTGAAACCTGAGAGGACTAAAGAAGACGATTTAATTGCATTACTGAGGCAACGATTAAGCCATGTATTTTGTCTGTCAGTTATTCAGGTTCCACATGGTACGTTTGTAGATAATAACGTACACAAAGAGTCATATCATCAGGGATGGAGATAGGAGGAGAGGAGGAGGAGGAGGAGAGGAGTGTCGAGCTGAGAGGGGGAAGAGAGAAAAAGAAAAACAGGGATAGAAGAGAAAAGAAGGGAGAGAGGCAGAGGGGAAAGGACAAATAGGGAATAAAAGACAAAAACCTGACAGGAAATAAAGACGTTATATAAGAAATAAAGAAAATATATGACTAGAAATCTTCACGGGGGGTGGGGGGGGGGGCAAAGAGGGCGTGTTCTTCTTTGTTCCCATGGACACACACGTACATACACACCCACACTCAAACACACTCACGCTGTGCTCATTCTCATTCTAGACTACGTAGTGCTGTAGTGCTTCCGTGTCCCATTATGCCTTTCTTTGAGGCAATTGGTCAATAGATCATGTCAATCTACTATCAATACAACTATATAACTATTTTTTCCCCCCCTTTGCTCAATCTCAAAATGTTGATTTTGGAAATGTTGTACTGCTTTTGAAATAGGGTTGCCTAACTCGAAAATGGGTTAATATATTCTTTCCACTTTCTCATTTGATCTCAGCCCTGCTTACATCTTATCAGTTAATACTACAGTATGTAGCTGCAGCAGTAGAGGCTGCTGAGGGGAGAACGGCTCATAATAATGGCCGGAACGGAGCAAATGGAATGGCATCAAACACCTGCAAACAATGTGTTTGATGTATTTGATACCATTACACTGATTCCGCTCCAGTCATTACCATGAGCCCGTTCTCCCCAATTCAGATGCCACCAACCTCCGGTGAGCTGCAGCTAGCATTCATCAGTTACTGCAGAGCAGGTACAGTGCTAAGCAGTCCTCAGTGGAGTGTTCGATTGGTATCAACAAAAGCACCAGTCGGTTAGAAGGAATATGAAGGTAAAAAGATTAAAGCATAAATAACTGTACGATTGTCCAAAAACAACTCATAATATAGTACATAATCTACGTTCAGTCCTGCAACATCCATTGTGATAAAATAAGACTAGGTGAATAAAACCGCCAATAAAGGAAACTGCAATCAGCAAAGCTCATTTCCATTCAAATGCATTATGCAAATAGAAAAGAAAAAGGAATAATCAAGGTAGAATTAGTATAGTGTAACGGAAATAGGATAAGGCTAAATGAGGAATAAGTGTGACTAACTAACTGTCAGAACCACTTGTGGTGGTGGTGGCGGTGGTGGTGGTGGTGGGGGGGGGGGGGGGGGGGGGGGGGGGGGTATAGTCCTCTCCCTGTGGTGTGGGGCAGGGGGTTCAAAGGGCAAGGGAGGTGTTGTGGGTCACGGTCCAGCCCACCCGCCTTTCTCGCCCCCAGTCCCAGTCCTGCGGGTTTGAAAGCTGGTGTACTTTTGGTAGGCTGGGGATCGGTAACTAACCCGTGGGGAGTCCTGGTCCGATGGCAGTCCGTTCAGAGACACTTTCTCACCCTCCCTGTAGGGGCACACAGAGACAACAGTAAGTCTCAAACATACTGTAGGATAAACACACAGAGAAAACTGTCAGCCCCAAACACCATACTTAAGTCTTTATAAACACACTGTGATAGTCATAACACCAGAATACAGCATGCCTGCTCAGTCTAAACACAGACACAGAGCAGACACACTAAATAAGTCATGACACAAACAGACCAAACACATTATTTCAGTATAGTGCTCCATGCTGATATCTTACCTCTGCTGTGGCGATGCAGAGTCCGTCTGGGTCTCTGCAGGTGGGGGATTTCTCCTCCTCTCCTCCTCCTCTTGCTGTCTTCTCACTTCCAGTAATTCCATCTGCATCGCGAACAGACGCACATCATTAATGACCAACAAAATTAGTCTGATTGAAATGTATAAATTCAAGGAATTTCATTAAAGGTGCAGTCAAAAACATGATTTGTATGTGTTTTATATATATTTCCACACTATGAGGTTGGAATAATACTGGGAAATTGTGAACATTATGATAATGCACTTTTTTTTTGGGGACTGCCTAGTGACATCACCAGGCTGAATAAGTTCATAGACCAAATAACAAAGAGAGTTTGCCCTCATCTCTGACAATAACAGCTAGTTTTCAGGTTGCACATCCCTCTCATTCGGCTCCTCCAATTAGGCCCCTCTCTCAGACCACTCCCAGACAGTCCTAGCAAAATTCTTGCTTGAGAAATTGCAGTTAGCTAAGAAGCTATTTTTGTTTCTTTTTGACCATTTTAACTGAAAACAATCACAGTAAGGTACTTAATTGTTAACAGAAATTATTTGATATTGAGATAAAAACTTTACGTCACGATTTGACTGACAGACAAATGGGATGAGAGCATTGCAGATTGATGTCTAATCTAATTAAAAATAAAATTGATTGAGTTATTGGATGAATGGTTTGACTGACAGCCCAGTGAGTTGTGAACACCCCCTGTCCTCTCACCGTAGTCAGCCGTTCCAGCGCTGAGAACCGCTCTTCCCAGGTGGCAGCTGATTTCTCAAAGGCCTCGTGTCTCTTGATGAGTTTCTCCACCTCGTCCACATTCTGACCCATCTCCCTGCTGGACAGGTACGGCTCCTGTCCCAGCAGCCACGACTCGGCCACACCCGCGTCCCTACCAAACTGGTGCACCTCCAGAACTGGGCAGAGACACAGCTAGTCACACACCAAGGCAGTAGAAAGTAACGGTGACACAGTAGTCCTCTGGAAATACCAAGGGACTGTGGGATAATGCTCTGTGAGCCCCAAGGCACTACTGTAGCTAATACTGTGCAACAGACTGAACATTATTTGATAGAATTACCCAATCTAAGCCACTCCCATCTGTCCTCCCACTTGTCAATCATGTCTTTCCTCTTGTCCGTCAACTGTAGTAACTTCTCTTTGATCTAAAAATGGAAGGAAATTGAGTTTTAACCGTGGCTACGAACACCATACAATTAATGACGCAACACAACAACAGAGGGAGACACATTTCCATCCGGAGAATGGGGGTGAAGACAGAAACAGAGAGCGGAGGAGAGGAGAGAAGGAGGTAAGAATCTGTGAGGGTGTTGTGACATTGTTGGCCCCTGACCTCCTCTAATGCGTAGTGTTTCCGTGCCAACAGGGACTTGCCCAGCTCGATGCAGTTGGTGAAGCTGTCGTTACGGGCGTCGATCTCAGCCTTGATGCCCTGGTGGTTGTTCATCAGGAGCTCCACAGACGACACGTCCCTGAAGACACAATAACCCAGTTAGATATGTGTTACACACGCACACTGAACACACTAAGGTCCTAATGTCCATTGGTTAGGTTACCAGGGGTTTAAATGACCCATGAAATGCTATTTACGTTGCTACTTACGATGCTAGCGTACGTTTTCTAAAACCACATGTACATACAGTCCAGACAGGATGACCTGACACCCAGTGCATTTCAGTGGACTACATCCTCCCACATAATGATGTTCCAGGGTGAGTACCTGGGACCATGCTGTTATCAAACTAAACACTAGTCTACTCTAGTCAGGATAGGGTGTCATTCACTCAGACAGTGGAAACAGAGCAATGCAATTACTGACACAAACCAAGTCTCTCTCTCTCAATTACCCTCTCCTACCCGCTTTTTTCATCCTTCACCCCATTAGCCATACATCTTTCTTCCCCTTTTCTTTTCTCCAGTATCTTTTTTCCCCTTCCCCTGACATCATCATTAGACCCCTATATCTGTGTCTGTCTGTCTGTCTTGCTCTTATCTTTTCTATTTCTGTCTCCTCCTATCTCTCTCCCCCTCTATCTTCCTCTCTCCCTCTTCATCCGTCTCCATGGTAAGCTGCTGGCTGAGATTCAGCTGAGAGGCACAGATAATGAAGGCCTTGTCGACCCTGGTGATTATCACAATTACAGCTGAAACCAGAGCCAGATAAGGGCTTGGTGTGCTGCTGTCTCCCTGAAAGGAGAAGACATTCTGGGACATTCATTGAGTTTTGATACATTGAGTATTCACCATTTTCTGCAGCTGCATCTTCAGTGGCTATTAAAAGGACCATCCGTGGGTGGCAACACATTCAGCTGAGCCTTCTGTTGAAAACCTGAGCTACACTACAGTGCCACAGCTCCAGCATTAACACAGAGGGTTGTTTAGAGTGAGCTAGTGAGGATAACTTTGTAAATCACAACAATCAGAACATTGAGGATTAGATACATAAATCTGGACCTGAAAAAGTGTGATTACAGTGTAAGCTGCCGACCAAAAGCTGCTTACAGAAAACTACAGAGATTACTCGCGCCTTCTTTTCTGGCTTTTGTTGGGAAGTCGGTAGGAGAAAAAACATGTCCGCAATAATGCTAAACTATTAAAAGAACCAGCCTGACGCAAAAACGTTTCCCGTCAGGTTCACGGTACCTGGGCTTCTCCTGAGCCTCAATTAGGCGGATGACGTCCTCCATCCAGAGCATGAGGTCTCGGACCATGCTGAAGAAACGGAACTTGTCGCCGGTGTCAAGCAGTCTGACCCTGCGGCCTTCACAGGCCTCCAGCAGGGTCCTCCAGGCCTCCAACACCTCACCCTCTCTCTTTTGGATGTCATCAGCCTTGTCTCCGGCATAGGCAGACTGCAGGCGCACAGCATCCTCCTGCAACGTCCTCACCTGTGGAGGAAAAGGGAGAAATATGGGTAGGCCAGTGGAGGCTCCTCAGAGGAGGAAGGGGAGGACCATCCTCCTCAGTGAATTTCATAAAATTTTAAAATTGTAAAACATTAAAAAAGTTATCATTTTTAGATAAAACTATACCAAATATAATCACATCCCCAAATAACTGATTAAAACACACTATTTTGCAAAGAAGGTCTACAGTAGCCTCAACAGCACTCTGTAGGGTAGCACCATGGTATAGCCGGAGGACAGCTAGCTTCCGTCCTCCTCTGGGTACATTGACTTCAATACAAAACCTAGGAGGCTCATGGTTCTCACCCCCTTTTTTTATTTTTTTTATTTCACCTTTATTTAACCAGGTAAGCCAGTTGAGAACAAGTTCTCATTTACAACTGCGACCTGGCCAAGATAAAGCAAAGCAGTGCGATAAACACAACACAGAGTTGTTACACAGTAATTATGACAACTTCCGGAGGAAGTCCTCCAGCCTATCAGAGCTCTTGAAGCATGAACTGACATGTTGTCCACCCAATCAAAGGACCAGAGAATTAATCTAGTAGTGAAATAATAAGCTACAGCTAGCTAGCACTGCAGGGTATAAAATGTGGTGAGTAGTTGACTCAAAGAGAGAGAGAAAGAGAATAGTTGAACAGTTTTGAACCTAAATGAAGGAGAAGCAAGAGAGTTTCACTTACTTAGCTAGCAAATGCAGCTAGCTAGTTTAGCCTACTGAAACACCCTACTCAAACAGAGGGATGCTATGTTAGCTAGCTGGCTATGACTTTCCAACACAACACTGGAACTCTTCCAAGTCAAGGTAAGCTTTTGGTATTACTAATGTATTGCCACCGGGGCCCGCTGGTGTAACTGCTTACTGACTGTACACTAACGTTACTGCATGATTGTAGCGGGTTTATTAACGTGTTAGTTCTATTAGCCATGCTGACTATGACATTTCTTTGGTGACAACGATGTAGGCTGTTTGTAGAGGTTTGGCTTGGAAAGGTTGTTTTGCCTGGTCACATACAGCTGATTTGTTGTGCATTGAAGTCGACAAGCGAAGGGAAGAGAAGGAATACAACGTGACTTATGAGAGTGAACTCTGTTTACGCGTGATCAGGGGTATATTCATTCCGCCGATTCTGTTGAAAAACGTTTCTTAAACGGAACAAAACGGGGATAAACATACCTGAATTTGTCCAATAGAAACTCTTGTTTGCAACTGTTGGACTAATAATTACACCCTATATCAGCTAGATGCAGGCAAGAGTGTGCATCGCGGTATTGAATGTCACTGTCTGTCACCTCAAATTTGCCTCTCGATCTGTGTGCACCTACGTTGTAAACTTTCATTCATAGGCTAGGTTGTAGCAACCTCATGATGGGTATAGGGAAAATTAGAGTATCATGTAGTAGCCTAAACCTATAGCTGTTACATTGAACTGGGTGAATGGAATATGAATGAGAGTCATCCAATATGCTGTAATAGAAATAAGGCCATGCTCATGAAATAAGGCCCTCATCTTAAACGGCACTGACTGCCACTGGGGTAGGCAGACACTAAATGTTGAGAAGTCTTGTCTATGATCTACATTTCAAATAATCTGTGAGAGATTCACCTTATAGGTGCATATTTTCTTAAGGCTGTAGTCTAACCTCTGTTTTAGGTGTTTTGGCTTTCTGGCTGCTGGCTCTGTCTCTCTGGTGTCATTGTCATACCTGTGTCCCCAGGGCCTGGATGTCGTGTTCGAAGGTGGTGTGCATCCTCTGCAGGGTCTCCACTGTGTTCTGGTCTCGGCCCAGCTCCTCAGGCAGCTTCTTGTGTTTGTCCAGGATGCGGTTGAGGATCTCCTTGGCGTCGTGGTAGAACTTGTGCAGCTCGAAGGACGCCGCCAGGATCTGCGTACGTGTGTCGATCAGCTCCAGCAGGTCGGCCCACGCCTCATTCAGCCCGTCTTTCCACTCTGCGATGGTAGCCGCATCAGCGTGGCCCGAGTTGATGAGCTCGTCCGCCAGCTGGTTGACAGTGTCCACACGCTCTTGACCGATGTTGCCCGTGTCACGAGCAAACTCACGGAAACGCTCCTGCAGCATCTGTAGAGGGAGATTATCACAGCAAAGTCAGAATGGACATATTCCGCAAGATACTCTGACAACAGGGGAACATGGGTGGCATGGCTGCACATACCGTGACATGTTCGTAGTCTTGTCCCAGCTCATGTGACCCAGCCACCACCTCCCTTTCAGCGATCCACTGCTCCAGGTCATCCACCTCCCTGTTGAGCTGAAAAAGACGGAACCTCTCGTCCAGCTTCCCCCTCCTCTCCTCCGACAGGTCCTTGAGCCCTGCATATAGCTTATCCACCTGGGACTGACGCATGCCGATCCGCTCACTACACAGCAGGAGGAGGAAGGAGGAGGTAGGGAGGGGGTTAGGATATAGGATCTACATGAGCCACATTATCCTATCCTCACTCTCTTCTGTGATGCTAAACTGTCAAGTCTTAAAACTCTGGGTGGTTAAATCCTACTTCAACTCAGCAGGTGTGGAGCTTAACCTTACAGTGATCTAATGTTAGTTGTCTGGTACTGACTGACCACTCTGGGCTAGAGTTTAAACCCTTAAAGGGATAGTTAGGGATTTTGGCAATGAAGCCCTTTATCTACTTCCCTAGAGTCAACTAGTGGGTACCATTTCTATGTCTCAGTGTGCAGTTTGAAGGAAGTTGCTAACTAACGTTAGTGCAATTGCTAACTAGCGTTAGTGCAATGACTGGAAGTCAATGGGAACAACTCCTGTAAACTTCCAGTCATTGCGCTAATGCAAGTTAGCATCGGCCCACAAAACTACCTCTAACTTCCTTCATACTGGACGGGGAGACATTAAAAATGGCATCCATGAGTTCATTGCCAAAATCCCGAACTATCCCTTTAAAGTTCTTTAGTCTGGAATGGGTGGATATGATCATGGTTTCAACATCCAATTTACACTAAAGGGAATTGTTAACCCTGAGGATGAGCCCCTGAGACCCCTCACCTTTCTGGGTGTCCGGCGGCCGTCAGGCCCCTGCTGGTCTTGGAGAGCTGGTGGACAGTCTCAGCGTAGTCCTCCACAGCCTGCTCCAGGATCTGGTGCTTCTTCAGCATGGCCACGGAGCTCTGCTCATCCTACACAGAGAGAGAGAGAGAGTCAAGGAAGACGCAGACAGTGAGTGCACAGACACAGATAGTGAGTGTGAACAGGTACATACAATCAGTGTAGAGGACCCAGTATTGACTAGAAATAGACTAGTCTCACAGAGATCCAGTCCTGTAGAAGGAGAATGTTAAGGTGTCAAGGACACATGAAACCATGGCCTGGAAGACTTCTCTCTGCCTACTCACCTTTCACATCCAATATCCCACAATACCACATAGCCCTCTGTGAATCCTAAACCATCCCCTCGCCCCTACCAACTAGCTCGGAGGTCCCTCTGTTGCCACATGTAGCTAACAAAACTCTGAGGGTGACATCCAGTGAGTGGCTAGTCTTAATTAGCTCCTATACCCTCAATATTTTTCACTCCATCAGTTTTGGGACACTTGTGCATATGGCGGAGGCGCAAGTGAATGCGCAAATGGAGGGCAGAGCGTCAAGGAGAAGGGGAAGATTTGGGATGCAGCACTTTTGTCACTGCCCTTGTCTTTCACCCTCCACTGACTTCCTCATTCTCCCCGTGACAAGGACCCACTTCTGCCTGGTAGACCAACAACTTACTGGGCAACAGTCACAGTCCTAACTCTACCAAGTGCAGCAATACCCCTGGTACAGTATCAACCAGCCCTTCTCCTATCCAGCAACTTTGCCCTGTAACAAAAAAGAAGCTTGTCCTTTAACCAAACCCCATTTCCTATTAAACTTTGCCCCTACTAATGATCCATCCCAACAAAATACTGGAGTGCAACCTACCAGTCCTAACCAAAACCCACTTTGTATCTCTACCGGCTTGCCGTAGCCTTCAGCTACTCATCCTATCAGGTCCAATCACCATCCTACTTCACATTCAAACCCCATTCTGATTGCTTATGAATAACAATTTTAGCTTTCTAACCCACTGCACCCCTCACCTTGGCTTTCTCCTCTGACATCATGTAGAGCTCCTGCTCGCTCATCCAGGCCTCGGCCTCGGCAGCATCAAAGTAGTACTGCTGGGCCTTGTGGGCCTCCTCCAGGCGTCCATGGCGTTTGCCCGTCTCCTCCAGGATCTGGGCCCACAGGTGCCGCAGGTCGGCCAGCCGCTGGCGGATCCCCTCGCCGCTGGGGCTGTTGTCGTCATCCTTCAGCACCTGCTGACTCCGCTCAAAGATGTCATCACAGCGCGGCTGGTGGCCCTGGATCTCCTTCTGCAGGGTCTGGTGGGGGACAGGTCAAAAGGCAGCAGGTCAGCTGGTTTAAAAGTACAGCGGTTATCTGGTACAGAAATAGATCCATCACTGGATTCTAATGGTAGTGCTGTAAATGCTAAGAGCTATATTCTACAGATGTAAATATTGTTCAAGGTTCAAACAGATGGAGTTTGTTTCTTACCTGGTTTTTCTTGATGAGTAACTGGACTGTTTGCAGGTTGTTTCCGTGGTCTGTAGATGTTGCCAGTGGCATTCTCTCTTCAACCCAGAGCTAAGAGGAAAACACAGAAATAGGTAGGAATAATTTCGGAAGATTGATACATTGATATAGCAAAAGCAATGACAGCATCTAAACTTAACCACAACTAACCACTTGAAATAAGCATGATTTGGGCTAAGCGTTTTATGTTCTGACTGACTGAAGTAAGCATTTTAAAATGCAGTTGATGGCATACGCAGATGAGACACTTCAGTTCCATTCAGAGACCCAACCCAGTAATTTCAAAACACGTGGCCTGCTCCTGCTTGTCTGTATGAAAGGAGTCAATACAGTCATTACAATAACAAAGAGAACCTCACAGCTATGAAAGCATGCAGCTGCTGCTACTCTCAGTGGGTGCCTTCCCTCAAAAGAGGAGAAAAAAGACTTGAAGAGATGAAAATTGTGATTTTATCTCTTAAATCACTTCAGACACAAGGAAACTGCTCTGCTGTTCAGCTTCTGCTGCCATAGGGCAGGGATTTCAAACAAGCACACAAAACATACTGTAGCCTATATACATTTGCATGAAAATACAATTAAGACTTGCACAAGTAGGCATACATAATCTCTCTCATTCGTTCTCTGAAACACACATGTGCACACCCACACTGACAGACAGACAGACTGGTGCAAACAGACAAACACACACACAGAGAGACACACACACACACAGCCAGACACAGACACACACACGACTAGGCTAGATTAAAGGTTTAATGTACTTACGATCTCGTCCTCCACGTCTCTGTTGAACTGGTGGATCTCGCGGGAGGCCATGAGGTTTCCCTTCCTCTTCTTCAGTGGGTCCAGCAGCTGCTGGAACTTCTTCTCCACGATGCGGCGCTGGCCGTCCACCTCGTCTGTGTCCTTCCCCTCCAGGCTGAGGACCTGGGCCTGGCTTTGCAGCTCCTCCACCTCCTTCTGACGCACCTCCACCTGGCTCTCCAGCATCTAAGGACGCCACACCAGGAGGAGTGGAGAGGAGTGAGACAGTCATAGCATGCTCTCTCTAGCTCCCTCTCTGGTCAACCCTGTAGCATGCGTTCCAGAGCTCTCCGTCTCGTTTGTGCTCTACGAGTTTCCGGTCTCTCTCTCGCTTGCTCTCCCTCTTCCAGATCGAACAAACAGTGGAATATGGCTTACTCACGACGCATCGCAGAGTGCCTGGACACAGCCCTTAGCCGTGGTATATTGGCCGTATACCACAAACCCCTGAGGTGCCTTATTGCTATTATAAACTGGTTACCAACGTAATTAGAGCAGTAAAAATACATGTTTTGTCATACCCGTGGTATACGGTCTGATACAATCAGCATTCAGGGCTCGAACCACCCAGTTTATAATTGCTAACATACAATCAGCATTCTCTACTGTATTTCTACCAAGTGCTCTCTGTTCTGCTCCATTTCTCTCTCTGTTTTACTCCCTCACTGTCTCTCTCACACACTATACACATACACAGTGGGAGCTCATCTCACAGACACCGAGCTGGCTCCTCCACACATCATGGCGAGGGAGAGTTAACATAATGTGGTGGGTGGGGGGAGTGTGTGTATGTGAGAAGCATGAAGAGGCTGTTACATAACGTGGTTCGTCTGCTCACTACAGCGCCACTCGCTAGCAGTGGTGTAAAGTACTTGAGTAAAAATACTTGAAAGTACTACTTAAGTCGTTTTTGGGGTTATCTGTACTTTACTTCTTATATTTTTGACAACTTTTGCTTCACTACATTCCTAAAGAAAATTATGTACTTTTTACTCCCTGACACCCAAAAGTACTCATTTCATTTTGAATGCTTAGCAGGACAATAAAATGGTCTAATTCACACAATTATCAAAAGAACATCCCTGGTCATCCCTACAGCCTCTTATCTGGTGGACTCACTAAACACAGTGTTGGAGCATGCCCCTGGCTATCCATAAATAAATAAAAAACAAGAAAATGATGCCGTCTGGTTTGCTTAATATAAGGATTTTGAAATGATTTATACTTTTACTTTTGATACTTAAGTATATTTAAAACCAAATACTTTGTATTTTACTCAAGTATTAGTTTACTGTGTGACTTTCACTTTTACTTGAGTCATTTTCTATTAAAGGTATCTTTACTTTTACTCAAGTATGACAAATGGGTACTTTTTCCACCACTGCTCGCTAGTATGAATAAACTATCTGCATAATAAACTATGAGCCAACACGGCATACGTGTGCGGTGTACCTTATGCTGCAATTTTCATAATTAAAGTAAAAGTGAAAACCTAATATCAGGCTTAACATTTCATTAATAGTTTGGCTATACAAGTGAATTTATCCTCAGGTCAATTACTGACATTGCACTTCACCTAATATCAAACCATGATCTAAAATGATACAGAAATTGACCATTTACACACCAATCAAAGGGAGAGGAAAAGAGCGCAGTCCAATATAGTGACATAACTGTGGGAGACATACAATATGTCAAGCTCCAGTAGCACAGTACCTGTTGTTTTTTGAGCAGGATGTTGACGCTGGTCAGATCTTTGCCGTAGTCGTCTGATTGGATCTGTCCATCCACTCCCACCAGCCACTTGTCCAGGTCGGCACAGCTCTGGGTGAACAGCTCGGCCTTGTTGGCGTCAAACAGACACTTGGCCTTGGTCTGGGTGGTGGACTCGAGGTCATCCCACATCTTATGGAGTGCTGCCAGCTTTTCCTTCACCATGGCCTCGGTCTCCGGCTTCTCAGCTATCAGCTGCATCCCATCCTGGGATTGGGTGGGAGAAAAACATGTTAGGACATTATGGAGATAAATAGATATACACTATAGGAATATAGGAAGACACTGGAAAATTGGTGATTCTTTCAATCTGACCTGAGCAATGTGACTCTGCCCACAATCACTCATAGAAACAAGCATCAATACTGAACTTTCAAACTACTAGTTCTGATCTGCAGAACTATTGCGCTGATTCTGCTGAAAGCTTGTTTTGAAATTAATTCCACTGAATGTGAGTATAATAATACCCCACGTGGTTGTTATGACTTAATCTCTCTGCATTTAGGACTAAAATATCCACAGGAGAGGGCTGTGCTCATCAGACTGGAGTGTTTTGGGGGCCATAAGCATCAACAACAGTCTATTAACTAAAACAACTTTACACAGGGGAAAAACACACCCACACACAGACGCACACAGAGTTTAAGGGACACGCACACTCACAAAACATAAACAGGGAGAAGACATATGCAACGAAATTGTCAAAAAGATCAGACACCCATCATTTAGTCATTGACCTTCTCGATCTTGTCCAGCCACTCCTTGTTGGACTGCAGCTCGGCCATGAAGGCCTGGTGTTTGAGCCATTTGCTGTGGAGGTTCCTGGCTTCGTCATACGACATGTCCTGAGCCGTGAGCATCTTCTCATTGATCCACAGGGACAGCTGCACACACCAGAGAGCCAATCAGTGAGACAGACGGACACACACAGACTCATCCACACAACCACATCTTGGCACCATCCATAATTACTGATTAATTCCACCTACAGTACTGTACTCTATAGAGGTAGTAGGAGGAATCAGTAGGTGTTCGGGTTTGGTTGTGTGTGAATGAAGTGCTGGTGTAGCCCTAGCTGGCAGATATGGGTGTGTTGCAGTGGGGGTCTGGGGGGAGTGTTGTATGGGTTTGGTAGGGGGCAGGTGGCAGGTGGCAGCTCACCTCTTGGCAGTCCTGAAGGAACTTCTGTAGGTCTCTGTTATCCTTCAGCTTACAGAGGAGCTCACTGGCCGCCAAGCGGTTATTCTTATGTCTACACAAACAGAAGGACAGTGGTTAACGTGATGGATTTAGCACTGAGAGAGGTAACGGCTCAGAAACATATTTTCTTAACAAGTATATTGGTAATTCTAACACCTAGATGATGTTAAGCAAACCTGACAAGTGCTATACATACAATTTATTCTATGCATGTAATTCTTAATTCTATGCATGTCATTTAATTTATTCTATGTATGTAATTCTTAATTCTATGCATGTAATTTAATTTATTCTATGCATGTAATTCAGTTTAATCTATGCACGTAACATCGCTGACATAATCATCACTGGAGTAAACACATTCACAAAATCAGCCTCAGTTCTCCACATACACACTAAATCAAATTGTATAGCGCTTTTAACAAAGCATTCAATACCTCTCATCGATAGAGTCCACTTTCTCCTGGATGCGGTCAAAGTTGATGTTTTTGTCACTGACCAGTCTGCGTCCGGTGTCCACCACGGCGTTGATCTTCTCCTCATTGGCGTCCATGGTGGTCATGAAGTCCTCCTGCTTCTTAATGGCTCCCTCCGCCCCCTCCAGAGTCGTGGGCATCTCAGTATGGGCCAGCACATACTCCTGAGAGAGAGAGGATGGAGAGAAGGTGGTAGGGAAGGAGAGGGTAGTAGAGGTGTTGGTATTAATGTATTTATTTTGTGAGAAAAAAATCAGCTTTTTTTAGGGGGGTAGATCAGCTTTAATATTGCAGATAGATTGTAACTTCCATCAATGTAATTGTCTGCATTCTTCCAATCCCCCATATGTTTTTTTTTCTCACAAATTGGCCCAGAGTCGTCCAGGTTTGGCCGGTGTAGGCCGTCATTGTAAATAAGAATTTGTTCTTAACTGACTTGCCTAGTTAAATAAAGGTAAAATTAAAATAAGTATATATATATATATATATATATATATATATATATATATATATATATATATATATATATATATATACACAGTGAGGGAAAAAAGTATTTGATCCCCTGCTGATTTTGTACGTTTGCCCACTGACGAAGAAATTATCAGTCTATAATTTTAATGGTAGGTTTATTTGAACAGTGAGAGACAGAATAACAACAACAAATTCAGAAAAACGCATGTAAAAAATGTAATAAATTGATTTGCATTTTAATGAGGGAAATAAGTATTTGACCCCTCTGCAAAACATGACTTAGTACTTGGTGGCAAAACCCTTGTTGGCAATCACAGAGGTCAGATGTTTCTTGTAGTTGGCCACCAGGTTTGCACACATCTCAGGAGGGATTTTGTCCCACTCCTCTTTGCAGATCTTCTCCAAGTCATTAAGGTTTCGAGGCTGATGTTTGGCAACTCGAACCTTCAGCTCCCTCCGCAGATTTTCTATGGGATTAAGGTCTGGAGACTGGCTAGGCCACTCCAGGACCTTAATGTGCTTCTTCTTGAGCCACTCTTTTGTTGCCTTGGCCGTGTGTTTTGGGTCATTGTCATGCTGGAATACCCATCCACAACCCATTTTCAATGCCCTGGCTGAGGGAAGGAGGTTCTCACCCAAGATTTGACGATACATGGCCCTGTCCATCGTCCCTTTGATGCGGTGAAGTTGTCCTGTCCCCTTAGCAGAAAAACACCCCCAAAGTATAATGTTTCCACCTCCATGTTTGACGGTGGGGATGGTGTTCTTGAGGTCATAGGCAGCATTCCTCCTCCTCCAAACACGGCGAGTTGAGTTGATGCCAAAGAGCTCCATTTTGGTCTCATCTGACCACAACACTTTCACCCAGTTCTCCTCTGAATCATTAATTGGCAAACTTCAGACTGACATGTATATGTGCTTTCTTAAGCAGGGGGACCTTGCGGGCGCTGCAGGATTTCAGTCCTTCACGGCGCAGTGTGTTACCAATTGTTTTCTTGGTGACTATGGTCCCAGCTGCTTTGAGATCATTGACAAGATCCTCCCGTGTAGTTCTGGGCTGATTCCTCACCGTTCGAATGATCATTGCAACTCCACGAGGTGAGATCTTGCATGGAGCCCCAGGCCGAGGGAGAATGACAGTTATTTTGTGTTTCTTCCATTTGCGAATAATCGCACCAACTGTTGTCACCTTCTCACCAAGCTGCTTGGCGATGGTCTTGTAGCCCATTCCAGCCTTGTGTAGGTCTACAATCTTGTCCCTGACATCCTTGGAGAGCTCTTTGGTCTTGGCCATGGTGGAGAGTTTGGAATCTGATTGATTGATCGCTTCTGTGGACAGGTGTCTTTTATACAGGTAACAAGCTGAGATTAGGAGCACTCCCTTTAAGAGTGTACTCCTAATCTCAGCTCATTACCTGTAGAAAAGAAACCTGGGAGAAAGAAATCTTACTGATTGAGAGGGGGTCAAATACATATTTCCCTCATTAAAATGCAAATCAATTCATAACATTTTTGACATGGGTTTTTCTGGATTTTGTTGTTGTTATTCTGTCTCTCACTGTTCAAATAAACCTACCATTAAAATTATAGACTGATAATTTCTTTGTCAGTGGGCAAACATACAAAATCAGCAGGGGATCAAATACTTTTTTCCCCTCACTGTATTTTGAAGATGAAAAAATAATTTGGTGCATTTCTCCCCATATTCCATCCAGTTAGCTTCATTTTTAATAATATATTACATTTGATTTTTCTTGAATAAGTTCCTCCATTTATTTTTGTTTTTTTCTCTAATTTATTCTGACCCCCTATGTTACAGTTTTTATTGCTATCTATCTGTTCTGTTAGACTTTCTATTTCCTTTGTTAGTATGGAGTCTTTTGACCTAAATTGCTTTCGTTTTTGAGATGAGTACTGAATTGCATGGCCTCTAAAGGCACATTTAAAAGTGTCCCATACAATAAGGGGATTTGCTGTACCTATGTTATGCCGGAAGAATTCAGTTATAAATTCCTCTGTCCTAGTTAAAAACAAGTTATCATCCAATAGGCTTTGATTAAATTTCCAATATCCTCGCCCACATGGAAATTCAGTAAGAGTAATGTACAGTGGGGAGAACAAGTATTTGATACACTGCCGATTTTGCAGGTTTTCCTACTTACAAAGCATGTAGAGGTCTGTAATTTTTATCATAGGTACACTTCAACTGTGAGAGACGGAATCTAAAACAAAAATCCAGAAAATCACATTGTATGATTTTTAAGTAATTAATTTGCATTTTATTGCATGACATAAGTATTTGATCACCTACCAACCAGTAAGAATTCCGGCTCTCACAAACCTGTTAGTTTTTCTTTAAGAAGCCCTCCTGTTCTCCACTCATTACCTGTATTAACTGCACCTGTTTGAACTTGTTACCTGTATAAAAGACACCTGTCCACACACTCAATCAAACAGACTCCAACCTCTCCACAATGGCCAAGACCAGAGAGCTGTGTAAGGACATCAGGGATAAAATTGTAGACCTGCACAAGGCTGGGATGGGCTACAGGACAATAGGCAAGCAGCTTGGTGAGAAGGCAACAACTGTTGGCGCAATTATTAGAAAATGGAAGAAATTCAAGATGATGGTCAATCACCCTCGGTCTGGGGCTCCATGCAAGATCTCACCTCGTGGGGCATCAATGATCATGAGGAAGGTGAGGGATCAGCCCAGAACTACACGGCAGGACCTGGTCAATGACCTGAAGAGAGCTGGGACCACAGTCTCAAAGAAAACCATTAGTAACACACTACGCCGTCATGGATTAAAATCCTGCAGCGCAAGCAAGGTCCCCCTGCTCAAGCCAGCGCATGTCCAGGCCCGTCTGAAGTTTGCCAATGACCATCTGGATGATCCAGAGGAGGAATGGGAGAAGGTCATGTGGTCTGATGAGACAAAAATAGTCCACTCGCCGTGTTTGGAGGAAGAAGAAGGATGAGTACAACCCCAAGAACACCATCCCAACCGTGAAGCATGGAGGTGGAAACATCATTCTTTGGGGATGCTTTTCTGCAAAGGGGACAGGACGACTGCACCGTATTGAGGGGAGGATGGATGGGGCCATGTATCGCGAGATCTTGACCAACAACCTCCTTCCCTCAGTAAGAGCATTGAAGATGGGTCGTGGCTGGGTCTTCCAGCATGACAACGACCCGAAACACACAGCCAGGGCAACTAAGGAGTGGCTCCGTAAGAAGCATCTCAAGGTCCTGGAGTGGCCTAGCCAGTCTCCAGACCTGAACCCAATAGAAAATCTTTGGAGGGAGCTGAAAGTTCCTTATTGCCCAGCGACAGCCCCGAAACCTGAAGGATCTGGAGAAGGTCTGTATGGAGGAGTGGGCCAAAATCCCTGCTGCAGTGTGTGCAAACCTGGTCAAGACCTACAGGAAACGTATTATCTCTGTAATTGCAAACAAAGGTTTCTGTACCAAATATTAAGTTCTGCTTTTCTGATGTATCAAATACTTATGTCCCCTTTTGAGTCCCCCCCCCCAGTCATTTTTCCACACAATTTCATCTAGAATTGTTGAATGAGTTTCCTGTAAACAATATATATTAAATTCCTTCTCTTTGAGCGATGTAAATAATGTTATTATTTTCTTATCTGCGAAGCCATTACAATTATAACTGGCTATACTTATTTCACCATTTACCATAATGAGATACAAGTTTCAAATGTATTTATCATAATATATGTTTGTAAATGTACCATTAAAAAGTACCATAGTGATTGAGTGTCCATATTGCTGTCCCATAATATTTGCATTGCTACTAAGGGTTACTCCAATTGTTCTCCACTATTCCCCCCGCTAAAGCCCCTCCCCATCCCAAGTTGGGTTTTCATCCCAGTGATCGACAGACCACCCCCGTCCTCCCAGATCCCTAGGCCCCCCGAGAGGCCAGGACCCATCTTTTGAAAACAGCACACAGTGCCACCCACAAAACAGAAGCAGTTCAACCGCCAAAAGCATTTCCAATGCTCTCACCTCAATATATACAGTGGGGAGAACAAGTATTTGATACACTGCCGATTTTCCAGGTTTTCCTACTTACAAAGCATGTAGAGGTCTGTAATTTTTATCATAGGTACACTTCAACTGTGAGAGACAAAAATCCAGAAAATCACATTGTATGATTTTTAAGTAATTAATTTGCATTTTATTGCATGACGTAAGTATTTGATACATTAGAAAAGCAGAACTTAATATTTGGTACAGAAACCTTTGTTAGCAATTACAGAGATCATACGTTTCCTGTAGGTCTTGACCAGGTTTGCACACACTGCAGCAGGGATTTTGGCCCACTCCTCCATACAGACCTTCTCCAGATCCTTCAGGTTTCGGGGCTGTCGCTGGGCTTTCAGCTCCCTTCAAAGATGTTCTATTGGGTTCAGGTCTGGAGATTGGCTAGGCCACTCCAGGACCTTGAGATGCTTCTTACGGAGCCACTCCTTAGTTGCCCTGGCTGTGTGTTTCGGGTCGTTGTCATGCTGGAAGACCCAGCCACGACCCATCTTCAATGCTCTTACTGAGGGAAGGAGGTTGTTGGCCAAGATCTCCCCATCCATCCTCCCCTCAATACGGTGCAGTCGTCCTGTCCCCTTTGCAGAAAAGCATCCCCAAAGAATGATGTTTCCACCTCCATGCTTCACGGTTGGGATGGTGTTCTTGGGGTTGTACTCATCCTTCTTCTTCCTCCAAACACGGCGAGTGGAGTTTAGACCAAAAAGCTCTATTTTTGTCTCATCAGACCACATGACCTTCTCCCATTCCTTCTCTGGATCATCCAGATGGTCATTGGCAAACTTCAGACTGGCCTGGACTTGCGCTGGCTTGAGCAGGGGGACCTTGCGTGCGCTGCAGGATTTTAATCCATGACGGCGTAGTGTGTTACTAATGGTTTTCGAGGTGAGATCTTGCATGGAGCCCCAGACCGAGGGTGATTGACCGTCATCTTGAACTTCGTTCATTTTCTAATAATTGTGCCAACAGTTGTTGCCTTCTCACCAAGCTGCTTGCCTATTGTCCTGTAGCCCATCCCAGCCTTGTGCAGGTCTACAATTTTATTCCTGATGTACTTACACAGCTCTCTGGTCTTGGCCATTGTGGAGAGGTTGGCGTCTGTTTGATTGAGTGTGTGGACAGGTAAGAAAAACAAACAGGTCTGTGAGAGCCGGAATTCTTACTGGTTGGTAGGTGATCAAATACTTATGTCATGCAATAAAATGCAAATTAATTACTTTAAAATCATACAATGTGATTTTCTGGATTTTTGTTTTAGATTCCGTCTCTCACAGTTGAAGTGTACCTATGATAAAAATTACAGACCTCTACATGCTTTGTAAGTAGGAAAACCTGCAAAATCGGCAGTGTATCAAATACTTGTTCTCCCCACTGTATATAACGATTAAAAATTCATATCTATTCAAATCTTGCATATCTTAATTTCCATCATTATCAATTAATATGCGTAATAATGTCAGCAGTTCATGCAAAGGATTGTTACCTATAACCCGGATTGCCATTGCATTACATTACATTTTTGTCAAGCAATTATTATTTTAGCAAACAATTATTGTGGTTCATCCTATATTCTCCCTAACATCCTTACCCCCTTGCAACAGATGTGGGACACACACACACACACACACACACACAACCCCTTTCCTCCACAATCAACCAAGCACAGATGCTCAACGGTTGTTCCATCCCAGAGCCCAACTCAAGAAAGGACCTGATTTACGAATGCATATACAGTTACAGCTGTTTGAAAAAGCATGCAAGATTGTAGTAGAGGTGTTAGTGAGTGTGGGATTCGACACTTGATCAAGAACAAGCAGGTGACTCTCGTAAACTGTAGCCTACTGTAGCATAGTAACAGCCGACAAGGTGTTTATCTCAGAAATCCTTCCAGAGGACTGAGCCCACAGAGGGTGTGTGTGTGTGCGTCTGATTGGCTCTGATGTGAGTGGTGGTGCAGAACAGGGCAGTGATGTCCAGTCAGTATGGTTCAGCTAAAGCCCCAGACAATGATCTGACTAATAGAGCCGTCTGCCTCTGTTAGCGTCACACTAATAATGAGAGCGGGTTCACAGGAATGCACACACACACTGCCACGTGAACACACACACCCACTTTCTTTAACAATTTGCATGAGAAGAAGGCCATTATTTCACCAAAGTTGAGTAAACACCAACAGTGTGATGCATGTGATTCACACGATGCAATCGCTAGTCGCAGTATTAAGAACTCTCCTTGGACACTGTGCCACCCAGTCTATCCTAAATATAATTTTGCTTACTTCTCACCAACATTTGTGTGAGCCAAATGGAGTCTGTACTGTGTAATGTAATGCGATGTTACCTGGTTGTTGAGGAAGGCCTCAGCCTGCTTGGTGTCCCTGAGGAACAGCTGGTGGGCATGGGACTGGGACAGCAGGTTCTGACGGTTCTCCCACATCTTGTGCAGCTCGTTCCAGCCTGTGTCCAGGGCCTGCAGCCTCTGCCTCAGGAACATGTACTGGGCGTCCGTCTGGTCCTGGGTCACCATCTCGCCCATGTCCCTCATCTTCTGGTAGTCCGCCTCATAGTTGCGGATCTCGTTCTTGATGCCCTCGTGCTGCGCCAGCAGCTTCTCGGCCTCGGCCAGTGTGTTGGGCATGTCTTCTGAAGCGATGGCCGTCTGGGTCTTGGACAGCCATGACTGGAAGTCATCCAGCTCCCGGAGGAACTGCTGCAGCTTGCTGGCCTCACCCAGGGACTCCTCGCGGTTCTTCAGGGTGCCCTTCATCTCGTCCCACACCCCTGTGATCTCCCCCAGACGACCCATGATGCCCTGGGCCTGGTCGGGGTGCTCGGCTGCCAGGCGCTCCCCCTCCTTCCCCAGTTCTCCCAGCTTGTCCTCGATGGCGGTCAGGTCGCGCTCCATGCCAGTGAGTTTGCGCTGCAGGGCCATGACCCCGGCCAGGTCGTTGCCCAGCTCCTGGGTGGACTCGATCACCTTGGTCTTCTCACGGATCCACGACTTGGTTTCGTTGCACTCCAGGTGGTAGTTCTGCACACCCAGAGCAGAGTTGAGGGAGTCTTTCTTCAGGTCAACTAGGTCACGGAACTGGCTCCATCTAGAGAGACGTAGAAACACACACACAGTCAGGGAACAGTACTTTTCCACTAGAGGTTATTAACTGAGGATAACTGTAGTTGGTGTTTAGGTTGATGTAGGGCATTACTATACCTGGTGTTGAGTTTGTCCTGTTGGGCTTTGATCTCATTTTCACTGGGGTGACCACTGTGGATGAGTTGCCTAGCAATCTGGTTCACCACAGCAACGCGGGAAGCTTGGTTGTTCATCTCTGGCTCCAGACTCTCAAACCTGCGGGGGAAGTGGGGGTAGAGAAGGGGAAGATGAGGGGGAGGGGTAGAGAAGGGGAAGAGGAGGGGGAGGAATAGAGGGAGATGGGAGGGGGAGGATGATGGTGTAGAGAGGGGTGTTAGAGAGGGAGAGGAGGTGGTAGAGGAGTAGAGGTAGAAACGTGAGAGACGGTAGAGTGTACTGTACATAAACACATGGAAACAATTTTATCTTAATGTAAATCCTGTTAACATGCATTGTTTCCAGCTGAACTATAATGTCATGTTCCAGTTGCCAGTATATCACATAGAAGCAAAGCCAATGAAGCAGGAGTCTGGGAATGATTCCATGCGGTGCACAGTGAGTAAACAGTGTGGAGGGGGAGAGATCATTTCAGACCAGAGACACACGTTGGAGTAAACAAGCCATTGAACCGCTGTCCAAAACACTTAGCTAACTGCGGACAAGTGCCTGTTTCTTCTCAATGTGGGAAGACTTTAGGATGATTGGCTTTAAAACATTGTGGGCTCTGTTGTTAAGTGGAAAGTGAATTATAGGAGTCTAGTTCCCACACATTACACTAGTGGCCCACCCTAGTTTGCATAAAAAGTGTTTGTTTCACACATCCCTCCCACCGTGCTACATTCCAATGGCCAGTCAAACCGCCGGGAGAACATTCATTTAATTCTAGCTGTGACAAACATACAAAGTTATTGCAAACATGATGGGAAATATTCTTACAACTCATTTCCTTTGCACAGTGGTTTCACTGTGGGAGTTCTATGTCTACACAGTCTGCCTCAAGAGAATGGGTTGTCCTGAAATGACAACAGCAAATCTCCAAATTGATCAACTGACATAATGCATCTGGACTGAATAAGCATGGTTAGGCTGGGTGTCTTTACCTGTGCTGAACCACTTCAAGATCCTCCAGTTTCTCTGGTATCTCCATACTGTTGAGCCACTGCTCCTTCTCATCGATCCACACCTCACAGGCGTCCGCCTCGCTGAACATCTTGTAGAGGGCCAGGGCATCCTGCAGGGCCTGCTTCCTCAGCCGGGTCAGCTCAGCCACCTCCCTATAGCGCTCCTCGATGCCCGCCAGGCGCCCCTGCACTTCCTCTGAGCCAGTCTGTTCCCTGGGTAGGGTTTTGGACTGCTCGTGCAGGGCGTCAATGACTGGTCGGTAGCTGGCGATCTCCTCGGCCACGTCCTTGTGCTTCTTGACCAGAGCCTGGGTGGAGAACTCGTCGTGACCCACGTCGGCACTGGACACAATGCGGAGAACATCCAGCATCCAGGCGTCGATGTCATCGGCGTCAGCCTGGAACTGGTGCAGGTTGCAGGCCTCCTCCAGCCGGGCCTTCCTGATGGCAGACACCCTTTCCAAGGCCGCCCACTGCTCCTGGATGTCCTGGATGCGCTCACGGATCTTGTCAGCTCCGAAGTGGTCGGCGGCCACCAGCTCCTCTCCCTGTTTGATGGTCTGCTGCAGGTGGCCAGCACGGCCAATCATCTCATCCTCGAAGGCGCGGTGCTGGCTCAGCAGGCGCACGGTGCCCGTCAGGTCCTTGCCGCAGTCCTCCGAGGACAGGATCTGCTCTTTCTCCCGGATCCAGCCCTCCTCCTCGGCCATCTCCCAGAAGAACTTCCAGAGGCGTCGGGACTCCTCCAGGCGGGCGCGGCGCTCGGCGGCCAGCTGGCTCAGCTCTGCGTAACAGAACTCCATGTGGGCCACTCGGTCCCGGATCACCTGGGGGTCACAGGGCTTGTAGCCTAAAGAGGGGACAGGAACACATCACACTTAGCGCACCTTTATCATTTAAACTGAGAATACATGCTCTACCTGACAAAGATCAATGACTTATTTTGCTGACAGGTGGCAGAATTGGCTTGGATTTTACAATAGGACTATATAGCTATACCCTTTCAGGATACAATTAATCTCAAATCTCTTCTATAGCCTACAGGTATCACCCACAGAGAGAGCATAATCACCTACCACCCAAAACTGACTGTAATCCCAGCACATGTTACTCACCCTCTGCATCAATGGCGAACTTCTGAGCGTTGTTGTTGACGGCTTTGACGCGGTCGGCCTGGATGGCGATATCAGCCTCCACCAGAGCGTGCTTCTGCAGCAGGTCCTCCACTCCCAGCAGGTGTTTCCCATAGTCCTGGGACAGCAGCAGCATCTGAAGATACAGGACACATCACCAGGGTCAGGAAGGCCACAGGTCACTGGGTAAATAGTGGGTAATGTAACTAAGAAATAGGCAATAGCTCTTACATCACAAATATGTGACTGAGTAAGCTACTGTATCAAGACAATTCTTACCCCACCATCCAACCACAGTGTTGGCTCTATCCATCCATCATCATCATCTTCACCACCAACATCATTTTCCTCACCTTCATCTCGTCCATCCAGTCCATGATGTAAAGCATCTCCTGGAAGACCCTCTGCAGGCCCAGGTTCATCTCCAGCCGGATGCGCCGGGCCTTCAGCAGTTCCAGCAGGTACTCCCACAGACGCAGCACGTTGTCCTTCCTCGCTGTCACGCGCTTGATGTCGTGGTAGTTCTCTGCCTCCAGCTCCTTGGCCACGGAGAGCACAGCCTGCACACGCTCCTCGTAGGCGCCGATGTCCGTCTCGATGGCCTCGTGCTTCTTGGTGGCGGCCTCCACTGCCTGCAGGTCGAAACCAAAGTTGTCCTGAGGGAGGGCGGAAGAGGGGGAGAGAAAGACGGAGTGAGGAGAGTTATGGGTTTGTATCTAACTGCTAAGCAGTGGCATAATCTCCATTCAGTAGTTTTTGTTTTTAGAACTAGTGGGGATATTAAATGGGTCAAGATCATGAGGATGAATCAAGGGAGTAAATTACTTCATTGTACATTACTCTGTATGACCACAAGGGTATGCTATGAACCAATACAGTTCAAGTAGACAATACAGTAGGAGTGGCGTCATTGTTAGTGTGTACCACCAGTGTGTGTGTATCAATGAGCATGTGGTATTAGTGTTTTCATGAGTGTGTGTGTGTTACCTGTGAGACGAGCCGTTGGTTCTCACTCAGCCAGGTCTCTCTCATGGCGGCCTTGCGGTCAAAGCGGCGGGCCAGCTGCTCCAGTTTCTCCTGACGAATCAGCTCCGTCCTCAGCGCCAGCTCCCTCTCATGCTCTGACTTCTCCAGCCTCTCCCAGGCCTGACACACACACACGGTCGGGTAACGGTCACACAGGTGCGCCGTACAGAACTCTACGGACCTAATACATCTACTGTACTAAACCTGTTTTAACTTGACTTATGGTCTTATCACACTTTCAAACAACTAACCCAACCTAGCAACTAAACCAACCTAGCAACTAAATCCACCTAGCACAAAGCAAAGTAAATCTTCCTGTCATCAACTATACCAAACTCACAGAAATCATCATGTCTACCTATTAAATCTACTTTAACCCTCTGTCGATCAGCTTACCGCCCTTAACCTGTCTGTCAATCACCTTAATCCATTCTAACCTAATCGAGGACACCACATAATGGGTTTCTGAGTGTTCGTTTAGACCAGGCCGCTGAGATAAGCCTGTTCTTTAAGGAGCACTAGGTCTCACCTTGTTGATGTCTGAGATGAGTTTGCCGTCCCGTGGGATGTAGACCTTCTGATTGTTGGCCCTCATCTTGCTCTGGATGGTGAAGAGGAGAACCTCCAGGTTGCCCTTCTCAGTGAACCTGACAGAAACAGAAACAATTTTAATGTTGAGTGTAAACCTTACTGAGGGGAGACTGAGTGGAATTTGGCTAATCTCCCCAATGGCTGGTGGCTTTTTTACTTTTGCGTTGAGCCATGCAGCTCCATCGGTCAACATAAAGATAAGCATTATTTTTTCAGCCCTGATCCAAGGCCAGTAGGCCACAGAGGGAGAGGTATTTTGTAAGCAGTAGGGGTGACATTGTTGCCTCAGTGGAAATGGTGTCAGAGTCCATTTCAACAGGCTGAAACATCTGTCTAAGCAAGCTTTGCTTTTAGCCACTTCTCAGAATAAAAAGAAAATATTCTGAAAAAAGCTCTTACGAATGCCAAGCCCAAGAGGCTGACACGAAGCTTGAATAAAAAAAGTGATACTAGCAAGAGCAGTGTGCAGGTTTCTCTTTTCTTTGACGTTACTCAGAACCAAGAGGAAATAGTTCCCACAAATTACAGCTATGAATCAGATACAACTGTTAATGAGTAATAGGGTACACATCTAGAATCCCTGATAGTTTCAGTGTTGTCCTTGGTGAGTCAATTCTGGGAATAGATACTGTAATGTTACAGTAAATTACAAGTAAAGCTGCTGTGTGGGAAATAGGTGGAGGATATGGTGTAAGACTTTTTAATTCTGCCATGTAAGTGTATGTGTGTAACTCACTTGGGCGGCTTTTCGACAGTACGGTAGGTGTTGAAGGCCTGGAGCTGTTGCTGCACTCCCACTAGGGAGTTGGCAAACCTGCGGTTGTTGAGGATGATGATGGTCTGTTCAATCCATTCCAGGAGGTCAGAGGCCAGACTCTCATATTTCTGAATCATGTTATCGGTCTCAATGGCATTGTCCAGCACCTGGGAGATGAAGGTGGTGAATCAGTATAACAGTACATACATTATATACTGATTACAGCTACATCGGTGAGAAAGTTAAAATATAAGGCCATAAAGTAAAGAGAATGAGTGTGCTTGGAGAAGTACAGGACAGGATACTTTGTTCTCTTGTGATCCAGGTTGTTGGAAATGTGAACTCTGAGGCCTCACCTTCCCAATACGTTTGCCCTCCACCTTCAGGGCCTTCATCTTGGAGAAGTAGTGGTAGTAGGTCACAACATAGGTGATGATGGACTTCTCATCAGGGTGGTCCACACTGATATCTGTAGAGGTAACAAACACGCACCCACACACAATAAGAGTCAGACACAAATGGCTTTGACTACCCCATGTTTCCCTAATCTACAGACATCAACAGAGGGCTTGGCTTCCCCGCTGCTCTGCTGAGAAAATTTGAATTTATTTGAGGGGAAATTGATTTAGTAGCCATGTTTAGAGGGAGGCAGTCGGAGTAGAGGGGCTGCTATTTTCCGTCAGAACAATGCTCGGGAGCATTCTCACGCCTTCATCTCTTTGTTCCCCATACTGCAGGCCTTGAGAAAGCATGCTGAGATCTCAGAACCACCACTTACTAAATATTTAACACAGCCATTACTCTGCCACGCTTGAAAAGAAAGAGCTCCAGCGGTGAATGTTGCCTTTCTGTTTGTATCTGTCACCCTCCTATAATGGGGCTGTCGGCCTGTCAAAATACACATGATGTGGTTTCTGTAAGCGTTGTACAGTAGTAACAGTTGTAAGGTTTCCATGTATTCATACTGGGATAATATGGCATACTGTAAGGGCATAACTGGGTGTCAGGTGAAAATGTCTGGGTATAAATGTACTGTCATAATGGCATAAAACACTGCCAGATGGACGAGAGGCAGGGCTAGAGTACAGTATGCTTCAGCAGTGTAAGCACCTCCTCCTCCACCCTCCTACTGTTCTGTACACTGTGTGCGTTGTTTTCACCAGACCATGTGTGTGTGCATGCATGAATGTATGCGCGTGTGTGTGATTATGTGTGTTTGCATGTGTGTTCTCTGTACTAACCCTCTACGTCCAGTAGCTTGTGGAGGCCCAGGTGTTGCTCTGCCAGGTTGAAGGCATTCTGCAGGTTGTGGTGGGCATTTGACTTTTTCAGCTTGTCAAAGTCTATCAGGTCAGGTCTGTGTTTGTGGAGGATGGCGTTGAAGGCCATGCCATCCCTCCAACTGGTGCTGAAATTGTGAATGTTTACATTGGGATATCTGGAAAACAGACAGAAAACATAGGTTAGGGAAATAGAGCTTGCCAGCTTGTAGTCGTAAAAAATGGAAATGAGTTACCTCTGGTTCGTTCAGCCATTCCTATGGGGAAAATGAATGGGGAAAGAATAGGGTTTTGGGATAAAAACCGAAAATAAGGTCTGAGGTCTTATACGTTTTGTTCTGTGAGATAATATCAGTCAGTTAACATGACCTTTATGAATTATGAAGCCTTTTATGGGCTTTATGGGCTTTTTAAAATTACATAAATGCTTCAAAATTCACAAAAATGTGCATTAGCTGATCTCATGGAACAAAACATATATACTGAACAAAAACATAAACGCAACATGTAAAGTGTTGGTCCCATGCTTTATGAGCTGAAATAAAAGATCCCAGAAATTGTCCATATGCACAAAAAGCTTATTTCTCTCAAATGTTTAGCACAAATTTGTTTACATCCCTGTTGGTGAGCACTTCTCCTTTGCCAAGATAATCCATCCACCTGACAGGTGTGGCATATCAAGAAGCTAATTAAACAGCATGATCATTACACAGGTGCACCTTGTGCTGGGGACAATAAAAGGCCACTCTAAAATGTGCAGTTTCGTCACACAACACCACAGATGTCCCAAGTTTTGAGGGAATGGGCAATTGGCATGCTGACTGCAGGAATGTCCACCAAAGCTGTTGCCAGATAATTGAATGTTTGTTTCTCTACCATAAGCCACCTCCAACATTGTTTTAGAGAATTTGGCATTATGTTAAACCGGTCTCACAACCTCAGACCACGTGTAACCATGCCAGCCCAGGACCTCCACATCTGGCTTCTTCACCTGTGGGATCATCTGAGGGGGTGCTGAGGCATATTTCTGTCTATAATAAAGCCCTTTTGTGGGGGAAAACTAATTCTGATTGGCTGGGCCTGGCTCCCCAGTGGGTGGGCCTGGCTCCCAAGTGGGTGGGCCTATGCCCTCCCAGGCACACTCGTGGCTGCACCCTTGCCCAGTCATGTGAAATCCATAGATTAGGGCCTAATGAATTTACTTCAATTGACTAATTTCTATATATGAACTGTAACTCAGTAAAATCTTTGAAATTGTTGCATGTTGCATTCATATTTTTGTTCAGTATAAGAGCCAACATCAAGGCGGTGACCCGCTCCTGCAGGTTCATGCTCTACAACATTCGGAGAGTACGACCCTGCCTTACACAGGAAGCGGCGCAGGTCCTGGTCCAGGCACTTGTCATCTCCCGTCTGGACTACTGCAACTCGCTGTTGGCTGGGCTCCCTGCCTGTGCCATTAAACCCCTACAACTCATCCAGAATGCCGCAGCCCGTCTGGTGTTCAACCTTCCCAAGTTCTCTCACGTCACCCCCCCTCCTCCGCACACTCCACTGGCTTCCAATTGAAGCTCGCATCCGCTACAAGACCATGGTGCTTGCCTTTGGAGCAGTGAGGGGAACGGCACCCCTGTACCTTCAGGCTCTGATCAGTCCCTACACCCAAACGAGGACATTGCGTTCATCCACCTCTGGCCTGCTGGCTCCCCTTCCTCTGCGGAAGCACAGCTCCCGCTCAGCCCAGTCAAAACTGTTCGCTGCTCTGGCACCCCAATGGTGGAACAAGCTCCCTCACGACGCCAGGACAGCGGAGTCACTCACCACCTTCCGGAGACATTTGAAACCCCACCTCTTTAAGGAATACCTGGGATAGGCTAAAGTATTCCTTCTAACCCCCCCCCCCCCCCCCCCCCCCAAATTGTAAAGTGGTTATCCCACTGGCTATAGGGTGAACGCACCAATTTGTGAGTCGCTCTGGCTAAGAGCGTCTGCTAAATGACGTTAATGTGCCCTTGAGCAAGGCACTTAACCCTAATTGCTCCTGTAAGTCGCTCTGGTTAAGAGCGTCTGCTAAATGACTAAAATGTAAATGTAAATCTCCTAAGCCTGTGTTTATCACAGACCTTATTTTCGCGTTTATCCAAAAACCCTACAAAAACATTTGCCCATAGGCTTTGCCCAACAAACCATGGTGAAGTTAGTGCCTACAAAAAGACGCCATTACTATTGCTCTCTATGTTGCTTGTGTATGAGCCTACTGTTTACTAAACAACAAACTCACATTGTCTATCAACAAGTCTTTTGTGGCAATTTGGTGAGACCTTTGAAGAACATCAAACATCTAATAATAATAATCTAATCAAATCTCCTGCCTCCAATTCCCTCATCAATTAAATAGATGGATTTTCAAAATTTGTTCCACTTACTGTATGTTCCAAATATGTTCCACCTGACACCAAACACAGTGCCTCTCTTTATTAAGCATCTGTTTAACTAAAGTGATTTGACCCTGATGTGTCATGTTCTATTTGAAGCTGGGCATTAGCAGTGTTAGCTTTGTTAATGAGTGAATTGACTTATTCAGCATGTAGCCCAGGGCTGTTAGTGCTGCTGATGTTCTAAACAGCCTGACATTTAGGCCGTGATGTCTGATGTGACACCCTCGCTGTGATTTCAGAGTCGTTCCATGTCATTTCAGCAAGCCGGGACACCCACCATCTCAGATTGTTCTGAAATAGTTTCTGTAGTTAGAAACAGATAAGACTGGCATTCCTGAAACATTATTTTGTTCTCTGAGAAATTAAGCTAATTGATTGCACCCAAATTGGCCATTTTAATTTATAGGATTCAGATAATATTCAGTAAATATAGTACCCAACATCCGATTTGGACCAAACTTCTTCCTACCAATGAGTAAGACATGTTGCCTGGCTGCACAGACTCCTTGCCCAGACTCCTGCCAAATGCTACGCCACACCCACGGACGTTAGTTTCTTCTCCGCAATGGGTCTGGATTCGAGTACCTCAACAACCCTTCACAGAATGCGAACACATTCGGGGCCGTCTGATTGGTCCAGAAACCGATGGGTTGGGCCAGAACACATGTGGGTAAAGCGGCGGTTTGAAAATGTGTCATCGGGTTTGATACTCTGATTGGTTAGAGACGATCCAAACTTTGTTTTGTATAACACCCCTCGTGCCCTCATCACCACAAACAACTTCTATGATGGCAGTCTCAGACTAAAGTATGTAGCGAACGACAGAGCAGCGGAAAAATTGAGTGTGAGTCGCAGTCTATAAGACATGAGGAATCCCCCAAAATTGTCAAAATCCACCTACGGACCACCCACACCCCATGCCAATCCCACCCCAACAACTAGTATACTGTATCAGTTCTCTATGTTTGACAAGTAGTATGAAGCTGCGGCTTGGAGTATTGCTTCTCCATACTATGTAATGTATTACCTGGGAATCTGGTGATATTTTTTTTATCCCTATTCAGAGAAATTCGTAGTTGAGGTCACTTGCATTATTTACCGTAAAGTAGTGTGAAAGTACCAGGTTTTGACCACGAGATGCCGCTGGTCTTGCTATACCACCAAAGTATTTTATCAATTTTGCTGCTCTCATGTCACAACATTTCCTTTGCAATTTTTGGTAGAAAACCAATAGATTTGGCTCATGATGAAAATAAATGGTGTGGTCTTCCTAACAATTCAAGACAGTCCTCCATGAAAGCAAATCAGTTTGTCTTTCTTTTACTCTTAATCTGTGTCAAGGAAATGGCCCCTTTGTGTGTGGTTTATTCCCTTAAAAAAAGGTCTGTATTAGTTACTATTGGACCATTCCTGGTCAACAAGCAAACCAATAGGCTACAGCAGTTCTAATGGTTTCAATGTTATGGTCTCTAATGGTCTTCAATGGTAAAAAACCAGAGTTGTGGACTCGAGTCACGTGACAAATTTTGCGATTTGAGACATCACTTGGTAAAAGGAAAAAACACTTGCCACTCGACTTCAGCATCTATGACTTATATTGGACTTGAACTGTATGACTAGAGACTTGATTTGTCATCTCGCGCACTATGTAAGCTTATCTGTGTGTGTAGGTTCTGGTCATTCTGTTCTGTGTCTTGACCAATCAGATTCACGGAAATCACATGTCGCGCAGGCAGGCACAAAGCATGTCATCTACCAAAGCGCGTGCTGCTCCACTGAACTCCGGTATTTATTTAGCAAATTGATAACACATCACTCCCGACATACACATGCAAGAACTCTTCACAGAAATGTTGCAGCTGCCTACACCTATACTGTATGGGAGGAAAACGAGACGATTTCTCAGTCTGATCAACTAGGCTACTGATAACTACTGCAGCTGCATAGGGTACAACCAATGCGCCCTGTGCCGTCTTGCCCTCTGGCCAGGGTAAACAAAATGGTAATGTTATGTAGCCTATTTATAGTCCATATATTTGTGTTAGGAGAAAATGTGAATGTGATCAATTTTGGTTTAGGCTATATTCAAACTTGGGCTGGCTGGCTAGGCTACTTTGACCTTTATAATCCAAAATTATTAACTGAAATTAATCAAACAACACAATACTGATTACATAAATAGACTGAGTTACTTTTTATTTGCAGTTACATAGGCTTATATGATGCAAACCTGCATAAAGCAAGCTCAGCCCTGTGAGTTCATTGTCCAATTGCAGTGGTTGTGTCTGTGTAAAGGAAAGTCTAATTTTAAAATATAATTCATATTAACAAGTACAAGGTTGCTGCAGTTTGACAGGGTTTTCATCCTCCCTAGGGCCAGGAGTTTTTCTAGAATTTCTTTAAAATCATGTGACCTGTTTAGAACATATCTGTATACCTAGGCGGCAGGTAGCCTAGTGGTTAAGAGCATTGGGCCATTAACTGAAAGGTCAATGGTTGAATCCTAGAGCTGACTAGGTGAAAAACCTGCAGATGTGCCCTTGAGCAAGGCACTTAACCCTAATTGCTCTGGATAAGAACGTCTGCTAAATGACTAAAATGTCAATCTGGTCCCACTCCCATCATTGCCCTTATAAATACATTTTTACAACTACTAATGAATCACTGTCAGACCATATAGGGTCCTGATTTATACCTGGTTAGGTTACCAGATTAGGAAAGGCTCCAGGCACCAGGGAAAACAATTTGCCCCACCACTCTGGGACCTGTGGTGCCACCTCTGTATTAGGGCATCATCGGTCCCAAAAATCGTTGCATTCGGTTTCAAAGACTATGTGGTAGAGGGGGAAACAAGGGATGCAGTTCGTAAAACATATGGGTCCAAAATCACTGATGCATTGAAATTGCCTTGAGGACTTGACTCAACCTGAGCTGTGGAACTTGGGACTTTACTTGAGACTTGCCCATTATTACTTGTGACTTGACTCAAGACTCAAAGGTTAAGACTTGAGACTTGGTTAGGAATAAATAACACACACTGCATAGTGTCTTACAATTGGTATTGGGTTGTGTTGGGTTTAATGGTAAATAGCACTAATCACAACACATATAGAGCTGTTTCCTGATACTTTTATTTAAAAAACATAAGACTGCCATGCAATTATTTATTTTATTAGGGTTGTCACAACATTTTAGCCCCTAGTGATAGTCCCTAGGGATAGACCTTTTAGAAAGCGGCCACTTGGACTATTCAGGGTGAGTTGGGTTGATGCATTAGGTTGCTAAGAGAAGGACAAACTGAATTGTTTCCATGGATGACTGGCTTTTTATTTTCATAATGAGCCAAATCTATTGGTTTAGAACCCAAAGTTGCAAAGGAAATGTTGTGATCCATTTAATAAACACAAGAGACCAGCAAAATGGATAAAACTGTGTGAACATAGCAAGAACAGCAGCATATAGTGGTCAAAACCTGGTACTTTCACACTACTTTATGGTAAATAATGCAAGCGACTACAAAACCATCACCAGATTCACAGGGAATACATTACATAGCATGGAGAAGCAATACTGCAAGCCACAGCTTCATACTACTTGTCAAACACTGATACTGTATACTGGTTGTTGGGGTGGGATTGGCATGGGGTGTGGGGGGTCCGTGGGTGGCTTTTGACCATGTCGTACTCATTGGTAGGAAGAAGTTTGGTCCAAATCAGATGTTGGGTACTAATTTATTGAATATTATCTGAATCCTATAAATTAAAAAATGGCCAATTTGGGTGCAATCAATTAGCTTAATTTCTCAGAGATCAAATTATATTTAAACAAAATAATGTTTCACGAATGCTAATCATATCTGTTACAAATTACAGAAACATTTTCAGAACAATCTCTGATGGTGGGTGTTGAAATCCTCTTTCTTATGTTTTTTTGAGGTGGAACAACCCTTTATCTGTTCTGCTGTCCTCCCTGTGCTCCTCTACAGATCCTCTTCAGTTTCAATGAATGAAATGAATTCAAATGAATCAAATCAATTGTGCTAAACACAGCATTGATTGTGAAATATCTCTGATGCTTTTCTTTCAAGGCCATGTGATGCCTGAGACGGCTGTGACTCACCCGTAAATACATGGGATAGGCCAAATTGTTCTATATACACTACATGACCAAAGGTATGTGGACACCTGCTCATCAAACATCTCATTCCACAATCATGGGCATTAATATGGAGTTGGTCCCCCCTTTACTGCTATAACAGCCTCCACTCTTCTGGGAAGGCTTTCCTCTAGATGTTGGAACATTGCTGCAGGGACTTGCTTCCATTCAGTTAGTTAGGTCGGGCACTGATGTTTGGCGATTAGGCGTGGCTCTCAGTGTGCGTTCCAATTCATCCCAAATATGTTCGATGGGATTGAGGTCAGGGCTCTGTGCAGGCCAGTCATGTTCTTCCACACCGATCTCGACAAACCATTTCTGTACGGATCTCGCTTTGTGCACGGGGGCATTGTCATGCTAAAACAGGAAAGGGCCTTCCCCAAACTGTTGCCACAAAGTTGGAAGCACAGAATCGTCTAGAATGTCATTGTATGCTGTAGCGTTAAGATTTCCCTTCACTGGAACTAAGGGGCCTAGCCCGAACCATGAAAAACAGCCCCAGACCATTATTCCTTGTCCACCAAACTTTACAGTTGGCACTATGCATTGGGGCAGGTAGAGTTCTCCTGGCATCCGACAAACCCAGATTCGTCCATCGGACTGCCAGATGGTGAAGTGTGATTCATCACTCCAGAGAACGCACTTCCACTGCTCCAGAGTCCAATGGCGGCGAGCTTTACAATCCTCCAGTCAACACTTGGCGGCTGCGGGGCCATGAAGCCCCCGACGAACAGTTTGTGTGCTGACGTTGCTTCCAGAGGCAGTTTGGAACTCGGTAGTGGGTGTTGCAACCGAGGGCAGACAATTTTAACGCGCTTCAGCACTCAGCGGTCCCGTTCTGTGAGCTTGTATGGCCTACCACTTCACGTCTGAGCCGTTGTTGCACCTAGACGTTTCCACTTCACAATAACAGCACTTACAGTTGACCAGGGCAGCTCTAGCAGGGCAGAAATTTGACGAACTGACTTGTTGGAAAGGTGGCATCCTCTGACGGTGCCATGTTGAAAGTCACTGAGCTCTTCAGTAAGGCCATTCTACTGCCAATGTTTGTCAATGGAGATTGCATGGCTGTGTGCTCAATTTGATACACCCGTCAGCAACGGGTGTGGCTGAAATAGCCGAATCCACTAATTTGAAGGGGTGTCCACATACACTATATTTACAAAAATATGTTCCTCACATATACCCTTGATGCTGTTGATATTTTAGATCACAAACTGTAGACCATAATCTGTTGACCAGAGGGATATTCCAGAAAGCCATATTAGTGAGTTTGCCAGATCTGTCAAATCAGAATTTGAGCAACCTCAGAATTTCCGGTTCCAGAAAGAGAGCTTGACATATAGCCTGATCAGACACCATGGCAATGAATGCTCTGAAGCAAACTTGCTACTTACTAGGTTCAGATCCACCTCTACGCAGACGACACCATTTTGTATACATCTGGCCCTTCATTGGACACTGTGTTAACAAACCTCCAAACGAGCTTCAATGCCATACAACACTCCTTCAGTAGCCTCCAACTGCTCTTAAACACTAGTAAAACTAAATGCATGCTTTTCAATCGAACGCTGCTGGCACCCGCCCACCCGACTAGAATCACCACTCTTGACGGGCCTGACCTAGAGTATGTGGACAACTACAAATACCTAGGTGTCTGGTTAGACTGTAAACTCTCCTTCCAGACTCACATAAAGAATCTCCAATCCAAAGTTAAATCCAGAATCGGCTTCCTATTTCGCAACAAAGCCTCCTTCACTCATGCTGCCAAACATGCCCTCGTAAAACTGACTATCCTACCGATCCTTGACTTCGGCGATGTCATTTACAAAATAGCCTCCAACACTCTACTCAGCAAATTGGATGTAGTCTATCACAGTGCCATCCTTTTTTGTCTCCAAAGCCCCATACGCTACCCACCACTGTGACCTGTACGCTCTTGTTGGCTGGTCCTCACTACATGTTCGTCGTCAAACCCACTGGCTCCAGGCCATCTATAAATCACTGCTAGGCAAATCCCCCGCCTTATCTTAGCTCATTGGTCACCATAGCAGCACCCACCCGTAGTCTGCGCTCCAGCAGGTATATCTCACTGGTCATTCCCAAAGCCAACACCTCCTTTGGCCGCCATTCCTTCCAGTTCTCTGCTGCCAATGACTGGAACGAATTGCAAAAATCTCTGAAGCTGGAGACTCTTATCTCCCTCACTAACTTTAAGCATCAGTTGTCAGAGCACCTTACCGATCACTGCACCTGTACACAGCCCATCTGAAATTAGCCCACCCAACTACCTCATCCCTATATTGTTATTTATTTTGCTATTTTGCACCCCAGTATCTCTATTTGCACATAATCTCTTGCACATCTAGCATTCCAGTGTTAATACTATTGTAATTATTTTGCACTTGATTTTAGCCTATCCTGGTGAATAAAGACGGGGCTTCTCCGCCAATCAGATTCTTGTCCGTCACTATGACTGGTCCCTTCACAGAAACGGAAAATCCAATTGACATCGGAGCCTGCATTGTTCGCTGTGCATTACAAAGGGAACTAATTACTGGACCTCGAATAGATCCTTTAGATCATTCAGAAGATCTTATTTTGGAACGTTATAGTTTTTCTGCACAATAAATCATATCTGTCCAACTTCAACCATAGCAATGTAACCCAACGCGGTTTCGATTTGACTGCTATACAAACTCTGTGTATTGCTTTGAGATTTTTTGCCACTGGAAGAAATCCTGGACTCCCTTATCTGTTTAAGAGAAGCCGGATATGTTCAGGGAATCCTGAATTTGTTAAACCATCTTTCTGGAATACCCCCAAGGATTATTCTGCAAACTGTGCACTATAATAGAATACAGTAGGCTTCAGGCTGGTGGTGGTGTAGTCACTCACCCTGCGGTCTTCATCTGGCACCAGAGCAGCAGGGCATCTTTAGCCGACTTCTTCTCCTTGTTATCCTCCGTCTCCACTCTGATGTCCTGGATCTGTCAAGCACATACCCAAGAATAACAACGGTCACAACGGCAGCCATCAGCAGGACCCAAAGAGTGATACAAACACTATACACACACACACACACACAAGCTGGCACACACACACACACAGAACAAATACGTACACACACACACTGGAATGCACCCACCTGCATTGAGTAACACGGACATAAACACCACTTAGCACTTTCTTGATATACAAAATGTAACCCTCTGGTTACTTCGTTTTTTTAGCACGGACTGTATTATTTATTGTGTGCTGACATTGTTGCATGTGGGTCATATTTGGGAGACTGACCGGTTGCTAGGCAACAGTGTGACACGCGAGAGAGAAGACTCACGAAAACGACAAGCTATCAACGTTTGCTAACTAGTTGTTTCAAGCAGTTTATAGTTGTGTAACTCGCTCACCAGTGCAAATACAGTAAATGTAGTATATATGATGAACATTTAGTTGAGGATCCCCGATCACCATGAGGACAGCGAGGGATTTGTTGCTTGTACTTGTAGAAAGCCCTCGCTAAATAGTAGAAAGCAGATTATTCAGTCGATGTTCCTATCGGTCCTAGACTATGGCTACATCATGTATATGAACACAGCTGCCAATTCATTAAAGCCGTTAGATGCCGTTTATCATAGCGGACTGCGCTTTATTACTGGTGACAATTTTTTACTCATCACTGCATTCTCTACCAGAAAGTTGGTTGGCCCTCTAATGTCACGCAGGTTGATGCATTGCTATGTTTTCATTTATAAAGCCTTTTACAAAAAGTCCTACTGTACCTAACATCTTTAGACATACGAGTTACCACACCCGGTCTCAGGGATGGCTAACTCTGGAAATTCCTTTGCTCTACTGAGTTAGGTAAATCAGCTTTTAATTTTCATTGCACCCAATTTGTGGAACAATCTTAAATGTGATTTTCTGGTGCCTCTAGGGTAATTCAGAAAGCTGATTGAGGACCTTATTACTGATTAACGTGTTTGTTTTATGACTGTGTTTTTCTATCTGCTTGCATTTTGATATGTGTATTTTCTGTAATTTATGTCATTCAGGGCTCATCTGTGAAAGAGACCTTGGTCTCAGTATTACTCCCTGATAAAATAAAGGTTAAATAAAATAAATAAAAAATACAAACTTTCTCTGACTGAGAGGATCAACTGTCATCAACAGGCTGCTCTTTCTGCCTCTCGACCACCATGCTAACATGCTGACTACATCGTCCGCGGTATTGAAAATGAAATACATCTCACTTACATAAGTATTCACACCCCTGAGTCAATACATGTTAGAATCACATCTGGCAGCGAATACAGCTGTGAGTCTTTCTGAGAAAGTCTCTAAGAGCTTTGCACACCTGGATTGTACAACATTTACACTTTTTCAAGACGATTTAAGTCAAAACTGTAACTACAGTTGAAGTCGGAAGTTAACATACACCTTCGCCAAATATACAGTGGGGAGAACAAGTATTTGATACACTGCCGATTTTGCAGGTTTTCCTACTTACAAAGCATGTAGAGGTCTGTAATTTTTATCATAGGTACACTTCAACTGTGAGAGACGGAATCTAAAACAAAAATCCAGAAAATCACATTGTATGATTTTTAAGTAATTAATTTGCATTTTATTGCATGACATAAGTATTTGATACATCAGAAAAGCAGAACTTAATATTTGGTAAAGAAACCTTTGTTTGCAATTACAGAAATCATACGTTTCCTGTAGGTCTTGACCAGGTTTGCACACACACTGCAGCAGGGATTTTGGCCCACTCCTCCATACAGACCTTCTCCAGATCCTTCAGGTTTCGGGGCTGTCGCTGGGCAATACGGACTTTCAGCTCCCTCCAAAGATGTTCTATTGGGTTCAGGTCTGGAGACTGGCTATGCAACTCCAGGACCTTGAGATGCTTCTTACGGAGCCACTCCTTAGTTGCCCTGGCTGTGTGTTTCGGGTCGTTGTCATGCTGGAAGACCCAGCCACGACCCATCTTCAATGCTCTTACTGAGGGAAGGAGGTTGTTGGCCAAGATCTCGCGATACATGGCCCCATCCATCCTCTCCTCAATACGGTGCAGTCGTCCTGTCCCCTTTGCAGAAAAGCATCCCCAAAGAATGATGTTTCCACCTCCATGCTTCACGGTTGGGATGGTGTTCTTGGGGTTGTACTCATCCTTCTTCTTCCTCCAAACACGGCGAGTGGAGTTTAGACCAAAAAGCTCTATTTTTGTCTCATCAGACCACATGACCTTCTCCAATTCCTCCTCTGGATCATCCAGATGGTCATTGGCAAACTTCAGACGGGCCTGGACATGCGCTGGCTTGAGAAGGGGGACCTTGCGTGCGCTGCAGGATTTTAATCCATGACGGCGTAGTGTGTTACTAATGGTTTTCTTTGAGACTGTGGTCCCATCTCTCTTCAGGTCATTGACCAGGTCCTGCCGTGTAGTTCTGGGCTGATCCCTCACCTTCCTCATGATCATTGATGCCCACGAGGTGAGATCTTGCATGGAGCCCCAGAACCAAGGGTGATTGACCGTCATCTTGAACTTCTTCCATTTTCTAATAATTGCGCCAACAGTTGTTGCCTTCTCACCAAGCTGCTTGCCTATTGTCCTGTAGCCCATCCCAGCCTTGTGCAGGTCTACAATTTTATCCCTGATGTCCTTACACAGCTCTTTGGTCTTGGCCATTGTGGAGAGGTTGGAGTCTGTTTGATTGAGTGTGTGGACAGGTGTCTTTTATACAGGTAACGAGTTCAAACAGGTGCAGTTAATACAGGTAATGAGTGGAGAACAGGAGGGCTTCTTAAAGAAAAACTAACAGGTCTGTGAGAGCCGGAATTCTTACTGGTTGGTAGGTGATCAAATACTTATGTCATGCAATAAAATGCAAATGAATTACTTAAAAATCATACAATGTGATTTTCTGGATTTTTGTTTTAGATTCTGTCTCTCACAGTTGAAGTGTACCTATGATAAAAATTACAGACCTCTACATGCTTTGTAAGTAGGAAAACCTGCAAAATCGGCAGTGTATCAAATACTTGTTCTCACCACTGTATTTCAATTCAGTTTTTCACAATTCCTGACATTTAACCTTGTAAAAATTCCCTGTCTTAGGTCAGTTAGGATCACCACATTATTTTAAGAATGTGAAATGTCAGAATAATAGTAGAGAGAATGATTTCTTTCAGCTTTTATTTATTTCATCACATTCCTAGTGGGTCAGAAGTTTACATACACTCAATTAGTATTTGGTAGCATTGCCTTTACATTGTCTAACTTGGGTCAAACGTTTCGGGTAACCTTCCACAAGCTTCCCACAATAAGTTAGGTGAATTTTGGCCCATTCCACCTGACAGAGCTGGTGTAACTGAGTCAGGTTTGTAGGCCTCCTTGCTCGCACATGCTTTTTCAGTTCTGCCCACACATTTTCTGTAGGATTGAGGTCAGGGCATTGTGATGGCCACTCCAATACCTTGACTTTGTTGTCCTTAAGCCAATTTTGCCACAACTTTGGAAGTATGCTTGGGGTCATTGTCCATTTGGAAGACCCATTTGCGACCAAGCTTTAACTTCCTGACTGATGTCTTGAGATGTTGCTTCAATATATCCACATAATGTTACTTCCTCATGATGCCATCTATTTTGTGAAGTGCACCAGTCCCTCCTGCAGCAAAGCACCCCCACAGCATGATGCTGCCACCCCTGTGCTTCACGGTTGGGATGGTGTTCTTTGGCTTGCAAGCCACCCCCTTTTTCCTCCAAACATAACGATGGTCATTATGGCCAAACAGTTCTATTTTCGTTTCATCAGACCAGAGGACATTTCTCCAAAAAGTAAGATCTTTGTCCCCATGTGCAGTTGCAAACCGTAGTCTGGCTTTTTTATGGCGGTTTTGGAGCAGTGGCTTCTTCCTTGCTGAGCGGCCTTTCAGGTTATGTCGATATAGGACTCGTTTTACGGTGGATATAGATACTTTTGTACCGGTTTCCTCCAGCATCTTCACAAGGTCCTTTGCTGTTGTTCTGGGATTGATTTTCACTTTTCGCACCAAAGTACGTTCATCTCTAGGAGACAGAACGCGTCTTCTTCCTGAGTGGTATGACGGCTGCGTGGTCCCATGGTGTTTATACTTGCATACTATTGTTTGTACAGATGAACGTGGTACCTTCAGGCGTTTGGAAATTGCTCCCAAGGATGAACCAGACTTGTGGAGGTCTACACATTTTTTTCTGAGGTCTTGGCTGATTTCTTTTGATTTTCCCATGATGTCAAGCAAAGAGGCACTGAGTTTGAAGGTAGGCCTTGAAATACATCCACAGGTATACCTCCAATTGACTCAAATGATGTCAATTAGCCTATCAGAAGCTTCTAAAGCCATGACATCATTTTCTGGAATTGTCCAAGCTGTTTAAAGGCAGTCAACTTAATGTATGTAAACTTCTGACCCACTGGAATTGTGATACAGTGAATTATAAGTGAAATAATCTGTCTGTAAACAATTGTTGGAAAAATTACTTGTGTCATGCACAAAGTAGATGTCCTAACCGACTTGCCAAAACTATAGTTTGTTAACAATAAATTTGTGTAGGGGTTGAAAAACAAGTTTTAATGACTCCAACATACATATGTTGTCTTGGTAAGTAACTCCAGTGTATATTTGGCCTTGTGTTTTAGGTTATTGTCCTGCTGAAAGGTGAATTTGTCTCCCAGTGTCTGTTGGAAAGCAGATGGAACCAGGTTTCCCTCTAGGATTTTGCCTGTGCTTAGCTCTATTCTATTTATTTTTATCTTAAAAAATCAACTCCCCAGTCCTTGCCGATGACAAGCATCCCCATAACATGATGCAGCCACCACCATGCTTGAAAATATGAAGAGTGATAACTCAGTGATGTATTGTGTTGGATTTGCCCCAAATATAATGCTTTGTATTCAGGACATAAAGTTAACTTGTTTGCAGTTTTACTTTAGTGCCTTATTGC